CGTTGTGAACTGTTGATGCCTGCGCGACGCACGACGCGCCTTGGTGCCTACTGTAGGTGGTACGAGGGTACTTCGCACCCGGCCCAGAGTCCCGTATTTCAGCCTTACGCATGACCGCCCTTGGCCAGGTTTCCAGGCCGCCACGCGTTGATCGGCAATGACTAAGCGCGGCCACGCCGACGTTCTTGTTCAACGCGACCGCTCCAACTTGGAGCGCAAACCGTATAACAACCTCTCGAGTTGGCGGGTTGCGGCGGTACTGGCGGTGAACCACCTGCCTCGATCTCCATCACCGCATCTATCTCCACCTGCAAGCGCAAGAGCGCGTGCAAGGAACCAGCCCTTCTCGCTGTCCAGTGCAGCACCGTGCCCTGCCGACCTCCCCGATACAAGTAGCGTACTATCCGCGACCATAGCCTATCACTCTCTTGATTAACTGGTCAACTGTACTGAGAATATACAGCGCGACAATGCCCACATAGCGCTTGCCCTATACAGCCAGCCATTGGTTGCCCATCGAGAGTTTCCTCTCGTCAAAGTTGAAGGCGCCTCCTCGGATCTTCCCAAATCCGGAAGTTTCGGTCGTACTACCACGAAAATCAACCGTTCCACGTCTGCCCCGGACGCCGTATTCTGGATTGATAAGCCTCTTAGCAAGCATCTTAGACAGTCTTAACTTCACTGAACCCCTTGCGTCTAGGTTAGTTGGTGACCCGGGAAAGTATGCATAGCCTCGACGAACACGTGGAGTCGATAACCCCAGAGTGCGAGTGAGTCCCCCATCTTGGGTAGGCTTGGCCAACAACAGGAATAGCAAGACAGGCCTCGGTATCCAACCATCGTGCCAACATCTTCAACCTCCAAACAACCCAAATTTCTTTTTTCATGCTATGAGCTAAAGATATCAGTACCGTGTTTAGTCAACATTGCAAATCAATGCGTCCTGGAAACCCAAATAAGAAGCTTCTGACAAACCATAGCTTTTACGACCCTTGCATCTAGTTGATCTGAAGCTGGAATAGTGCCAGATACAGCCAATCCCCAATCCTAGCAAGTTCTTGGCGATTGCCGGAGTGGACTGGATTTGTATATCTAGGTTTAACCTCGTCCGGCTTGCTTTCCCCCGAGGATGCGTTGATTGTTGGATTATAGTGTCAGCGCCAAACACCCGTGACAGCACCACCAGTATTAACGCTACTTATCACAGCTGCCGAACCTTTATCTGAAAAAGGGCGTCACACGGCCTTGCGAATAAACGTGGTGCTCTCGCACAACATCCAAAGCTTCCTCGAGGTCGGTACCGTCAGTACCACTACGCGGCGCCGCGGCTATGCCCCCTTGAATAAACGCAGTCTTCCCTCCCTGAAGTAAACTGCGCCATAGGAAAGGATGAGGAATCTGCCGATCCCTGGGAATCACAAGGCTGCTTTCTCAGCCCTTCAAGGTTCGGGGATTCGCTCCTCGAAGTACACACGACGTGTCACTCCACACAGCCTTGAGAGCGGGGGATGTAGTCAGAACTCTAACTGCTGTTGCCCCGAGAAACCCCAACAACCAGCACTTCCGCCGGGCTTGGGCACTGAGGCAGATTCGGGGTTGAGCCACTGAAGAACAATGCCGCCCTGCAGTTGCAATTGTTTGGAATCCTCCACTTGGAAACATGGCAACGTGGAAATAGAAAGGTCCAGTGGCGGATACGAGCTCGAAAAACAAAGCAAAGCTGTAAAGCTGTCGGAAATTAATACGCTCCGTTCATACGTCCTCCTGCGCAGGAGGAGTTATCCAACGAGCGCTCGAGGTCGTCTTGTTTTCGCGGGTCGGTTCATCCTCCTATAACTCGCCGAGAACGGTGTATCGCCCGCTCGCACACCATCTCAGCATCCGTCCTGCACGCCACCAACGGCAGCCACGCGATGGGACATGAACTTCAAGTAGTGGGAGTGCACAAACCCTGGTTCCGGGTTGGCATCTAACGAGTCCATGGCACCAAGCCACGCCAGAAAATGGTAGTGTCAGTGGAAACGTTTGCCCGGGCCCTGGCTCGTAAAAGCGCTCCAGATCGTGAGATGCGTTCCCCGGCTAGGAACCGTGCTGTACGCGTACGGCATTTATAAAAGCTTGGTAAGGAGCTCTGAAAGTAGTAACGAGGGGGCCCACATTTTGTCGGTTCGAGAAATATTCGGAGCGATTCCGAGGAAAGTCCTCGCTTTGAGAGGATCACAATTTCCACTCCTAGTTATTCAAGGTTTTGCAGGAAAGGACACGAGGCCTTGGAGCAGAATTATGACCTGCTACATGAGATAACGGCCGTATGGGCATGTCCTATGCTAACCTACGGTACATCCCGAGTTCTAGCCGCGGTTCAGTCCCCGTGCACTGCAAGACACGGCCCCTCTCGAATCCTAAACCACGATACCATTTACCTTCCCTAAACCAAACCTTACCTTGACATTCCTTATTGCCTTTCGCGGTATCGTCCGGCAAAACCCCCGTCGTAGAAGAGGAGCGAAGGAAGCCTCTGCTTCTACGAAGCATGTCGGACGAACAACGGCGTTAAAGTGGCTTGCATGAAAACGCGGTGATGCAATGTGCCTGCCAGCCATGCCATGTGGTTTCCAACCATGCGTGGGACGAAAAGGGGGGATGGGTCGGCAAGCCAACGTGGGATCGTGGCAGCCCATAGTGGTGGGTAAGCTGTTGCAGCTTGTATCAGAGTCTGAAGTTATGAAGGGGTTCTTGGCCCGCCATTGGTTTGGGGCCGAAAAAGTTGGAATGATCGAGGGGAGAAGTCGGGAGGATTCCAAAGGGAAAGGGGATAACAGGTCTGAGGTTAATGGGTAAATCCATTGGCCACCCCCATGGGGTATCACAAACGATATCGTTATTAAGGATGAACAATAATACAGCGAAGAGGAGAACAAGTCAAAGCTTCTCTCCTATTTGTGTTTGTGCCTGTTTTATGCTTGTATCTCCGTCTGTGCGTTTCCTCACATCCTCCCAGCACGTTCCCACGGCTAACTCACCTTCTCATTGGAAGCCACATACGAGCTTCGAAGCTCGAGGATCAGGCTCCTTGTGGGCCTGCGGCCGACGTATGTTGCACAGTCCACACGATATTAATCTAGATCTCGAGCCAGGTAAATCCTTTCTACCTCAAGTAAAGTCCACGTGTACTGAGTACGTCCTCGTGGGTCACTTCACCACCTACCTTGCGTGGACGAGTAAGTATGAGCTAGGAAGAGGAAACATGGTTCAGGGAGGCACGAAGGATCGGAAAGCTCCACTGGGAAGTCTAAAAATATGGATCTTGCCTTGTAGTTTTGGGAGGACTCACTGATTACTTAGACATCTCTAATATATATCATGGGGACATGTCTTGGGGATCAGTATGTCCGCAGTCGGGCCGGTGGAAGCGTCCGATATCAGGAGAATTACTCGAGTATAACTTAAGGGATATAATAGTAATGTTGGGAGGAGCACATGTTGAGAGAGCATGGGATGTTGAAATTGGCGATGGTTGACGGTGGGAGAAGGGGGAATCTATACAAGCAAGATATTGATGGGAGAGTTCAACCAAGCCAACGGAGAGGCCGTAGAAATGGGATATAGCCGTGAAGTATTAACATAATAACGTCCATTTTAATATAGATAAGTAGAGCTTGCTTATATGAAGTTCGCGTTAAGCAATTCTAGATTCCAAGCCTGGCTCTATTTTGTGTCAGGCCAGACGCACAGGTACGTTTCTCCTGCATGAAACCAATTAACGAAACGAAAAAACTGGCATTTGCAATAACTGGATATTCCCCATCCAATATCGATCAGGAGCGCTCCATGAGGAGGATGCGACGAGGCACATACTTTTATGGAACCACAGACGCACACGCTTTATCGCAGAACCTCACTCACCGCAAGAAGACCCAGAGAATGCAAGATAAGCAGAAGCCTAAATGCCACACCTACATCACATCCGCAGAAATTATTAAATCCAAACAATGCACATGGAACGTTGCGCTGCGCTACCAGTACACCACGGCGATGACCGTAGACCACCTGAAGAAATAGATTAATCGACCAGCCTATCGTCGCCCGCATATATGCGAGTTCATTGCGTCAATTCCAGAACCTGGTGTTGTTCCTGTACGAGCCGTACTAAGCCCAGGCACATCGGGATACGTATCGGATTTGATTTGAGTTTGATGTTCATGCCTAGCCTCACCGGGCTCGGCGGAAACCCAACGGGGGCCTGGCGAGACTGGGTGGGCTTTTCTCCAAGGACCGGGAAGAGGTGGAGATTTGGAAGCCAGGCTGGGCAGCGAACGGGCGTAAAACGGAGATCAGGACAACTACAGTTAGTCGGTAGGCAGCGCACGGCGGGTTTAACAAGTTCTGCAGTAGATACTTAGCTGAGCTCCATGTACTTCGTACTGTACCAATACACCAGGCTGCACCGGGCTGGGCTACGTCGGTGGAGATTTGTATTTGGGTTTCCGTGCTACTTGAGACATCCGTGGAGGCGACAATTGGACGCGATACGAAGCCAGATTCTTCAGACGGCGATGTACCTATGTAGGTAGGACGGGGCAGGAACATGTAGCATTCGCCATTGGGCCATTGAGGTGAGGTACTTCTTCCAAAGTACCGTTTCGCAAATCCGCATGGATGCTTACGGGCATTTAGCGGAACAACCCCAAGCCTTCTTTCCCCTCAAACGTCGCGTCGGGTAGGGCTGAAGAAAACTGACCGACTTGCTGTTGAGTTCTGAGGTCATTTCATTGCACGATGCCGCGGGGGAGGAATCATGCGGCGGCGCACAGCCTACGGGCACATCTTCAAGCCGCGACGCGGATCAAGGGCTGCCATTGCCGGTGCCTAGACTAGTATTGCCCGCACTCCGCCGCGGCAGCAGCAGTAGCAGCACCGGAGAGGTATTTGCATTATCAGTCGTGTCGTGTTTGGTAGTGCCGTCCGTCCAGCTGTTGCATTGCGTTGCGACTCCAAGATCACGATATGAGGGCTCTCCGCCACTTCGACCTCCCTTCACCGTCGTCGTATACCTCCGGACCTCGCCAATGTACGATCTTGGCCCTCCTATTGGCCCAGAGCTGCAGGACAGGGGCCGACATGGCTCGATGCACGAGAGAAGCTGCGGTGTGCGACGGAGCAGTCGATTGTGTCGCGATGTTGGGTCGGGTCGCCGTCGCGCCAGGGCTGAGGGCCAATGGCGTGGAATGAAGTTGAGTCCATCCCGGCGGCCACAGCAGCCACGCATCTTGGTAATCGGGGGCGTAAAAATAAACATATGACCAAGCACGTGGAGGGCTCGCGCGGTCCGCTGGTGGGAGGGCAGCGGGCCTGTAGGGTTGGAGATTAGTTGATTAATCAGGAAGTTCGATGCGCTCCAGGGTCTGAGATGACTCGCAAATCCGGCCCAGCTAGGACTCCTGTCCCTAGCAGAATGCTCCAGTGGCTGGTTAGTTTACGGGCCATAAGTGGTCTCTGTAGGGACTCTGGGAGTGCTGAGGATCGGGTCAAAATACAGCGATCTACCATAGGTACATACATGTACATGCTTCCGCCGCTTGCGGAAGGGATCTGGGTAGAGATGCTGGAGTCCTGCTCCGTAGTAACCGTCGCCGCCGGGACCCAAGGCTGCGTGGTAGCCATGTAAGCAGGTAACACTAGATGGAAATGCAGGTGCAGATGGTCCTTGTCCGACGAGGCCGCCGGTTCATCACCACCCACGGTCGGCAGAACGTCTGGGCCGGCAATACTGGAAATAAATCACTGTTAAGTTTGTCGCTCGTAAATCTCCATCCACAGAGACGGCGTTTCAGAGTCGCCTCATCAAACCGATGGTAATTTTGAAATGCCGGAAGAGAGATTAGAAAGTGCCCCTATTTTGGAGTTCGCGAGAGGCCCAAATTTAGAGTACCTTGGGGTAGTTGCAGTGCCAATCGCGTTCCTCTCATCGTATCCGCGCAATGGTCGCCAATGATATTCCCAAAAAGGGGAAGCGATATCCTGATAATGCCATCCGCCGCCGGTCGCGTCAAAGCAGCGTGGCATAGAGCCTCTTGCGGTGGCCAAGAGAAACCCCCCTATTTAGGGCATCGCGATGCCAAATAGGAGGGCGAGCCCATGTTCAAGAAGCAGGGTCCCCTGCTATTGGCCTGAGAGGGGAGGACCAGCGCAGAATATTTGTGCTCTGAAGGGACGTTAATATGCCGAGCGGGGTTTTCAGACGTGATGCGGCATCGCCAGTGATTCCTCCAGCAATGTGCTCTTTGCTCCAGCCGTCGGAGGAAGGTACTGTAAAAATGACAATGAACGAGCGACGATCGCTGCGTTGCTCCCATTCCCGTTAACTCCGCGTATTCCGAGCAGGAGGGGAGCGGGCACGCAACATTCGCCGGAAGACTGGAACCACGACCAAGATGGAGGGCGGGCATTTCTATGATTAGATCCTGATTTGGCTTTCATAGGCACGCCTCCTGAAGGCCCGAATAAGGCTTCTGCATCCGAAACATATGGCAGCACTAGAAGGAAGGCGTTCGAAACGGTCGCACCAGAGCTCATAATCCAGAGGTGGAAGTTCTCCACCTCCCATAGGGCTAGGAGCAGACGTCGCCCATCGCGGCGAACTGGATGTAGCGCGTGTCTATTCCTAGCACCAGGCCAAAAAGGGGGGGTGGTGGTGTTGGTGGTGGTGGCTGCTGCTGCTGCTGCTGCTGCTTTACGAACACAACACCGCACCGCCTTGGCAGACTTATGTTCTATTCTTAATGCCAGCTAATTAGCCTTCAATGTCCATGCACCTTAGCGCTGCCAGACGGTCTGTGTAGCCCTGTCAGCCCCCCCCGGCGTCCATGCACGTCGTGGCTTGCTGCTGGATTCGAAAGCCCGCAGAATGTCGGCAACCCAAGGGCATGGCGTGCACTTGCACCTGCGAACAACGTTTGACGGTCAGGGAATCAGAGCAGGGGAGCGTCCCAGCCCTCACAGGGTCAACATGACAGGGTCCCTCTTTTGTGCTCAGCTTTCGAGAGCAAGGATCCGAGGCAGAGCACTCTGGAAATCCCGTACGTGGTATGCCTGCGTGCTTCGAGTCGGTCCCCCATTCACATATATATCGCCGATGGATCCCCCAACAAAGGCGTCTGGAAGCTTTCGGTACACAGACCACCACTGATACTTCAAGCCTTCTCCTCACTCTCGAAGAATCATCTCTCTCTTTCACCTTCCATGCCCACTCAACATCGGACTTCAATCCACAAACCCTCCGTCATGTCTCGACAGAGCTACTCATACTCGACGGCCACCACGCCGTCGAGGAATCTCGCCACGCATGGCACCAGCAGTGCCTTCAGCAGCTCAGCAAACCCAGATGAGGATTGGACTAAAATATCCGACCTTGCTGAGCGCCGGAGGATCCAGAATCGCATTGCCCAAAGAAACTACCGTAAGGCGTTCGTTAGCTCGTCTGAAGGGTCAGTGGCTAACCTGCGGAATAGGCAAGAAGCTGAAGAGACGTCTTGAAGACCTCGAGAGAAGAGCCGGATCCTCATCAGCATCACCACCTCAAGTGCATGCAGAGCTCCAGCAGTCAGAGCATATCCAGCAATTCAAGAGGGGCCCGGACAGCATGCACCGACAACCTTCACCCAGACTTTTGCCTAGCCAATACACACCACCAATGCACCATGATGAGGACATCATGTTTGGGCACGGTTTTGACCGGGAAGGATCTCGAACGCCGCCTCTGTTTGCATACCACACATATCCAGCTCCCGAGGACATGTCCTACCCACCTTACCCACAGTCGCAACCGTACCGAGCGGTTTCCACTGGAGCCGAATATGGAGATTTTCTTGCGCCAGTACCCGTCACATTGCCTTCGATGATGCATTTCAATGAGTCGATCAAACGAGAAACTGAAGACTCCATGACGCCGTATAACCTGGGCTACCAAGGCCTTCCGGCCATCGACATCCACGCCTCTCATGGATATGATGATTCAAATCCTCATGTGAGTAACGTGCACGCAACCCAGCGGTGGTCGAACTATCGCTGACTTGAATCCGAAGACTCCCCCTCTGTCACATTCATATGACCATTCAACGACATGTTCTGAATCTGGGTATCAATATCCAACCACCCCACTCTCGATGCCACCATCACCGCGAATGTTGACCCAAATATAATGTGGAATTTGGCAGCGGAGTAATTTTCTTTTTTCTTTGGGGTTCCGGTGTATGAAAACTGAGTTCGAAGCGCTCGACACTCATTCATTAGAAATGTATGGTCTTATGAAATATGATTTGGGAAGATAGGAAAGGTAGCATTGCGGTCAGGTGTTTTTGTTCTGTTTCTTGGGGCATGAAACTTGGGGTTTATTTTGATATTGAATGTAAATACCCAGCACTACTCGTCCAGCAACTGTCATTGATATCAAGCAATGTGTCAAATTTGAACAAATCTGATTTTCATGTGATTTGATTCTTCGAAAATTCGTGATAAATGCGTAAGAAATAACTGTTGAAGAAACATCACCATAGAACGTTGAGACCGCCCTGGGCTGTGATCCCGCGAAATAGCGACCCACTGTGTATGTAGTAGCCTTGCTTCCCCGAGGTTAGGATCAGCGTTCCAAATCCTCTACTCGTTGGTAGTTCGCCCTAGTTGTGGGGATGCCTACCTGTGGTGCCGTGGTTCCATCCTCCAGGCTGAGCAGTAGCGCTCATCCGGGAAGTAGGACAGAAAGGACATGACGCACTTCACGTAAATTGGCTGCACAACGTGTGGACTGGCAGGTGTTATCGCTATCGCGGAGCACTTTCCTCGTCCACTGCCCCGTAGGTGCGGCGTAGCAATAAAGGATCGGCCTTCGTACTCGTACCTCATGTGATGAAGAAAAACAACGCAAATCCAAATGAAGCGCTTGAGCGGTGCCACTGGGCGATGGGGAATGGGGCGGAGTCGATATACGCCGAGGAAGCTCCCCGCGTGCGAGGATTATTCAAATCCACGTCCTTCGTATGTACAGCACCACTCAGTGCCGTACGGGGGTAGGAATATTCAAAGCGCCGGTCGGATCCTAGCGGACGCGGAGGAATGGCAGTCCGACAGGGAATACGGTATCGTCGGGGATGGAGAGTCGTTTCCGGGACCGAGAGCTTCAAAGGCGTGAGCCAGGCGTTGCATTGATATCATAGTAATACTTCGTAAGATACGACGTAGATCCTCAGCATCCGATGGGCTACTTCGTACATTGTAGGGGGCAGCAAAAGGAGAATTCCCACTTCCAGGGACGTCGAGGTTGTTTGTGGTGGTTGGTGGTGCTTGGCGGTTCACCTGTAGTTCTAGTGGCTAGTCATCCACCGCTGAGTCAGCGCGGCTGTTTGCCGCCGCAGGGCTGAACGAGTCGTTTGACGGTCTGGATAACAGCATTTCGAGGGCCGTTTGCGTTTGCCATCGTTACTTTTTCTATTCTTCCATGCGGTTCAATGGAGACTACCCGTAGGAGAATAACGCCACATTGTGCTGGACCCACTGTCGGACACTAAGGCTATGGGGATAACATCTCCAGCTTAGCTTGCTACCTCCTTTTGGGAGTCCCTTGTATATCAAGTCAAGGACATCAGGCGCTCTATCTTCACGTACGTTTCACTTTGGGGGTAACAGGTAAGCTCTCGGCCAGTCAAGCCCAAGTCTCCAATCACCAACTGATAGCCTTACAGGTCATGACAATGGAAGACCGGGTTCCCTCAGACGACCGCGTATGAGGCAAGTCGTCGGATTATTAACTAGCCTAGCCCCGATTCATTCGTTGCAGTCTTCGGTGGATATCTCGACATTAAAAATACTTGGCGGGGCCGACTCTTCATCATAGCGGACAACTCGGGAACGCTGCGAGTGGTATTTAACGGGATACATTGGCCTTCTACTCGACATTGAAAAAGTTCGATGGGGATCAATATACGCTGGTGGTAGAGGATATGTCACTGCCGATAGTCCGAATGATCGAGAGTAAAGTACTATCTGCTGAGTGATTTGTTTAATCTTACGGCCCGCATTGAGTGAACCAAGATATTCGCGGGATGGGAGGGTTTCAAAGCCACGTGCAGTAAGAGTGGAAAGGAAAACACAAAGGCCCCAGACATAAGCCAACCAAGGTTAAATATTTAACCTGATGATGTAAAGGTAAGAGTTGGTATTCTATTCAAGAACCCTTCTTAGCCCGTAAGGCTATTTTGCGTCCCTTCAACCCCTTCGAGTTCGTATTTAACTTGTTGCGAAGGACTATGTTAGTCTCCAAGTGGAGTTTTAACATGTTCTTCTTTTTTTAGTAATAGCACAACCTCTTGCTTTCGTTACACTTTCACTTAACGGTTCTTGCTGGCGGAGCTAGTTTCTTTGGAACAAGAGGGCGGTCTCTCCTTATCTGGTGTCTTATATCTATAGGAGCAAGCGACTTTGATAAGGCAAGAGAGTGATATATATCCTTAGCAAGGGACAACCTCCGCATACCACAGATAGCTCGACACAGATTAGCTAGGTATGCGTCTTGGATTTTCAATTATACCATAGTTTTACAGCAAAGATTCACAGTTCCCGCAACATCTAAGGTACTTTCCAGCGAGCCGCTTCACAACTATGCATGCAGGGGTCTTCCACTAGAAGTCCAACAGTCGAATTTCCAATGCTGAATTTTCCAATCAAGAAATACGTACCTATGTATCTTACTGGCTGAGAGCAAGCGGGTATAGTCTGAATAACTGGTATTCCAAATATTTCTAACCGCATGTAGGATTGCCCTTCGCCGTTCAAAGCAACCACTTCCACACATACAACAACCTTCATATCTCGAGGCAAAACCGCAGCAACCCCAAGCAAGGAGGGGTGTGCTCTTCAGGCTCCTCTTCAGCCCATCACATCATCTGAGGTTTTGGGGGGGATCCCGAGCCTCAAAATGCGACCTAGTAGCTACTTGACCTGAAGAGCATTCGTAGAAACCCATCCCTTCACCATACGGGCGTAACGGAGCATATTTCCCTGCATGCATTCGGCCCTGAATTTGTTACACTACATGAGCTCTGGAGCCTGATCTGCCGATCGACTCAGCTCTCCAACCAAAGCCAGCTTCATCATCACGCCCGCAGAAGTCTGCACCAACTTCTTGGTAGCCGCCTGCGAAGCAAATCTAGAAACTTCATCTCCATGCGCTGCCTAGGTTCTTGCATGGAGAGAGGATTTCTGATGGATTTGGTAATTCCCACGTCCACCGCTCTTCCAAACATCTCCAGTCGCAACCACACCCGCACCCCCCAATTCCAGCCCTGCAAGCCTACTTTCGCGGCAATGGAACGTTATCTTGCATCCTCTGGGCGAATAAGCTCGGCTGTCTCGCTCATTACCCATGCGAGGGAACACAATTCTTCGATGTAGCCCTGAAACCCGCGCCCAGAATCCCATGTTACTTGACTCCTGCCCGCCTTTTTATCTCCGGGCATTTTCGACGGAAGGGAGGAATGGCTTCGGTGGCGGATTGCAGCCAGCATTTGCAGGGAACAGCACGTGGCACGTGGCCCTTGGACGGATGCATAGAAGGGATCGTCGAACAGATGTGCAGCTACAAAGTTCGCAAAGATTGTGATGGGTGGTTGCACTTGCAGCCTGCGTGCAACCCAATCCAAATGCGAATGCGCCGACGGGTTACTGAAGATAAGTCGGGGTTTTGATACTGGCCGGCCCCCAATAATTCTTACCTATCTTATTGACCAGCGCTGTCTTATATCCTCCAGCCTTGCTGCGGACTCTCCCTTGGCAATGTGATCAGTAACCATCTGGGCACTCTTGCACTTCGATACTCCAAATCACAGCAAATAGGCAACCGACACACTTGAGTGTTTCCTTCTTCTCGGACCTCGCCGACACAAAGGAACCATTGGTCTTGCTCGACAGCCTCAGGATAATTTTCCTTCGTGCGACTTAGCCCTGTTGTAGGGAATTACGATTATATTATCAGATAAACCCCACAAACCTATCGCGATTATCCACTACTTGAGCCTCTGTCCTACGCCATCTCGGACTTTCAAGTCGACCGAATTCCCCACCCACCAATAAGACTCTGATACAAACCGCGTACCACGATGACCACGCATGTGGCAAATAAATCTCCAGACTTTCTAGCCCCCACATTATAAGCCTCCCTCCACGTTCTCGCCTATGGTTCAAGAGTCAATTAAGCCTCACCATGCCGCCGTCATAATTCCAGTATCACCCAAAACAGGACAAAAACCAATCATTTACACGACCGAGCGGGCCACTCATCTGCGTCCATCGCTGACTATACACAAACTAGGATCTTGAGTTTGGGTTCAGCCCAGAAAAAAGAAATTGAAACTCTAGGGCCTGTCCCTGAGGCCGAACCTGGGGGACTGGGCGTTCTAGATTCTATTATTCGGCATCCCGCTGCCGTATTTCAGCACTGCACCACCCTTGCATAAGGCCTTGACGACGGGCAATACTCGATATGATATTCCCAAATAGGGTAGTAAGTAAAGCCTTCTATAGGACCTGTTAACGGGAGACCTTTGCTCTCGCTTCTAGTCTTCCGGTACCACTTTCCTTTTGCTTGTTTGCTTACGGGCGTCAATCCACATCTTATTATTGAGCATATTACTGAGCATAGGTAAGATACTGAAGCATGACAATACCCAGCTAGTGAGTGTTAAAACCCCCTTACTAGAGGTTCGTGACTTAGCTACCTACCTATCATATCTCTATATCCTTCCGATCCGCTCATTCCACCGCAATACTGGTAGTAGTGATCACGCACCTCCGGGCTGTCCGAGCCTCTCCATTTATCGTACGTTTTCTGCCCAGAAAGCCGCTATCCCCATGGGGTATTCGCATTATTACAAGCTACATCCTACAGCTGCAGAAATGCCACGCGTGCAGTTGTGTGCCGAGCCGCCCGCTCCCGCCCTCCACTGGCCCATTCTGTCGTTCAAGCCGTCTGCAGATACGCTCACCGTGGCCCTGGGCTTGAGAGGCCTGGCAACCTAGTTTACGGACAGCAGACACTCAAGAAATCTGACTTGATACCACCTAACTTTCCGTTCTGTCAATGCTGCGGGAATGTATGTAGGTGCGTTATAACTCGGGACGAACATCAATGCCACCACATCTCACCACCGCCAAGGCCTACAATATTGAATGCGCGCCAGGTCATTCCATCAGTATCCAGATACCGGCGAAGTTCGGGCTATAGATATAACATTAGTTGGAAAATAGTAAGCATTCCTACCCCTCGAAGAGAATCAATAATATGATAATCCCGGTGGGGATATGTCGAGAAGTGGGAAGACCCCGGGATTGGAGAACGTGGCTTCTCTTGGTACACTGGATTACCAATGTAGGATGACATGTTATGATGAGGACGCTATGTCAAGTGGTATCATCATGGGATAATTTGGGAAGCTGCCAATATGAAATGCTAGTAAAATACCTTTATACAAGCGCTTGGCAGGCGTTTGGAAGTGGTTGTTGAAATGGTAAGACGAAGAAGTGGTGTAATAGAATTGAGAGGAGGTTGTAGTGAAGAGCATATTGACGAGTCACTGGATGTATTGTTTAGTAGTATTAAGCTAGCAACGCGGGTTCACCATAAACTAAAGGGAAATCCTCGGGTTGGTTAGGTGGGTTTATGGGTCAACAATCGGTTTGAGTAGCGATATCTAGATCCTCTAAGATCCTAGCTTCGTAGCAGCAGCGTGCCAAAGTTCACATATACTTTAAGGTTTTGCTCTTCATAAGTAAAATTCGGACATGCGATATGGCGCTATGGCATTAAGAGTGAGCTGTGGAATGCCGGTTTATGATGCTAGCTGGAGCCCATTTACAAGCCGGGGTGGGTAAGTGTGCTAAAGGTTAAGGGCATAGATAGGAACTCTACCTCTTGCTAACGTCAAGATTGGCAATGTCGAGGATTACAGACGGGGCTTATAGCACGTTCGTGCATTTTATCGTCATCCAATGAGCTATGTGACTTGCAAGCCAGTCTAGGCCGGTTGAGATATGAGATGTGCTGAGTTCACCTATATACAACCGGTATCTAACCACCGCTATATGCAAGTCCAATCTATCCCCAGATCAGTTCAACTACTTTAATGCTGTTTCATTCTTTACTGATCGTTTGATTAGAGTATTCTCGATTGGGCCTTTGAATTAGTCGGGCACTTCGGGACTGTAGAGGCGGTTGATCAAATGAAAGGTGAACAGGCAATTTTCCATTTCCTAGGGCATGTGTTGCGACAACAATGGAATCCACTGGCACTGCATGCCATACGTAATTAAGAATTCATAATTTGAATTTCTACTTAGAGTGATCCATATAGAGACAACTCATTGGAAGGTATCTCGGCCACTAATAACGCGCTTCGTCGCTCTCACTCAACAGTTGAAAATAAAACCAAAACCATCAAACATCATTAGTATCGCCAATGATGACTCAACATGATTATGACACTAGGGTGATATCATGCTGAGCGATGGGTAAAAAACAAGCAGAATTGCTTTACTCTTCTGGCTCCAATGGAGCCTCCTCCTCGTACTCCTCCTCGCCCTCGGAGATAGAGGCGTCCTGGTATTGCTGGTACTCGGAAACCAAATCGTTCATGTTGGACTCAGCCTCAGTGAACTCCATCTCGTCCATACCCTCACCAGTATACCAATGCAAGAAAGCCTTTCGCCTGAACATAGCAGTGAACTGGTCTCCAACACGCTTGAAGAGCTCTTGGATGGAAGTAGAGTTACCAACGAAGGTGGAAGACATCTTGAGGCCACGGGGCGGGATGGAGCAGAGGGCGGTTTGCACGTTGTTGGGGATCCACTCAACAAAGTATGAGGAGTTCTTGTTCTGAACGTTGCGCATCTGGTCCTCGACCTCCTTCATGGAGACCTTACCACGGCTGTAAATCGTCAGTAAAGGAGAACACATCTGGTAATTAGTGAGCGCTTACAAGATAGCAGAGCAAGTGAGATAACGACCATTGCGGAAATCAGATGCGGCCATCATGTTCTTTGGGTCGAACATCTGCTGGGTCAACTCTGGAACAGTGACGGCACGGAAAGAGTGAGCGCCACGGCTGGTAAGAGGAGCGAAGCCGACCATGAAGAAATGGAGACGAGGGAACGGCACCATGTTGACGGCAAGTTTTCGGAGATCGGAGTTGAGCTGGCCGGGGAAACGGAAGCAGGTGGTGACACCAGACATAACAGCAGATACCAAGTGGTTAAGATCTCCGTATGAAGGGGTGGAGAGCTTGAGGGTTCTCATGCAAATGTCGTACAGAGCCTCGTTGTCGATACAGAAGGTCTCGTCAGAGTTCTCAACCAACTGATGAATGGAAAGGGTGGCATTGTAGGGCTCGACAACGGTATCCGAGACCTTGGGGGATGGCATAACAGAGAAGGTGGCCATCATGCGGTCGGGGAACTCCTCGCGGATCTTGGAGATCAAAAGCGTACCCATACCGGCACCAGTTCCACCACCGAGGGAGTGGGTGATTTGGAAACCCTGAAGGCAGTCACATCCTTCGGCCTCACGGCGGACAACATCAAGAACTTGGTCGACAAGCTCAGCACCCTCAGTGTAATGGCCCTTTGCCCAGTTGTTACCAGCACCTGATTGACCGAAGACGAAGTTATCGGGGCGGAAGAGTTGACCGAAGGGGCCGGCACGGACGGCATCCATGGTGCCCGGTTCCAAATCGACGAGGACAGCACGAGGAACATACTTGTTGCCAGAGGCCTAGAGGAGGTCAGCTAGTGCATACCGATGCTAATATTTAATACGGACCTCGTTGAAGTAAACGTTCATACGCTCGAGCTGGAGGTCCGAGCTGCCATTGTAGCTGGAATAGGGTCAGCAGGAAGTAAACAATAAATATGGGGAGCTTGGCTCCCAAAGGAGCATACTTACACGCCGGAGCCATCCAAGCCATGCTCGCCTGAGATGGTTTGCCTAATTATTCATCAGTATTTGAGTGCCCCATGTGTTTTCTTGCTGTGTCAACAAAATGTCGCGGGTTCGATGTTTACGCACCAGAAGGCAGCACCGATTTGGTTACCCTAAAAAGTATCAGCAGAAGTTGAAAGGGCAGGTAATAGGGCAACGTACGCATTGGCCGGTCTGGAGATGGACCTGTAGATTGTAAAAGGCACTGGTCAGCTCTGAGGTCTTTCCAACCGGAGGTGGGGTAGTTCAGGGGCACCAGCGAGACGCGTCGTCGAGCATAGCAATAGCAGAGGCTGGAACGGGCGTGGGAAGACTCACGATTTCACGCATCTTGGAAGTGGGATGGGTTCTTGGGTTTGAGATGAGTTTGAGACGATTTTGGGGTGATTTGATGTTGAGGAAGCAGGAGGAGGAAGCTGGGTCGTGTTGATGTGGATTTGTTGTGGGAGACTTGCACTTGCAGCGGTGAAGGCACCGGAAATTTGCACTAGGGGCCTTATCTGGTTAGCGCGGACCCTTGTATAAACAATGCAATGCCCAATGAAAATAATGAAAATGCACCTGTCAAGAACCGCCACAATCCCCAAATGAGGCAAATCTAGAAGACGGTTTTTATAGCGATCGCTCAACCACACCTGACTTGCACCTACGAAGTATATCCCGATAGTAATTCATTTGCTCTTCTGCCCTTCGTCATTATGGAGGCCGAAATCAAGTCCTTCCTCCCTAATATTGACCCTGTAATCTCAGAGTATTCAGCTGGATACCTGACCCACGCCTCCAATGCATATGTTCCTGATTCCGAGTCCTCCGGGCCATCGCCTTTAGAAGAAGCGGCGACATCTATTACAGCTCTTCTAGTGTCCGCATCTGGCGATCAGTCACTAGAAAATGAGCTCAAGATCAGCCAGCTGGTGAACAGATGGGTGGAGAAATTCAACGCCTCGGGGCAAAATGGGCGACGACAGCAGGCGTCTTCGGCTGCAAAGCGGCTGGACCAGGCAATTCAAGTGGGAGCCCAGCGGAACATGTCATCTACGTTAGGCGTGTCTACTGGGACTGTCGATCTCGAGTCGGCAAACACGAGGAAATTAGAGTCGAAGGTTGACAGGAAGAAGCTGGAGAAAGCGGAACGAAAGCTCGCTGCTAAGCAGAGCAAAAAGACTTATAAAACTGTCGAATATGAGGCCTCCAGGCTACTCAATCAACCAGATGAAGCTCAGTCATACGAAGAATTTTTCATGGCTGTTAATCCTCTGCAGTTGGGAGCAAATGCCCAAGGACAAAAGAGCAAAGATATCAAGCTGGATGGTATCGATGTATCTATTGGCGGTTTGAGAATCTTAACAGACACTAATTTGACGCTGGCGTACGGAAGAAGGTATGGTTTGGTGGGTCAGAACGGTATCGGAAAGTCCACCCTTTTGCGAGCGCTGGCCAGAAGAGAGCTGGCCATTCCCACCCATATTTCTATTCTCCATGTGGAGCAAGAGGTATGATATTGATCTCCCTCGAGCCATGTTCTTATATTAACACCGGATCTAGATTACTGGAGATGATACACCAGCTTTACAAGCGGTGCTTGATGCAGACGTTTGGAGAAAACATCTGTTGGCTGAGCAGACAGTAAGTCATTTCTGAGAAGAGAGACTTCTTCCTGGTACTAACATACTCACAGAAAATAATAAAACAACTAACAGACATCGAGACGGGACGGTCTTCCATGGCTGACACCTCTGCGGATGCAGAGAAGCTCGACCGAGAGCGTGAAGGCCTTGACCAGACTCTTGGTGATATTCAATCCAAGCTGGCAGAGATGGAGTCTGATAAAGCCGAACCTCGAGCGGCATCGATTCTAGCAGGTCTTGGATTCTCGGCCGAGCGCCAACAATTTGCGACCAAGACATTCTCTGGAGGTTGGCGTATGCGTCTTGCTCTTGCGAGAGCTCTGTTCTGCGAACCTGATCTATTGCTTCTCGATGAACCGTCGAACATGTTGGACGTCCCCTCTATCACTTTCCTGGCCAATTATCTCCAAGGTTACCCCAGCACCGTTCTCGTCGTTTCTCACGACAGAGCATTCTTGAATGAAGTGGCTACAGATATCGTGCACCAACACTCTGAACGCCTCGACTACTACAAGGGCGCAAACTTCGAGTCTTTCTACGCCACCAAAGAAGAGCGCCGCAAGACCGCCAAGAGAGAATACGAAAACCAAATGGGTCAGAGGGCACATCTCCAAGCTTTTATCGACAAGTTCCGTTACAATGCTGCTAAATCCTCGGAAGCCCAATCCCGTATCAAGAAGCTGGAGAAGATGCCCGTCCTCGAAGCTCCCGAGAGCGAATACACAGTCCACTTCAAATTCCCAGAGGTGGAGAAACTGTCTCCTCCAATCGTGCAGATGACGGATGTATCATTTGGTTACACGAAAGACAACCTGCTTCTCCGCAACGTGGATCTGGATGTCCAACTCGACTCTCGAATCGGTATTGTCGGGCCCAACGGTGCGGGTAAGACTACGGTGCTGAAACTGCTCATTGGGAAATTGTCACCTACGTCTGGTCTCATTTCACAAAATCCACGTCTTAGAATTGGTTTCTTCGCACAACATCACGTCGACGCTCTCGACTTGACGACCAGCGCTGTGGGCTTCATGGCCAAGACCTACCCTGGCAAGCAAGATGAGGAGTACCGTCGACATCTTGGTGCATTCGGTATCACAGGCATGACTGGCCTGCAGAAGATGGAGTTCCTCTCTGGAGGACAGAAATCCCGTGTTGCGTTCGCCTGTCTCTCGTTGCAAAATCCGCATATCCTCGTACTCGACGAACCGTCCAATCACTTGGATATTGAAGCGATGGACGCGCTTAGTAGCGCACTGGGGGCATTCCAGGGTGGTGTGTTGATGGTCAGTCACGACGTGACGATGTTGCAGACGGTGTGTAAGAGTCTTTGGGTTTGCGATAATGGGACGGTGGAGAAGTTCCCAGGCGATGTGCAGGCTTATAAGAAGCGGATTACCGCGCAGGCGGATGCTAGTGGTGTTGTGCAGGCTCATTAGATGGATGGATATTGGTTGGATTGGAGAATATAAAATATGAAATATAAATTATTATATATCCATCTTGTTCTGTCTTACCCACAATTATTTCCATTCCCTTCCATCCCGAGTGGATATTTCGGTACTTGGGAAAGCTTCTCTTCATATTAATCTCTCCGTCGTCTTATTGTTTCGCTCGTGTCATCGATGATATTTTTTAATAGGGCGGTACACGTTCTTGCCATCCTTCATATACGAGTTCGACCTCTACTTGCAGGTATTTGACGATTCTTAGGTGCCTACTCCAATAATGGTGTCGATAGCCCCATGATAGCAATAATAGTAGACCGAAGCATCTGCCACCAATCTATACCAATTACAACGATTATTTTATATATATCACAGCTGGATCTAGTCCTACGTAGCCTCCTCCCAACCGATCTTGGATTCGCCTCTCTCGTGCCAGATGTTAAGGCGAACCGTCACGTTGTCAGCTCCGCCAACAGCCCCGCAAGCCACCAACGCCGCTTTCGCTACTTTTGTAGAGCGCAGAGACTTGACCGCCGACCAGCGCTTTGACATTTACGCGCACCACTATTCAAGGTGTGGGATGCAGATAGAGGATTGGGTTGGGATGAAAAGAAAAAAAAAATGATTTGTTATAGCCGACTTATGCCCAGGAGTTATTAATTTAATAGGGAGATTATAAGTACTTCGTGGAGCTCATCCCAAGGGACCTTATTAGCTCATTCTGAACCTAGTGTACGGGGTAGCAGAAGAGCCAATGGCAATGACGTTTCACTAATTTGTGGTTGCTCGCAGCCCCGCGGTCAAGTCCAGAGGCCAGAGTCTTCAGAGTTCTATTGAGTCTAGGCTCCACCAAGCCATTAAAATAAGCCTCATGACAACCAACAACTGATAACGCTTTCGTCTTTGCTGCCCAGCTACATACAGTATGCGCTATTATTCGCTATTCGCTATTCGCTATTTTCTCTTTACCGCTTTAAAGCCTATCACGTAGGTATGGAGTAGTGACCCCTAGAATTCTAGTCCAGTACGTACTCCCTGCAGCACATAAGTCCCTCGTAGTAGTCCCTCGTAGTTCCTCGTAGTGCCCTTTTGTCTGTCCCCAACCTCCCGCCAACAGCAAACCCCGCCACCGCCCGGCCTGCTGATCACCACGCCGTTATTCGCCCCAGAGCTCGCCATCCTCGGGTCTTGGTCGCTGAGTGGCCGCTCACTGGCCGCTACTTGGTCACAAAGCTTCTCATCCTCGCCTGCTCGCCGCATCCTCACATGCAGCCGCTCCTCACCGCGCACTTGGCAATCCGTGTGCGTCGCGCTTCCTGCGCCAGCTTATCAGGTGGCTGTCCGATGCCACCACAGAGCACCACCAGCTACTCGATGCCATACCTGATGTTGGATGGATGCTGGGTCTGCTCCTGCTCCAGCATAATATCATCAGATCACTCCCTTCGTGCTTCGTACATAGCCATGTTGCTCCTCTCTACGTAGCTGGCACTGCTCCTCAAAGGCGCGCTCTCTCGCTCACACCACTTCGACGGGTGCAGAGAATAGAGAACAAAGACGACCACTGTCACCCCGCAGCAGCTGTCTATACAGCGCAGCACAGCTCACCTCAGCTGCCACCTCCGACTGCAATCACGACCATAACCACAACCACCGCCAACTATGACCTCAATCATAGCATCAACGGTCTCGGCGGTGACTTCTGCTTCGCCCACAGCGACGCATCGTGCCTCGCCGCAAGGAGGAATCGTCGAGGGAGCGAATCCAAGTAAATATGATCCCAAGAATCCCCTCATCCTGTTTATCATTCAGGTACGTAGCTTTTATTGTTATGGTTATGGCTATTGCTATTGCTATTGCCATGTGCTCCTGGTTGCATATCTGGATCCGCCCCAGTGGAACAATGGTACACTACACAATACACAGTACAACACAAAAACGCCCTTCTGGGAAGTCCTGATGGTTACTGCTGTTCCACCACACATCCCCCGCTTCGAGACGAGGTTCAAACTGGGTCGTGACTGTGGTGGTGGTCTATCACATCACAAGCCTCTTTTTGCCAGCTATCAACGAGTGGCAAACCTTCACCCGCTTTCCCATCTTTCTTGGTTTCCTATAGATCAATGTTAACAACATGTTGTCCAGGCCGGAATCATCATTGTATTCTGCCGAGTCCTCCACTACCCCCTCTCCAAGTTCCGCCAACCTCGTGTCATTGCGGAAGTCATTGGAGGAATTGTACTAGGCCCCTCGGTGATGATGCGTATCCCCGGGTTTAAAGAGGCCATCTTTCCTGATGAATCGATGTCCAATTTGAATCTGGTCGCCAATATCGGTTTGGTCCTCTACATGTTCCTGGTTGGCCTGGAGGTGAATATGGCTATGTTCGTCTCGAATTGGCGTGTAGCTCTAAGTGTAAGTGTTGCCGGGATGATTCTGCCCTTTGGGCTGGGTTGTGGCATTGCTTATGGCATCTTTCACGAATTCCGAAGCGATCCTGGGACGGTTCCCATCACATTTGGGACGTACATGTTGTTTATTGGCACCGCTCTTTCAATCACGGCTTTCCCGGTCCTCTGTCGAATTCTCACCGAGCTGAAGCTACTCGGAACCCCGGTTGGTGTCACAGTTCTGGCAGCAGGTGTGGGCAATGATGTGATCGGATGGGTTCTCCTAGCGCTCTGCGTGGCACTGGTCAATAATGGATCTGGTATTGCTGCCCTTTATGTGTTGCTTTGCTGCGTTGCATGGGTTCTATTCCTGGTTTTCGCTGTCCGCCCAGCGCTCCGCTGGGTCTTGAAACGATCTGGGAGTCTTGAGAATGGGCCTACCCAGGCTATGGTAGCCTTGACCATATCATTGGCTCTCGCGTCTGCCTGGTTCACCGGCGTCATTGGAGTGCATGCTATTTTTGGAGGTAATATACTATTCTCCCTAAAACTATCAGAGCCAGGCTTACTAGAATTTAGCTTTCCTTGTTGGACTCATCTGTCCTCACGAGGGTGGTTTCACCATCAAGCTTACAGAGAAAATTGAAGATCTTGTCTCTGTTTTCTTCCTTCCTCTCTACTTTGCCCTCTCTGGGCTGAGCACCAACATTGGCCTGTTGGATGCTGGAAAAACGTGGGCGTATGTCTTCGGAGTTATTGCGGTTGCCTTCACCGGGAAGATCGTGGGTGGCACTTTGGCTGCCCGGGCTTGCAAACTCGTCTGGCGTGAGAGTCTGACTATTGGTGTACTGATGAGTTGCAAGGGTCTTGTTGAACTTATCGTCTTGGTAAGTCCTATTTTTCAAAGTTCCCTATGTGCATACAGCTGACGATGCAGAACATCGGCCTCCAAGCCAAAATTCTCTCGACAAGAACCTTTACGATATTTGTTGTCATGGCCCTGGTCACGACTGTCTCAACCACTCCACTGACTCTATCACTGTATCCACTTTGGTACCAGAAGAAGCTTGAAGCTTGGAAGAGAGGAGAGATCGACTGGGACGGAAACCGTTTGATGGCTGAAGGTGACACTACCTCGGAGGGCTCTCTCGATAAACACCGGAACACGCAAGTTCGCCGGCTTCTCGTGCACCTTCGACTTGACAGTTTGCCTAGTCTCTTCACATTCATATCCCTGCTTGGTGGCGACAAGTCGGTGGTGGCCACGAAGACTCACAGATCGAAGGCCCAGCTTTCATCCGTACCTGAAGATGGAGATTCGGAGGTTCCCAGCTTAGCCCCGAAACGGCCGCTTGAGGTTCATGGTGTTCGCATTCTTGAGCTGACTGAGCGTACTTCATCTGTGATGAAAGTCTCAGAAGCGGATGAATATGCCTATCGCGATCCTGTCGTAAACGCTTTCAGGACTTTTGCCCAACTGAATAATGTTGCGGTCACTGGAAACGTATCCATTGTCCCTACATCATCATTTGCAGAGACTTTGTCGACACAAGCATCCGATCACCCGTCAGACCTCGTCTTGCTCCCATGGAGCGAGACTGGAGCGACTTCGGAGGTTGATGGCCAGAAAGAGTCACTCTCCAGTAACGGGCAGGACGTCTTCATCCAGGAAACACTTAAGACTACCACATGCAATACTGCGGTCTTCTTCAACCGTGGCTTTGGCGGCCCTACAGTCCATGAGGCTCGACCTCTCAATCGTGCCGTTAGTGGGCTCAGCTTAAGGAGTAACCGTGGTTCTCCTATTACCCCTGTTGTCGACCGAAGCCATCACATTTATTTTCCCTTTTTCGGCGGCGCTGATGATCGTGTTGCGCTCCGGTTCGTACTGCAACTTGCGCAGAACAGCAATGTCACAGTCACCATTGTTCACTTCACCATGCCAGTTCTACCGAAGACGCCCGAAGTTACACAGGAGCCCTTGAGTTCCTCATCCCGCCGTAGCTCATCACAGGGAGGCCCCACTGTGGTGGATCCAGAAGATCTATCCGCAAATTCCGCGCAGGATATCGCCCTCTTGCACACATTACGTGACTCCTTACCTACGGATCAGATCAACCGTGTAGTCTTCGTCGAAGTCCCAACCACCACACCAATCGCAGACTGTCTCCATTTCGCGCAACAAGAAGTCGGGCAATCACCAAAGAACGCAGGGGATCTGATTGTGGTAGGCAGAGGAAGACATCAACGTATGGCCGATTTCGAGCAGCATGGGAATGCTGGTTCCGAGCTGCGCGAGACGTTAGGCGTTGTTGCGGAGGCGATTATCTCGTCTCGTGTCAAGGGGAGTGTTTTGGTCATGCATGCCGCTGGACGCGGTCTCGAGTTTTAGGTGTGCGGCGTTATGTTTGGAGTTCAGGGTGTTCCACAAGCAGCAAATATTGGAGGACCATCAATAGCCGCTTATATTATATAGATATTACTATATATAAGATACCTGCCTATATATAGAGTTCTATAAATCTACTTACATATAACCTCGTTCGCCTTCTCACTTTATTAGTCTTCAACATCTTTGTCCCTCGTGAGAAAGTACGACTATCCGGCTAGTATAGCACTCTATTATCCCGTTGAATATCCATTCGTATAACGTTGAATTAGTGGGGTTAGAGTTGACGCCCTCTTCGAGGAAGTTACGCTATACACTCCATGTTTATAAACATCTACTTGCTCAGCATGCCTTACAGCACTAGCTTCTTTCCCTATCCTATTCATCAACCGCCAAGCAAGAATGGTTTTGGGTTGACGAAATCGCTGACGGCAAGTGCCTAGATGTTCTAGAAGGGAAAGGGGTAGCGAAGTGGATGGGAAACAGCCCGCAGCTTCTGCCAAGCCCAATGCGGAAGAACCGGGCAGATGGGACTCTCTAGTGACCTCTACTCTAGCGGCAAGGAAGCGCTTTGATGTGGATGGCATCTTTAAGGCTAAGTTGGAGTGGTAATACTTTGGGCATTGTGAAGAAGCAATCTTGAGTAGATTGGAGACGAGGGAGCAGAGAAGGCTCTACCTGCGTTTGTAGGGAAGAGGAATGAGTAGAGACAGTACTGTCAAGACCTCGCCGAGAACCAGGCACAACGCGCTACCAAAGCTTCTATGGTTTAAGCTAGAATAGGATTAGGTTTGGCCGAAATGCAAGCACAAGGTCAAGCACCGTAGAGGTCCCAGATGTACGAGACGAAAGTGGTGCCAGGTTGCTTGGAAGCGTAATAGGGTGTACTGTGCAGTAGGAATTATGGAGCATTAAATCTCCTATGTGCGCTAAGGCAAGCGGTAAATAACTCCTTTTGGTGAACGACAATAAGAATCTGCACGGGATAATCCCTCCGCGATCGACAAACTATCTACTTCACAGCTTTGTTCTAGCTCTAGTCTAGCACCAGCGGTACAACATAACAATCGCGCGAGTATGGCTATCAGAACTGTTGAAATAGAATCAAGTGGGGGCGCCTTAGCTATTCTAGACTCCCTAAATCCACTCCCTTTCCCACTACTAGCGTCCTATTCATTGGACTGTCCATCCCCTTTGGGAACATGGAGAAATCGACAAGGGGTCCAACAGCCCAAGCCAACCTTAACGCCATGGTATTGATCAACAAACACAACAACACTCTAACACACACTCATGCTCATGCTCATGCTCATGCTTTTCCAGTCCTCTTGACCGCCCTCGACTCGAATCTACTTCCAATTTCAATTCCGATTTTGCTAGCCTCTACCAACCGCTCCAACGCCCGCTTTCACGAAACTCAGTCATCACGTTGTCAAGCACAGAAGAAGCCAACGACGGTTCGTCCGTCGGGCTGGATATCGAGGAGCAAGACCACGCCCACGACCACAATCAAGAGCGCGCAGAGAAGCTGGACGAGATAATATCCCGCGCACATTCACCACCTCCCCGATACCCCAATTCCGAACCCTCAGGCTCAGCCCCCGCCTCCCCTCGACCACCGCCCTTTTCCTCCCTCTATACATCGACCGCCGAAGCCGTAGAGGCATACAAATCCGCTGTCACTGAAGCCGGCGCCTCCGGATCTGTCCCAGCATACGCGCCCATCGGAACCGAAGCACACCCCTCATCAACCTCTCTAGACGTTGTTGCGGAGACCAAGGCTGCCCTTCCCCAGGATACCAAAGGAGAATCTTCAAAGAAGGACGACGATTCAGAGCCGCCGCCTGCCTACTCCGAGGGCTCTAGCCCGCTTGAATCTTTCACCTACGTGATGGCGGCCGCTGGAGGAGCTGCGAGTATAATTACTCAGGTGCAGCAAGGTGGTGCGCCACCTATTAATACTTTGGGGGGTATGTATATCTTGGATTGAAATATATGTGTATGGGAGGCTGACGCGAGCTGTAAAGATGTCGGCGCTGATGAGAATATTACCATGGATCTTCGGTATGAATTCTGCCTGGCAGATCTAAATGTGGCATACTAACTGAGCCATCCAGGGGCCAACGGTTCACACTATCGCGCGATGAACTTTTAACTCTCCCCGAATTCGTCCTTCTCTCTCTTTTCCCCAATGGCCTTCTCCCAGATGGCCATCTGAGCACATACCATGAAGGCGACGCTTTCCCCGTCGATGTCAGTGAATCTAACATTATTCGCAATGTGTTGCGCAACCCAGAAGTATATATAACTGACTTAATTTCTCAGTACGATCCTGCCTCCCTGCAATACATGCTAGATTTCTTTCGCAATGTAGCCCAAACAATCCCTTCCGGCTCGAATTCACCATCCGCGGGCCCCGAAGCAGATGCTATACCCATTGAGCCGATGGCCGGATCCGCGAGAGAGATGTTACAAGATCGAGCGGGGATAATTGTGCTGAGAGAGGATCTTGATTTCTACGTCATCCCGCCACGAGCAGATATCGAGCAGCCGGAGATGATAGAGGTGAAGCGAGCAGCTGGGAAGGCCCTTCTGAAGCAAGATGGGATTTTCTCTGGATTGAGACGGAGCGAGGAGACGGGAACTACGGAACAGCATCTAATTGAGATGTTGACTGCTGGGTATACCTTCTCACCTAACGAATATATAGCCCGGGTATATGCTGACTGAAGCGCTACAGAGGATTCAACCACGATGACCACTGGGGTCACCGCGCCAACGAGCCAAATAAAGCCGTTATATGCAGTCTCGCACTCGCCAGACTCCGCACCGATATCCGAGGTGCAGAAATGGGAAGCAACGCCGTAGGAATGGCCCAAAAGCTTCTACTCTTCTGGCGAAAACCGGCACGGAGATGTTGGTGGGAGGGCGTTGAATTAGAGAATGTGGATGGCGTGGATGGCACATTGAAGGTTTGGATTAGGAGGGTGTGGACTCTAGAGATGAGCGTTATTGGGCTGCGTTAAGGCCAGCAACTGACCCTCGCTTTTGGTTTGGAGTTGAGCTCATCAAGCTGTCCCTTTCTTTTCCTTTGTTGATTTTTGAGCTGAGTTGGCCTTGTTTGCATACCATATATCCAAAGCAGCAACCTGCGTCTCTAGAAAGCGTACTGGGGCCTAGGAAGCAAGCGGTGTTCTTATTGATTGCATGGTTTATATACAACCCCTGTCCCCACATTATTGTATCGCACATTCCATCTCTGGGCGTAAATCCCCTTGTGATCCAATGAGTGATTTGATTGCTCGGTTTTTCTTTTCTTTACATGTGATGTTGTGCTACCCCGTGCTGTTATTGAGGGGTACAGTATGTGTTCTTGGTTGATTTATTAGCGTTGTCATTTATTTTCGGCGCCACCCCGTCTACTGTTAACGACAATACAAGTTTAGTATATGATGTAGGCGTATGCATAAATAGGGTGAGTAGTTGTCTTAATTACGCCTGGAATATTGTACTTCCATGTGTATTGTGGGCGCTGGGGTTAGAAGCAAATGATAACTGTCAGTTGCCTTTCATTATATCCGAGCTAATTAAATCAACACGCCTATGATTCTAGCCTGCATCATCGGAGGAAGTCCATCCTTTGATATAGACCAAAGGCCTAGAAAGTGCATCCTTCCATCACTGTTGTCTAGACTATCTAGGCAGCTACCTTTTATAAATTCGATCTTCAGGTAGCCCACCTGAACACGTAATTGCACGAGGATCCTTTAGGATTTCTCCAATCGTTAGTAGCCTGTATATTAGGCCGGAAAATTCATTGCATATCCAAGAGAAATCTAGTGCCATGGCGCGATTAGGCTTTAGCCTATACATGCGGATACTGACTGCCGCGAGTGCGGCGACTACAAGCCCGGCATTTCATGCAGACACTTGACAGAGTAGTATTTTCATCTATGAGATCTTCGATCAATGTAGGTACTAGAGAGAGCTTCGACCTCAGTACGTATAGATGAAACCCCCAGTTTTTTGAGCATACTTGGGGACTGCCCGGATTGGGTTGCTCAGCCTGTTCTACGAACAATAGGCTAGATTGGATGTGGAAATGCAAGGGCAAAGTCAAGATCGGTATTTCTCCATCAAGTGGATAGGTGGATTTTCATCGTGGGAGGAATGGATGACGATGGGAGGGGAGGGATAGGCTCCAAGGGGATGGGAGACGATAGAAGGGTTTTATATATAAGGTTCCGTCCGATATGGCGAGAAAAGGGGAAGCGAAAGAAAGAACCCCGATATCCACTATTCTACCTCCGGTCTGACCACATATACCCGCATTGTGGCTTTGAAACTTGGAGATTTGAGGAATGAAAGGACTTTACTTCGTCGCTACCGCGGCGGCGGTTGTTGGGCTGGTGCAAGGTCGGCCACAAGTTGTTACTTCAAGTTCTACTGAGAGCAGTACTTCGGTGGCCACTGTGGCACCGCCGGCTTCAACCCCGACGACAACACCAACAGGTAAGCCTCAGTCTTCTCGGCCTTCCCCTCCAACACCCCTCCCCGAGACATAACTCCATCCCCTTGGACCGAGACAACTTCCTAACGCTTAACCTAAAACTAGGTCCCGGACCACCAACAACACCCACAAACCCCTACGGCGCCAAATGCCCAGTGGCATCAAATTTCATTATCAATGACTTCCAATATGCCAATGGCCCGCCACCATTGAGCACCTGGGACACCAGCTTCGAGGTCAAGTACGGCGAGCTCGAACTGAAATGCCCGATACGTCCGGGTGCCCGGACTCTGCGGTTCGGACTGATCTCGATGCATTGCGATGATGCTGACATGGTTAAGGCTGTGGTTCCTGTTGGCGGGTCGACTGTTTATTTCCTTGTGAACCAATGGTGCCCTGCTGTGCCGCAGTATGTCGTCTCCGTTTCCTTCTTTCTGTTTGCCAGCTTCCCACTGTTGGGATTTCCTTCTGGCGAACGGAGGGTGAAATTAAAGCCGAAGATGAAGTGGCCTAGTCACTGGAATGATTGAGAGTGGAAAGAGAAAGTGAAACCTTAAGAGAAGGGAGATGCTAACGGGAGTGAACTCCGAAAACAGGCTCACCGAAGGAATCTCAACACTAAATATGATAAGCGGCACTTACAACCTCGACCCATTCATGATCTGCGACTAGTATGACCCCCCCCCCCCCCCCCCATTCTTGCTCGCCCTATTTGGAATTTGTTCCTTCTTCAACTAACCCCCCTCCGCTTCATAGCCCCAACAGTCAAAACTTGGCCATCAGGAACTGCTCACAATCCATACCTGACTTCGTCGTCCCAGCAAGCGGCTTCTATACCAGCCCAAGCGAATTTAGCTTTACGCCCATTTCTACGAACGGGACGAAGGTTGATAGTTGTCCTATAGTCCCGGGAATCAGTCCTATCCTGGAGGATCCCGTGAACTGTTTGCATTATGGGTATGATGATTAGGATGACGACAATAGTACTCGGATGCTGAAGTTCCTCTTTAAGAAGAGCTGGACGACTTTGTGAGGGTTGTGGATGTTGCCAGGCTAAGAGGGAGGCGAAGAAAGTGATTCATAATGAGCTTGAACGGAGGCGGAGGAGGAATCCTAAGATTCAATGGCTGCTTCATTTCGAAAACGACGCGGCTGTAAAAAGAAATGGTTGGGTGCCGATCCTCTCTCTTGGTGGATAATGAGGAACTCTTGTTTCTAACATAGCCTACCGCGTAACCCATTATCATTTTATACTGCTCTTTTCGACTCGTTACATCTCCTCGTTCCTGATAGCAATATCTGCATCAAGAAAGATGTGTGCACTTATCGACATCTACCACAATTGGGCTACCCCAAGATACCGTTGGACAATTGGGCACCGGCTGGCCATTGATATCTATCGGCATGAAGCCGATGATACCTCCTCTGCCATAAGTATCAATTGGAAGGACGTAGTCGGGCGTGGTCTGCTTGCATGTTCGGATACCGCTGCGAACCCGGTTAGAGCTGCACAGTGCAAGTACCTGCGAGGATATGGAGGTAGCTCACGACGAGGTTGAACAAGTAAGCACCGAGGCCAGATCCGTCCCATTCGCATTAGTACTCAAAGTACTGTATACCATATGTGCTCTATTTTGCCTCCAGTCAGCATTTTGCCTTGGCATTTCCCCTCTCTATAGAGTACTTATCCCAACCACACCTCCGGGACCTGGATATTCAGATGAGCACTTACTGCGGCACAGCCAAACACCAAAACCACTCCTGTACCCATATCCACGATGACCCATCTGTAATAATCCTGGCCAAGCCATTCGGGTCACAATTCATATCATAATGGTCATTATACCTGAGTTCGGCGGTTGGGCATGTGAATGTACCGTTTCCATACGTAAGTCGAGCGCCGGTGGTGCCGTTATCACCGCTGATGGAGATGAAGTCATTTATTATGTAAGTGGGTGGGACGGGGCAGGCGGAATCCCACGGGTTGGTTATAGTAGCTGCTGTGGAAGCTTGAACTGTTAGAATTTTGGGTGTGAAGAGGAAGAACGTGGGTATTGACTGGTTGTGGAGGGGAGGCCATGTCCCACGCTAATGAGTATAGATCCCGTTACTATTGGAAGAAAAGCCCTCATTTTCCAAATGGGTTTCGGTCGGTAGATTAAAAATGTAATTGAGAAAGCTCCTCATAACCCAGAAGCTGGAGGTCGGGGAACAAAGAAGTTATATCCTCCTTCTCCTGCGCCACAATTATTGAAGTCTGGACGAATACGAGCAAGTCGACCCCAAGATTCAACAAATGTAACAATCCTTCAGTGATCTAACTCCAATCTGTAACAATCCCATAATTAACGTACCTTAATCTGCCCCAATTGTGGTACTCCTGTACGAGGTGGGTGAGTCTACCTCTTGCTACCGCGCTGCACTGAATGATGGATAAACACTGACAGGCTCGTGGATAAAGAGAGAAACTTCGGGTAACATACGGAAAATTCTCATGAGCAGGGACGGAGATAATAATGTTTCGGACGACTGGCCATTGCCCCGCCATTTCCCCGCAGTGTTGAAACTGGTTTATGTCAAGCATTGGCTAAATTGAGCAGCAGGGAACGATATATCGGATGAGGTTCCCCTAGTCAGGAACATGGGACTTTTAGGAAAAGAATTTCATTGATCCATGTACAGAAACATTTCTAGACAAAACCTACTTGTTTATACTTATTAAAGCAAAAATGCAATTTTTTATTGTTACTGAGAGTAAATTGAATCCTTTTATCAAGCTCTCGAGTTATAAATATTAACATGAGAACTTACATGAGGATGTCTACTCCGGACCTGCCGAGTTTGTGGCCTTAGAGATTTTGGCTTGTAAACAATTCGGTGTATTACTATGTGTGGGTTTAAGCCGACCCCCTAGAATATCATAGAGTAAAGTTATGTAGCCAAGGCCCCAGCCCTCGACCTTATTTGATGGCACTTCTTCCTCCGACCCGACCTAGACTATCGAAGTTCCTTAGTGGGTTATTGCTTATCATTGAGAATATATTAAGCTTATAAAATATGGGTTAGTGAATGTATACCCTCTCGTCTCTCAAGTTAAGCCTCCTGCGCCTAGCAATCGCGGCACTGGGGGTCATTTTACTTTGAAGTTAACTAGAAAGAACTGGCACCGAGGATCCCCCATTCTTCACAGCTGTAATTCTGCGATTCCAAATGGTTGGCTAGTATCATATACCATATGTAACAAGGTAGGAACTATCTTACTTATATAGGTCTGACGAGCCACAACTCTGTGCCAAGCTCGAAGCATGTGTCTCTTGCGCTGAATCTCAAGACGACGTTGCTTTCGGTTGCTTAATCTCAAATGAAACCACTTATCCTTAACCGACCGCCCAATTTCCATCTGAGACGAATGGCAGCGGATAGAATGCTTTGAGGTTACATTTAACTGTTGTGGCTGCCACTAGTTGATAGAGAGCCGAAACGAGGATGATGAGTTGGGGACATTATCAAATGGATGGCGTCTGTTAAATGATAATGAACACCGCAACAACCTATTACGCCGTGGCTTCGGCACATCGAAACGCAATAATGGCAAGCTCAGAACCTACCCAAAGCATGGCTTCGATAACAACAATACGGATGCACATATGAGAGCAACGGGGGCAACTTACATATATATATCACCAAAGACAAGAACACACAACACATACTTTAATAATATTTCATTTCTTCCATTTCCACGTATCTCATGCTTTTTTTTTTGTGCAGGGCATTATTCTCTCATTCATTCCTCAACTTGCAACTCATTGCATCCAGTTCGTTCGTTCCCGCTTTCCACATTTGGAATACAGTTGAACGCCGGTTTTAATGAGGAGCGTAAGGTTATATGTGCGCAAATTTTCTCCGCAGAAAAGAGGCGCCATCTCCAGATCAATGCTGGAGCAATACAAACATGTGTACTTGTTACAAAAAAAACCACCCCTCTCGCCTTTTCATCTCTCTATACTAGACGAAATAAAGGTAAGCTCTCTTTTTAGCCCCCAGGCCCAGTCACCATCACCCTACAAATATGAGATGCTGACAGTAGGTAGAACTATGAAACCGAGCATCATGCAATCATTATGCGGATTTCGCTTTTGGTGCTGTCGCCACGTTTTCATTCATCCATAAGCATCAATCAAAGAGAGGCGACTATTTTGGCTTGCTGAGAGTGTAAAGCAAGCAGCATGCAATAGTCGACGAGACGGAAATTCTTCAGATCTATGACGAGGCGCATGTGGAGACATTATTCGAAGCGCTTCATGCAATTGCCGGGAAGGAAACCATCGCTATGCAGGAAAAAGCAGGAAACCTCTAGGGCTCCACAAATGTACAAGAACTGAACTTCGGACGCATTATAATCAGAGACTGTTCCTCATACAACTGTCATCATATGCATCCTCTGGCCTCCTAGGTTTCGTGTTGGAGACGTATCAATAGAGCCACTGAGGATTGAGTTATTGCTTCGACTCGTTGGCAAATGTTTAGTTGGGTTGGCCATCGGGTCAGTAAAGACACGTGTGAATGCTGGGCTCGAATCACGTCGTGGGCTTGCTTCCGGGCTCTGTGGTTTGCCATCAGCCTTGCGAATTATATCGCCCAGGGTACGGCTAAGCACATTGGCACGATGGACAAGATCCCGTAGACTGGTCGTGTCAAAGGGCATTTTGTTCGAAGCCTCGATCGACATTTCTTTTAGTAGAGGGTCAGATATTGCTCGGTGCTGGTGCATGTTTTCCATAACTGAACGAGCGACCTCTGAGGAACCTTGGCTATGGAAGTGAGTCGGAGGATTTGCTGGCGGAAGTAGCAGTTCCTCTGTTGGAGGGCTATCGAGTCCGGCTCCAAATATGTCGTCGTCGGGAGAGAACACGGATCTCCGCCGAACAGTCTTTGTATCGTAAGCAAGACCCCTATGGCGGCCAACTGCAACATCAAGTCCGGTATCATTATGTCGATTGTCCAACTTCTCCCTATCGAACGCAGCCGATGATGGGGAATGGGTTGGCGAGAGAGTCATATCTTCCTCGTCTGGCACAGCAAGAGCAATTATTCCCTCGGCTTCTTTCCATAACGTTGAAGACGACCCATGTAATAGGCCCTTTTCTTTCGCGAGCAATCTCAATCTTTTCAAATCCTCCACCAGCAGACAGACCTCCCGTATGTGCCCAACATGCCCAAGAACATTCTCTTGGCTTGCTTGGATCGTTTGGGGTATAAGCATTCCGCTACTCTCCATTTTGCTATCTCCATCCTCCCCATCATTGCCGTCGGAGCTTTCAAATTCGAAGTCGTTATCCCAATCCTCGCTAACTCCTTTCGCTCCAAGACCCCAAGTTCCAAATTTAGGTGTCAGTTTGGCATGATCCCGCTGAGTGCCACCATCAGGAATAACTGGCACACTCTGACTCCGGATATGGAGTGCACTCGGGCGGTGTCTCCCAAGTGCGCGGCCACCTCTACTATCAGCCATCTGTTTCACGTGCGCTGTTTGTGGTCGCTGGGAATTTCCCATAAAATCCAGCTTCTCAGCCGATGAAGGTTCCGACCAGTCAAATAGATTACTCTTCGGTCGCTCTCTATTTGTTGACGCTGGGTTCCCATTCGTGTGTGTCACATCAGCCAATGCAGTCCTGACGTTCGAACTCACCCTGCGATGATTGATAGAGCCTGATGGAGGATACAGTTGGTTATTAACATCCATGTCATCATCTCTAGTCCAGTCTTCGTCCTCCTCGGTATCATCTAACGAGAGGCGACCAAAATCCTTAGTGGCCAGGCAGAAACTTGGTGGTGATGATGGAAAATCGGAATCTGTGCTATGGCGGATAGGAGTCTGAAACCCTTCATCCTGTAACGGTTGGGGACCCTTAACAGGGGTGGACATCCCTTCATCTTCCTCAATAATTCGGTTGTGCCTTTCTGACATCTCGTTTTCTAGTATCTCGTGGATTGAGAGTCTCTTACTTCTTGAATGGCCGTTCACGCTTGGTGGGGACTCGTCAAACATTGAACCTAAAGGTGTGTTTCGAGAGCGCGTACTGCCTGTAGCTCCAGATCTCAAAGAATCGAAGACTGTGTCGCTCTGAAAATCCATCTCATCGTCACCGGAACTGCATACTCTTGAGCCATTATCGGCCACCTGGGCAATAGGGAAGCCGGAAGTGGATGTAGTGTCAGATTGCATGACGCGGGACGTTGGGCTGCGTCTCGGGGCAGACGAGGATGATGAGGACAGGCCAAGACGGGCTAGGTCAACATTGAAACTCGACAACCGAGACAGTGGCGGCAATGGTGAAGAGGTGTTGCGGCTACGAGTATTAAAACTAGTAGCATATGGATCGTTCGGGGAAGAGACTTCAGAAGGGGGATATGATAGCCGCTCGAAGACAGCGGGATCCATAATATCTCGAGGTCGACCGGCAGGCCCATGGGCTGATGCCACACTCCGTCCAGGCATGGTGGACACTGGGGCTGATACGTGCCGTTTACCCCCAATCACCACTTCAGCATTACGTCCCTTCTTTCGCAAGCTTCCAGATCTTGTTATCCATGAGCCGGGGGAACTGAAATGCAGCGAAAGAGAACGACGCGGACGCTTAGATAGCATTTGGGATTGGTCTGTGGAGGGAATGTCGGGGGTATGCTCGTCACCTAGCTCGCCCATATTCGAATCGTCAAATGGGAGGATGTCCTTATAGGGTGTCTGGAAAAGTGGTATCGTAGTATTTATTACCAGAGGGCTCACGAGAGTGGGTATCACAGCATCATCGAAAATGACCCTCCTTGATGTTGAGTGGAAATCTTGTACATTTCCATCCATTGATTTTCCGGACAACCGTTCCTTCGTGAGCTTTGTTGGCCGGGACTGAAAGTATGGCCGCCATGCGATACGTTCCGGTGTGCTGAAATTACTTGAAGCTGCCACTTGTGCTTGGTGAGAAGGTGTCTGCTGGGCTACATCCCTCGAGGCTCCGGAATCGTCTTTGAACTGTTGCTGTAGGGTAACAGAGCGCTGATGACTTGTGGCTGGTCGGCGTAGTGTCGGTACTTGAGACGTGAAGCCAGCCTTCGATATCGACCCATTGGCTTCCTTACCCGACGTAGCTCTTTTGACTAGCTTGTTTGGGGGCAATTGGGCCGCGCTGCCTGCTGGATCAGACAATATCGGAGCCGCCGAGGCATGAGAAAAGGTCAACGATGGCGAGTCGGGCCCAACACTTGACCTAGGGCTGTTGTTGTAAGAGTTGGGAATGGTTGACAGCCTCCTTATCCATGATCCTCGGGACGACACAGAATCCCTTCTACTCTCCTCCCCAGAATATTCGATAGGAGACGAGGGGTCACCGTATCTCAATATTGATAGTTTCCTTGCACGATTGTTGCTCGAGAAGTCGATTCTTGAGAGGGGGGGTCGACTGCGATCAGTAGAGGGAGGATTCGGAGAGGATGAGGTTGGCTGCGAAGATGTCTTACTTTCCGGAGTTATCATTGTAGAGCTCGTGCCTGGGCGTGAAAGGGGAGAGGAGGTGCCATGGCGATGCGTATTGAGGTCTGCGAGTTCTCCAACCTTCCTTTTCCTGGAGGTGGGACGCGAAGGGATACCTCGTTCAGGTTTGCCCAGCGCTAGACCCGTGGCAGCAATTCCAACCGTACTTGATGCAACCAACTGTTGACCTCGGAATGTTAGCAATAATACAAGCCCAAGGCCACAAAATGCAATTGAAGACTATGGGCGTGGTGTGGGCATGTGCAAGGCGGTCTGGAGTTCATTCCTTGGTCCGAGGACAGTACGACACCTAATTTAAGCAAACACACACAGGAAACAAACACTTACGCTGGGTATGGTCTTCATCGTGAACCGTCTCCCCCGGCACGCCAACCGGCTGGCAAAGAAGATACCGAGTGAATTGTCGTGGGCCTGCTGCAAGTCATGAGTGTCGTAGAGAAAGTTCCATGCCAATTACGATTTGGAGCTCAAGCGAATGGAGGCAATTGTTGATGCCGCTGACCAGCCAGTAAACAGGTAAACAGCAAGACCGCCCTTGTCTCGTGACAATCAATGTTCTCGCGGAGTTGTGGGCATGCTCGACGACGGCCTGAGGAAAAGACAGTGGTTGATGGGCCGTCGAGGAGGTGAGTTGAGGGCTGAGGGGGGACGTGGGAGGCGTGTGGTTTTGGGACTTGGTTTGGTTTGGGTTGGGTTGGTTCGGACTGGGCCAGTCTTGGAGTGGACTTGGAGGCTCGGAGCAAGTAATTCGTAGCGTATTCGCAGCGGAGGATATGCTGCCCTGTAGACTGTAGACGGTCGACTGTATACAGCCCAGAGTAGTGCCTGTAGTGCTTCACGGCGCTTTGCTCGAGCCTGTGTCGCCCTGTCATGGGCCAGATGTACGAACTTCCAAGTCGCCGCTCGATCCCTAGATGCTCGAAGGGTGTGACTATCAGGCGAGCGCAACTCGGGGTTTGGAAACTGGAACTTCACCGTCCTTCTAGGCGGAATGCGGCAAAGCCTCAGCTGCTCGACGGAGCTACGAGCACGCTTCAGGCTACAAGTGTGAGAGCATCATATTAAATTATCCTTGGATCCTCACATGGTGGATTCGAGCTTATAGGGCTCTTCCTTGCTCATCGCCGTTGATCAGGTTAGCCCGCAAGAGAGGTCGCCGGTTGTTGCACAGCACCGCAGCACCGCACCGCACAGCACGGCATAGATATTATTACATAGTGTCGACTACTCCTGCTCTGCTACGGCTAATAGCACGGCACTGGTTACAGAAGGGCTTTACTCTGCCAGTTTACAGCGTCAACAACCAGGGCCATGGATCACGGGAAGTGGTGGAGTGGAGGTACGAATATCTGACAGGAGTACTCGTATGGTACTATGTAGGCCCCAGGCTGGTCCAGGGCCGCCGCAGGGAGGGAAGAGGGACGCTGGACTGACCGTCCTCGCCATTTTGATATCCGTGAAACACCAGAATTCGAGTGATAGTCTGCTGTGCTTGCTTGTGTCTTTCAGGTCAGGCTCCAAGACCCAGAGCCTCAAATGGAGTTGGGCCAGCAGCGCTCCACGGAATAGCATACCGTGATTCTGGAAATCTACCCAAGGAAGCATCAGACGGGCTTCAGCTAATGTACAGCTACAGCCCCGGCTCCAGTTACAGCTTACAGCATACGGCTTGGCTCGCAGAAGGAAATGTTGTGTCACCGGTGTCCCTCGGTGCAGACAGAAAACCCTCGACGTCTGTCCGCCAGGGCGGCCGAATCATGGGTCCAGAAACACGATTGTTTATTCCTGCTTCATGTAACGGACCGGTAGCAGTCATTGTTCGTACATAGTGCACCCTCCATCCGAAGTCATCGCCCTGGGCAATCGAAAGTGCGCAGCGAATGAATAGCGGCGTTTCGGCGTTGGTGGACGAGCTGGGCGTGATTAAACCTACAGAGACAGATTGAGGGCTGTTTCAGATATCAGAGACGAGCACTTCCGCCACCAATATTCCAATCAGGCAGAGCTCGAAGGACGGGAAACATCTGATTATAATTGCTGAGATATATGTTCGGTAAGCCGCTGCCCAACCAACGTCCTCGAAAAACGGACAACGAATGGTTCTGATGCCAAGCCTGTCTACCCTTTTCCCTGCTATGACCGCTTACTTACAAACGGGGCAACTTTCCGGACGCTTTGGATCACGGATTTTCACGGACAAGGACGTCGATATATCACGAAGGGACGTAGCAGAAGTCAATAAACCAAACCCCAGAATGATGCGGCCTTGGAGAAGTCATACGAAGGGTTCCTTGGCTATCTCAGCAGCCTTGGAACTCTCCACCTTGGTGTGGTAGAGGAGTTAGTGTTACCCCTCCTTTTCTTAACGTCTATGCCGAACTAAAACAACTGGATGACAGATCATAATGGCAAAGATAGTAACTGGAAAGGCCAAATTGAGATAGTCTCATTGCATGGAACTGAAGAACCTGCGGGACCCACAGCTAAAGCCTTCTCCTTTACTTCGTACACTCTTCGAAGCGACCTGGATTATTATTGGGCTCTCAAAAAACAACAAACAACCGGAGCCTCAGATTCGCATGCTTTATTTATTATCCTCCTAGCTCAGGGCGCTGGGAGCAGCTTTCCGTGACCGCCACCATGTCTGTCCTTGGCCACTGTTCAAAAACAGGCCGGGTCGCGTCTTTTAACACGCCCAATCGCAAAGCCTGCGTGTGCCGTCATGCAGAGGCCCAATGCCCCGTTTCCCTGTCGATTATAGCCCTGACTACTACTTCGTACATACTGCGAACAATAAATAACAGAGGGGCTAGCAGCGTCTGACCTATCGATCTGGTTTAATCGATATTGGGAAGCGCCTCCGCCATCCGTCTCCAGCTGAGTCCCGGGCTATAGCTTTCTGGATGCCCTCGCCCAGACCTCCCCGATCCACTCCATACTCTACAAACGGCGGAAACGCTATGACTTGGGCGAAGATGAGGAAAATAAATCTCCGCGTTGCCTTACGAGGGAGCGAGTGGTGACGTCCATTCGTACTGCTCCGTAGGAAGCGCCCACGTTTCACCCTGCTGCTCCATTATTACTCTTGTGGTATTTCCACCTGCGGATTCCGTACCTTTCGACAGAGCATAGCGTACAGATCGATCATCGATCACAACATGATGTACTTCGTCCGCTAATCAAGGCGTCAACGATCCACCATCCACGGCCACCCACGAATTCCCACACGGCTGGTTCCAAACCCGAACTTGACAGCTCAGACACCCTCAGAATCAAGATTCCTCGCTCGCCGGGTCTCATAGGCCCAAGCAGGATACCGAGAAGGGAACCCAGGCACTCAGCGATAAGTCAACCAACAAAAAGTGCTCAGTAATTTCGTTATTCAGCAGCTTCCCAGAGATGCAGCAGCTTCTGGAGCAATCAGGAATCAGAAGCCGCATCTGTATGATCGCATCTGGGGTGTGCCCAGGTTTCGAGCATGGGATCTACCTTGCAGACGCGTCTAAAATCCGATCAGCACAGATCTTTCGGGGCTGGGTTGCATTGCGAGGAAACATCTGCATGGATACGCGTGAGGGCAAATGAAATCTATCCGCGGCATACAGAATACCCCTCGAGCATGATGAGCATGATCTTTACTAACGCGACCTTGACGCGTGCGGTCGGCCATTGCGCTCATGCCTCAGAGATAGCAAACACACTCAGATGAAGGTTGCAACTTGCCATGTGGACCGAATCAATTCTTTCTATCCCAAACTTTACCGAAGCAATATGGAGGAAAGGTCTCGGCGTTTCCTGCACCCCTTTGTCGCTCATCCCGACAAGTGATATGCGCAAAGTGATAGACTAGCTATATTATACTGGTAGCAGATTGACCCGCCATTACTCCGTCTCGCGGTTCAATTTCTCGATGAACGCCTCCCGCCTTGCTTGTCGTTCGTCATCTGGGATGACGGATCCACCGCGGATCTCTGCCCTAGGCCAATAAATCGTGTCTCTCTATCACGGCTTAATGACTAAATGATGATGCAAGGGCGCGGCGACGGTGGGGTTTTATTTTTGGACCTTTATTTACTCCGTACGCAGACAATGTTGACAGTTCCAGGGAACTTTGCTTGCATGAGTTGGAAAGGTAGCATCCGCAGGGGCAGGGTAACATTGGAGATCTGGACTTGGAGTTCCTAGTACTCTTCGAGAGTATTTAGGGAGGAACCAACTGCTCCTTTTCTCTCGGCCTCGCAATATTTAATGGAACGCATAAATTCCACCTGGTCGAAAATTAATTGTTTCAGCTCTCGTGGGGAAACCTTGACAAGCCGAGGAACACGGCAATACGAAGTGAGCATCACGTGAAATTAGACCAGCCACCTGGGCAATATCAGGGGTCCACGTGACTATTTCTATTTGCAGCGATTTCCGAGGCGACGTTGCACGGCGCGCGGTTCTACTTTGGGTGTCTCGGGGTGGAGAGCATAAAGCTTCAAGGCCGTGGTTCTTGGCTACCAACGTCATCCCTTCCATATTCCCATACAGTGAAGCTTTATTCTGGTGCCTTTCATTTACTTGCGGAATATCGGAACCGACTTCCATTAGGGCGGAATACGAGCCAGAGCCAATGCGTTAATCCAATGACACACTCCGCATAAAGCTTTCTCATCCATAGCTGTCTCATATTCGACTCGAACGTTTCTTAGGGCATAATTAAGCTCACAGGTTCAATCTCATATATTTCATAACCGCGGAATCACTATTGGTTCTTACGAGCTGTCTTCCATTCACGACAGAATCCGATATCGCACATGGCACTGTGTAAACAAATATTCTAGTCAAAGCCAATCAAGTATGCTATTCTATCCTATTCCTGCTCCCATTTTACACATCCCTTCCTTGCGATTCGTAATCACGAGAACCCATAGCATTGCGAAACAACTTCGCAAGCGCATTCCCTTGCTCTCACTGCCCTCTCCCACTTATTTCCTTCCTAAACCCATCTCTATACTCCGAGCTTCAACATGTTCCACAGCATATACTGTCTGACAGATATCAAAATCGAGTCGCTGTTCCGAGTGTGTAACGGGTGATCCAATATGTACTATGCCGTATAGTTCCTCTTCCCCGATGGCATGGATATGGTAGTCATGTTGTGCTTACGAGGCATTATCGCTATTTTTCTGGGGAAGGGCAACGTGTCGGGCCGTTCATGGCGTGTTTGTGTGGGACGCGAAAAATGGTGGCTTCTAAGTGTAGGTATGATATGGGCTATTGGTGTGTTTGAAGTGTGGCATCATCAACTGAGTAGCTAGAATGATGCTGTGTTATCACCACCCAGTCTAAGCTAGCAACATGAATCAAACTACCTTGTTTAACGGAATCATTCTAGCCGTCCTTCGGCATAATAACTTAGCCAATAAACCGGTTTTCTCTTTTTAGCACACTTTTGGCCGCAAATATCTATTTTCCGACTACGTGGACGCTCTGGCAAAGTCGAATGGCATTGTAGCTCAAGAGCCATAGTCAGTTGAGCTCTCAGTCCGGAACAACGATAGAACAACGATAGCCGATGCCTCGGCGAGAGTAGAAACCGGCTCGATCAGGTCTACCAACCATAAAATCCGGAATGTAGTTTTATATTAGACGTTTTCGTATGTTGTATAACTGCATAGATGTACCACCGCAAGGGCTTTTCTTTCTTAGCAAATAGCAAAGTTGGGCGTGCTTCTGGTACTAGGCCATTACCAGGCTCATGACACTAAGTCTGTAAATGATGATCGGCTGCCGATGAGCTTATAGAGCTTTATATTTTAAACGAACGGAGGATTCATATTCCAGAGAAGGGAGGGCATTCTGTGATAGTGTGTTGAAGCTCTTACACGATTTTGATTTACAGGCGATATCGTTCTCTTGAGAGACTGCCTAGGGACATTTTTGTCTAGATCAGGTATGTTTAGATACATGGAATGCTAGAGATATAAAGCAAGGAATTGATAAGTGACCTTACTGTATAGGGAAACTAGATTTAGGCCTTCTATATATTCTTATGTAAACTTCGCACTATCTACATTATGCAAACAACTTCCGAGTCACTAGCTTGATAATCTTCTTGTCCTTCCTCTTTAGTAAACTCCTTAATTATATTCAAGAGAACCGATTCGGTTAGTCAACCGACTACCTACTCGGCGTTCCGCCTACTCGTATTTCAATGACTTAACTAATAGCCAGTTGCAGCGTTGCCTTCGGAACTAAACATACGTAGTATTGTAAAGGTTGTTAGTCTGTAGTTATAGGGTTTGTAGGTAAAAAGAAGGAAAATAGAAATTTAGGTTGGGAGTTGTGCGTCTAGGTGTTGAAGTTTTATAGAACGTGTGAGACTGTAATAAGGTGTAGGTAAGGGAATAGAGCATATGATAGAAGGCTTGAAAGTACGATTGGTCTGTATTGGGTGTATAGGGCAGTAAGCATGTTAAATACTTGTAACCTATTATTATGGTTGTTGCTGCAACTAAGGAAGCATAATTTCGTCGAGGCTATGACGTTATAGAATGACATGGGGGCGGTTCCTAGACTTCAATATTATAGTTAGTTATATAGCTCAAAGACCCATCCTTACCCCCCATGTAGAGAGCATCAGTCAGTGACTCTAAACCACTACCTCATCGCATCATCGTCATATTTCGCAATCCCAGTTCGCCCTCTCCGGATTCCCTCGTCGCTCCCGCTCCTATAGTATCTTCCCTCTACCTTCCGCTTCAACCTCTTCATCCATCCCCATTCTCTCTCTCCCACCATCTACTGATAGCTCTTGTCGAGGACTTCAGGCATTCTCTCCTTCAAATCAAGCAAGCACTGTCCAAAAAGCCCATTTGCCCAGCTAAACCACTGCCTCGACCACATCTGCTGATTAAAGGAATTAATACTCTCATGCATCAATCCCAATCCAGCGGTGCTGCTGACGAGTTCCTTTAATGTGGATGTGATCTCAGAGGAGTCGGTCGAGGTGAAAATTCGGATTATAGAAGCCATGGGCCAGGCTTGGCCAAAACCGGCGTGGGGGCCACCAACTCTGAGCGATGGGTGTTAATGTTTGGCATATATTGTTGGGGATAATGAGAAAGAAGCGGAATGGACGAGGTTTATTTTGGGTTGGGAGGGGGGAGGGAAGGGAAGACAAACGCATTAATCACAGGGCCTCGCATGAAATAGGCATTATCTTTGCTCAGAATGAGTTTGCGTGTGTTTTGATAGACGTTATCACTTATGTTGAGATAGCCAAAGAACGGAGCACTGAGGAGTGAGGGGATGTTTGCGTCGTCCATTATGTTATCTGCATTGGGAGTAAGTCATGGCATCAATATCAGTGAGTAGGAGACGGGATGATGTGAAATAAACTATCATGGATACTGGCTGATATGGGACCAACTTGCGAGGGGAATATAATAAACTTACGTGACCCAAAGCCATCCACCTCAAATGCGTAGATCTGCCCATAGGTTGGATGGTTTACAATCCCATACTTAGTAATAGCTTCCCGGATTCTGCCAGCAAAATTATGCATATGATTTGCTAGATTTCGCTGGTTGCCAACATTGGCCATGATAGTTGACGCCGAATCTAAATAACGCGTGAACATCATATTGGCTGGGATGAAAAGCTGATAGATAGTTCTAATTCACCGTCAATTAAATCTGTCCACTTATGCCTGAGCTTGAAGGATACATACGAGTCATCGCTCGGACGAAATGCTGATCGAATCAAGCCCGTACCATCTTGTACCGGATTCCCTCGTCCTGAATTATCGAGTGTCTCCGTTGCTGAAGTGGTCCTCCGGGACCACGTATAGGGAATTGTGTTGACTGATCCATCCGCCGCGTAGGTACCGATAAGCAAAGCCTCGGTGGTAGAGATGATGGTATTAATCGCATCAATCCACTGGAACTTCCTGAAAAACTCAATATCTCCTGTAGCTTCGTAGTAGTTTGTTGAGAGCTCCAAGAATGCCGCTAGAGAATCTAACTCGTACTTGCATTCGAAGGCTATCGAAGAATCTACCGGAGGTGTAAAGTAGTCTGGGTTCGGCTGGTTTTGTGACGGGCCGATTCCAGACTCGACTGGGGGCTGGAAGGAGTTGCAGTGAGGAGCTTCGAGGATATATCGAGCCTGGAGATTGATAACCCCTCGGTATAAGCTGGCAAGAGAGTTGGAAGATGAGTTTGCCGTGACTAAGGGTAGGTAGCTTTGCATCTGATTTGCGGAATCACGTAGCCACATTGCATTGATATCTCCTGTGATGAGGAATGTCAATTCCTCTTCGGAGTTATTGGCAGCAACGCCTTTCCATTTGACTGCTGTATCAAGCGTATTGGGAAATGAATTCTCAAATATGCGGTACAGATCGGGATCTTTGATCACTGTTTTCATGCTGGTAATAGTGTCCTCCACCACCGATGAGTTGAATGTCCGACATGCTGGCTCGGGTCTCATATAAGAGAGCTGATACCGGCCGGTACTAAGCGGTTGGTGTTTCTGTATGGCATAATTGGCATAATCTGGACATTGTGCATTTATTCCGGGGAGAATAAGTATGGCCGCTGCCGCAAACGCGCTGCCAAAAGCCATCATCGCAGACATGATCGGTTCAAGGACTGCAAGATGGCCATTTGCTCCTCGCTCGCGAACATTCCTGGTATATATTATTTTGCAGCCAGATGATCAGGTACCAGGAGCTACCCCTCCTTCAATAACAACAGAAACCATGTCATATACAGATAATACCCCGCAACATGGAGAACTATACAGGTCTTACTTACTAACCCCAGCATGCTTTGCAACTGAGGTCATTGGCTTTCGAGCCGAAGTTGCAATTTGTTTTGCACATGATTGCCAAAAACTAATGATTGTAACTGCCTTATTCGGTAGTGGACCACTCCGGTTAATTATGCAGGTGGAATTCGAACCCAATTGAGCAGATGGCAATTGAGCTGCCATTTAAGAATGAGCCTGGGCGTCATGGGGTCGGTTCGCTGAAATGGACGCCGAGCCTCTAACGCGAGTTTCTCGTTAAATGTAAAGCTGTCCTCTCTCGTTCTGGGAGAAAGAAGTGGCTTTTATACTTAATTAGAGAAGCTTCAGGAATTATATAGAGGTAACTAAAATGCACCAAAGGAAGAAGTATGTTATATGACGTTCCTTCCAGTTTTGACGTCTCGCGTATAGCGTCTTGTTTTTGGCCCTTGAAATCTTGGATACGAGCAAAGCAAGAGCTACGATAAATGTAGATATAGTTGTTACCTGGATTAGTTCGATACTCCTAAGAGCAGCCTAATTTCTCGTCTTCATCCCCAAATCTCAACTTCCAAGCGCTTGGGAGCTTGCCTGTTCAGGCACGATTTAGTAGCTGCAGGAGTCTTTAACCCTGGGATTATTTACATAGGCTGTATTATATACCTATATATACATCGGTGCGGAATCGGCTATTTGCGTGTTCTCCCAACTCCCAACCATTGATGCATTGTTTCGTTTACCTATGATCAACGTATTTATTACATGTAGCGCTTTGCTGTCTCAGAAATGACATTTTAGTGAATAGGCCTCAACGGCGACAAAGTATCCCTTGCACGATAACAGCCTTCAGTCAGCTGTAGAGACCAACAACCCAGAAAATCACTCCGAATTTCATGCCATGAACCAACCTCCTCTTTCCCAATTTCCTGGATTATAACGTGCCTCGCATCTCAATTGAGGGTCTTTAATGGCCCGAAGCAGAAAATCAAGCCTTCCAAATTCGATCGGCTTTAAGATCCAAGCATCGAACCTGCAAACCACTCCATAAGCATATGCTGTATTTGATTTACCGAAAGGGAGACATACCCGTTTTGTAAATATTCAAATCTGTGTTCCTCGGCTAGAGATGCGGAGACTGCAATAATCGGTACTCGCGGCCGCGATTTCAACTGTCCTTTCGAATCTTGTTCGAAGCAGCGTATCATTCTGGTTGATTCTACTCCATCTACCAACGGCATCTGGAAATCCTTAGCATGCTAAATATAGTAAAGAGAAAAAAGACGCTACCTGTATATCCATTAGGATAACATCGAAATTGTGTGGCTTTGAGGAGAATTGATCATGGCACTCCTGGCCGTCAATGGCAACTTGTACTTCATGACCAGCCTTTCGTAGTCTCTTGCTTAGAAGTTTTGCGTTGATCGGGTTGTCCTCTGCGATCAGCACATTCAAATTCCAACTTATGGCAGGATCAATCTGGATTTCAATAGTATTAGATCTGCATTTGGAAGGTTCCCTGCCGAGCTGGTCACTGATGCTCGCGCGCCTAGCAATAAATGGCCCCGGCACATCAGACTGTTGGATGTCAGGAATCGATGCCTTCGAACTTCTATCGGGTAGGGATCCCTCAATCTTCCGTTCCCTTATTAATTCTCGCGGAGAAGCCGGGAAGTCCTGCGAACGGCGAGGTGGTGATATTTCCGCTGCTGATGCGTGCTCGAACGGTATCTCTATCCCGAAGATAGTTCCTTTGCCAAGTTCACTGAGGACTCGGATCTGGCCATTCATATTTCGAACATATCGAGCTACGACAGCAAGTCCTACACCCAATGATGTAGAGGTGTGCGCGCCGCTCGAAGGTGAACTATCGCTAGACAGGGACGCTTCATCAACGACCTGCTCAAATTCTGAAAACAGGCCATCTAATTGACTCTCAGACATCCCAATACCGACATCCTGGACTGTAATGCCTACCACCGACATGTCGCCGTTGGTTCTGAGAAGCTGGATATCAACCTTAATACCGCCTTCCAACGAGTGTTGAAACGCGTTACTGGTGATGTTCGACAATACTTGGTGCAGCCTTACAGCATCTCCTTTGACCATCCCGGGTATACCTTGGTGTGTTGTAACAATCAGATCGAGATCTTTACGAGTTGCCTCCTTGCGAAAAGCTGTTATAGCATCGCCTACAGTTGCGCAGAGATCAAAAGTATCTTCCAAGGAGTTGATTGGGCCTTCTTCTGCTTTTGTGAGATTTAATAAGTCATCAATGACGTATATCAATGACCTTGACGCTTTATGGGCTTTTCCTAATAGGTCTCGAGTAGAATCATCTACTTTGTTTTCGAGCGCCATCTCCAAGTAATTAACGATTGCGTTGAGAGGCGTCCTGACTTCATGTGAAGAATTGCTTATAAGTAGACGGGTCAGTCGACTGGTATGGCTTGATGACTCCTTCTGTCGCCAGATCTCGATGAATCGGCCGTAGAGGAGACCCAATACGGCTGCAGTCTCCACTTGGTCCTCGCTCCAGTGTTTACTTTTACCAACAACAGTCTCGGTCCAACGCTTGAAGCTTGTCCGGGGTTCGAGATACTGGCCACCAGGACGAAAAGTCTTGTCATGGGGATTCCCAGCCCATGTGACCTCTTTAAGTTGTCCCTTTCTGAAGAACACGAGAAAATCATGGCCTCCTATACTTAGTGGGATGACAAGAATTCCCGAAAGGATATGAAGCCCAGGCGCATATTTGATATCTGGAAAGTCTGCATTGATATTTTGCGAAGATGTTATTCTTGTAAACCGACGGGTCTGTAGATACGCAAGTATAACCAGGGCCTCTCGATAAGGGTCCGGTCGTCCAATCGCCCGTGCTTCATCGTGGATGTTGAGGAGTCCGAAATCCGCTTCGAAGACACGGAGCAAATCCGTAGAGGAGGCGGCAATAAAGCCGGATGGAGACTGTGCTGGAGGTGCTGATGTTGGGCGTCTTCTCGATTGGAGACGTTGCAACATTAGCAGGCGCTCGATATTCGTCGCCGCACAGTCCCCAATGTTCCGGCACAATGCGCGGACTGGCAACGACACCGGGATACTCACACTTCCATATGTGTGGCAAGCAATGAGACCCCATAGATCGTTATTTATGACGATCGACACCGACATGGAAGAGCGAACCCCCATGTTTCCCAGGTATTTAATATGGATAGGAGACATTGCGCGCAAATATGAATGGGTGAGGTCAAGTGGAACAGCGAAGTCCGTAACGTCACGACATACCTACATAACAACCATCAGTTTTGCTTCTGGGGGTATGTATATTCTGGAAAAGCCATAGGCTGGGAGGCCAGGGACGTACTAGTCTTGCTGTCTCCGCATCCCGATCATGTAGAATGCGAACTCGATTCTTCACATACAAACCTCGGGCTTGTTTGGGTATATCCGAGGCAGGGAAATGCAGCCCTGTTCTACACAATCAGAAACTATGCATTTTTACTATTAGAAGCAGACTTGCCTCGAAAAAGATCAGGACTAGCCTTGGGGTTGAGGAGCTCGGCTTCGACGCACCCGTTCTTCTGCTCGTCGAAGCGGTAAATCATCACTCGATGAAAGCGTGTCAACTCCTCAATAAGTCCCACCACAATGTCTAAGACTTGTTGCACCGATGTGGCACTTGTGAGTTGTTCTTGGGCTTGACTCATCGCATTGAAAGTATCCATTGATGAGAGACGGGTGTTTTTTCTACGCTTAGCAACCTCAAGGATCCTGAGAGGTGTACTTTTGCTCGTTGTACTTTGCGTTAGTTCCTCGGGCGATACATCCATATCCACAGCAGAGAACGGTTCCGCAGGTAAGGACGCCTCGGCGTCAGGATGGCTGTTATAAAAGACTTCAGTATAGTGCTCGAACTCACATATTATGAGGTGCTTTGAATTTGGCGATAGATGAATAGCACACCAAAGGGAAGTTTGAGACCCGTCCGGCAAAATAATAGAGACCGGAAGGACGTCCGAATGAACATCTTGGCCTGGTAGAGCAGGGTTACTTAAGATGTGAGAAATAATAGCCGCCATATCCCCCCGGTCTTCCGGACGTATGATGTCTAGAAACGACGTCAAACCAAATAGCTGCTCCGGGTTGTATCCGAGAATATCGAGCGAGTTCTCACTACAGATCCGAGCTTCGAGCGCACCGGTCCCGTTATATTTCAACGCGATCAGCGCCCCAAACCGCTGGATTGCTCCTGGTATGTGGATAGGCTCATCCTCGCACCGAGTAAAGGTGGGTTTGAGGCGATCTGCGACTATGCCTTGCGACACGCCTGGAGCGCCCGACTCTGATGGGACAAGCCTGGACCTTTCGGTAATCCGCCGCCCGGTTGTCAACTCATCCACGGCCAGATTATTTGCACCCACGAGTGGAGCTGAGACGGTTTCGATGGCAGCATCGCTAGGTGCGGGGAGGTTTGGGTTTGGAGAGGACGAGGAGTCGGGCTCGAGGGAGCTGCTTTTTGATTCAAAACCCCCACCACCAGTCTGTTCCCCATGTATCACGAGGGATGGTATCGCATTCCCATCGTCCGCACTCTTCGATAGCTCACGCTGAGGATGTCCATATTCCCTAGACCTGTGGGTGTGGCTCGTGGTCGACCGCTCCGTAGCATCAGCGACTAGATTGCGGATGGGAAACACTCGTTCGACGCTGAAATCGCATGCCGCCAAAAACTGGACAGGAGCTGGACGAGTAACACCACTATCGGCGGAAGCCATCGGGCATGCTGGTGCCGGTGCGTGGAGACAGTCGAAGGGCGCCACCCGTAGAGGGCTCTCTGGAAATCAGCTGTGCAATGAGGCAGAGCTAGGATGTTTCGGGATCGCGCGATAAGGACATTGAAGCTCTCTGCAGACGCAGTGTTAGTAACTTCGTGTCAAAGGAGTCATGTGTTTTGTTAAGTAGCACTTATCAAACCACAGCTAGGATAGAGGTCAGACCTGATTGCGCCAGTGAATTTGGATTAATGGGTGGTGGGGAAGCTATTCGCGTAAGGAATTATAGATGCAGATGTTAATGTCGATGTTGAATGCCGATATTGGTATTAAGGGAAATTTTGATAGCTAGGCCTGGGCCCGCAGGGGAGGTTGTATTCAATGCCTGATGTGTCGGGTGCATCTTATCCAGGCATCAACCGCCAACCAACATTTCGACACAAATTCTCACTGAAGAATCTCTCCACCCAATCTCCCAGCGATACCCAGTCCACCTCCAATATCATTTCCCCCCACCTTGAGTTCAAGCAACGAAGAATACTCCGTTGACAAGGAGATCACCCATTTTGTCGAGAGGACGTTAGCAACTCGCTCAGAATGTGATTCCCGCGCGGAGGAGGCAAAGTCGTTCCGGTGGCCGTGCAAGGTGTATGCAGCTACTCCGTGTACGCCGGACCAAACAACGACTTCGCGGTCCAGTTCCACCTGAGGTTTCTTGAGCTAAGAGAGGAGATTACGACTCTCGCCAGAGGGATCTATGGATCCTTGGTACCCCAAGTTTTCTTCAAGGTCAGATTGGGAAGATGTAGATGCCGATGGGAGGGAACATCTTTATGTTTAAGTTATGAGTCGAGGTCAAGGTATTAGTCATTTAGACTTTATTCTGGCACATAACCTGCCAGAGAACTCGCCTGAGTATTTTACATGGAGAAAGAATCTAATTACCGACGTCGAAAATTTTGTCTAGCTCTGTTTACAGAGTCATATCAAACGTTAATCACATATTCTGCAGGTTCTTTGCTCACGTGTGGAATGCTCGGCAGGAGGTCGAACAAGCCTACCTCGACGGTCCTTGCTATAGATATTAGAATGCACTGCGGCTATGACTTGTCTCGTTGCCGGACCGCTTCCACCGTATAATTCAAAAGTCTCTCGACTCAATACCAGCTATTTCTTTCTCTCCCAATAGTACTCCTTCACAAGGATGTTGGTACTTGTAATATTATGGTGGATAATACATCTTGCCAACTAGTTGGAGTAATCGACTGGACTGAAGTTGAAATTTGCGCGTTCGGGCTAAACTTGCACTCTTTCCAGTCCCTATTAAGCAAATTCCATCTTATGAAACATTCTATGACTGCGAATCAGATGAGATAGGCCTTATTTAGTCTCTAGATCATTTTAGAATCAAGAGTGATTCTTGCTACTATTTCTATAAAATTTAGGAATACAGAGTTTTGATATCTGTTCAGTAAGAAGGTTTCAAGTTGCTAAGCAACCTAATTTTGGCTCGGGAGCTACTTTATATCTTTGTACGAAGGGTTTCGAGATATAAGCCTGCTTTTTCTAAAGAGAATGGACGAAAAAAACTTGAATAGGCCAACGAACACAAGGATTAGTCAGATAAGCTGTAAGATAACATACTTTACAGTGACGAGACTTTGGTACAGCCTAGGAAGCATACTCCTGTGTAGGTAGCAAAGAGAATTAGAGAACTAGAAAGTGTATCACAAATCACAATGGCTGCGTACAACCTCGGCATTAAAGGAAGATTGGATAGATGTTTTAAAAGTCTTATAAATAGGAAATACAGGAAGTACCGAGGACGGTTTTAGGAAACATATTAGAAGCAGATTAATGAAGCTTCTTATTGTAGTGTTCTATCCTTGTTGTTAACGATATTCTACTAGAAAGACTGCACCTGCCGGTACTAGTGTTTCCGAGGCACGAAGGCGATCTCGAGAGTTAAGTAGCTCAATCCGTTGTTCTAGGAGACATCTAATTTGTAGAGATATAATACCTAAAATGAAAGTTCTAAAATACAACCCTAAAGCTTATTTACTCCATTCATAATTGCTTCAACCTCCTTTGCATGCTTTGAGAAGTTGTCCACCAGGTTGTCCCACATTTTGGGGTCGTGTTCGTGCTTTTTGTCACTATTCCAAGCCCAATCCGTAATGGTAAAGGGCATAGCGGACTCAAACATGAATGCAATTGCCCCCTTCGATATTTGCATTTCAGGAGGTACATCTTCTGACGCAGCTTTAAACTCCTCATATGCGACACCGTGAGGTACCATACCGCACTCAAACGAGACACCACCGGGCTGGAAATCATCTGAACGCCCACCATAATCACCGTATATAAGTCCCATAAGCTCAGAAGCGACGTTCCGGTGATAGTATGGGGGCCGGTATGTGTGGGACGCTACATCCCAACGAGGAGAGAATATGAGAATGTCAGCCAGGGGAGCTGTCGGATCACGAGACCTTGCAGTCAATACGCAGAAAACGGAGGGGTCGATGTGGTCCACGGAAATCGAACCAACGTTGACGAATTTAGTCAAGTCATATTTGTAAGGGACCTTCAATATGTTAGCACAATACAAAATCGGACTATGCATGGAAATTTAGTCTTACGTAGTTTCCATGCCAAGCAACTACATCGAAGGGCGAGTGGTTTTGCCTACTACTGAAAAACTTTCCACCAAGCTTGTATACGATATCCCACTCTTCTTGCTTGACTTCGTATTTCGCACATGGATGTAAGAAATCCCGAGCGTTGGCAAGGCCGTTGGCACCGAGAGGCCCAAGCTCGGGGAGTTCAAAATTGGCACCCCAGATCTCAAGGATATATCCTCTAGAAGGTCCATCTGGCAGGTCGACTCGAAATCGTTGCCCTCGTTGTATTACCACAATCTCTCCTGGCTGGACTAGCAAAGGACCGAATTCTGTCTGAATATCCAATGCGCCCTGTTGTGGAACAATGCAGAAATCACCATCTGAATTGACGAATGCTCTTTTCCCCATATTCTTGTTGGCAGTATAAATGTGTGTGGCTAGACCTTCGCGAAGGGTGGGGTCTCCTGAGCCGGCGATTGTCTTTAGACCTGTAATGAAATCTGTATCTTGGCCGCTGGGAATGTCGAATGGAAGCCAAGCAACTTGTTGAGGGGAAACGTGCACACGCGGGTTGAGCGGTAGAAAGTTTGCTTCAGTGTCCTTGTTGTCGGGCATCTCAGTCTACATGAAATATCAGCGAGAGAGCAAGACAACGGTTTATATCAAGCTCACAAATCCTTGATGTGCAACTGCCGGTCGCACCCTATAGAGCCACGACTTCTTATTCATATGACGAGGTGCCACGAACGCGGAGGCTGTCATTTGTTCTGCGTACAGCCCGAATCGAACACATCGTGGGCTGTTTTGACCTCTTGGTATGGTTCCAGGAATAGCTTCAGATTCGAAACTAATATGATGGTCAGATTTTGGCTCCTGCAGTGCCTCGAAATTACTTACTGGTTGTTAAAGCCTGGTTGGTACTATATGACTGTTAGAATAGCGGGTTCAACGACAAAATGTTTAGTTGCATTACCTCGTACTTGTCATTTTTCCGAACCGCAAACGAGGGTATGGTACCGTCTTTCTGGGTCTCGGCCCAATGAAAGATGTTCTGATAATCTAGACTGCTGTTGTTGTCCATTTTCTTATTCTATAGTCATCCAAAAGTGTAAATGATACTTGAAACGGCTGAATCAATAACACACAGTTGCACGACCTCAGCAATAAATAGGAGGGGAAAAATGAAGATGGTGACTGTTGTTCGTTGATGGATGAGGAATCTGTATTTCCAGTATAATATAGATATACGTTCTTCATGGCGTTCAACAATTCAAGACCCCGCGACGGAAATCCCCCTTCCCCCTTCCCCCTTGGCACCACACCACACCATCCCACCCCTGCCCCCACGCTCCGGCCACCCCTGGCACTCTGCAGGGGCGTCTTAATACTCGGAAAACCCCCTTTCCCTTGACCCCACGAGAGCCATGCGTGGAAATTCTTCGGGATTACTGTAGTTTACCCCACCTCCAGTTCCCCCCAGACCATCCCACATTATTGGCATCTTGCTGTACCTTACATACTCGTTCCTAGGTAGGTATAGTTTGAAAGGTGGAGGATTTCCGGTGTGAGGCCATTCAGACACATTTTGGGGGATGGCGTTGCCACCGTCTCCATAGAACTTACGATATTGAGATGGCATGGAGCAAGGACGGATTCCCTCCTGATCTCTAGCTCTGAAGATATCGGGCTGCAGGGTAGGTACAATTATTTATCTCTCGTCCCTCTCTTATCCAAGCCGCAGAAAAACCCGTTCGTCCTCTTCGCCCCATGGTCCTATTCTCCAAACCATAAACAAGTACATACCACATATCCAAAACACTCTCCTAGAAGTCATGGTTTCAAAAGGGCAAGCAGTTGTTGAGGAGCGGCCAATCGATGCGAAGCGTCCTCTGAGAGTCATTTGTGTAGGGGCAGGTATCTCGGGGATCATTACCGCAATCCGATTTCCTCAGCGAATTCCCAATCTGGACCTCCAAATCTACGAAAAGAATACAGACATCACGGGGACGTGGTTCGAGAACAAGTACCCAGGTTGTGCGTGCGGTATGTGACTCGCCGTTCTACATTATGAATTGACGACTCATCTGTGATGGTGGAATTAGACATCCCAGCTCACACCTACCAACTTACATTTGAGCCAAACCTGGAATGGCCGCAGTTCTACGCGAAGGGTGAGGATATTTACAAATACTGGAAGAAGGTCGCCGACAAATATAATTGCAACAAGTACATAAAGCTGCAACACCAGGTCGTGGAGGCTAGGTGGTTATCTGAGGTATCCAAATGGCAAGTGATGGTCAGTATTACCACAGTGAGAAGAGCTTTTTGTCGGTTGTTGATCTTTCGCGGGTAGGTGAAAAATATTGCGTCTGGCACTGTATTCGAGGATTATTGCGATGTATTTCTATCTGCCAGCGGAGTTTTGAATGACTGGAAGTGGCCGTCCATACCAGGTCTTCAGAAGTTCAAAGGTAAGCTGCTGCACAGTGCCAGTTGGGATCAGAGTTACGATTATTCGGTAGGTACAGACTAAGAAATATGCACATGTTCTCTGTTGATGGCAATTGTAGGGAAAGCGGGTAGCGGTCGTTGGTTCTGGATCAAGTGCCATCCAAATTGTGCCTTCCATGCAGCCGATTGTCGAGCATATGGACCATTATGTTCGGGGGAAAGCGTGGATATCGACTACTTTCGCCGCAGAAAAGGTAAACGAACGTGGGGCCGGTCTTGATAATTGTACGTCCTGCCATCAGATTCCCAAGCCATTAATTAACATAGACTCAGTTTCCTTCACGGAAGAGGACATTGAAAGCTTCACACAGTCCCCCTCAACATACCAGAAATTCCGCAAGGACATTGAACTTGAGTTGCAATCCGGACACGCCGTAACCCTACGCGACTCGAGCGCGCAAGTCCAAGCCCTAGCAGACTTTACGGAGAAAATGAGGGCTCGACTTTCGAAAAAGCCAACTGTCATTGACCAAATAATGCCTAATTTCCCACCCGTCTGCAGACGTCTGACACCTGGACCTGGATACCTAGAAGCATTGGTTCAACCGAATGTTGATGTGATCTCCGCTCCAATCCAAGAAGTTACTGAAACCGGAATTGTCACAAGCGATGGTTCGGTAAGAGAGGTTGATAGCATTGTTTGTGCGACTGGGTTTGATACTAGTTTCAGCCCCAGATATCCAATATATGGGGTTAACGGTGTCAAACTGTCTGATAAATGGAGCGTAGTTCCAGAAACATACTTGTCGGTGGCTGCAGCTGGTTTCCCAAACTATTTCATGTACTTGGGACCTAACAGTGCACTGGGAACAGGGAATTTACTGGTCCTAATCGAGAGGATGGCAGATTATTTCACCGATGTCGTGGCGAAGATGCAACGCGACGATATTTCAGCTATCACAGTGAAAGAGGAGAGTGTCAGAAACTTTGTACAGCACTGTGATAAGTATTTCGAGAGAACAGTCTTCACGATGAATTGTCGAAGTTGGTACAAAGGTGGAACTGAGGATGGGAGAGTTTCTGCTCTATGGCCAGGTTAGCGTACTTACTTTATTCGCATTCGAATTTAACTAATCTTGCCAAATAGGCTCCTCACTTCATGCCATGGAAACCTTGGCACATCCAAGGTGGGAGGATTACGAGTACATCCATCGAAACGGGAATCCATTTGGCTGGTTTGGAAACGGGTGGACAGAGAATGAGATCAACCAAAACATCAATGTCGATTATCTGAACGAGGAGAATATCGATTATCCTCTGGTTAGGAAGGCGATTATCAATGGGGATCAGAACGTGAACGGTCATGCTTTGGAGAGTGATGCTCTATGGTTAAATGGGAAGTTGTGAAGGGATTTTTAGACAATTGAAGTTAGAGTAGATTCCTAACAGAACTCCAGGTCAGAAGACAGATAGGTAGATCTCTCGAATGCAATATCACCAACTCAATATAATGCGGGTATCCTCACCAAATCATCGCGTGCCAGGAGTTCTGCGAAAACTTCTCATTTCGAGCATGAATACCTGCTAAATCTTAAGTACATGAGAGTCAGAAGCCCACCTGTCTGCCATGCTTGGAATGGAAGACTCGGCAATATGTGGGTTGTTAGCTAACTCCGGTACTCCAAAGGGGCGGCTGTGACAGTGTACAGTACGAGCCAAGAAACCCTTGGACCCCACTGCTGTACTATCCGGCGAGGACATTCTTTCAGTGGGGTATTCGACTTGCTGTGACGGTCGGTTGAACCGTGTTTTCAAACAAACAGATATCTACAGCGGCGACTGAATTAATTACTGTATGTAAGTATGCGATACTCGACAGTAGAGTGTTTGAGGAAGTACGGCGTCGTGCCGAGGGCCTGGCAGGCTTCTTACCTTACTCGAGTACCCCAGTTGCGCCTAACGCACAGCAACACTTCTGCGGGGGGGAAAAAAGCACGTGCCCAGGTAGCAGCAGACCTGGCTTGCCACCCCCAACCAACCCTTTAACATCACATCACAGCTCATATTATCGTTCTATTTAACATCCAAAATTCGTTCCATATTGAACGCTTTACTACTCCTCTCTTTGGCATCGGTAGTCGCGGAGCTCACCTCATAGCATTTACCTCCCTCCTAACAATTAATGCAGCACAAGGACTTCTTCCATCACCACCACCTATCACCGCCATATCTCTCGCGCCTTTTCCAGTACCATGTCGGTATCCATTCTTGACCCGTCTCAAAAAGTCCGCCGGTGTTCGACTTGCAACAAGACGTTCACTAGGACAGACCATCTCAGACGCCATCAACTAAGACGTATGCCCAAGCATGCATTCTTCAGCGACCTTTTGGTGGACTGTTTACTGACCACAGGTGCAGATTCAGGCTTCAAACCATATGTGTGTATATTTTGTGACAAAGCCTTCACACGCACGTAAGAAAGCCCGACTCTCCCAGATTATCGTGCAATAACCATTCTGATTAGTGACAACCTGAGGGGTCATTACCCGACTTGCTCTCAACGAAGAGATCGCCAAATACCAGAATCTCGGAAAGGTGGTCGTAGATCACACGCTTGCGATGGGGCAAGTCTGAATCATACTTCCATAATCGGTTCGGGTCCTAATATCTTTAGCAGTGCATATCCATGAAAGTAGGCTGTGATGGGAACAGTCCTTGCAAACCATGTCGGCAGAAGGAGGTCGAATGTAAATTCTCGAAACTGCAAACAACAGATGCTATTATGGCATCGGATAGTATGTTCTCTTCTCATAAAAATATTTGGAACGAAGCCAGCTGATATTAAGTCTCTTGAAGACTCCACGGTATCAGATGAGCATAACACCGATATAGAATTGGATCGGTGCTCTGTTAAATTCCTTTTGAATGGTGGGACGGCAAGCTTCATCGAATACTTTTGCTTCCCTTCGCTCAACACTGGAACCAAACGAATGAATTCGTCCTTGGATGGATCAAACGATTCTGGCGTCTTACATGGCTTTCCAAGTCTCGCAGTGGGTGGAACCAGTTTTCCGAATCCATTCATGGATCAGCCTATTGACTGGTCACTATTCGACGATGAGAGTCTTCTAAACCTACTGAGTGGTGCATTCAATGGCATGGAAACCCACTCAGATAATCTTTTACCCTCGTTCTTCATAAGTGAAGAGCACGCATCTGCTCTTCCAATTGCGACAGCATTTCCAGGAGAATGGGAACCTCTAGGTATCATATCCGCCACTATCACGCAAAAGATATTGGATAAAACAATCTCTTCAAATGCCTCTGCGCAAAAACAAGCCCTTATCTTGCAAAAGCTAAACTATCTCTTCACTCCTTCAAGGATTACGAATTTAGTAAACATTTACTTTGAAACATGGCACAAGAACTGCCCAATTCTACATCGGCCATCTTTCAGTATTGAGACCGCACCAATAAACCTACTTACAGCCGTCATTATGATGGGAGCAATGTACTCACGGGTTGACGAGGAAATCAGTACGGCAAAACTAATTCTCGATCTGGCTGAACTTTATATATTTTCATCCGAGGATTTGACGGAAGAATTCGAAATTAAACAGATGCTTGGAGACTGGGAAAGTCCGTCTATTGATCAAGATGGCTTGGATATCACCAGCTACCAGAACCTTTCAGCGGCATATCTAATACTATGCGCCCAGTTCTGGGCAGGAACTTTAATTTCTAGAAAACGATCCATTGAGACAAGATTTGGAGTCCTGATCAAGGCAAGCTTTCCATCTTATAGAGTGTGTTTTCAACCACTAAAAATTAATTGCAGGTGGCTCGAAGAATAGGACTTACGAAAGCCCGACACGATCTTGAGGATAGCCTCGATGAACGCTTATGGATTCAAAACGAGGAGAGAATACGGTAAGTCGCCTACACTGCGCGTAATCTCTGTACTAATAAGCTCGCACAAGACTCATGAATGTAATGACGCTTCTTGACTGTGCCTTCTGCTTTTTTGCCAATTTTCCTTGTCGTTTGACAAACCAAGAAAGGGCTTTTGATCTCCCATCAGAGGAACACATCTTCGGATCCTCCAGACCCTTCTCTGAGCCAAACTTCGTCTCTAGTCGTCACCTTACCGTATTCGAAGCATACCAAAGTCTCTTCACACGACACTATTCTCAGCCAACTCAAGACCAAGAAAGAGAAATAAATCCATTAGCGTTAAATCTTATGGACATGTTTGTTCTGATTCATCGTAAGCTTCCGATGTTGTATACTGTTGTTTCCCCTAACTGATGCTACCCCCAGTTCTTTATGTCCAAACTCATAACCACATTACACAATATACATCCCTTATTCCTCAAGTACGTGCCGAGTTGGGGGGATCTACAGGACCTAGAACTCAGAACCCGTTATCAAAGTCCAGCCATGCGCACATTCAAGAAGCACTTAGTCAGTGGTGGTCCATTTGGGTCAGTGTTCGATCCAATATTCCAAACAGTACCTGGTCCATGCTCGGGTTCTTTAGGAATGGGATTAATTATTGGCTCGTAACGCAGCTTCTCATAAGCCATATGGGAAGTGTAGATGTAATGATGGGGATAGAAGTAGGATGTGAAGATATGTTGAAGCACTTGAAGGAACTTCTGAGAGATAGTGGCAGTGATGTTTAAAAAGGCATCTCTAAAATAATTTCGTGGCTTCATATTTCTTCTTCACTTGCTATGTTACACAGCCTCTGATTTCTTCCAGTCTGTTCCATCTCCAAGAAGGTCCTGTCCTCTGCTCAATACTCTGCTGACCTCCTTACCCAACCACTGTTCCTCAGTTGCATTGATGCCTTCTTCAATATCCCATCCTCTACCTCCTTCGACGAACACTGCTCTACCACTCCACTTCCCTGATTTTCCATCATCCCCAATTGCAACTTCGACAATAACCCTCCCTAAATCTGCTGGTGAGTTCACAGGCAACCCTTCCTTCAGCCAATTTTCTCTAATCCCCTCCACCATTCCAGTGTCTGTCATCCAAGGGCATATCGCATTGACTCGGATGTTGTGTGTTTTGGGCAAATATGTACGTAGGGAACGTAGCAAACCGAGTACGCCGTGCTTGGCTGCAGAGTAGGCGAATAGACCTGGTGTTTCTTTGAAGCCAGCGGTGGACGAAACGAGCACTAAACTTTTATCCTCATCTGGCTTTGCACCTTCTTTCAGGTATACAGCAGCAATACGGGCAAAATACAATGTCCCGACGAGATTCACGTCTATGACTTTGTTCGAAGGTTTCTAAATAACAAATCAGTGTCCGATTCAAACTGGGACAGTTGTGACCACAACACTTACAGATTTCACACTCTCCAAGCAAAGGCTTGGATCAAACAAGTTTCCAATCTCCTGTATCCCAGCATTGCTAACCGCAATATCGACTCTGCCATACATCCTCCAAGCTACCTGGAATAGGTTCAGGACCGACTCGTAGTTGGTGACATCTGTTTCGACAAAAGTAGTTTCTCCCACACCTTGGGAAGAGCGTAGGGCTACATCCAACTGCTGTCCCCCAGCGGCGTCCCAGTCACCGTGGATTATTTTTGCGCCGGACGAGTGTAGGAGAGAAACTGTCGAGGCTCCTATTCCCCGAGCGCTTCCTGTGCGGCTTTTAGCATAAGTTGAATTTAGTATACAGTACTAATTAACCTGTTATCACAACCACTTTGTCTCGCAGTGCTCCTAAGCTCTCCTCTCTCAGCACGATCGCCGTCATCCTGAACTCTTTTGCTGACTATTTGCAAGAGAAAAGGCTGCTTCACGGAAATCGTAGCTTGAACAATCAGACTACTACTTAGGTAATTGCAAACTTGACAAAAATTCTTATGCTTCTTTGAGTGCTTGACACCACTGCACTGGCCCTGTTTTCTTTTATTGATAGGGGGTTTCGCTTACTCGTACCCTGGGCGACGTCTGTGCTCGATACTCGGAAAACCCCCTGGGTTAAACGGGCCTAGTACGAAGTATTGGGTTTTCAGCTTCATTTAGCTTCATTTAATCCGCAGCCCACAAGTTCATTCGGAGGAAGGAAGCGGGGTAGTGAACATGTACCTAGGTAGTCTGCTTCGCCAAGGTTGCTGTGTTTCTCATGGTAATAGTACGCCACGGCCATGATATGATGCACGGTATCGCCTAGATGCGCCGAAAAGCCACCCACTTATAAAATCATCAATCATTATCACTTAGCTTGATCTTAGACTAAAGACATTCATTGCTCTACCATATCTTGTCATGAAGCTATCGAAACTATCCTTGGATTTTGCTGCAACTTGTCACACAATTCCTTGGGCAAACATTCTGATATGTTCCGCTCTGGGTGTAAATTAGACGTGACATGCCATATAGGTAACATTTGTGTTTGCTTGTGAGTAACGCCCAATTCACCAACTGTTGTAACTGGTATAATATACCATAATTGTCCTTTTCAGCTGGCTATGTACTCTGTCATATATTTTGTCGTCGCCTCAACTGCACAATAAGATTTGTTTGCTTATTAAACCAAAGATTCCTCGTCAATATCTCCTTCCCAGGGGCAAGGTCGATTGTGTAGGTCAATAGTATTTGCGGAATGAGCTTGTGCATCTCGCTGATTGAGATCTAGTCCAAATAATTATGTTAGCCAATATACTTTGTTTTGAGTGGAATTTTATCATCATGATTTCATGGAGATCTGAAAAGGAATTTTAAGATGACTTACATTTTTCCCTATGCAAGTTCGCGTTCCTGCTCCAAACTGTAACATGTATCTGTCCATGAACGTGGCATTTCCCTCTAACCAACGAGACGGTCTATACACGTCTGCGTCTTGCCCAAAAATATTGGGATCACGATGGATCACTGCAGCGTTCATTCCAAGTCTATACCCAGCCGGGATGTACTCACCGCAGACCTCCATACCTCCTTTGGGACTCAAACGGGGCATTGTAAGCTGCACACTAGGGTGCATGCGCATGGCTTCTTTAATGCAGGCGCATAGAAAGGGAAGCTTGATGGCCTCGGAGAACTTCACGGGAATACTTAGTTGACCCTCTGCAAATGCCTTGTCGAGTTCCGCGAGCACTTCCCGGTATACAGCCGGAGATTTCGCAAGGTAATAAAATACTGAACGCATTGCAATAGCCGTAGTATCGGAACCCGCAAACCTGTTTTGTGATGGGTCAGTCCCCTGATATTTCTGCAGCAAGAACACCAACTTACAGAGCAGAGTATGACTCCAACTCGATCTCACTCAGACCGAAGTCAAGCTTCGGACCTTTCTCTTTGCGAATATCCATGAGCTGCTGCAAAATATCACGTCGTTTGACGGTGTCAAATGAGCCCTCCGCATCTGCAAAGCGCTGTGTTACGCAGCTCTTGGCAGCTGCTGCAATGTGGTCGAGGGCCTTAAGAGCTATTTTTACTGAAGGAATCAAGACAGACGACAGGAAAATTACTGGGCGTGTAAATTTCGGAGCCACAGACGCAATACACAAAGTAGGCATTAACGCGTCCAATGATGCAATATACGACTCATGGTCGTGGCGATGCTCCATGAAGCCGAACATGCGCCCAAAATAGAGCTCGCCAATGACATCAAAGGCGTACCTAACAGTCAGATGTGAGATTTTGTACTTCATTGGCGTAGCTGGTCATTCTTACATTTGCAACCACTCTCCGAGATCAATTGACTCGCCCGTGTCAGCAAATTCTCCCAAGCGTTGGTTGAACAGCTCTGAACAGACATCGATGTATTCTTCCGATTGAAGGATGTTGGAGAGCGAGTAAACATGATTAACAATTCTCCTTCGCTCTGAATGAGATTTTTCGTCCGTGTTGCTGAAGTGGTCCGCATGTTTGCTAATGGCCGTGTTGCCGAAGACTGGGTAGAAATCGGATTTGGTGAGAGGGTTTTTCATCGGATAAATCGATTTTATGGCGTTTGGATCAGCAACAGCAATCTCGTTGGGCGCAATTCTAACTAGTGGGCCGTATTTTGCGTGAAGCGTTCGCTGCGTCTGTTCCATATCCCCACGGTAAAGCTTTTGCACAATCCAAACTCGGCTGACGGATGCCCAAAATGGTCCCGGGATCTTGCTGAGTGGATGTAGTGTTCTGACATAGATTATCCAGCATAGCGCATAGGTCACCAACGAAATAGGAAGTAGAACCAGGATAAGAATCTGCATTGCATTTCTGGTCACTAGAGACAAAAACATGGTGACAATATTATATGAAGGGCAAAATGAGTGCCCAAGAAGATAGACCAAGTAGGAGGTTAAGAACTTATAGACGCAAACAAGGACGCCTGCTAAACTTCGTCTCGCAGCGTTTAGGGTCAGTGAATGCTTGATAAGTGCATTTCTGGTCGAAGGAAGGATAGCCCTTCTATCGAATTCAAACGTAGGAGAGCGAATAGGCATGGGGCACCAAATCGCTGTGCTATGCCACTTACTAGCGCAGACCACGCATCTCGGGATGTGAGGGGGAAGGGGGTGGGGAAGAGGCGTTGCGGGGTTGTGGGGGTTGTGGGGGTGTTGGGTTCAATCATGTCGGCTCCAGCCCGGAAAACCTCCTGCAATCTAGTCCACTTTCAGATTCCCCACGATCTGGGCACACCGGCAGGCCTGGGCCCGGGATCCAGTCTACCGAAAACTCCTGCACTGCCCCCTGCACTCTGGGGAAACCCCCTGAGGCGTATCGTGCATACCCCGGTCCCGACCAGTCCGACAAGAAATCGCATTTGATCTCCGCAGTGGAGACCCCACTCCTAGGACTGGAATACCTCCTGGTGTCAGATGCTGCGTCCCCAATTCCCGGACTTCATAAGACTGGGCATGGATTTCTTACGATAAGTAGCTACGTCTTCCTCTGTCTAGCCTGACTTTGGATAGATAGCATTCAGATCGCCATCCAGACATCTTTTCAATCGGACAGGTTTACAATGGCATTCGAGAAAGAACCAATGGGTGCTGCCGATGTACAGCATCTAGAGTCACCCTCACTAAAATCTCACCATGCACCTCCTCAGTTTCAACAAGGAAATGAAGCGGTCCTCCTACGTATTGACGCTGGTGCGGAGGCTCCGACTTCAGTGAAGCTCGCAAAAGACGGTCACGTAAGTTGGCATGAAAACCAGCGAGTGGGATGTTGAAGGCTAATCTGGAATAGACTGTGCTTTTACCTCAGCCCTCGGACGATGTAAATGACCCTCTCAATTGGTCTTGGCGCAAGAAGCATATGATTCTTTTCATTGTGGCACTATCAGCGTTCTGTGGTGATTTTGGATCGGGAGCCGGTATCCCTTGTACTCTTCCTCAGGCTATTGAATGGGACATGGACCCTGTACATGTCAACTACGCCGGGAATCTCAATGTTATTATGCTGTAAGTACTTCCACGGACTAAGGAATCGAACTCTTACTGACGTGTAATCAAATCAAGAGGAGTTGGTGGTCTACTTTGGATCCCGCCTACCTACTTTTGGGGCCGAGCACCCGTCCTCTTCTGGACCCAAGTTATGGGCACCTTTTTTACACTAGGGTGCTGCCTTACACAAAGCTTCGAAACCTTTTACGCTCTAAGGGCCCTCATGGGAGTTACCCTTACTGCTTGCCAGGTGATCGGTCTGTCCTTTATCAAAGACATGTTCTTCTTCCACGAGCACGCGCGTAAGATTGGTCTTTGGGCTGCTCTCTTCCTACTTTCTCCATACTTAGGCCCACTGTTGGGTAATTTTATCATTGCGGGGACTGGAAACTGGCGCTTGTGTTTCTGGCTTGTCTTTGCTGTCTGCGGATTTGATCTGCTTCTAATAATACTTTTCGCGGACGAGAGTTGGTATCGCCGCGATATTCCGTATGAGAAACAACCCGAGCGTGGCTCCAGGCTCCTACGCCTAGTAGGCACCTGGCAGATTCGGGTCCATCACGGGTACTTCATGGAGCTGTGGCCATCTGTCTACCGCCTGGTTGCCCTGTTGCTCAAGCCCGTGGTGCTTCCCACCTTGCTATGGTATGGACTCAGTTTCATGTGGGCTATCGGCATCAATATCATGTCATCAATCCTTCTTGGCACCCCTAAAGAATCTGGCGGATATGGATTCACCGCCCGAGGGGTTGGATACATCTACTTTACACCCGTGGTAGCTGTTATCCTTGGGGAGATTTTCGGACACTTCTTCAACGACTATCTCGCAAACAGATACACCAAGAAACATCACGGAATATTCAAACCTGAAGCTCGACTACCAACATGTATGTTAGCTATCTGTCTCATGATCCCAGGCTTGATCATTGTTGGGCAAACACTGGCCCGTTCGCTTCATTATTCTGCCATCATTATCGGGTGGGGAATGTACGTTTTTGGAGTCATGCTTGGTTCGGTTGCTATCACTGCCTATGCGCTAGATTGCTATCCAAACGGTGCTGGAGAGGTCTCAGCTTGGCTCAATTTTGCCCGCACCGTCAGTGGGTTTTCCGTTGGTTACTTCGAGGTTGCGTGGGGTACTGCCAGCGGTTATGATGTGTCGTTCGGAATTCAAGCCGCAATTGTTGCAGCAGCAGCTGTGATAATGGTTTTGCTTTATATCTTTGGCGAGCGTTTGAGGTCTCGCGGCGGTCCCTTGACATTCAAAGGCACGTCGTGAGCCTTAAAAGGGCTGTTGGACGTAGGCCATGATCTAGATCCAGTAATCTGATCAAATCAGTTTGTAGGCTTACGCCAATTAACATATCAATATATATTTTCCACTTTCTTGCTGTAAACCTACACTAAATTAGCGGTGATATCGTGCAGATCTGTAACCTATTGATAGAGTTCTGTTCAAGTGTCTAATCTGTAAAAAGTATATCTTACGATAACCCCAGGTAATTGCACAGTTGTTTAGAACAGGTGGAGGCTGGAAGGAAGGATTGGGAGGCACGATATTACAATTCACTAACATCATTTGCTAGAATCATTGGCGGTAGGCCTAAACCTAGCGACTTATATTATAAGTCAAATATAATTGAGTAGCCCAAGGTTAAGAAGCATCTACTTCTATAATATACTTCTAGACATATATAGAAATGAAGAGCAGCAGTATAGACTTAATAGTGCTTCATATTAATAGAGAGACAGATAAGTAGAACGATAAAGAGAGTAGATTTAGCGTTTCTATCTATACACCTAGTAGTATAGCCTCTCTAAGCCTTAAACAGGCTTCCCACTGAACGCCTTTAAATGGCCAACCTGCGACTCCGTAGTGATTCTTATCGTAATTTTCGACTAGTTCCACTTCCAAGGAGCCTTCTGGGCCTAAAACAAGGGTATCGACCTTGCTATTGCCACTCGGCCAACCCAATCCATTTATAAACCGTATCCAAATATCAGCTACAGCCTTAGCGAAATCTGCGTCCATTGTTGAGAAGACTCCGTTGAAGTTTTGCAGCAAGTAAGCTACATCGAGCTCGTGGGATGCGGTACCTGTATACTTTCCCGGGAAAGGGTTTAACTGCGTTTAAAGCCTCATGTTAGGACTATGTGTAGTCGTCTAGATGTCGTATCTCGCTGTTCCTAAAAACAGATCAACATACCTGATTAAAGTGATATGTATGACAAGATGTACTGCCTCCAGTTTCATACGCCTGCGCAAGCTCCTTGGTAGGCAGATAAAACCCAATATCTGAGATAAGTTGGACAATACTGTCAACCAAAGTTGAATTGCTCGTGTTTTGTTGGAGATGATACGCATCCTTTACACTATCTCTATCCCCTTCCGGTATCGTTTGGTCGATGGCTCTGAGGACGGTGTCGAGTAAAGCTGGATGCCGTTGTATACGATCTTTGAAAAGAGAAGCCTGACAATTGATTTAGTTATAACTTGGCAAAGGCCAATCCGCACTCACGTCATGTAAAGTGCTGCCGAACACTACTTCAGTGCACCAGCTTGGTTTGCCGTATCTGCTGGACTCGTCGGATAGCCTTAGAAGATCAACTTTCTCAGGTAGAAATTCTCCTCCGGTGGTGGCAGTGAAGTACTGTGCGAATGGAAGTTTTGCTAGCAGATCTTCTATTGGTGTTACCCTCATCTTATGAATTCGATCAGTCACGCTCAGTTCAGCTAACCCTAACGCTTGCACATTTTGCCAGTATAATTCGTGCTGCTTGGCAGGCGTCCGGGGGTTTCGCAAGCTGGCATCACCACTCATGACTATAGCCCTATCAAAGGCTGGCTGTTTTGACGCTATCAGATGCGTAGATATAGAAACTACTCAATAGATTGAGTTATTACGGTCTAATGATGTCCTGAGGTATATATAGTAGAAAAACTTACTGGCGCCTGCAGATTCTCCCACAACAGTGATGTTTGCTGGATCGCCACCGAACTCTTCGATATGGAGCTTAACCTGGGAGTTATTATCAGCATAATATTCATTCACATATCTCAATGATTTCATACCCATTCAAATGCGCAGGCTTGATCCAAGAAACCAAGATTTCCCTCAGTGCCTAGCTCATCAGAGGCGAAAAAGCCTAGAATGCCGAGTCGATAACTTTAACGGCCACGTGAGTTGGTAGAACAATACTAGGAGGAGCCACATACTTAAAGGAGATACCAATAATCGGATGGCCAATGTCGACGGAACGCGAGACGAACTTCTGCAAATCTGTGGTGCATTGATCAGTTGGGAGCAAAAATGATAACCCTTAGAGACTTTACCATATTGTGGCCACGACGAACTACCTATAGCAAAACCACCTCTAAAGAGTTTTAGCTTCACGTATAAAATGTAGATGATATCGTTTTGTCTGACCCGTGTACCCTAGTCAGCAGTTAGTTGATTGAATTACTACATGCAGTCCATAGTTGGTTTAGCTACATACCATATCATTACTGGTAGAGCGGAAGTGCGAGACGCGGTGCTCGGGGTAGTGACGACGGCATTAAGGCATTCATATTCAGATGAATAGGAGGGTTCATAAGGCAGCTTCACATCCCCATATAACTTCATATCATAATCCCAACCACCAGCAGGTTGCGGGCAGATTGGGCCATGCACGGTGCCGTCATATTCAACGGGGCTGAGTTTCGAACGGGCGATCCGTGGTTTCTGCCAGCGATCTGGAATATCGGCATATTTTATATTGCGATACTGGACAGTTTTAATATCATCGGAAAGTGCCCCCCGAATGAGCCCCAGTGAGCGATGCTCCAGGGCCATTGTCTTGTCTCCATTTGTAGAGTTCATGGCTAACAGAACGCTGCTGTCGCTCGAAATTAGGTTGCTTTCTTGTTACTTTTGCGACTGCGATCGTTGCCGTTGTGTAAGAGATACATAAAGGACGAAAGGAGAGGCCTTACCTCGCTATAGTCTTCAATTTATTCTCCGGGAAAGAACGGGCCGCAGCTATCCCGCTATATTGTACCACTAAACCCCACTTCTACATTTCTAAGACCTTGGTAGGGGGTTTTCCGGCTACCTCGCTGCCGCTATCTCAATTTGAAGTAGAAGTACCAAGATGCTTTACTTTGATGTTTTTAATTCATGCACGGCAGCCCCCAAACCAAGTCCACTTGAAGCTCCTGTTGTGATGGTGACTTTACCTTTCAAATCCGTTAGGGTCGAGGAATCGATGCTGAATTCCATGGTTGAGGCGGTAGCTAATATGAACTCTTCAATGTCAAGGAATAGAGTCGTAAATATTCCATGTGGCTACTGCAGGTGGAGGAGGTCAAAAGATTAGAGAATAGGTCATATTGCTAATGGATTGGTTAGCGGGCTGCGGCGCGAATAGTGGGATAATTATTTAATAGTACCCCGCCGGCAATGGGGCCAGGCCACATGCCGAGGACGGCTATGTCGGAAATCCCCCTCCCTCCCTAAAACTTGGGGTAGGCGTCTCCCTTCCCCAACGCAAACCCCTATTTATACAAGACCACTTCGAAAGAGCAGGGGTAGCTGGAGGGGAAGATCGCGCTATTCTTCGTTCTCACTACTCACAACTCTCACCCCTCCGGAATTTCTTGCAATCCTTATTATTTTCATAAACCTCGGGATTCTAGCAATTGGCTACACTACTTGCAACTCTATGCAGATCACCTACTTGACAGAAACCTGGACCTAGGATTGCCGAACAGCACGGCACAATGGAAGCTTTTGAATATAATGCATCTGCTGCACGAGTTATTTTCGGCAGCGGCACGGTCTCAAGGCTCTGCGATGAAGTAGCAAGGCAGAAGCTGACAGCACCTCTGCTTCTCTCAACTCCGGAACAAGTCGGCCAAGTCAAACAGCTCAAAGTCCTCTTACAAGGCAAAGTTGCTGGTATTTTTAGTGGTGCCACTATGCATACGCCATCTGCTATCACGGAGAAGGCCCTGGCGTACGTGGAACTGACAAAAGCCGATGCCGTCATTTCAATAGGAGGCGGTAGCACAATTGGACTTGGGAAGGCCATCTCCATAAGGACAGGGCTACCGCATATCTGTATCCCGACAACATATGCGGGTTCAGAGATGACACCTATTCTCGGTGAGACACAAGATGGGAAGAAGACTACGCGGAGTGATCCTAAGATCTTGCCTGGAACTGTTATCTACGATGTTGATCTCACTATGACTCTCCCTGTTGGTATGAGCGCTACGAGTGGTGTGAACGCCATTGCTCATGCAGGTGCGTTTCCCTTTATCTATAGCGATAGAGTTGTCTGGGGCTGACATCACCTATTCATAGTTGAGGCCCTCTACTCCCGTAACGCGAATCCTATCATATCTTTACTGGCTATTGAGGGCATAAAGCAGTTATCAACTTCATTGCCCAAGATTGTTACATCACCCTCAGACCTCGTATCTCGCCAATCCGCCTTATATGGTGCCTGGCTATGTGGCACATGCTTGGGTGCAGTAGGGATGTCTCTTCATCACAAATTATGCCACACTCTCGGCGGTTCCTTCAATATGCCACACGCGGAAACGCACACGATCATCTTGCCTCATGCTTTGGCTTATAATGCCCCAGCTCTACCTGAAGTCATGAAGAGTTTAGCAGGCGCATTGCCAGATAGTGATGGCGATGCGATAGTGGGTTTAAATCGGCTGTTACAGAGTCTGAAAGTTAAGAGGGGCTTGAAAGATTTGGGATTTAAAGAGGAGCAGATAGATTTGGCTGCTCAGATAGCGGTTGGGAACCCGTACTGGAATCCGAGACCTGTTGAGATTGGCCCTATTAGGGAGTTATTAAGGAGAGCCTGGGCTGGGGAAGACGCGAGGGCAGATTTGTAGAGATATTTCGAAATAAACAGCAGATTAAGATATTCCCTAACTTTAGAATCTCCCGGTTGCAGTGCAACTGGGTTCTAGCGCCATTTTCAAAATATAACATGCCCAAATGAATTACAATTCATATAATCAAGATGGCAAATAAACTCAGGCCCCATCCCCAGCCAGTCCCTGAAATTTTGGCCCATTTAGTCCAGTTGAAGGTTCATTTCCAGGTGTTAGTTTAAGGAATGTTAGTGTGCCGTCAAACCGCGCGCGATTATATTGCATTTATTTTTATAATACATGACGCTAATTAAATTGCGCAAATCGGTTAAGCGTTATATTCAATCATTCCTGGGTTTATATAATTATTTATTAGTCCAATTGCGACCAGCCAGGCCATTCCCCCAACCCGTTATCCAGTTAGATAGTGGATTAAGGTGTAGGCAATGCCCATTTATGACCTAGGACTATATTAATATTCGAAAACACGCTAATAAGGAGTATAGAAAAAGAGGGTAAGGGATAAGGAGATATTTTCGATGATACAGATGTAATTATGGTTCAGGAATGGGAAGGAGCAATATTGGGTCGTGGATAATGAGGCATGGCCTATTCCCGCCCCGCTAGCCAGGCCAAACATTGTACAAGACGTCAGTAAAGAGATCCCGGATCCCAGCAATGCCACGGATAATAAGGCAGAGGAGGACGTTATTTATGACTAATTAGAGGGCGAGATCCAGCAACGGCAGGACAAGAAGCAAGAGTAGTGGCTGACATTATTAGCTAGGCCCGCCGAAGTGGAAGTGGACTCGTGGTTACGATATACGAAGTTGTATAAGGTATTAGATAAGTCCAAGTACAATTTAGTTTATACATACGCATTTTACCAGGAGCCAGACCATGACAAGATTAACTTGCATAGGGTTATATAAGCGTGGAAGCGGATTTTTAAGAAGTGTTTAGATATATTAGAAGCCACGGGCCACAAGGATTTATTAAAATAGTAGGGATCCCCAAAGAATACGGTTGCTACCTAATAGCCACTTAAGTTCCCCCAGAATCCCAAGATATTAGAGAAATACAGCCAAATTTGGGAGCAGTTCATTTGTTATATAATCTGTACGACACCCGAAGAATTCGACAAGGAGACTAAGACCGGTGTCCAATTCACCCGCGAGTAGTGGCAATGCGTCTAAGACTATTTAGGGATGGATATACTTAAGGATAACAACCTGGATAACATAGAGAGTATAAATAGTTTTTTATTTTTAAAATAATTACTTAATATATACAATATAAAATAATCCATTACTTATAATAGAGTGTAAAATTTAAGTAATTATATCAATTAAAGAGTTTAAGATTATAAGATTAAAGCCTGTTGTATATATATACACATATATATAAGTATATCAGTTGAATAACTGAAATAAAATAAGCCTAATCATGATATCGAAGTAATAATTAAGCTTCTTTACGGTTATAGTAGAGGTAAATTTATAAGTATATTAATAACTTGGAGTAGTAAGTAGAGTAGTAAGTAGCTTTTAGAGCCCTTGTATTTAGCTTCTTGATTCTAACGGCTCTGGGGCCTGCCAGCCTCTACTATTGTTCATTAATCGCAGCGCCGCTATCTCTCGTCCATACCGCTCCCATCGCAAGCTTAGTAACCTAGGCGGACTTTATCGAATTCTCGCTCCTGGTCCACGGTGGGCTTTGAAACATCAATCGGTGGCTGACCCTGAAGCCGACGCAGATGAAACTGGAGGAAGGCTCCCTTTTGTGTGTTCGTCGCCACCGTATACTTGTCGACCACATACAAGCCGTCATACCTGCATCCAGCTCTGGGACTGTGCTTCCAGTTGCCATTAAAAGAGCGGATGACTCGAATAGGACGCTTGGTTTCGCACGACCGCAGCAGAGCCCTGACGTACTTGTTGTCTCGGTCAGGCGTCGGTTCGGTTGCTACATGGGCCCTACTGTCCGAGTACAATATGCGATCTCCGACGTCTTGGTCCTTGTATAATCCTCCGGAAACGAGAACGCTGTAGCAGCCATGGGTGCCAGTGCCAGAAATTCCTGCAACTCTTTCTCCTTGATTACCATTATAATTAGCTTGATACCTCGATATTGTGAGCGTGAGCACTTACCATGAGCTCCGTCTCGGAATGCAGCAACCAAGAGGGGCCAGCAGTCCCCCACTGTAAGCCCGTTATGTCCGAAAATTTTAAAGTCTCTGCGTGAAAAGCTAGGATCGAACACATAGCTTATTCTTGCGCCAGCCCAAGTCCCTTGAGATCGCCATATATGGTGCATGGGGCCCTCCAATCCGAAGATTGGATGACCTTTGGGCGAGGGTTTTGCCACAAATAGGAGAGGCTTCCCTGCTTGAGCAGGCCCGCCACGTCTCAGCTTTTTAGCCGTCTCGGTTTCGATAGGCTTGCCCCATTCGATAGCCTCAAACTCATCAAACAAAGCTTGGGAAATGTTTTGGTAGGTTTTAGGGAACATGTTGTCAGGCTTTATGATTGTCTGCAACACATTCCAGACCTTATATTTTTCCCTATAGACTAGTTAGACTTGACTATACGGTGTTTTAGTAGAGGTCAAGGAAATACACACTTTAGATCGGGAGTCATCCGGCCTAGAGCACTTATCATATAAAGCAATAGCTCTGCATGGTTGGCTTCTTCGTCAGAAAATTCGACCTTGTCTCCCCTCGCCTTCTTCTTATACTTTAAAATTCGACTCCTAAGGACGGCCATCATTGTAGAAATGAATTTATCATCAAACTCAGGTTCTCCATTCATTATAATAAAATGCTCCACAAGTTTTGCGGATTCTTCCCGAGGGTCAAATGTCGGCATACTGACTTGAGAAGTCATGTTATCTAAAGGATATCCTCAGTGAATATTAGCGCTCTTTCTAGAAGGTTTGAACTAGATAAAATTCATAGTCTTACCCTAACTAGTTAAGGACAGCAAGTCACTAAACTAGAGTTTGAGTTCTAAGTAGGGTGCTGTAGAGGGTACGCGAGCTTGCGGTAAGTGAAAACGGGTCTCATAAAGGAGCTCTAAGTTAATGTCAGCAACAACTCAGGCTAAACCACAATAGCTGTAGATGGCAGTATCTTACCTTCTAATTCTAAGCGGTCACCTGTCTCTGTAAGGCTCAATTAACTGCTTTGAGGAGGAGTGGCATTGAATGTGTTGCGGAGAGCAAGAATAGGTAGGGGTGGTTATGGTCTGCGGAGAGAGATGTTGAAGGTGTGAAGGTGAAGGTGAGACAAAGTTGAGGAACACTGGCAAACTGGAAGGTGAAATAATGCCTAGTGATACCAGTAAACTTGAATGTGAGATTGTGAGATACAGGCGACGCTGTATTAATCTGTTTATGACTCTGTCTTGTCAAGAACTCTGAAAGAACCAAGGCGTAGGGTTGCTCAGCAGGAAGTTGAAGACGTGAGAAGGGACTGGTTGCCGTGGAGAGTGAAACAAGGGTGCAGCGACGACCTATCAGGGCCGATATTTCCTTGTAAATTTTGTAGTGGCTGCTAGTTCATGGGTGATGTATTGACCGGTACCTATGGCAGAGACAAGAGTGGTATCTTGAGGTGCTTTGGCTTCTTGTTTGCTGTTGTTTTCAGTTGATGTAAAGGGTAGCCCGAGGGCAACCAGGTAAAGTATTTATAGGTGGAGAAGCGGCCCAGGGGAGTGAATGACTTGGCACCTGCAGCAGCTGGGCGAATCATACAGTGGACCATTATAGTGAATTTACTTCGTTTGCCTAGGTTGACTCTTAATAAGGCCTACAAATGACGAATCTTGTTAGCGCACCTGAATATTTCGTGGTGTAATTGACTGGTTTGCGCTCGAAATGATTATCAGTAACTTTTATTTCCACAATCTCATATCTATTATGTACTAATACTAACACAAAAAATCTAGGCTATTTACAAGTCAAGGGAATATCGCTAGTATGCAAGGTGGTGCGGGGACTTTCTCCCGTCTTCAAACTTTTGGTCTTCATGATCAAAGGAAGGGGTTTTTTTACCTCCCTGTAGATGCATTCTGTAAATAAAACAAGTCATAGTATTTAAATTCACTAGACTTATCTGCGATTGAAATTCAAATATCTCGACTATATCTTCAGTTAGTATCATATAGTCTTCGTTGACATAAGGAGGAAAAACTTACGCTCAAGAACAGGATGATCAAATTACTTCCAATAAACGCAACGAAAATACCCATGTCTCGCCATCGATTCTCATAATTGAAGCTGAGGCCTTCGTAGAACTGATCCCCCACTTTAAATGCACAGTACTCACAAGCACTCGTAGCATTATTGGCGATATACCCTAGCCCTCCACGTTGGAAGTAGTTGCTCATGTACTCCCCACAAGTCTGCCCAGCGGGAGCAGTAAAGTGCTGAAACTCGTGAGGACTACATGTCACCGGCCGCTCGTGCAGTTCCGTCACCACCATACCGCCAATAAGTCTAGTGAAGGGGTCCAATTCGTAAAGCCAAGAGCGCCAGAATTTCGGCATTTGTAATTTTGGAATAGTGACACCACAGAAGAGAGCGAACGTGATCATGATAAACGGGTTAAGGAGCGCGGAGAAAAGCGGTGTTGGCGTCAGGGCTGCAACCATTTGGCCGAGAGTGACGGAGAAGATTTCGGTGATGAGGACCATCAAAAATTGATAACCGGCACGGTATGAATCATGGGAGAACGCGGGGAGGTAGTAGAGTGGGAGGAAGAAAGCGACGGCGCATATTATAGAATAAGGCATCTCGGCAACCACAAGAGATGAGGCAAACGCGAACTGCCCGTACATCTTGGAAGAGGCCTCGCGGTAGAATATCATTCTAGATATGGCGTACTTAGGCTCAACTTGAGCCAAGATTAAGGCAGGAAGCACAGTAACCTGGAAGATGATAAATACTCTGTACTGGAGCGAGGCCCTCGAGTTGTCTAGGTTGAGATACGCAAGGCCATTAATAAGTGCAACAATAACATGGTTGAAAAGTCGAGTAAAGCCATAGTTGGGTGATCTCCAGAATGATAGGTTGGTTCGCTTTTGGACGATCTTGAGTTGATGAAGGAGCGGCGCGGCATACTCTCTCTCATTCTTTGCATGGCTGCCTACTTCTGCGAGTCTTTTCGCCTTCATTTGGGATATGCTGTCTTTGATATTGGCTAGTTCTGGGGATTCAACCCAAATGTCGCCCCAGTCTCTGTCTCCCATCCGTGGTGCTTGTCCAGCTCCGATTGCATCCTAAAGGAACCAAAATTTAGCTTAGAATAACAAGAAATATGATAGTACTCATCCTGTCCTCAAGATCACTGGAGAACGATTTGTCAAAACTTACAAGCATAAATTCAGCCGGATTAGCATCCGAAGGACAATCGGCACCATGTCGACGTAAATAATCCCGTAGAATACAGGCATCATCTCCAATATCTCCAAAATAAACAGTCTGTCCGCCGCGTTGTAGTAATAGTAGCCTATCAAAGTTTTCGAACAGAGCAGCATTCGGCTGGTGAATAGTGCAAAGAATAGCTTGACCAGCATTTGCTAGCTTCTTCAAAAACCGGACAATATTGAACGCAGACTGGGAATCAAGACCGGACGTAGGTTCATCTAAAAAGAGCAAGAGCTCAGGTTTAGCGGCCAGCTCGACACCGATCGTAACACGTTTCCGTTGCTCGACAGCTAGGCCGGATTCTGGGTCCCCGATAATTGCATCAGCCATTTCTTCCATCTCTAGTAGACTAATAACTTCTTCGACATATGCGTATTTCTCGGCTTGGGGAACCTCGTACGGTTGGCGAAGATCCGCGGAGAATCGAAGGGCTTCGCGGACTGTTTGTGTAGGCTCATGAATGTCGAGTTGTTCAGCATAAGAGGTGCCGCCCTGGAAACCAGACCCGGGTTTTATCCCATCTACTAGTATATCACCAGAGATGACACCTATATTCTTTCGTGCTGCCAACACGTCTAGAAGAGTTGTCTTCCCGGCACCGCTCGCTCCCATCAAGGCTGTAAGCTCTCCAGGCTTGACATATCCATAAACGTTGTTCAACAGGCGTAGTTGACCGGAGGGGGTGGGGACATGATAGACTAGCTCCTCCCAGGTTAGGACAGCCTTGGAGGCGATGTTCATTTCGGTGGCCTCGGCTTCATTCTTCGAAGTTCTGCGAGCATTTCTCGTTGCTATGAGCGCGGTATTAAGCTCCTTGCGTTCCTTGTTGGGCTTTTGGAAAGACATCGCAGCATTCCCGGCAGCACCAAAACTAAACATCTCGCCCAAAGTCACATTTGCGATGAGGCATCCAACAATTATAGCTATAATAATCCCAAAGTTGCGCCATAGTTCGCCAGGATTGTACGAGAAGCCTGTAGTGATATACGCTGAGCCAGAAACGATATTCGAGCCGGACACGCTTCCCGGAAGAGTGCAGACCTGATTCGCAATGCTGTCGTAACCTGGCCCAGAAGGCACCAAGGATTCAGTTGTACATGTTAGCTGTACTCGACTAAATTCGTTTTCCATCAGCGTTGAGAATCCTAGACCCAAGGCGTTAATCCAGTAAATCCATCGCAACCAAACTTTCTCGGATTGATATTGGACTAAGTATCCCGAAGTGACAATAAGTAGTGTAATAGTAGTAGCCGCAAACTTTATAGCATAGTCTACAGAAAAATAAGCCAGTTAGCGTTGCATACTTTCATTAAGGATGTCATTGTAAGATACTCGAAACAAGACATATGTGAAATCCATATACTCAGTTAATAAAAAGGGGACACTAACCGAAATCCATGCTAACACAGCCAATGATGCGGAACAATAGCGTCATAGCCAAATATGCAGTGATGATTACGATGTAAAATGTGAAGAAAGCTCCTGCATCGCGAACTAGACCACACATGAAGTAAACGATGAGAGAAAATACCAGGATCTGGGCTGCCGCGAAAGCCAAATCGACAATAATATTGGCGATCCAAAGTGCGGAAGGCCGATAGAAAGTATAAGCTTTTTGTTTGTTGACGATTGGGCGGCCGAGCATCGTATTTGCTAACTCAGAAAAGGCTTGGAATGCGTTGAATAACACGCTGATGAAAAATAGACCACCTCTTGTGAAGGCACCAGCGGACGTTTGTGGGATGTTCAACCAGGTAGTGCCAAGCACGATGGCGATGACAATACTGGTAACCCAACTGACGACTAGGGAGAATTTGTCCTGCCATTTGATCAGATATTGCCGATGCATAAGTGCCCAGACCTGGAGATAGAATGGTATGCTATAGACGGATTTCTTTGAAGCTCCTCCGCGCTTGCTGTCGGTAACTGCAACTTTGAAATCTTCATGCTTCTGCTGGTCTTCCGCGATCGACTTCCGGTATTCGACCATCTCGTCGTTAAGAATCTTTTTAAACTTTGAGCCGTTAAAAGCCTGAGCGAGCGACTCCGGACTTGAAGGCGCATTCTCAGCCGATCGGCCATCAGCATATTCGCGCTCGAACTCATCAGTACATCCAGTAAGGAAGTCGGGCGTCGTCTGCCGCGGCCGTTCTTTGAATCCAAGGCCTTCGAAATAAGCTCTGGCTTCACTTGCAGAGCCATAGTACACCTGTCTCCCAGCATCAATAACCATGACCTTGTCAAATTGCTTGAAAATATTTTCACTAGCTTGGTACAATGAGACAAAGGTGGTTGTATTGTAGAGATTTGTCAAAATCCGAAGTGACTTGGCGTAATCCAACGCAGTCGACGAGTCCAATCCGCGAGTCGAGTTATCCCAGGCGCATACAGTACCACCTGTGACCATCATTTCGGCGATAGAAACTCGCTTTCGTTCCCCTCCGGACACACCTCTGACATAAGCATTCCCTACAATGGTATTCTTAGTATGCTCGATATTGAACATACGAAGTAATGTAGTGATGACCCTATCTTTGAAGTCGGACTTGGACATGCCATGCGGCCGCTTTCCGGGAGTTTTCGTATCCAAAGCAAATCCCAGTGTCTGTCCAACGGTGAGAGTTGGATGATGGATATCATCTTCCTGGTTGTATACCGCCTCGCCACGATAAAGCGTTCCAAAAGTCTTTGCGTCGAGCCGGCCGTAGAGAACTTCGCCATCTACTTTCGTATACCCGTAGCGTTGGTTTGCAATAACCTTGAGAAACGTTGTACAGCCGGAGCCAGGTCGGCCCAGGACTAATACCATCTCCCCCGGTCTGGCCAAACCACGAAAGTCATCCAATATCTTAACCTCGGCTCCTTTCTTCCCAAGACCAAGGATACCTTTTATTGTCCCAAAGACATTAAAAAAGTCGACGAACGCATCCGGGAATGTCTTGACAAAGTTCGTAACCCCGCCATTTCCAAAAACAGTAAGGCCATCCCATATAACACCTATGTGCTTTGGTCGAATGCCCGACTCCCTTTCTGCAGCATGATTTCCACGAAGGGTGGTCGCGAGATCAAACGGCTCCTCGGAGGATGAGGAGCCTGAAGATCGTCCCTTTTCGATGTCGCCTTCAGTGAATGCAGCCTTATGTTTTGATTGTCTCGATTGCGTCTTCGACAAACGTCGGCTTGCTTGGCTGATGCCGGACAACTGGCGATTTAGGGTTTCGAATTCGGCCTCGGCAGCTTCAACGTTCACTCCACCGCCTGTCCCCACAAAGCCATTCGGGTTGCTGTTTCGCGCATTTTCCCTTTCTATTTCGGGATCTGTAATAGTATCGGTTGAGGCCCGGACGGTATTGCTTGCGGGCGCGGAAGGCACTGGTGATTCGTGGACAGCTCCTGGGGCCTTTTCGTGGTGCTCCTGCAGTGGCATCTTCTCAACTGTGAGTGTAGACCCTAGCTTACACGCGAACCAAGGGCGTCAAAGACGGAACGAAATAAAAGTAGATTGCAACAATACATAAATAGCAGAAGAGAACGGCTTGGTTGCCAAGGGAAAGAAAGAGCGCGCCCTGAAGGGTGTGCAAGGCTCCCACCGAGAGAAGAATATATTAATGAGCCGTATCTACGGATGCACGCCCCTGCAAGGCCGAAACTACTTGGCTTGGTATTTACTCACGATCTGGGAACGATTATAAATTAAACCTCCGGCTGCAAGCTTGTCCAAAGGCAATAATGTGGACGAGCTGGTTAGAGTGGGGTGCTCAGGGCCTGGGGCTTGAGAAAGCGTATCAAAGGTCGAGTCTTGGAGACTTGGACTTATCGGAGTTTAGCAGTTTGGGCTACGGCTCCTACACTACTAGCCCGGAGTCTCACTAAGCAGCATTTGGCATTATTAGGTCCTGTCTCCAGGTATGTTGGCTTCCCAGTGTCCCTTTGATGAACCCCACCTTCTGCAATTTTGCAACAAACATCCTCGCAAGCGCCGTTGTTGTTGCCCAACCACAGTTTGCGCTCCGCAAAATAAGGTAACGCCGGTCAAGAGTCATGCCGGGGATCTGCAACTGGCCGGCTGACTCAAGGAGTATCAGTAAACAAATTGTCGTAAACCTCCTACGGTACAGCTACTTACTACTTGCGAGGTAGCAGATAGCACTTAATTGCTATGCTCACTATAGCGTGACTAAGTCTGTCATTGTGACTGAGTATGGCTATTGGCTGCTTGGCTTCACCGCCCTTGATCCCGAGATATAACTTAAAGCCACAAGGGTACAAGCACTTCGTACAGATGCGTACGTCCTTCCGTGGCGTAGCGGCAATTCTTTCCGGATTGTACGTACTTTTTGTGCTTGACACGGGTAAACATCGGCTTACACAAATACTGGACCTGCCATTTTATTATTGTACTACTCGAGTCCTCCGTGAAGTAATAATACTCGGCCTCCAATCATTGCCGCAAATTTGGAAACGCAGCGGTCTCGACCGATGCCAAGCAATCAATCAGGACGGTAGGTGGCGATAGGGACAGGAGCCCCACCTCCTGAAATAATATAATCTGATACTAGTTTGCTGAATAATGTAATAATTGTTTTCGTTTCAAATCAATTTTGGCTACTCCGTAGTACGCAACATTGGTAAGGAGTGCTTCATGTATCGGGGATGGTGGCACAATTCCCATTTTGATATTTGGTCTGGTCCAAATCCTATATGCATATGCAAATGAAAACCCCCCAAAGCCCCCACCATCTATATACACAGTGCGCTTGTGCTTAAATCAAACAGGAGACCCCACGTTAGTCTTCTTGGTCTTCATCGTCGTCTCCATCGTCGTCGTCGCCGTCGTCCCCATTGTCGTCGTCGTCGTCCCCATCATCATCCTCATCGTCGTCGTCGTCGTCATCGTCGCAGTCATCACCATCGTCGTCCCTGCCTGTGAAATCGCTACTTGTCACGTCATTCATTGATTCGACAAATTGTGGCCACAAAGTCGACAACGATGTGTATCCGTCTTGTGTCGTAATAAATGACCCTCCGACATTCGAGTCCGTAAGGTTGCGAACGAGGTCTTTTTGGTCCTTGGTACTGCCCGTAAAATTATATACCAGAAAGACGGATTGGTTCATCAGATCCCAAGAAAGCTCGTTCAGCTTCGACCAGTTGAAGGCGGCCCAGGTATTTTCGAATATTATAATTTCATCCGCAATCTTGTACCAGGCAGGATCAACAAACACGCCTGGGTTAAACGTCATGTGGTCCGTCCCAGGACCCAGTGCTGTTCTTGCGTATGAAGTTACATTTCCCATGTAACTCAGGTTGTCGCTGTTCGCCGCTGATGGAGCTTCATCGAAGAAGATACCAGACACACGGATATTTGCTTCGGTATAGTTGGCCCAGGCTGCATAGCAATCGATCTCTTGCTCGACGGTCGCCATGTCTCGCGTGGCCCAATTGGTGGGAACATAACCCAAAGTCCGCACATTTGTGAGGTTGTTGAGCGCCTGGAGATTTTCGATATAGTTTTGATCGGGAATGACATTCACCAAGTTTGGCGCGACGACAATCTGAAAATTAACATCGGGGTATTGCACAGCGGATTGTATGACGCCCTCCCAAGATGAATTTATGGGATATAGATATAATGGGAGAAAAATATAAGGGTTCACCATCGTGACGGTCTTTACAGAGCCTGGTGAGAGAACGTTACTTGAAAAAAGTGCAAGTTACAACTGCACCTCCAAATCAACACCTGTATACAAGTAGAAAATAGCATACCGATCCTTGGCGGCAGCAGGAGTCGTCGCCATGGCTATACATCACTGACGAATATTTACGACCACGCGTCGGCACCAAGAGAAATATACAAAGGCACTCAGGCTGAATTTAGGGGTGAACTTTCATCCATTCAGCAAATGGTTCCTTACGCAGAGGCTGAAATCAAAACCCCGGCCAGAAGGACTTGAGATAGATTATCGCCCCAAATTTGAGTGCGCGAGATCGCCCATCATGGAATCCTGTGACGAGGGCATCTAGATCTGGATCTCTATGATGTGAGGCTAAGGAGTTATGAATTAAATGCGAGATGATGAAACATGAAACCGAGTCGAGCAAGATTTCGATGATCCGGCAGTGGTGCGAGAACCGTTGCCGTGGCCCTGAGGCCACACCACATCCGTTGGCACCGCTAAGTTCGGCGTGGACCACTATCAACACCAACATTTTAGAAATCCAGCGATTTCGACTAAGGGAAGCCTACGGATATAGCTGGACCAAAAATTAAAAATCCCCGATATACTGTATTTGCACAGGGCAGAGTAACGTTTCAATCTTGGGTTCCCATCCTGCCTTCCCGTCCTAATCCTAGAGTCGATCGACCTGCATGGAGGAGGCATTACGAGAAGTGCCTGCGAGGCGGGGTGCTATCTACGACGGCAAATGTTAATCCGTCGCCGGATTCAGTCCTTGTACTGTGTTTAGATAAGTATTGTGGATGCTGCAGCAATCAGAAAGCACGTCAGTCGCGTGAGCTGAACACTTCTCTTGCGATTTATTCTTAAACGGAGGATATCTGCCTTTTTCTGTTGGCAATTCACCCCTGAATCCATTGTTTATAGCGTCATACTTGCACCAACTCAATTGCGTAATCATGATGGCTGTCCATTTCGTGAAACACTTGCTTGCAGCGGCAGCAATAGCATCCCAGTTCTCCTCTGCTTCTGTCCTCCAACCGACACCACCAATGGGCAAGTAGCCCTCCCCCATTCATGATATGTTTTCTCATTTTATATCAAGGTTACAATAATTGGGCTGCTGTTATGTGTGGCCTGAACGAAACCCTCTTCATTGATACAGCACATTCCATGATTAAAAATGGGTTACTGGCCGCCGGGTATAACCGTATCAACCTGGACGACTGCTGGAGCACGATGGAGCGAGCGGCCAACGGGTCGATGGTTTGGGATGCAGAAAAATTCCCACATGGCCTTCCTTGGTTGACAAAGACTCTAAAGGGTCTTGGATTTATCCCAGGAATCTATACTGATGCCGGAACAAAGAGTTGCGGCGGTTACCCAGGCGCCTTCGGCTATGAAGAGCTAGATGCGAAGACTTTTGCCTCTTGGGGATTTGAGTATCTCAAATTGGATGGTTGCAATATGCCAACAGGCACTGAAGCAGAGTACAAAAAGGTCTACGGCCACTGGCACGATATCCTCAGCAAAATGAAATCGCCCATGGTCTTTTCTGAGTCAGCGCCAGCATATTTTGCTGAGGCCAGCAATCTCACGGATTGGTACAGCGTCATGGGTTGGGTTCCCGAATATGGGCAGTTAGCACGGCACTCTCGAGACACACTGGTCTTCAACTCGACAAGCTACTGGCCCGATATCACGGGATGGGATAGCATCATGTTCAATTACGGCCAGGAAGTGCGATTGGCGAGATACCAAAAGCCTGGTTATTACAATGACCCCGACTTCCTGAATGTCGATCACTTTGATTACAATCTGGAGGAAAAGAAATCTCATTTCGCTATCTGGTCGGCCCTCTCTGCACCTCTGATCATTAGTGCTTCGATGCTGAACTTGAAGGCCGAGGAGTTGAAATACCTCACGAACAAGGATATCATCGCTGTGAATCAAGATCCTCTTACCCTTCAGTCTACTCTTGTCAGCCAAGATGGGAAGTGGGATGTATTGACAAAGAATCTTGCTAATGGAGATCGACTAGTCACGATCTTCAATCGTGGCGACGAGACGGATAGCCTAAGCGTGTCATTTGAGAGGCTAGGTGTTGGCTCTGCTAGGAATGCAGTGGTTAAAGATCTCTGGACCGGTGACAAGAAGACTGTTTCAGATGAAGTCACGGCGGCCCATGTCCCTTCCCATGGCACTGCTATCTTCCGGCTTTCACTTCCTCGCAACGTGGGTAGTCCCATTCCAACAGGCATGGTTTTCAACACATTTTCGCTCACAACCTTGACTTACACCCGGGACGGCTTACGCTTCGCTAATGCCACCGCGGCCGATGGACAAGTATGGCAAACGATGGATGATTCCACCATTAGACCCCTTTCTAGCCCGCATAGTTGTCTCACGGAATGGGGCCATAACGGGGGGGTCCAGATCGCACTATGCAACAGAGGGCTTATCGGCCAGCAATGGGATTACTTGTACTCCGGAAACATCAAGAACCAGCGCTCAGATAAATGCCTCACCGAGTCGGAGCATGAGCATGTCACAACCTCGAAGTGTCTGTATGAAGACAACACCCAGGTATTCGGCTTGCCAAGTGGAATTAAGGTTATCGGCCATTGATGGACAATATCTATATAAAAAGGCGTGGAGAAAAGCCTACCAATTTAAATAGGGGTTAAATCAGGGTTGATGAACACGAGATTAGAGCGTATAATATGGGCCAAATGAACATTTTAGGGCTCAATAAAAATACATTTCCGCCCAGTATCAATGTCCCCTATAGTCTTCCAACTTACAGTACCTAGGTACCTAATTACTTACAATAGAGAGAACCTGTATACTCGGTAGGTATAGTAGTGGTAGTGTCTTTCAAAAAAGGGGCGAAGCAGCACGTGCATAGAAGCTTTACCCCCGCCGCGGAACACGACAGCCTTTCCCCACTTCTGGAGTGAGCATCAAACCGACGTCGGTTCCTCCCGCCCCAATCTACCAATCTACTCTACAATCAACAACCCAAACCCGCATTTCTTATATACTCGGCTTGCTACGTTACATGCACCTACTACGTCTCCATCCTACGATGCTAACGATGGGTTGATACGGTCTATAATAATGTTGCTCTATCTGTAACATCACTGTCGATCGGTTCCATCACCTGACATGTAACGAGTACTCTACATTGGATCTGGAGCTCGAGGCTGTTTAGAAAGGCTGAAAGCAACGTCAGCATATATTTATCAGAAATACATATACAACTGCCAAGCTCAAATATCTCACAACACAACACCCCAGGTCACGAAACGCGAAAACTACGCTCTTGCGCCCGTAGTCACCTAAAATCTACCACTCGCCATTACCAATTCTTCACAATGGGCTCCAATAAAGAAAGCTATCTCGAATCCCTAACACGTGACGGCTTCGTCCTTATCCCGTCCCTCCTCACCCCTTCCCAGCTTGAAACTCTCCGAGCTGCCGCTACAGATGTCATCTCCTTTGCACGATCCGGCTCCTGGCCATATGTCCGCACATTGCCTAAGCAATTCCCGCCCTGGAAGATTGAACCAGGCGCGAACCCAGCTGCGGACGGAATATGGGGCGTGCAGTTCCTGATGCATCCATCTCTCCCACACGCACAAACTTTTATCAAGAACTACTTCTCCTCGGCGATTATCGATGTGATCAAGGAACTATTACAATGTGAGGATGAGGACTTGGTGCTGGAGCTGTTTAATTTATTGGTTCGGCCAGACCATGATTTTGAGCTGGTGTGGCATCGGGATGATATTCCGGCGACTGCGACTGCCGAGGAGGAAGTCGAGCGGCTGAAGGAACCGGCGTGGCATGCGCAGTGGAATTTGGCCTTGTTCGATGATGAGAGTTTGATTGTGGTCCCGGGAAGTCATACCCGGGCGAGAACCGACGTGGAGAGAAATGCTGCACCCAAGGAGAAGGGAATTCCTGACGAGATTAAGGTCCAGATGAAGGCGGGCGATGTGGTATTTTATAACAACAATATTTTCCATCGAGGGGCGTATAATAGTAAGGTTGAGAGGATGACGCTGCATGGAAGTATGGGACATGTTGAAGGGAGCAATCTGAGGGCCAGGAATGTCCTACAGCATGGCATTGGCGAGTGGGTTGGCCAGATAGACTTGAGCGGGCTTGATGAGGGTGAGAGGAAGAGGGCCGAGGGTATGAGAGAAAGGTTGGTGAAGATGGGGAGCCATACTGGGGAGTATTCTTTGGAAGGATAGGTACTTAGCAACAGTGGGCCTTGGAATGAGGCAATGGTAAGCACTTCTTTGTATTGTGATTTAAAGCTCTGTAGTTAGATGCAAATACATTAGCAAAAGGTCCACCGACTAAAAAGTTATACCGCTTAAGTCTCCGTGTCAGTGATGGGGGTGTTAAGCATTTGCCTATTGCTTGGCGACTTGGCTCGCCGGGAACGCTAAGTTGAAAGCAAAGTCCATGGCGTGGGGAGTTAGAAACTGATGTCAATGAGACAGCCCGTAGGAAATAAACTCGGGTTATTCGTATAGGTGCGTGCCACAAGAAGGTGATGTGACGAACACCGAACCGTAACCTGCACATCCTTTATATGATTGGGTCTTGCTCAGGAACGGGAGTTTGACCTTGATAAGACGTCCGAAGGATAGTATCGTTTGCCTTTGAAAATGTTAGACTTATTCCAAAACATCGCATCTCTCCTCACTTTAGGAGTTACAACTCAAAGCTTCAAAAGAAAAAAACCAAACAAGATTTACCACACCAACCTCGCTCAAGAAACCAAACCTTTGCGAACCGCTCTTAATACCATAGTAACATCTACACCTTTTAACCCCATCCAAATAACACGAGGATCCCTCACAAAACAATATCATCATGGTTAACATCCTCATCCTCGGAGCAGCAAGCCCCACTAGCCAAACTCTTTACAAGTCGTTGCCTCGCTCCGGCAACCACTGTGTGTACTGCCTAGCACAAACTCCAGAAAGAGCTCGGCCTCTAGGGGTCATCTCAATTCCAGGCGACCTCTTTAACAATGCGAAAATTCAGGAAGGAATCGAAGCGCATTCTATCAATGTAGTCGTCGGTGTCGTCGGTGCCCTAGCTTTTCCGCTACAAGCTCTGCTCGCGGAGCTAAAGAGACTCGGAAGAGCTCGTCTAGCTACTGCTTCTGATGCCGGAAAGGAGATTACGAAACTCGGGTTCATCTACTGCTCAGGGATTGGGGTTACTCGCGATAGCAACAAGCCGGACGAAGATATATTCCCCATCGGACTTCCAAATTCGCGGAAACCACCCGCTCAGCGGATATCGTGGCTCCCGAAATTTGAGCAAGATGTTGTGGACGTCTCCGACGTGCTCGCCGTCATGGTCATGCGATCAGCGTTGGTATATGGATACGCCCACCCGAACTGGTCGAGGTTCTTCAAACCCATCAGCAAGGCTGTACGCTCCGGTGCCACATCCGTCTCCCTTCCTGCGGAACCACATAGTCGACCAGGACTTGTCCATGCGATTGATGTAGCATCTGGGCTCCACGCAGCTATAGACAAACTGGCTTCCGTCTCCAGAAATCATCTGTATCCCGTCTTCGATCTGGTAACGAGCCAAGAGAGTATGAGAGACATTTCAGAGTCTGCTGCGAAGGAGCTTGGGTTTAAAGGAAAAGTAAAGCTCGTTGGCGTCGGGGATGATAGGATGGCAAAGGCGATGTGCACGTCTATAAATGGTTCTTCAGCGCGAGCGAGATTGATCTTGGGTTGGGAGCCAAAGAAAATTGGATTTGTCCAGGGGATGGATATCTATGCAAAGGCTCACGCAGCTTCCAGGTCATACCAGCTTACGTTCTTGTCGTGGCTTTTAGCTTAAATGGGATGAAGGACGCGACACTTATGGGAAACACGGATCATATGCAACAATTCTCTTTTATAATTTCGCTGGTGAAGTTGGGTGATGTCAATGAGAGAATAGCTTCCCAGCTACGAACTGTTCCCTGGAGGACAAGGGAAGCCGCTGATGAACTGTGAGAGTACATATTTACCTACATATATAAATCTACTCTTCAAATAGTCCATAGCCATTTCATCCCATGGCCTATGAACAGGAATAGGGGAGTAGCATGGCCTTCAAGCTCCACATGAGTGGAAGTGGTTTAACGCTGCAGCAGTCGACAGTTATTGATATATCGATCACCGAGAACACATAGGAAATCGTGCCGGGCAGTCGCAGGATTGTTCAGGAAGAGTAGGCGTCAAGTAGGAGCGTTGGTACGAGATGAGATTGGAAAGTAGCAATCCATGTGACAGCGAGCGTTTCACGCGAAGCAAAATCCACCGCCGCGTCGCGTCGCGTCTCGCAAGACTTCATCAACCTCCACCATCGTCTACCAATGCGCCTATCGAGCAACCACAATTATCGATTAGCAGCTATTCTGGGGCCAGATCCCATGCCCAACGTGCATAAAACGCCTCCACTTGGGTGTCAGCGCGCTCAAAATAATGGACATCAATGGCATCCTCGCCAACCTCAACTCGTCCCAGCATGCTGCTGTCTCGTCAGCTGCAGATACATTGGCTATCCTGGCTGGCCCTGGAAGCGGGAAGACCCATACGTTGACTTCACGAACGGCATGGTTGCTGGCCCAAGGTCTTCAGCCATGGAATATCATTGTCGCAACCTTCACTGTCAAATCTGCTCGGGAGATGAAAGAGCGGATTGGAAAGCTCATTGGTAATGGACTTGAGTCGAAGCTTATACTAGGAACTTTCCACAGTATTGCGCGGCGATATTTAGCACGATATGGGCATTTGATCGATATTAAAAAAGATTTTGGGATTGCGGACAGCGCCGACTCCCTCGCGATCATCAAGCGGATAATCAAACGGAATCGATTCATGATAGATCCCAAGGTCGCTCGAAATCGAATTAGCGGTCACAAATCAAGAGACCAACCCCCGGGAAGCCAAAAAACTCCGAAATCGGTCGAGGCACAAGAGTTCGAGATATGTTTTACAGAGTATGAGGCTGCTTTGAAGATCTCGAACCTTCTCGATTACGATGACCTACTCCTGAGATGTGTCGAGCTCCTCCGCAGCCACCCTTCCTGTATATCAAATGTCGAAGCAGTACTTATCGACGAATTTCAAGACACAAACCTGGTACAATTTGATCTTATGCGGTTATTTGCCGCAGAGCGGAAACGTATCACCATCGTAGGGGACCCCGATCAAAGTATATATGGGTTCCGTGCGGCGGAGATAAAGAATTATAAGCGTATGCTTCGACAATATCCAGATACGGTTACGATAGCACTGGAAGAAAATTATCGATCTTCAGGGTCTATATTGCTAGCTGCATTGGGTGTCATTGAGCAGGATACATCCCGTGTGGCCAGGTTACTGATGCCTACTCATACTGTTGGGACTCGGCCTGTGCTTCGCAAGCTTTCTGGGGCTTACAAAGAGGCAGAATGGATTGTCATGGAGATCCAAAGATGTCGTGGCCTAACAGGCAATCTGCTAGATCTAAATGACATCGCTATTCTTTTACGGTCTGCGAGTCTCTCTCGTCTCATCGAGACTGCATTAGGGAAAGCGGGTATAGCTTATAAGATGGTTGGTAAGTTTGCCCAACTCACTAGTTGCAGCTTCCAATGTTGATACAGAGCAGGTGGCCTTCGATTTTATGATCGGGTTGAGATTAAAACCATCCTGGACTACTTAAGAGTTATAAATCAGCCAGATAATAATGATGCCCTTGCTCGAATTATCAATACTCCGTCGAGAAGAATTGGAGAAGCTACCATCAAGCTTTTGTTAGAGGAAGCGAATCGAGGGAAAGTCTCTCTCTGGTCACTGATACTAAGGTCTGTGCAAGGCAACCAAACCCTAGCAATCAAGCTCCAGAAACAAGCGGAGCAAGGACTCTCAAAACTGGTCAACATGATTATTACTGGAGGGAAGAAGTTAGCTGGGACCCTCAAGGAGCGATCGACGATAACAGAAATCATAGAGTTTGTGATTGAGAAAACAGATTATGAAAAGTGGTTGGAAGTACACCACGATGACGTCCATAAGGGGCGGTGGGATAACGTCCAAGAGCTCATCACGCAAGCTTCTGATTTTCAAGACCTCGTAACTTCTGGCTATGAGGATGAGACTCTTCCGCATGTTGAGGGTCTTAAGCAGGAGGACGATGATAATTATTTATCGAGATTCCTTGCCAATGTGGCACTGGCTTCGGAAGTGAAGAATAGCGAGGAGGAAGGTGCGCCAATTGCGCAAGTCACAATTTCAACAATCCACGCGGCTAAAGGTCTCGAATGGCCGGTGGTTTTCATTCCAGCGACATATCAGGGCTCCATACCTCATTCCAGAGCCGAGGATGGCGATGAAGAACGAAGATTATTGTATGTGGCGATGACAAGAGCGCAGGCTTTGCTTTATATGAGCTATCCGCTCAAAAGTTCCTCCGGGGAGGCAGCAACTCTATCACCTTTTCTCGCCCCACCATCGACAACTCGACTTCTTGAGAAGAGAGGACCCTCGCTTGGGTCGCATACCGTCCAATCAATATCACAAATTCTTCGACGAGACCTGCCCTCCGTAAGCTCAATATCAGAATCATGCTCCTCACTTCGCAGTATTGAAGATGACATATTTCCCGTGGATGGCGAGGACAGCAAAGAAGCCGAGTCGAAGTTTAACTCTCTTATGGGGATTCCAACTTTTAGCCTGGGACAGCAAGCCCCCAAGCGTCGAAGAGTTGAGCTTGGTCGATCTATGAGCAATATCGAGGGTGTCGCGGGTCAGAATTGGAAGCCATCATATACTACTACGATGGATAGAGCATCGACTATGGGATTTGTAAGCGCAGGATCACATCTTGAAGTGCTAAATGAGCAATCAATTAATGGTGGGAAAGGACTGATCCAGGATGGAGTGCCGAAGCTTGAAGAGAAAATTCTAGCTGGAAAGACCAAAGCCAAAGTGCTTAAAGGTCAAGGCAATTTACTAGCCTTTGTGGGTAAACCCCAACCTGACCTCAGCTCCGCTATGCTACACCCCACAGAATCGACAGTCCCAAGGGAATCAAAGATGGTCTCCCAGGCACCAAAGACAGTCAATTGCTTCAATAGGCCCAGAATAGCAGCATCAACCAGCGAAAGACCTGGTATTACGCCCGCACTTGCAGCACATCGTCTTGGACCATCACAGATAGGCAGTCGACCACGCCTACAAGTCCCAGAAACCGAACCACAACGTCGAAACGAATACGTATTTCTTTCCAGCTCACCACCGAGGCCACAGCCCGTGATACCAGATGGCCCCCATCCCCCAGAAACCCCAGCTGGTTTGACCACAAAGCCGCCTTTGCTACCCCTTATCCGCCCAGCGCTTTCGATGCACACAACCAGTATCTCTATACTCAATGGCTCGATGGCAACGAAAAAGACTCTTGGTGTTAAGCGAAGTTTAGATGGCTGGTCAAGTAGGAAGGGGCAGTCGTTTGTACCCCCTTCTCAAAAACGCCCCTAATGATTCATGAGTTGGGATTGATGTCATCCTATGGAAAGGGTAACTAGAGTTTTTGGATTAGCTGGTCAAAGATATATATATGGCGCACAAAATAGACTGTAGCGCCGCTTGCAGGACTTCAAACAATCACACATTTCAACTGAAACGGCTACTCATACATGCTCCAAGCATTATCCTACGGCCTTCCATCCGCGCTCCTTTTGATTGCTTTGAAGTCCGAAATACAACTAGGCCCTCCTAAGTCCTCCATACCTGCTTTGCCCCTGTACTCCACCAAGGCCTCTTAACCAGATTACCCTCTCAACAGAACTAGCCTCTACAAGATAGCCAAAGATTGAGAATTTATATCTTCTATTAGTTCTTTGGCATTTGCATAGCTCAATGTATGCATGCATATTTGAACTAGGCATGAGTATAATACAAACCGCTTAGACGTGTCATTCATTCATTTCAGTCCTTTGATCCAACCCAAAGTCAGGCCATAGAGTCATGTCATATCACGCTTCCAAGGCCTCGGTTGGAGCAGGACTATCCACATCCTCGCCCATGTTTGTCCCAACAATCTTATCTCCCTTAACCGTCACCTCTTTATCCCTCAGCTGCCTCATCAACCGTAAAAAGTTACTGTTCTGAAACTTGGAGCTTTGGTCATCCTGTACATTATCCAGTAACTGGCTCGCCGTGCGAGCAAGCGCGTCGTGATCTTGAGGTTGATGTTGGGTTTGCCAATTTGTGCCTGACGGGTGATGGATCTGATCTGCGCCTATAAGCCCTTGTGTGGTAAGAGTCTCCTCTGATTCCAGGAGCCGCTCAGCAGACTTATCGAGTAGGATCTCTTCGCCTAGTTGACCTTGTTGTTGTTGGCTTGCCGCTTCTTGTATGCCATCCACCTGAGAATCATCTTGCTCAGCCTCTAGTCCTTGTTGTGCAACCTCATCTTCCAGCTGGGCAGCCTCCTCAAATGCCCGCGCGAACGCCGCCTCATCGAACACATCTTCCTGCTGTCTCTCCTGCGCCATCGAAGACGACTGTGCTTGCGCACTCGTAAATCCCCCCATATGCTGACCGCCCATGTGTTGACCGCCCATATTAATCCCATTCATAGACGAGAATCGATATGAAGGCCCTGCCTGACCAGCAGGGAGTTGCATATTCCTATCCGCCGCCACATCACCCTGGTGTCGCACGAATTCTTGACGCCACCCCTTTGTATTTTGTCCTTGCGATCTAAACGGTTGGTGTAGCTGAGGGATCGGGTTTGAAATGTTCAAGCGTTGGAAATCCGAGGCCCATCCCGACGCGCCAGGTTGCTGGAAGGTCTGGGGCGCTTCAACGAAGCCTTGTGGGTGTGGGCGCAAGCCTTGGGCTTCGAAAGGCAGGTGGCCAGCTTGGAAGGCTTCGAATTCTGGGTCTAGGAGACCGGTATTGGCACTGGAGGTCCTGAAGCCCTTGGGATTCGTTAGTATGGGCGGTCTGGCATATAACAAAGAAAGTTGAGGCGAAGCTTACTTGTGAAGTTGGATGTCTCTGGACAAGACGGTCCTGTTGCAATGTCCGATCGACGGTACTGTGCTTTTGGAAGTTCTGCAGGGCATTTGATGGCCCACACATGTTATCCGCCATGGTGAAAGGAGTATGCCAGTCTTGTTACTGGCCTGTTCTTTCAATGGGAATGTTGTGGCGTGGAGTTGTTTTGTGAGGTTGCGACGATATCGGTATTATTATCTGCCGAGCCGAGGTTGTTTTTCGCCCCCCGGCGACAGTGAATGTGACCTGCAAGGCAGCGACAAAGTTTACCTGATCGTGGGTCTATAGTCTGATATCGAACTAGGACAGGCGGAGCCTCTTATTATATATTTATTGACAAGAAGGAGATAATGAGAGAGGATCAAGAGAAATTATTATATTGATACCGATTTATACTACGTCCGTGTTCTAAAACAGGGCCCGTAAAACATAGTTAGGATATATAGGTTCTTATAGAAGCTAGAATAGCCCCTAACAAGGATAAAACAGTGGGCTAGTTAAGGACTATACCAGCATTGTAAGTAGGTATAGTAGCTAGCTAGCCACCTTAATTTTGGCCTTACCACGTCCTAGTAAACCTTAACAATATAGTCGAACTAGCATAGAGACCCTCTTCATGACCCAGGCAGTCATCAACTTGGGAAAGATGCCTCGTGGAGGTCGTATCATCAGCATTGGATTAGTAGAATCGAAAAAGATACAGGTAATAGCACAGGGTCTATGGTGTTACAAAGGCAGAAACAGACTCTCTCACTTCATCATGGGCTTGGGAGGCAGGCCTTTCATGCTAAAATGGAGTAATATGTTTGAAAGGCACTAACTACAGTATTAGCTTGGACGGCGCCACGGCATATCTATCAACACCGTCGCACTAGGCCCGTCGATACTGTTATAATTGGCGATGGTGTTGCCAATGTGGCAGATCCATCGATCAATAAAAATACATTCATGGCCCTATTTGTCGAGGTGACTAATGAAGAGAGGCGCGTAAGCACTATTGACGATATTGCTAATGCTGTTCTCCTACTTGTTTCTGAGAAGAGCCGCCGGACAACTAGTCAGTTTATCGCCGTTAGTTGCGCTATCGACATGTAGTTGCCTGTAGAGAGCTAGATAAAGCGGAAACCAACGATAAAAACACGTGCTTCTTTAGTCGCTATATTGATTCAGATAATAGGTCGAAGCGTTCATCAAGGCTCACTATATGATTCCATGAAATTCAAAATCTCCTGATTTCTCTAATTGAGTATACTATAGCGCTTAAATAACTGCTATAGGGTTATACTACGCGCTCAATCCAACAATCTTTTCCTAGCCTAAGCTAGTCACGGATATTCGTCATTAGCCGATACCGATGAAGAGGCATGGGGAGAAATTTGGGTAACTCCACGAAATTCTAGACTGACCTGACTTAGCATTCTTCAGCTATGATAGAGCAAAGTATAATATAATATATTATCAAGTAAAAAATCCTATAAAGCATCAAATCGGAGGGAAGAAATAAAGAGGGAGCTTCTTGCTGAAAGTTGAAGCCGAAGTAGGAAAACTTTTGATAGGGGGCCTGGAGGTTTACATTGTTGAAAATGGAGCGCAAAATACAGCTAGTTTCAATACTATATTACTATTATACTATAAACTTTTCCCTATAATCTAGGGTTTATAATATATACTCGATTTAATGTTGCGAACTTACAATCATCCAACTAGACCAGAAGTAGGGTGTCATTTTTAACTCAACTCCTGGAAATTAAAAGAAGATACTAAAGTACCTAGAAGTTTAGGTAGATGCGTTTCGAATTTATTAACCCTAACATAACAGCTCCCGGGCGTGCGATCCGGGAATTTTATCCACGACTTAGTATATATAAGATATCCCAGGTCTTGAGTTATCCCAACCACAACAAAATAGGGGCACTAGGCCTGCGAGATACTTACACAGCACCTGAAATCTTAAAGCCTTCTCTTTAAATATATTCTAGTTACTAAATAAACCGATAATAAGAAGACTCCCACCGCAGAGACACCTATTGCGAGTGTGACCTTAAGCTGCCATATAGGTAACTAAGGTCTCAAGCATCTAATTGGCGGTGAAGACGAATCGTGGCTAAGACGCACTAACGGAAATTATACAATGAGATAAACTACTTTAGTCCTTATGTTGAAGGTAAGAATTGAGGCAATCGATCTCGATGACATTCAGGGGCTTAAGCGAGGACAGGGAACCAACCAAACTCCGAAAGTAAGGCTTGATAGAAGCCACACTAACTTTTTATACTTTTAATCAATATTATTTATCGTACTAGACATAATCATAGGAACATAATTGTAAGGAAGGATAGGTCTGACATTATCAGGTTAGTTCTGGAACTCTGTTACTAATGTCAACAAGCTGACTAACCCCCCTGACATAGATTTTCGTCCGCCGAGCTTCATGCTCGAAGGTTCGCCAACCACTAATTCCGACGCTACTACACCAGCTATCAGCGACGTGGCTCTAGGTGTGTAAGACAGGAGTTTAAGCCCCCCGAGAAGGGTTCAACCTGTTTTGCTAGGAAAAGGGGCCGCCAGATAGAGCCTACGATCCCGATGTGAGGGTGGAGGCACACTCCCAACATGTGAGGATGGTGGGAGCCCTTGTCCTATCCCTGGCATTCCTAACCCATGTCAATTAACTACTGCCCTGAGGACTATATAAATCTTTTCTTGAGGTGATAGCGAGGTAAAAATCGAGCGCAAATATAAGAAGCTATCCCAGGCCTTACACGGATCTTTACCCGCACGGGAGGATATCGAGCTGATATCTAAAGCTCGCGCTCATGATATCTCTATCGTTTCCCATCAAATGACCATCCCGTACATTGTTGCCGACCAGAGCAGCCAGAAAGAATCAGAGAACTTGCCCGAGATGCCCGGACCGAATAAACACCCTGTGCTGATAGCAAGGCGCATGCTCTATCTTGCTACTTTCCTGCACCATCTCCATATCGATTTACATACGTTAAATAAACTGTCGGGACCACTACAGTCCACGGGTAAAAGCGAAACGGTTGGCGGACACTGCTATCGGTCTCGTCACAACAAACAAGGAGCTCCTCAGTAGTATCGAAGGCTTCGAGTGTGTCATGATAGGGAGCTTGTATCGGGCTAATGGGGGGAATCTGCCACGAGGTTAGATAGCGGTCCGGAGAGCTATGATTATTGCGCAATTGATGGGCCTCCACTGATCAAGCGGTCGACCCCAGGAAAAGAAACAAGCTTGCCCACAGCTCATGTTGCTCCGAATTGTATCCTGCGACCGGCATTTCTGTCTCGTGTTAGGCCGTCCACAAGTCTTTCTCGATCGCGGCATGGCTTCTGATACGATGCTCACAAACGCCACGCTCGTGGGGCGCCTCAAACGGATGCACTGTGTCCTCGCATCTCGCATAGATATCTCGTACACTCCGTAGGTTTTGGGGAAATGAGCCAGGCCAGGCTAAAGGATATGCGGTGGGGTATGGACGACTCATCACCGACTCGAACAAGAACCTACTTGGCTACTCATACCACCCATCGGGGGACTCACGAGGCATGGCGCGTGCGAGTCAGGATGGTTCCTTTATTGCCGATTTCCAGGATCCCAATGGTGGATCTCCGGTAACCGCGTCGCATACGAGTGCTTCTAAAAACTTAGGACAACCCGCTCATGAATAGAAGGGGGTAGCGGCTCCCCCCACTACTAGGCAGCTATTTGGTGTGGTTTGAGGTAGTGATGCAGTTCGGCTGCTGTAGTTGGTTTCTCGATAAAACGGCTGTAGCTATTCTGAATTTCTGATTAGGGCTGATGATTTGCTTTGGGTCTTGTTGAAGGGTTGAAATAGCGCTGATATTGAGCAAGTTGAAAGAAATAGATTGCGTTTAGTTGGGGGCTGTTAGGTGGTAGTGCGTAGTTACAGGTACTGGAACATTATTTGAGTTGAGCATGGAACTCCTATCCACGTGGAAATCCTCTCGCCATATGGTTCCTCGTGCTGTCACAGTTCTGAATATCGGCAATTCATTCCCTAATCCCTTTTGTCAGGATTATAAGTCACGAATAGTCCAAAGTAGTAACTATAAGTACTAGGTAGATATAGTCAAAGGGTATGTAAGATTAATAGATAAGGACGATTAACCTAATTACAAGAGTATAAGCTACTCATCTAGTTATATAAGCTTAGCTTATATTAAGTCTAATTCGGACTTATTGCCAGTGTTTCTAAGGTATTGGGAACAGGTAGAAAGAGTTGATTGATTCTAGTAATAGAGGTGGAGAGAAGTCCAAGTTATATATAGGTAAAAGTGGGCCATATTTGCCACATGTAGCATATACGTCGAAATCCTGATTTTTGCATCGCCGAAACTCAACACTTATTAATACTAATCTGTATATATATATATATTTCTAATACTCCTTTATTTGTAGTTAGGCTTAAATATTTAAAATTCGACTTTTAATTTAGTTAATTTACTTATATTTTAGGATTGTCATGTGAGCATCGCCTGACGGCCCGCCACGGTCCAAGCACAGGTTCATTCAGCCTTCTCCTTCGGATAAACTAAACTCCGAAGCTCAACCGACTGTCGACAGCCTGGCCGCAATCAACAAGTTCCGCGACCACAACATACACATATACATCTTGACCAAACAGCCCAATTTGTGTCAAGATGGCACAAGTTATCTCCAATTCCGGTCACGATGACATGATTGTAAGTACCAGTACCTCTCACCTCCCCCAAGTCCAAATCGAGCTGCTAAGGCCAGCTATCGTGTTCTGATACAAAGCGCATCCCCCCTCAAGAAACTGGAACTCATACTGATTGTCCCCCCCCACTAGCACGATGCAGTACTGGATTACTACGGTCGCCGCCTGGCAACATGTTCATCCGATCGCACCGTCAAGATCTTTGAAGTGGAAGGGGAATCGCACCGGTTGACAGAAACATTAAAAGGGTACCTACAATTCGAGTCCACCTCATCATCTAGTTTTCCTCAAACATACTCTCTAACACAGCACCCTCCTCAGACACGAAGGAGCAGTCTGGTCCGTCTCCTGGGCCCACCCCAAATACGGTAACATCCTTGCCTCCGCAGGCTACGATGGCAAAGTTTTTATCTGGCGCGAACAAGGCAGCACCTGGACCAAGGTCTTCGACTTCGCCCTGCACACCGCATCCGTTAACATCATCTCTTGGTCCCCTCACGAGTCCGGCTGCCTGCTCGCATGCGCCTCCTCGGACGGCAGCGTCAGCGTCCTAGAATTCAAGGATAACTCCATGGATCATAAGATTTTCCCAGCTCACGGTATTGGTGTCAACTCGGTATCGTGGGCTCCGAGCAGCGCGCCGGGGAGCTTGGTTAGCAGTTCGGGTGGGCAGGGGGGCGTCAGACGTTTTGTGACTGGTGGAAGTGATAATGTGTTGAGGATTTGGAGTTACGATCAGGCCTCGCAAAGCTATAAGCAAGACGGGGAGCCATTGACGGGACATACCGATTGGGTACGTGACGTAGCATGGAGCCCTACAGTACTGCAAAAGAGCTACATTGCTTCAGCTAGCCAGGACAAGACGGTGCGTATCTGGACGAGTGATCCTAGTAATCCTGGCTTGTGGAACAGCAAGGTGTTGCAGTTTGAACATGTCCTATGGAGAGTGAGCTGGAGCTTGAGCGGGAATGTGCTGGCTGTGAGCGCTGGGGATAATAAAGTTAGTCTGTGGAAGGAGAATCTGAAGGGCGACTGGGAGTGTGTGAAGAATATCGAGGAATAAAGCGATCCCGACCCAGAAGACTGTTTATGGCGTTGTGGGGAATGGAAAGAAAAGCGCGTAGCTTCTTACTGAGTTCTTAAATCATGAGTATTGAAAACCTTTATCCCACGCAAGGCATTTATACCACCTTTTCCCTATCTCTCGTTGCCTTCCAGATTTTGCTAGGATTATATTCACCCATTGTCTCAAGTCACATCCAACCCATCAATAACGATCATTGATTTTCTATTTTCTATTTAATTTCAAACTGCATCCCTTTAATCTAAATACGTTCATGACAGTTCATGGTCAAATCAGCTGTACCTTCCCTGCTTGCAATTCCTTCCAGCCTTAATTGATTTTCCCTGTTGACATGCCATGAAGTATGAAGGTCGAAAATAGAATAAGCGGATCAAATGAGATTTTATGTGCTGGAGGGCGTTTTGACGGCAATAAGATAAGTCGAATAAGGTACCTGCAGGAAATAAATCTGACTGAAGATCGCCAAGAAACCGTACGCCGCGTTGAATTCTTGAACTTCGGACCATGTGAGCCGAGTCGAGATGTGCGGTTTTTGTACTGTGGTATCTGGTGAGCGCGTATGGTTGATGTGACATACATGTTGGGCAATGTAAGGAAAGAGGCTATCGACAAACTCCAAGCGGCGGTCGATGTCCAACGACGTCTTCTGAGATTATAGACACCCATTGGGGTAGGCACTTCTAATCCAGGACGTCGTTTAACTTCCAGCTCCATTTTCACTACAAATAGTTCTGTAGGAATTTGATAGGATCAGTTCGATCGTAGCAACCATCGATGGCACCTCTGTCGACATTCCACCAAATAAAGGGGCCGGACATGGTTGCCACATCTTTCGGGTCATCGTAAAAGCCCCACCATCTCCCAACAATGCAGCGGCCACCGGGGAGAACACAACCTTCGTAGCTATAAGCAATTTGACTGTCGACAGCTCCTGGCTTTGGGTAATAGAACATGACGAATGTGATGCGCTGGAAGCCGTGGAACCCTTGTTGATGCGGAATGCCATGGATGCGGCCATAAAAGTATCCAGTCTTATCTCCGTCAGATATGCCATAGAAATTAAGGATCTCTGGAGCCGTTGGCATGTTACGTCTACTACGGCGACAGGCCGGAGGGGAGGTAGTTGATCGGAAAGGATCGCTCGGGATGGAGCCTTCAAAGGCTGGGGGCCACACCTTCGAAGAAAATTGTTTCTCATCGAAGGAGATTTCGATGTCCTAGAAATTTCAGCTTGCTTCGAAATCGAAGATGAAAAGAATACGGGAGTACCTGGAACGTCTCTCCTAAATCTAATGAATCCGAGTAAATGCCGCTATCCTGGCCCCTATGATTCCTCAGCTTGAAAAGCTCGCTCTCGTCCATATACACTATAATATATCAGCAAAAATCGTCGATGATGGGAAAAGAAGCACCCACTATGACAACCTTTCCAAAAGGATCCCAGAGGCTGGGTTCCCGCCTTGATTCGGCCAATCCATGTTTGAGGATACTGATCCGACGGAAGGAAATTGTATGCATGTGAGAGTAGGCCTTCTCCGACAGTCTTGAGGTGAAACTTAAAAAAGTTAACCACATTCAATAACCACAGCACATTGACATTCTGCATGAATTTGCCAGTGAATATTGGTTGAGCTTCCGATGTAGCGTAAGTTTGAGCTTGGGACAAGTCAAAGTGAGAGACCTTAGCATTGCAAAAGTCTGGGTGCAGAGATATTGGCGTGAGGATCAATTGAACAACGAAGGCAAGTGTGCCGTCCTCCTTGGCGGACACGATATCCTTAACGTCAAAGTGGCTCTCAGTATTAAGGACGGCATCAATAATATCGATATATGTGCCGTTTCCTGTGTCAGAGGTCATATCACGTATAAATTTGATATTTCGGCCTTCGATAGTCTCTCGTCCCCCTTCATGGACAACCCTTTTGGCATCGGATTCTATAAAGAATTAGCAAGCCCTGAGTACAGTAGTCAGGGCAAGGCTTACCGATAATAAGGGTCCGCAAAAGGTCCAGCCAGTTTTTCTGGTTGAACAACTGTGTCTCACGGGCTTCATTGCTTATCCGGCCTGCGTACTGCTTCAAGTTGAAAATCGTGACCTCATTGGAAACGATGTGTCTGTATTTGTACTTCTTGAAGAGCGACTGATTGGTTTCACCATCGCTATAGTCATACTTGCGTAGAAACCGTTTGCGCCAGACGCTGGTGGTGACCGCGGCGCTGGCAGCGTGGCAAATCCGGGCATATTTAGCAACGTCGGAGTCATTTGGCAGAAACTCCATGATCAACTGATGGAGCTATATGGAGCGCACATATTAGCTGGAATCTGGATGGTCGCAAATTTTGAAAACAATGTGGTAGACAACTAATTTCTGAAGACTTGTAGTCTGAAATAACCTCTGAGCGATATGCATCGATACTGAGATTTGGCGAACATATGATTGGGGGGGGAATTACCCTGCTTTGCTAGAGAAGCCAAGCAAGAACAACTGAAGGGGCTGAATAGGTGAAGAGGTAGGGGTAGATCGGCAAAGTGAACTGGACCCGTGATATAGGAGCTATATGTAAGAACGTACCTCGAGGGACAACGACTTGAAGGCTTTGCCTTCCGCACCATCCATGATCATTATATCGTTTGAGAGGGTAAGGGAGGAAGTTTGGATATCAATCTCCTTCGAACCAGTGCAGGCTATGGTCAATGGTCTTTGACGGGCCTGGAGTTTCGTAATGGACCTAGTACCCGCCATTGTGATGAGAGAACGATTGATTTGGTGGCTTGAACCTGAGAGGAGTGCGGTCTATGGCTTTGAAAATTAAATGAGAACCAATCAATCGAGTGTTTTAAAGATGTCAGATTACTTACAAGATTTGTCTTCTGAGATAGAAGTTGATTTGGACCTTGTACCTTGTACCTGAACTCCGAATCTGATTTGGCCTGATCTCGCCCTTGTGAGGGTGCAAAATTACCTTGGTGCAATTCTCAGGTTGGTAATTTCAGAGAGCGGTGGTAACTGAATGTGTATAGGGCTCATGCAATCAGGAAAGAGTATCTCGTGCACTGAAAGGATGTTGAGATTGTGGTGTAGGTGGTCAGCGAAAGTGAAGCGATGCTGCGATTGCCGAATGGGAAACTGAAAGGTTGCGGGTAGTAAGGGGGCTTCCGGGGCTATGAAAGATCCGCCGGCAAATTTATACAGTTGTCACCGCTCGTTCAGCGGTCAGCACATTGGTGATATTAAATCTCCAGCTTTTAAAGGTGAGAGGCGACGACAACATGAAATTGGTAAACGAGCGTAGAGAAGGTCTACTACTTGTTTGCGTCAATTACTATTGACGATTCTTGGGAAGCATAGAAGTAGAGAAGTAAGCCGGTGGGAATGAAGGTAGAGCCTTTAGAGTAGTTACGTTGATGTTGGGAATGGACATGTGGGTTTCGCCTACAAAACGAAAAGGGGGGGGGAAAGAACGTTGGAGCATCTGGCAAAGACCAATTGCCAACATGAAAACCACATCGCAAAGCAATATAACACGAGGATAATGCCCCAAGTACATTGAGAATTTGATATCTACGATAGAGATTAATACTGGCTGATCCATATCCAGCATTTCCTCAAAAGCGGACGTATGACTAATATTGAAGCCTCGGAAGAATACTCGGTTCTAATGCACCGTTTCAACATTTAAAAGCGAATAATGAAGACTCCATATGTCTATATGGAACATGCAACAGAGCCCGCGTGTACTGCACAGCTTGTACAGTGCCATGGAGCTACCAGTACGCCTTTATAAACCACTTAACGATACTACAGTTGATCGGGGCTCTCTTCGACGCGTCGCAGGCTCTACAAATGCTCGCTTTATCAACGTTCTCCTTCCTGACAGATACTGGAATATAAAAACCTTACGGGGTTATAAACCCGGTTTCCTTGGACAAATTTGAAGAATGAGATGGAGCTCGGCCGTATTCGCATTGTAACTGTAATTTCCAGGCCCGAGGCGCGAAGACTCCGTTGAACTCTTGTTGTTGCGTTATTATATGATTACAGGTATTAGCGATGGCGTAATTAAGAGAGAGTCTACTTCATATGAGGATAGGAAGTACCGTCTTCAAACACTTTGTTCGTTGTCTGTCATTGGTCACATGACTGTCCCCTTTCCTCCTCTGCCTACCCTACCTACCTACCTACCTACCTACCTACCTACCTTAGGTACACAAATCAAAATAAGTAATTTGGGCATTAAGGAAGACAAGGGCGGCCACTTGGCTAAGTGGTTCGGGTCAAATTGTCTTCTGGAGAGGATCGATAGGCCCAAAAAAAACGACAAAACACGACAAAAGTCGACAAGAAGATGTAGGTAATCGACCGGGCCGAACTCTTTTGCTTCCGGGGTATATAATAATATTTTTGCCTCTTTTTCCTGTCTCCCTGTTTCGCCTTTATTATCTCGAGATCCTTCTTTTTAACTTCGCTAACTCAAGTATTGTGGGTTGCGAGTTGGCGAGAGTGGCCACCGCCTACCTAGGCGAATTGCCAACCGCCTGTGTAGTTAATCAGCCTCTGCTTTTGTAAGAGGATCAATTACTTTTGCTGTAGAGTATTACTTAAATTGTACCGCGACTGTGCAGAGTACTGCCAACCTGCTAGCCCGCCAGTCTATGTTGTCTGGATAGGGGGGGAGGGGGGTCTCGAAGAGGGGGTAGACGAATTACAACCGGTGCTTGTGGAACGCATTGTAGTATAGTACTATAAGGAAAGTTAGAGGCCGGGGAAGTCGACGCTATAGGCACGTTTCCCGCTCGTCTATATTATACTGCAATTATAATACAACTTCGTGTAGAAGCTCAGAAGATTCACTCTTTTGAAACGTCGTCTCGAGACGAGAGTCGATGCTAGCGGCCGCTCCTTGAACCACCTCAGCAAGGGGGGCTTGGGAACCTTCACTATCTCTCCTGTCCAACGTCTCTATTTCTATTGAGAATCAAAATCACTTACTTAAGGTAATATCAACAAAATTCCGCCGCTTCCCTCGGCCTTGATTAAAAATTGCTGCCCAACCTACCTAAAATCATATCCAACCTAATAGCTCACCAAAGTCGACAAGCCTACTATGATTCTGCCAGGCTGTGCTACTAAGTTCCGTTGCGTTACGACCGCTCACCAATTCTAGTTTCTGCCATGTCGTTCTGCCAGGCGGCATAGTTTCGTTGCGTTACGATCGCTCGCCACCTTTTGATTCTGCCACTACTGATACTTCTACTATCTTTATTTGGTCAGGCATCTATTTCGTTGCGTTACGACCGCTCACCACCTTTATTAGCTCTGCCGGTTGATTCTGCCAGGCTTAAAGGCTTAAACCTCTAGTTCTACCAGGCGGTACTAATTTCGTTGCGTTTCGACCGCTCACCACTTCTGGTTTCTGCCAGTTATTTTGCCAGGCGGCATTATTTCGTTGCGTTACGATCGTTATTCACCACCTCTTATTCTGCCTAGTACATGGCAGGTAGATGGATACCGGCGGATGAACTGATCTTCAATGTCGACTAAAATCCTATGAGTTTTTATCCTAAATGAACGTCAAATAAGGACTTATACAGGAAAAGCCCTTTCACCTTAATAACCTGTCCGTGAACGTTCATTGCCATAGGCCTTGTCATCTGAATCAATAAACAGTTTTATACCATGGCAGCTTGTCTTCTCACCTCGTGTTGTGCTGAATAGCCGAGATAATGGTTTGAGGAAGGTTGTCACAAAATGTTACGCTGCTAGAATTATGGGTAATTGTAAAATTATTAAGTTTCTATAGACATGCCTCTCGTCCAGCTGATACAAACTCCCCTATTCTTCCTATCATCATCAAATTATCTCGCTCATCCTCCGAGTAGAAGTAGTGCGGTGATATTCTAAACATTCATGCGAAAAAGAAAATCACCAATAATCACGCTAAGCCTCAAGACCATTTGTAAATGTACGGTTTGGGGGGGATATCTTTGTATTTCAAGAACAATATCCGAATCAACCCAAAGCCTCCACGCGCCTCGTATTTGTTTTCCCTTTCCCTGGTATCAAGATAAGATCATCCCTCAGAAAATTCTCGAGGTTTACATGACGAGGTAGCCGAGTCCGAGACCCAAGGCCATGACGGACATGTCCAAGAATCCGTACTGGCGTTGAGGCTTGACGGAAGAGGCGGCGCTTGCGCTGGTCTGTGCTGCTCCACCGGCAGTGTTGGTTGCTGAACCAGTGGGGTTGGAGTTTCCGTTTCCTCCGGCGCCAGTTGGGGTTGCGGTGGTCAGGGTAGTGCTGTTGGAACCAGTGGGAGAAGCGCTGCTGGTGCTGTTGGCGCTGGCAGTGGGCTTGGCTGAGGCAGAGCTGCTGGAGTTCTTGGTACTGGTGGCGGACTTGGAGGCGGAGCTGGAGCTGTCAGAGCTGCCCTTACCATCGCATTTGCCGGAGGACTTGATGCTCTGGTAGCTTCCGGTCAAATCGCCGTAGGTGTATTCACCGCCGCAGCCGTAATCTTGGACGGTAACAGACTTGACGAATTGGGAGAATGGCCCCTTGGTGAAATCAGCTGGTCCACCGGCCCAGTCGCAGGTACCCTTGGTCTTCGGGTCCGCAGCGGCGGCGGCATCGGCACATCCAACCCAGCTGCCCATCTTGACCTGCATAGGGGTCTGAGGATAGTTGGCACCGCCGAGGGTGAGAGGATCATCGTATGGTAGGGTGCGAACGACTTTGCCATCAATGCTCCACTTGATCGACTCCTTGGTCCAGTCGATCTCATAAGTGTGGAAGGAACCGAGGGGATCGGCCATGTCGTGGTAGATGGCACGGTTGTAGGTGGTCGTGTTGCCCTTGCCGAAGAAGTTGCTCTCAACGGAGGTATCGGTAGATCCGATCCACTCCCAGTCAATCTCATCGAGATCGTCCGACTCGAGGATGAAACTGCTCACAATTCCGGCTCCCGGGGCGGCCTTCAACTCAACGGTGACCTTTCCGAACATGATGAACTTGTTCATTGAAATCGTAGGTGCGTTGGTCTTGGTCTTGATCTCGAAGTTGGCACCGTTCTTGGCATCGTAAGAGAGGGTGGTTCCATCCGCGAGTTTCCAGTCATCACTCTTGCCCTTGGTGAAATCGGTCGTGAGAGTCGTGCCTAGGCCAGGGTTGGAGGGGCAGGCTAGTTTCATGTTAGCTGTGTTCCTAGATGTTTTCGCTGTGGAGAGCAATCAAGGGTGGCATACTCTTCTTTGTGGGATCACAGTCAGTGAAGGTCTGGGCCTGAACCAGCTGAAGAGCTGCCAGGACGGCTGCCGCCGCAGAGAATGTAGTACGCATAGTGTATGGAGTTTGTTTGTTCTGTTTAATCGGTTGGGGTCGTTGTTACAGGAGGTCTATAGACGGAAATGCTGATAGCAAGAAGAAATGGTAGCACCAAACGAGTGTGGTTGAGATAGACAGTGGTGAAAGATGGGGAAAGAAGAGAGACGAGGAATGGGCTCGACTGAAATACGAATAGCAAACACTCGAACGAGAGACAAGACGGGGGGACGTGGACAGGAGGAGAAAGCCCCTTTCATAATAAATAGGCGCACGAGTACGTACAAGGTCAGCCAAGCGGCGCCATGCTCTGGTTCCTTACGGTCCCTGCAGCGACAAGCCCACCATCTCTCGTTTTGCCCTGGGCAGCCTGGCTTGGACAAACACTGCTCCGCCCCGAGCCCCTTAGGGGTAAAAAGAGGCTATGTTGATTGGCTTTATCACCGTCCTTCGCGGCGGCAACCACTCAAAGAAGCGCAAAATGGGCGTGGCCCCTGATGCTGGCCCTGCACAGCTAATCTGCTTATGGGGGCTTGAGCGTCATGCTGGAATCCGGAATGCAGGCTCCAATGTTGGGGCTGTTGGTCCCACCGTACTTCACAGAGCGGAGTAGAGTGGTGCGTGTCCTATGTAAAAAGTGGTCATTATTATTGTACTCGTAGGATAGCAGTGTTGTGTTGTGTTGTGTAGTGTCTTGCGTAGTGAAGTCTAGTGTGCCCCACAAGCGACGCTCAAAAGGATGAGACTCGTGGGAGTACGAGGTCGTCGAAGTGGCACCGGTCGTAACAGCGTCTGCCAGCCTGCGTGGCGATCAGCTCTCTTCCCGCTCACTTGGACCTCGTGCCAGTGTTTTGGCTCTGCTCGCCAGCCTCTTCTTGCTCCACGGCGTGCTCCGCCCTGGCTGTTTGTGAGGCCACTTCTGGCTGTCCCGGCGTGGCCGCTGGCTGGCAGTGGCTGGAAGGGGCCTGGGAAATTCCTGCGAAACACCGCCGTTGACCAGTAGCGACGCCGTGTGACTCTGCCAGTGTCTCTCCTCCAAAAACGGCCCTTAGAGCCGCAACGCTTCGATTCGTGGTGCGCTTGAAGGGTTTCGTGTCCAGGACCTCCTTGTGTCAGCTGGGAGGCCGCTTGGCCAGATTGGGCATGATATCCCGTATTCGCCAGCTTCGCCAATACGCTAACACCAGTAAGTGGCTGTGCAATCAATAGAGTATGATGATAAGTTATTTCCGGAACTTTGTTTTAAGGCTGCATCATACTCCATATCTTCGTGCAATGCCTGTGTTATTCCTCGTACGAGTGGGTACGGTGCTGGGAGGTGGACTTTGGACTGACAAAGTACTGACAAAGTCCACGATGTGAATAGCATCATGTTGCCACAGAGGCCTGGACGCAGCATACCACTCCACACCACTTCCCCAGGCATCAACATCAACATCAACATCCTCTGCTGACACTGCAAGAAAAGACATAGTCACGTGCACGACACACCCTCCACATCCTTCTCAGGATTTTGTTCACCTTCCCGTTGGGGAAATTTAGAAGGAAGATGGATGAAAAGTTTCATCCGTCGTTTCATCTCCTTTTCCTTCGCCCTCGCGTCACTGCATACGGCGAGTACGAACGACTGGCGCTGGATCGCTCAGTCTGCCGAGGACTGGGTAGGAATCCGGAGAAGTGCAGTTGCAATTCGACCAAATTAAATTAACCCGCCTGCCAACACTACCAACTCCGATTGGGCTACTTGGCGCTAACCCACCAGCTATTTTACCCATTATTACTTATTATCTTGGTGTTGGTCAAATCTCGCTCTTGGCCTGCGAAGTCGCTGGGGGAGAATAATAATAATTTCATTTTATAGAACGCATCCTTTGCCTGCTCCGGGTGTCACGTCGCACGCACTCGTCATTTGATGCAGTTGAATATTCTCCAAGTCCGGGGAAATGCCGTGTCCAGCACCACGTACTATAGCAACGGGCGATATGCGCCTTAACACTTGCCCGTTCTGTTCTTCATTCGGTTCTTCATTCTCACTTTCAAGATCTGTTTGTTGTGCCTTTGTAAATGTCATTCCGCACTCTCGTTCGTATTCGAAGTGATACGTTACATTTTTCCCAGTGGCTGGCCAATGCGCGGCCAGAATTCGACTGCCATCTACCTGCATATCTAGGGGTTGGCTGAGTCAAACAAACAAACATCACTGGACCTGCCTCGCTCGAATATCAATTTTCCCCGCCTCGGCCAGAACACGCTGGCTGAGACATTGTCAATTTTCTTGTATTGCTTCTCGTCAAGTTTTTTTTACTCGTTTCACAGAGCCTCGTTCAGCCCCAGCCCAAAATATCAGTTGCCAGCGAGACTGCAGCTGCAGCCATTCGGACGAGTGACAGAATATGACTGGCTAGTTTCCGATGACAAGTTCGGTTTTTCGATGCCCAAATGCCGTGGCAATTCTGATCTCTTGATCAATGTTAAAGCTGGTCCCAAAGAGTTTCGCCTGACTAGAATCCCAAAATTCCGCATATATCAGTGAGCGACATTGGAGACAGACGATAAGCTCTAAGTATGCTCAAAAGCACGCCAACCCCGCCGATTTGAATTTTTTTTTGGTGGTGGCCTTTTTGTCATCCAAGCTCAGCCTCACCAGCGGTTGCTACACAAATGTGGACAATGTTGTAACGCAGAGACTCATTTGCGAATAGCAATAATAAACTCGTAGGTTACCGTGCATTTCTTAAAAAGTCGCTAGCTCTGAAGTTGCAAAATCTCCTTTCTCAAAAGTTAGCCAAAGGATATGGGTCTTTCCCGGCCTGCCCAGCCTCCGCAGTCGTGCCAATCAATCCCCTCAACTTAGACGGTTGAGATATATGGAGCATCCGAGTAGTTCGATTGTTTCGATTAGGGATGTATATGTCATGAAATGGTATTATCAAATTTTACCAAGACACAAGAACGAAAGATATTTAAAGTATCCGGCGCTTCTAGCCTCTTCAACTGGCGAGACATCAGCGTGGGCTCTGGAATGCATATTAGTTTTAATACAATTTCAATTTCTATTCTTAGCTTATAATGTTTTCTCAATCGATGAATTTGCCTAGTAGACAATTGACAAGTTACCTTAAGTTGATAACCACGCTGGGTATCGAAAAATACAGGGCGTGAAGAGACACTTAAGCCTCGCCAGAGAAAAAGGCATGATCAAATAATCACAAACCCATAACTGGAAGTGCCATATCCAAAGGTCCATGCCGCAGTTCTCTGGTTCTTGAAAGAGGGCAGCCCAGGTCAACGCTAGCTAAGTCAAAATAATGGCGTTGCTATGCACTAAAGTTGCGTAGGTAGCTCCCGTGGCTTTTTATAGCTCCCGACAAAGAAGTCCTCCTATCGCAAATCTGACTTTGTACCGATTATCAACTCTCATCCTGTAGACGCATTGGCCCGGCATATCGCAATTCATAGAGCCGGAAGCCAACTTCCAGCCATTCATACCAACATTAGGTCTTTTGCTCCACGTCAGAGAGATGCAGATAGAAAGTGAATGGTAAGATGTCTTGAACAAGACAGTCTCCTATATATCTTTGGAAGGCACTCGGGTAACACTTTTAACTAGTTTATCAATCTCAATACAACAATCTACAGTCGTCACCTCATCTTCCTCTTGGAGGTTTACCCCTCCGGGATTAGCGACTGAGATAAAGGGCGGGAGAAATCATCTAATCTGCGATCGCTATTTCTATCCCCTCATCTTCGATCAGCGCGCATTTGATACCATGCTTTACACGCATATAGAAAGTCTTCCCGAATACACACGACCGGTTCATCAGGAAAGCAAATTCTAGTATCCAACTAACCTTCTATCTAGACGAGTGGTATATTCTGGCTAGGTTGATCCATGCTAAGTCGAGGCCACCTTTGGCTATGTTGAGGCCGCCATGGCCAATTACACCCAGGGGTTTCCTCAACTACCGTAGAAGGTGTAGCTCGTGCAATCCACCGATATACGTACTTTAGTATATTCGAATTATTCGCAGGCAGGGCCGATTATACCGAACAGCAGAATGGAAGCTATTCTCAACTCCTATATAATACACGCTGCCGCAATAGTCGATTATCCTAACCTACCTAACTAGCTGAACTAACCTCTACCTTCCCCTACTAGACTCTAAGCGAATTATAGTAAATTTAATTAATAGGGGAGGGGAAGGGTCTAGCTAGAAGGTGTCAAATTTATATCTCAATCTGGGAATAGCCTCATATTTAGCGACGGCGACGACAGTGATCTCCCTACGATATTGCGAATAAACCAGAGAGCCGGCATTGGCACATTACTCGAGCCACATATCCTATGGCGGTGGAGTAAATCCCTAGGTGCAATTGGCCTTGGCGGCCTCGACTTAGTCGCAGTCTACTCCGTAAGACTTAGTTGTATATCGACAATGATAATCAAGTAGGTTTATCCTTGCCAGGGGAATCTCTTATTACTTATAGTGTTATCGCAGGTAGGCTCCACGTGATATTTTACATGCGCTTAGCGCCATAATAGTAAGTCCGGGTTAGCAACTTAATCGCACAATTGAAAGTGAATTGGATTCTAATTAAGTTAAACAAATAGTATACTTGCGAACTGCTCTCTTCAAAACTGATGGCGAACGAAACTTCAACAAAACTCGATTGCCTACCTCTAAAGCACGTACAATTGTCAACAGGTGGACCTCACTCGATTCCGGGTCTCAGCTACGGGGCTTTCTGCTTCCTAAAATGATCAACACAAGGCCTCGCTCCATCTCCTCTCCCGGCCCGGATTTGGAAGATACCACAGGAACATTGGTGCGCCACGCGAGATCTGCATCTTTTCAAGGCAGGTCTTGCTCCGAGAGTTCTAGGAAAGTCACCAGTGATGCTTTTGACGAACTCCTCATTCGGTTGCGGCAGAAAAACATTTCCACGGTGCGGATAAAAAAGCATGGCTTCCAATGGCTTCTCGAAAGATCACAAAGATCACCGGGTGCACTTAGTATCTTCCAGTCGTTTCATGCAACGCCCATGACAGTATCAAATCGAGAACTAAAAGAGATTCTTAACCTGGAAGTCTCCTCACGTTCCTCGTCGCCCACAACTCCTGGTCACCACTTCTATTTAAGATCTTGGTCTTTGTCCGCCGATGGACTCTCGAAAGTGTTGAATTACATGACCGATAATGAAGACACGTTTTCTGAAACTGCTAGATGGCGAGAAATCCTTGAGCTACACGACAGCAACAACATCTATCGGCCGAAGAGTTTCACGATTCGGTACATTGGGACTTGCAAGGGGCCTAAACGCCCTTACGATCGCTTTGTCAAAGATATTTGCGGCCTAGATCAAGGCATTCTCCACGAATTTATGAAAGTAATGCAACTTTTGATGCCAGAAGAGTTCCAAAATGCTGAGGTACATCTGATAAGTGGAGCATCGCTCATATTTCAGGCACAATACCACGCGGATGATATCGAAAGAGTTCTGATCGAGTTTTTCGGGCACAAGACTCTACTAAATCGCCAGTCTGGTGGGAAGCATTCAGCCTATGTCCCAAACAGTTCTGATACTACCAATTTCCAAAGACTACATACCAGATTCTACAACAAATTTCACCAAAACAGCTCCATCGCAGATGGTGAAATGTCTCAGAAACTTGGCTTGTTTTTCGATCGATTACATGACTTTGCCAACATAAACCCCATGATAACAGGAACTAATATCCACCGGTATACCCACTCGTTGAAAAAGATCCAAATGGAGCAAGCAATTCCCCGGCTCTACCGCGGAACCTTTGCACTGCATGTGACTTTGGGGAGAGACATTACTCTGAAGGATTACATTTCGGAGCAAGCTTTCCTAAGAGGAACCTCTCGGGCTGGGCAACTTGCAAAAGACTTTTTGCGGCGGCTGGCTCACGCTGAAGCGAAGAGCAATGGAGATCCTTGGAATGATTCAGACTTTGATGTCTCAATTTTTCCATTCGTCAATCTTTGGCCTTGGTTGAAGCACCAAGGACTAGAGGTTGCCTGTGTAAGTTCAACTTCTTATTGAATCGAAAACTCGTCTAACTGCGATTTAGTCCTTCACCCGGAAGTACATGCAAATTGTTCGCCCTCTGGTCTTGAGCTCCCACAGCCGACGCGTCTGTGCGATTGTGCAGAATAACCTTCTTCCCGAGCATGGAGCATTTTCCAACTCCTTCATATCTCAAACTGGGGAGCTGGCACTTCAATATTATTCGGAGCCAAATCCAGCAGGAAATTTCAACGATGAGTATGCCTATATACACATTCCCCACATCGACCCAGGAAGGGATAAATACGGAAGCTTGGTCACAGAACTGAGGAGGGTCATAGACCTCACGAATCAACTGACCTTCCTAGTCTGCGACATAGCTATGAAAATTATCGATCTCAATTCAGACAAATCTATTACCCAAAGCCGGAAGGAGCTTTGCAATACCATTCTTGCTCATACAAGAGCCTTTCTAGAAGGATCAGAACATGGTCGGCGCTTTACCCACTCTCTCACTTCAGCCAAGAAAGCTCTCCAGTCTCGCTTTGCAACTACGTACAACAGAATATCTGGAGAAGATGCTCGCTCTATTTTAAGTGGCAGAGGGAGAAGTAAGATAAGAGCTATGGGAGAAGCAGAAGGGGAACCATACAGTCCACAGCGACGACAACAACTAGAGAAACTTTGGGGCCAACATACTGCCCTCCACAAAGTCATTCCTTTCGAATCGAGGAATAATGAAGTATGGATCAAAGAATTTTTGCCACTTCAACAACAGCAATCGTACTTTTTAGCAGCAGCCAGTCGCCTTTCACCTGACGATTACGTATCTTACATGATTGAAATATTCCGTCCATCTTGGGCAGAGGAAGATTCATGGCTTCGCACGATTGGTGTTACAACGAAACTAATTATGCTATCTGGACTGTGGATTCACAAACAGATGGGGGTCAAAAAAGACTTTATAAAGAGGCATTTCCCCGATGAATTCATCACCACTTCGCGAATGCAAGGACATGAGATCGGCGTGCACCCAGACAAGGGTAGGTTCACATTGCGATGGAAGAAGATCGATGGGACTTCGGTCAACCTCCGCTTGACTTCAAGCGTTTCAATCCCTAAAACTGAGACTGAGATACGCGCTATATCATTTACGGAACATGGCATCGATATCGTTGATGCTTGGGGAGCTCCCTTTCGACCAAAAACTCACGACGGGAACTTCATACCAGCTACAATTCCTCGAAGCTCATTTAGAAATTTAGAGAATGGGCACATCTTGATTAACCTGTGGACAGAAGTTCTCAAATATCGAGGAATTTCTATACCTTCTCTAGAAATTAGAGGAGACATGAGGGTTTGGCAAGGCCCTCTGGGAGTGGCCAGGATATCAGCTGTTGCGAAGAAGGAAATCCCAATTCAGAATCGACCGCCTAAGCTTCTTGATGCCAACTATCTTCTCAACAAATTTTTAGACGAAAGATTTCCCCAAGGAGGTGTTTTTCGCACTGCACCAAAAGATCGAATTCCTACATCCACGGAAGACCTGCAGGCTTTCGTAGCCTTTCTCCGAAGTCCAGAATACGCTTTACATCCCTACACAGAAGTTTGGCTTGCAGATTTGGGCAGTAATAAACCAAAAGTTGCTGTTCTTTTCAAAAATATCCAAATCTACAGGGAGTGCCGGAAGGAACATAGTCAGAAGTACCAAAATCACTTAAAGCACTTGAGGGAAAAGCAACGTTACGTTGGGGAGACAAGTTTCCATATCGGCCCGAAACAATCGCCAAATGGTTATTTTGCACAATCAACAAGTCTTCTCAAATCTACCAGCTTATTGACGCTTATATCTCAGCAAAACCAGCAAAGATCGCCAATCAGCGAGGGCGGAGGCGGAAACAAGACTAGCAAAAGCCTCCCATTGGAAGACAACGACCGATTTAAAGCATTTCGGCATTCCACGCAAAAGTCGACTCCGTCCTTGGCCGGCCATTCTCATTCAGTATTCCCTTCCAAGGGGGGAATTCAACAAGTCCATCAAGAGGAATTGCACGGTAACGGCGAAAGGAAGGCGAGAGATGAAATGAATGTTGAGGCTAAGCAATGCTTTATTGAAGATGGAGATCAACCCAAGCATTCCAGATACTCCAAACCTGTGCTTTCGTTCACTGATGAACCTCATCCATTCTTGCCCCCCAAGACCAAGTCCCATGCATACTCGCGAGACGGACTTGGTGGCGCGGCCAACACTGAAGACGAGAACGACGTACAGATGCGAGGCATAAAACGTCCAATGGAAAACGATGAGCAACTTCAACACTGCACTTACGCAAGCAACTCTCGTCACGAAACTAGAAGGCGGAAAGAGAGGCGGACAAGAATGTAACTCCGAGCTAGTGCGATGAGGTGCACTTTAGAGATAATTATGGCTGAGCCTGCTCACGACTTTGACACTTTGCTCCCGACCAGCTAGTTTCATCATCATCATACATTGCAAAAGGCACTCACTAGCGAAAGTCTCAGAAGTGGTTAATATGATACATGTGTTGTAACCGTTAAACAATAAATGATATTAAACCTGTCTCAGATCTCTACCTGATATTACATCCGTAGCTGTTGCATTAGCCGTGCGGAGCATGCCGAGCTGTTGTCGATTTGTCGCCGTTGAGTTGAAGCAAGTGGGTTCTTATGAAATTTTCTTAATCATTCTTCTAGAATTTTTAGACCATAGAGTTTTCTACAATCTCATTGCTCAGCGTCATATAGGTAATTTGGAAGACATATGACTATAGGCGTGGTGAAGATAGTCGGATTTCTTGTGGTTAAATGCCTCATTCTTCAGAGCTTGCCTTTAAAATTGGATCTTGATCACTTACATTAAAAGTTCGAAGTGAAATCAGGTATTCATATTTAATACTAATACTTAAGAGCACAACTAGCCTAACTAGCACAAACGCAAAAAGACTAAGAGTGCGAAAATGGGTCTTTGATAGTTCTAGGAGTAGTGAGAGGTCTTCGAGACTTCAATAGTATATAGTGAGGGTCTTCAACAGTGAATAGTGAGGGTATCTAACGATACGTGAACGCCATAGATGCTGTTGCAGAGGGGGAGTTTTTATCCGCGGGGTACAACGGCGGAGTGATCCAGCTTAGAGTGAATGTCCCCTCGATCCTAGGACTTTTCACTAAAATTTCCGCACTCTTGAAATTAGAAGAAGCGGAGAAAGATATTTCGATCCTTACTACTACTATTACATAACCCTTTAGTTTTCTTTGGATAAAGAACAACAACCGCTAACTTATTGAGGAAAAACATTTCGTTGACGAGATTGCCATTTGGAAATACGACTGCAAAGTTAACCCGTGACACTAGTTGCCCGAGGATAAGGGCGCTCGGTCTCGAAAGAAGGCTATTGTTAGGCCGGAGGTGCTTGAGTTAAAGGTTATATCAAAGTATTAGTATTCTTATACTATTTAGTTATTTAGGAGAATTTAGGAGAGTTAAACGGAGTAAGGGGAGAGATGTTGATAGGGCGTTAATAGTTTCGAGGCTGGTGAGGATTGAGGCAGTATATATTAGGAAAGGGTGTACGTTTCTGAGGAGGGGAATAAGCAAAACTAGAAGGACGGAGGGAAGTAATGTGCCACCAAAACATGTTCGCATTTGCATTCGCACTTATTTAAATACGGGGCCGTGGCGTTAATCTTGGCCGAAAAGGACGCTAGAAGCAGTTGAGTTATTTATATTAAAACAAGTGCTTCTCGTATAAAAAGTAGGGACTAGTCAAGTTCTCGGAGTTAGGTTCTTGATCAAGTTAAGAGTAGGAGTTGATACAAAGTTTCAGGAGTGTATAATGGCACGTGTTTGATCTTCAGCTCTTAGCGCCGTTTTTCGGCGTTCAATCAAACGGGGTTATATAATAAAATAAGTATTTTTCTCTCAACAATTGGGCGCTGTGGCGGAGTGGTTAACGCGATGTAAGTGCCACCCAACATGTTGAGACAACTTGAACTAATATCTCTCAGGCCCTGCTATTGAGCAATCAAAACAGTGAAGGCATTTCTTTCGGGAGCAAGAGTTCGAATCTCTTCGGCGTCGGCGCAATCTTTTTTCTTTTTTGCTCTCGAGTACTCGCCTACGATTATATAAGCGAAAAAGTACTAGTAAAGTCTATTAAGCGAATTTTTTATTTTTATTTTTTATAGCTCTCTTTAGACTTCTACAGATAATACTGAATGAATTACAGAGAACGATGACGGGTCGTGACTCGTAACGCCTGTCCGAAGTAGAAGCCAAGAATAGTAAAGTACGCCGGGGAAAGAATAATTAAGACAACCAAGGCAGGGAGAGCGTCAGCTCGATAACGATAAGAGCGATGTCGCCTAGAGTAAAACAAGGCGGGCGAGAAGAGTTTGATCGATTCCCACGATAGTAATAAGTAGATACTGTACGAACGACTCGTCGAAAATAGAGTTACGTGTAACGAGGGGATCCAAATCGGCTCCGATCCTTGACAACAGTGGAGCGAGAATAGCTATTATAATATTTTAATTAGTTTAAAGAGGTAGCTATATTCTAGACTAATAGGTATTAGTAATATTTATATTTACCCAGGTAAGTAGATAATATTGCAATTATAACCGATTCGCGAGAGGGTTAGAAGAGGAGTATAATCCAGCTGACTCACCAGCGTACGCGGCTCAGGGCTCGGCTCAAGGTTAAAGCAGCGACTGCTCAGGTCCAAAGACGGAAGATGGGCTTTGGAGAGGTCTAGTTTCGGCGCAGATTATAGAGGTAATCCGGACTTGGCAAAGGTCAAACTGACGGGTATTTCGCTCCAATATGTTCAGGGTGGGGAAACTCCATTGGCCTCCATTGGACTATGGCGGACACACGAGACCCGCTGGTCTCGCTTTGCAATCTTATTAAATGGGAGTAGGCAGCCGTCATGGCACTTCCAGCTGGGGTCCTTTGCCCTGGGTGATATCCGTCTTATCGCCGTCTCGTCTGACTTTCCTTTTTCGCGGATACACCGGCTCGTGGGGGGGATGGAAGGAGGCTCCCGGCCGCGCGACGGTGCTTAAGGGTTTGGCCGGTCCACGTCCCGCCGCCCCGGACTTTGGAAAAGTGCGAAGCTCTGGGATAACGGAGGAATCACATGAAATAATCAGACGGCTTTACGGAGGTAAGGGAGAATGACGTTTTGGCGGACCGAGCCCATAAGCGACTTGCGAGTCATAAGGCGACTGGAAGCTCTGAATCAAGCCATTTCCTGAATCGGGCTCAGAGACAAGCTGCAAAAGACTGTACTGTACGAAGTAAGCGCTCTGGTTGTGGTGGTAGGTGTGCTGCTTAATTTCTTTAGGCTTTTGATATCGCTTCCACTTCCGTGTCCTGGGGAGAGTCGAAGCGCAGGGGCGCTAGCCCAGGGGATCTGGCTTGACCCTTCCACGTTCCCCTATGTGCCCTGGGCCCTGGTGGTCGCTACTTATCAGATTGCGCTCTCCCCTTGGAAGGCTCAGAAGAGTAATAATGCGGTCTCGCCTTCAGTATTTCTCTGACACACTGGCCGACTTATAGCCGGCACATCCTCGGGCATGCCCCAGTCGGCGTGTGAAGCACCGAGTGCTCCGTAAGAGAACGAGTTCCTCCGTGCGAGCGAGCGCAAACAACTTGCCAGTATATAAGCGGGCGCGCCTTGGCATCTGCACCTCCAAGCCGTAGTCCGGCTTGGCTCCTTTTGGCTGGAGAGCGCTGTCCAACTCTTCCACACGACTGGGCGCCTGTGGCTCTGTGGGGACTTTGCCTAAACTTTGCACAAACGTGTCGGGAGTCGGGCCATCTGCTCTGGCGCAGGTGGTATGTAGCGCTCGCAGGCAGTAATATACTGATAAGCCTTGGTCCCTTGGGACTTTGTCATGGCCCAGCCACTTAATTTCACATTGCTGATTCCGGAGATGTTGACAGTTCGGTGGCTTAAGCGGCGGGAGCTTTGTGAAGTCGCACGCAGCTTCCTTTGCACTTCGGCGTCTTGTCAAGGTGTACGGAGTAGAGTTGTGAGGCCGCGTATGCTGTGGACCGGTGGATCTGTAAAGTTATGCGGCTTTGAAGCTATGAAGCTACTCGAGTATAGAGCAAAGCAAAGACGTGATATACCCTGACGGTCCGCGGTTAGGGTTGCTCTCGGGGACAGCCGGCTATACAGTACTAAGACCTATTTAGTAAGGACATGTACAACTCTGTACTAATAGCAACCACCGTACTGTACGAAGTACGTACGTACGCGCTTTGGGGAGCAATTAATTAACTATTAATTAATAACCTTGGTGTATGGTTTACTGCGCTGGGACTGACCCACTACTGCCTGTCAGAAACTGCACAGGATCAGCCGTTATTTCTCCCCGCAAAAGAGCTTGTGCTTGGGGTCCTGGGACTCCTCGTGTTGTGCTGGGGGCTATTAGTATTGTACTTCGTACTGTAGTGGGTATAGGCTGGCCATGAAGAATATTACCATTGCTATTACTGGCGCTGGCGCTCTCACTGGCATGATTAGCTTGAGCCTTGGGGCAGTTGGGCTGGCATTTACTGGCACTTGCAGGCAGATTGAACCCCAACTTCCTCCCCGCAAGCCCCGGAACCCGCCCACTTCCACGCCCCATGCCGACCAAGTCTATTACTGGATCCGTCTGTAAGGGCGGAGGGGCGTAAGGGCTCCACGGGCTCCACGTCGACCACCATCCCCCATATACACTGCTTTCTCCGTCAAACGGTCTCCGTCCCAAACAATGGTGTCGTCAACATGGAGGCTCAGAGCCTTTCGACCTGCAATCAATGTGGAAAGAAGTTCCAGCGCAAGGCCCATTTGCTGCGCCATCAACAACAGCGTATGTGGAAAGCCGCCGTCCTCCTGCTCCCCTTCAATAGCTTCTCTTTCTCGTCCCTCTTCCTGGCCCTCATCTCCTCCGCTGTGGCTGTCTAACTGCGTGGCGTAGATTCCGGCGACCGGCCATATAGCTGTAAATTCTGCTCCAAGACATTCAAGCGCAGGTATGTACCTTTGTACCTTTGTACCTCTGTACTTTGGCCTTGGCCTTGCACTTGGGACTTCTGCTTCATGCGTCGCATCCCCAAAGACGATTTATACCGGTACTGGAAGAAGTATTTGCTGACCTCCCGGCTTCAATAGCGATGTCCTGAGGGACCATTTCAGTCGTTGTGAGCGGCGGGGGAACTCTGCCATCCCCAATTCCCTGGAGAGGGGCCGCAAACGGCATGCGTGCGACGAGTGCTCGAGATTGAAGGTCAAATGCGACAACAATGTTCCGTGTCGGAAATGTAAAGAGTTTGGGCGCGCATGCGTCAAGACGCGCTCTTCTGCAGGTCAGTTACCGTCACCGTGTTTCGGGGTGGGGGATTTTGCGCGCGGAATATCTGCTGATATATAACCCTTTCCTTACAGCCGCCTCGAGCCCTGACAACCCTTCCCCAAGTGGCTCGCGGTCCACCCCGGATATTGGAGGTTCTGATCGCAACTCCATTGGCTTCCTTCTCAATGGTGAGGGCGAACGGGATTTCATGCGGGAATTTCCCAAGTCCACGACCCTGAGCCCGCCTAGCCATGCTGCAGAATACCAGAACTTGATGAACATCGCCGAGAGCATTGAGCCTCCAGACAGAAGCATAAGCCAAGCCCCGTCGGCATATGACGAATATGGACAGCTGCTCCCGGAAAATAATCTCAATGCTATGCTCAGTAACCTGGAATTCGGGAATTTTGAACGGCAGACGCAGAACTGGCAGATGCCGGGAGAGAGCATGATCCCATGGTCCGGCCCCGGCGTGCCCTTCTTGGATCGTAACATTCTTGAACAGAGAGCGTTTGATATCAGGGAGAAGTTGAGATATACGGCGGCCGCAATAAACCCGCCAAACCCTGCCTCAAAAGAAGTGCTCGATGCAATCGAGCTGATCACCGCAGAAAGAATTGCTGTAAATACCAAGTTGTACTTCCGGCACTGGCATAAGCATGCTCCCATGGTCCACGAACCCTCGTTCAATCCTTGTGTGGCTGCTTTGCCGCTGGTGTTGGCCGTGATGAGCGTTGGCGGGATGGTGGGTTGACTCGTCCTCGTGGATGAACTATGCTAATCGGTTTCCCAGTATTCAAAAGAATCAGACGACGTTGAAAAGCTTAAGTTACTTTTGGACACGATCGAATGCTACGTCTTTTCTATTCCAGGAATAAGCGACGAATATGATCTTCCAGGCCGCACGTACATCGTACAAGGCGGAAACTCGTCCGCTGATTGGCAGCAATATCAGATGGAAGAGTTGCAAGGAGCCTATCTTATGATTGTTTTGCAATTCTGGACCGGAAATCCCATTGCCAGGATAAGAGTTCGTCAGCAACGGTTCCAAAGGATCGTCTCGGTAAGCACCGTTTTCATGCTCTTTTGCCAGCCCACACTAACACATAACAGATATTCCACCATCTGGAATTACAAGCCGTCCAGCATTCACCGACTTTCCAAATCACAGACCAGCAGTCATTCCGCAGTTGGATCCGAAAAGAGTCCTACATCCGGTGAGTTGGTCTTTCGAATCCTGCAAATTGTTGGATTTTCACGCAACGAAGATACTGATTTGGCTAGAACCGTTACGCTCGCAGTAATGCTAGATCATTCATTTGGCATCTTCAACAACGTGTCACCGCGATTCCAATGGGCAGAGCTAGACCTCCCATTTTCTAGTGACGACCGCTATTTTAGCATCGCGAATTACGCTGAGTTACGAGCTCAAGGCTTATACCCACAACTCAGGATGAAGATCAAAGATGCATTCCTCATTCTCTTTTCTGCTCCAGACCGCGCGGACGAAGAACTGAATATCCTCCGTACAAGCAACCTCACTCCTTTTGATATGCAAAGCCTCATTCATTGTATGTCTCAATTTACCTCCATCCACTTTTCCCCTCCGCTGCTAATATGCCATCAAAGATCTTTATACCCACGTCTGGAAATGCACCTTCTCGAACCCGCTAGTTAGCCTCCCAACAACCAACATCCCAGAACTAGTTCTCCCTTTCAGGGCCGCGATGCGCAACTGGCGCATCGTCTGGGATGAGATACGACTGTCAGTCCCAGAAAGCGAGTGGAACAAGCTCGGATTTCAAAGAACGGCAGAGACCTATTTCGATGCCGTGAATTCGATCCTAGACATGTTCGAGAGGCGCAACGGCAAATTCCCTCCACTCCCAAGTGATTGCGAGAAGGGGACTCATTTGAAGCGACTACTGAGTTTCTAACTGGGCTGCATGGATGGATGGATATGGGAGGCACAACATGGGCATTTCGAGCGGACCATTGCATGGATGGAGTACATGGGAAGGGATTTGAAATGTCCTGGAGGCACCCGTAGATATATCACTTTTGCTTATTTTTTGTACAGCTCCAGGCCTGGAGTGGGCGTTGGATTATTTGGGAGATTGGACAATGTCGTGTCCGATCTATAGCTTGCCAGAGTTTTTATATATATTCCCAGGGTGTACATTCTGCATTATCGAGGAGGGGATCCGGATGGGTTTATACCGAGCACTTTGTATGGATCACTTCAGTTGTGGTGGAGCTGCCCTTGACAGAGTCTGCGGGCTAAAATATATATATATTTGTGCTATATTTTCGTATCCTCCTGTGCGCTATTCTCGACCCTGTCGCAACTTCCAGCTACGTCGTTGCTTTCAGCAGCCAAAATCACACCCACACATCTCGGCTATCACAAATGAAAAAGGTGCCCAGGACTGGAGAATAACCGACCGCCGAATCCGCGGTTGCGGCAAACACTGATAAATAGCGCCTTGGACAACTCCTCCTCGCCTCCTCTTCTCCACGCGTAGGAAAAGCATATGTGTGGGGTAGCGGAGCAGCGGAGCAACTTCTTCTTAGCTTCTTAGCTTTTGAATACTCTATTTCGACACGGAGTTAGGGCTTATAATATTTCCATGTGGGGTATTAGGTTATAAACCCCTCCGGACTGACCCAAGCACAGTTATATTATATCCTTCCTAATCCATCCTATCCTGCTTTGTGTATAGGTGTATAGTTACCTTAACTGTATTTATTAAATACTTGGCACATAATAATCCTCGTTTTAGGAAGTTTCCTAGTTTCTTCCTAGTTTCGTCGTTATTCCAGTATCCACGCTCTCGAACTTTCGGTATCTATACTCCCCTTTATACTGTTGGTTTTTCAAAAATCCCTGTGCTTTTAACCACTAAGGAAGAGAGTCTTGGGTTATCTGTCCGTACACATAATGCTGATCCCGATCATTGTACGAACAGCTGTTGAGCGTAGACTTGCTTGTCCGGCGGAGGAATATCATGTGGAAGCGTATGGAGTGGTTTGGTACCTCGCACGGAACCTGCAATGATAGGGCAGTACACAGTTGCATGTGCACAGTATATCCATGTACCGTGCATCATATATGGATAACACAATGGCCAATGATTGGTAAGATAGATAGGTAATATGATAACATCCTCCAGAGACCTGTCAAGAGAGCTGGGAGACCGGTACATAACCTACCTACTATTGACTAGCGACTCATTAAATCCACGACCAGAGAAGCTTGCGAAGAATAGACCAGGGGAACCATGGCGTGGCTAAATGGCAATAGATTATCTGAGGTAGATACGCTATATAATCTGGTTAAAATAGCTTCTTTGAATGGGCTCAATCTTATAACGGTGTCCCCCCGCTACACAAATGACCATCGTTCGACCGAGAGCTTGCCTTCTCTTGCTTAATGCAACCGATGCGTTAGGACTTTCACCGTGACCATAAACCCCCCTGAGATACCAGACTATAAATTCCCTCATCATACATCAGCATGCAGGGCATGTCTGAAACCGATCCACCATTCTGCCTTCCGTATCTCAGTACAAAGATGGCACTCTTCTGAACGTGATTGAAAGAAGGCAGCCGGGGCCCTTCATCCAACCTCCCGTTGCATGTGGCAGGTTGATCACTGTCCACCTATTGTTGGCGAAGATTGAACTCCCCTGGGATGGTCCTTTGACACCCGATGGTTACCTTTCTGTAGAGCTATATTCCTCTCAATCATCTGCTGAGAAGTATCTTTTGGTTTTATTTTTTACTTGCAGTGCCTTCAAGTCTGGTGGGATGATGGTATGATGCACCACATGGGGTCGATAGATGGCATCCACAGGCGGCATCCTGTAGCCTATCAGTTGATTTGTTTCAAAACGATAACGGACACCAAATAGAAAAATATTATGCGATTGGCCAAAAGGGAAGCAGAGAACACAAATGAGGAAAAGAACGTACCAGTCATCTAGACTCAACGGGAAATACTCATATAATAAATCCGCATTCTCGGCCGGACTGCCTATCTGCGCCCCAAGGGCCTTTTTCTTCACGTCAGGACTCTTGTCCCCAGCATTCGCTCCTCTCCCATTTTGTCCTACACTCTCACTCTTGCGCGTGTAATCTTCATCAGCGAGGGAGAGATCGATGGGTGTAGCTTTCGAATTCTTGCTTGAGGTTTTTGAATCAGATTTCCAACGTGTCTTGGGAACAGGAGGTCGAGTAACATTGGACGAGGATGAGAGGGTAGGTTTCTTCGCGGGACGATGAAGATCGGGGCTAGAAGCTGGAGGCATTGACATGGTGTTGTTCCATTCTGGGAGGTCGAGGGGTTGCTGCTACATGTCAACGTTTTCATTCGATGAGATGGCAAGTTACAAGAGGAATACACACCTGCGGAGCGTTTGGAGCATAAAACCGATACGAACTATTCGCAATGCCTGGATCGACCTTCATCTGCGGACTCGCAGCAACATCACTCATTGTCCTCTGCTTCGTATCTGATAATTTCCTCTCGCTGAGGGGAACGTCCTTCCTGCTATCAAAATTCCTGGGGCTTCTTCCCCGCACAATGATTGGCCCTCCTCGAATTTCTGCCAACTTTATATTTTCCCCAGTAGCTAACGTTGCGGTTAAATTAATTTGGATAACATAGTGCTGCTGTAGCCCTTTCCTACGTCCATTATTCGCAGTGGCATGTTTGAACTGTAGCCGTTTCCAGGCGATCGGAATTGACACTACGGCCGGATCCAATTCAGGATTCATGGCAAGATCCAACGGCCATTTTGGCGGGGCTGCACCAGCTTTATCTTCGCTCGATGCCCCAGCAGCAGTTTTCCAAGGCACCGAGATTATCTCCGTGCTCTTGCCCTCGATGCTTTCCAGGGCTGAGATGCTCGCCGTGAGATCATATAATGGGACCTGCTGCCCCTGCTCATTGAGCATCCGCGATATGCTCCTCGATAAAGATATAGTTCCTGATATCTGGAAAAGATTGCGCCGGTAGCAGGTCAATTCCATCGGACGCCCCGTTGTCTCACCCCCAAAGACATCTTCGGCTACGAAGAACATTCCGTAGAGCTCGGCGGTCATTTGAGGCCATGTCTGCCCGTGGTCGTCAAGAAGAGTCGCCTTCATTATGGGGGCGCCGAAACCGAGTAATTTGGTATCGAGGGTCTGCGCCGTCGGTTCGCCATGCTGGTTATTTGCATCCTCGAGCGGATTCTCGAAGGGGCCAGATTGGTAGGAGAAGGGATCTTCGAAGGTGGCGGAGAAGGCATCGGACAGCTCGTAAGAAGGCGTGAAGGGTATGGATGGGAGGCTGCCAGCTATATCGTCTCTATGCTGCCTGCTTCAAGCATGTTAGTAGTGATTCGAGTCTTGCCTTGACAGATGTTGCATCTGAACAACCCCCGGTGGCGGGATTCGGGGAACCGATGATGAATGAGCGATGCACGTACAACAAGCTGTCTCCGTCGAAAGTCAAATCGGGATCAAACGCATCCATGGGGACCAAGGACCCGGCGTCTGGGCCCGTCAATCCCAAGCGCAGAATATCGTTTGAGTTGGAGGTTGCGGAGCTCATGGTCAAGGTATCATAGCCAGCCATGTCCATGGCATGATTGGCGACGGAGGGTTCAGTGGGCCGGGACGAATGAAGCATGTGTCGGTGCAGTGGCAGTGGCAGTGGCAGTGGATGTGCGCATTATTGTACAGAGGCAGTCGGAGGCGGCAGGCGGATTATAGGATCCAGAGGCTGGATGCTGGATTTCTGGATGCTGGAGAGCGGTAGGAGGATGTGGGTGTTGTGCTATATTGTGCTATATTGGAGTGGTATTAATCTTATAGCGACCGACGGCGTTGCGGGGGCGGCGCGAGGCGGAGGATGGTCAAGGTTTGGATGAAAGCCGTTGGCAGAGGGGGAACGCCGCGTGCAGCCCGGGTGCGTCGTGCAGCAAAGCCAGGGACCGGAAGAGGAAGATGGAAGATGGGCGACGGGCGGCGGAAGATAGGAGCAAGGCCGTCTTGGTCTTTGTCCGAGAAGGATTTCTTGGTAGAGGAGGTGGTTTTCGTAGCACTGGTACAAGCGCTCGTCGTAGTTGTGCTTCGTAGTGCGACCATTCGGGTGAGTGGAGCGGAACCTCGAGTCCAGCAAGGTCTACCTTACCTCCCTTATCTAGGTAGGCAGTCTATGTAATCTATGTAATCTACAGTATGAGACATGAGACTCTGAGAGGTCGACGATAGTGGCTTGAAGATAGACATGTACTGTGTACCTCATGTACATGTCCGTACTGCACCTATAGCTAGGTAATAGGTAGGCAGGTACCTTCAGGTACTTTTTCGTCTAGGCGCTGCGTTTACCTCCCAGGCAACTTGAAGATAGGTAGATAGGGAGGCACTCCTATGTAGGTATAAGGCAACGATAATACCCTTTACGTCAGTACTTCGTATAGAGTACCTACTTACCCTACTTACTTCGTACCTATTGCGCAATTCCCTTTTGATCTGCTAATCCGTCAAAAAGGTGCTGAGAGCGCTCCCGCCTCACCTAATCACCCGCGCTCACCTGAGCCCAGTGAGCTCCGCCAGCAACGCCGCTCCTCAGGTGGTGTTCGCCAGTTTTGTCACCTGTTAGTAGTTGGCTAACCACCTGGTTGACCTGCCCCTAAAAATTGAGAACATGGAAGGATGATCCTACTAAAACAACTACGAAGGGGACAAAAATGAAGTAAAAATTAAGACGGCTGAGATTCCCGGATCTAGGAATCGAACCTAGAGCTGCCACCCCCGTAGGGCCCAGGCGAATGTGCACACGCGTGCACATTCACCTAAGTGCCATCGACAATGTTACCATTACACCAACCCGGACTTGATTTTGGTAGATTAACGTATTGCATTACAAATCTAAGAATAGCCTGTGCGTCATCGTAGGTAAGAATAGTGGAGCCTTTGTCCATCTTATTCTTATTAGGGTTAATATACTACGACTCTAAGTAGCTCCCTTATAAAATTGAGTACCAGAGACTGGTCCAGCTCATAGGCAGGCAGGCAATTTAGGTGCGTCGGTAGGCTGGAAGGCTGTACGCATCGCGTTTCGACGATATGGCCCAGGCGAGTAGCTCCCTTACAAAATAGAGTGCCTAGGTAGTAGAAACTGCTTCGGTATATAGCTAGGTAGCAATTAGACAGGTCGACAGGTAGGTAAGCAGATATATAGATAAATAGATTATATAATACTTAGCCATTCTATCCTAGGTTATTAGCAAAGCTTATCTTATACCAAGGTCTCAGAGCTCTATTAATACGATTAGTCGCCCGCCCTACTTAGTCGCCCGCCTGAAGGAAGAGGCCCGGAGAGCCAGGTAGGCCGATTTTCTGGCCAAGTGTACTTCACAGTTACCAGTCTGCTCAGAGCGTCTCGGGCGCCTAGCAAGGGGAGCGAGCACCAGGAACAACTACTTTGCACATACTACGTTTACTACCCATCTACACTTATATGATACAGGATAATAGCTACCTTGTAGGTAGCTGCAATGATAATTGCAGCGGCACACGGAGCCTAGGTGGCAGTTTCTGCAGTTTTAAATTGCTGACTGCATACCAGTAGCAATCTTTACAGCTCCGACCCAGTACTCCGTAGGCCTCTTCCAGGGACTGATAAGCCCTAGTGTATGAAGTACAGCCTCCCCCGAAGCACAGAGGCTGCTATCTCGTTAGCAAAAGCCCTATTAGATCCCCTGCCCCGTTAATCAATGATTGATCAGGCTACAGCCAATCCCCCAGTGCTTACTTCGTAGCCTCATGAAGAGACTGCGCCTGGTACCCCAATTACAATTCTCGGTATGCGCCCGCTTACAACACTTAAAACACCGCCACAAAACCTGAAGGCCACCATGTCACAGAAGCTGACCTCAGATAAATATATCTAGGTATCCTATCCATGGAATATCTCTTTTCCTCTCCCGGCTCCAGACCCGCTCATTCAATGTTAAAATTGACCTCGCGTTGGGTGTTGGTCCTCTCGCCTCTGTTGGACAATGGCCTTCCGTCAAAGCTGGGCCCAAGGGGACGACGCGCGACTTGGTGCTACTCAACATGATTATATTTATGACCAGCCGTATGGCTCCGGCCACAATAGCTCGGATGATATAATTCGCAAGAATCCAATTGTCGACAGCTATGAATTGAATTCTATGAGTGCCGATCCAAATCTTGGGTTGATGGGCAAGGCCGGCCATGCCCAGTTGAATGAGAGAGCGAGGCCAGGTGATGCTACCTTTGCCTCTCCCTATCTCCCAAAGCTATGGACGCCGTTTTTCCTCCGCCGACTGGTGCTCTTAGGATTTGCTGCCATGTTCTTCGGTCTCATGCTCATCTTGGGGATCTTGTACGGAGTATCACAAAAGCAGCTTGGCCTTAGCACGGTAACCCCAAGCTTGTATTATCTCTGGCGATATGGGCCAACAGCAGGTATACCTTCTAGTCAAGTTAAGCTAGGAAACCTTTATAACTAACTATAAAACAAAGTATTCGCACTGATTGCCGCTTTCTGGGGCCAAATCGAGTATCGCACCAAACAACTCGCCCCATGGAAGAACATGGCCGATAGCCCTCAAGTCGTAGACCGGAGCCTGCTGCTCGATTACGTATCCCCTATCAATGTGGGCGTCTTCTATCGCTCGGTCCGGATGAGGGACTGGGCAGTCGCAGCCGCCGTCACAGGATCTTTTCTGATCAAACTCATTATTATTGCATCTACTGGCCTCTTTGCAGATAATTTCGTCCATCTGAATATAGAAGTGACTGACCTGCCTGTCTTGGATCGGTTTAAACCAGGGAGTTTGAACATGAGCAATTTAAATTCGAGACCTATACATCGGATTTACGGCGTCAGGGCCCTCAATATGACCTATCCAGCCGGCACAACGGCTCAGCATGCGTTCACCAATATTGATACCTCTCCTAGTAAGTCGATTTCTTATGGCCCCTCAAGGCATTTGTATATGCTATAGAGAATACTTGGCCGCCGTTTGAAGGATTTCTTTAAGGCTGATGGAACTATTATGTACCTCTATGGCATTGGTCCCGCACCGGTTGGATTCGTGACTCGGTGTATAATTATTTATGGCTTATAATAGGTCGCGAATGATATTTACTTACAATTGCTATGCTGATATTTCTTAGTCGACGACAGGGTATCGTCTGTCAATGCAACATTAGATGTTTTTACATCAACGGTGCGGTGCGAGCTGGCAAATATCGATCGAATCGATACCCACACAGTACAAGGCTCGTCAGGCGTTGTCATGCTTCCCAATGGAACTAGACAGGACATTCCTCTATTAGATCCTAGCAAGATCAATCTCACTCTCAGCCTCTCTTCACCAAGCTGCCATTATTCTACGCAATACATAGCTCCCGTTGATGATGTGTTCGAAATCTTAGATGTTACACCCAAGAGCGATTGCGCGGACCACGGACGGTTTCTGTACATCTACGGAATTACCACTATCAACACTACACAATCGGATGTGGACAGAAAGTTGGTTGATGCACAATATTTCCTATGCTTGCCTCAATACTCAATCCTGCCCGGCAACGTTCTCCTGCATGTCAACACATCGGCTAGTCCACTGGAACCCGAGATCTCGTTCCCTCCTACATCCAAACCTCTGCAGGATGGGGCCTCAGCTATATATTTTGTCCAAGCAATGTCGAAGATGTTGAGTGACAACGGAGCGATTAGAATAGTGAGATATTTAAACGGCAGCACATCGCAGAATGTGACGACTGATTTTCGTGATTCGGGTTTGCTTCAAAACGGTCTGGAGACCTATTTTACGCAAGTTATTACACAAATGGCTTCCATCTATCATCGAGTAGCTGCCAAGAATGATACCACCGGGACACTCGATATAGCAGAATATAGGTTGCATCTGCAGACCTTCTCGTTCGTCGTTATTGAAGTAATGTGCGGTTTACTTGTGGCCCTCTCCGTATCGTTGGCATTGCGCGCGAAGAATACTGTGGTATCAAGAGACCCTGGGCCTATTGGTGGCCTCGCCGCCATTGTGAGTCGCAGTGGCCGACTTGAGAGCACGCTACATCAGTCAGGGAGTGCGAGCCTTTCTTCAACTCGGAATATCCTAGGTTATTCGCGCTTTAGCACAACGACATCGGCGACTGGGCCTCCTCATGGGTTTGCAATATTGCCCACTATACCCGACTCGTCTGAGTCTAAGAAAGAACCCGAAGACGATACGAACATGTGCTGGTACCGCCCGTGGACCACGACGTTTGGCGCGAAAATAGCACTTGTGACGCTTCCATTAATGATCGTCGCGGCACTGGAAGTGTGCTATACCGCATCCCGCAGATCCAATGGGTTGAGCCAGCTCGGTCCAGATACATGGGTTAGACTTGCGTATACCTACATTCCGACTTCGATCCTCGTATGCCTTGGGCTCTGCTTCGGTTCTCTCGACTTCACAACGAAAATGTTCCAGCCATATAAAGCATTGCAGCATGGGGGTATGCCTGCTGAAGCCACAATAAATGTTGACTATCACAGCAGAGTTGGCCTGCATGCGCTGTGGTCAGCCTTAAGGTTGAAGCATATCCCGGTTATTTCAATCTCCCTGGCAATGGTGGCCGCTCCCTTCCTTAGCATCATCACCAGCGGTTTGTTCTCGACCGATATCCTACCTCAGTCAACAGACCTGAATGTTATCAAACAAGATGCATTTTCCTTGGACAACTTCCTTTCGGAATCTGGACTCGCAGACGAGAAGGGCGCTGACCAAGGATTGACTGTAGCGAATCTTGTGATCACAGACAATGTAACTGATCCACAATGGACTCATGGTACTCTTGCGCTGCCGAAATTCAAGATCCCAGATCAAGTCCCCCAAGGTGATGCCCGTGTGCCCATAAACGGAAGCATCCTGACAACCACTCTTCTTGCTACCCGTGGTCTTGCTAACTGCACCATACTGCCTACGGATCAGATAACAAATGCAACTTACATAAATGGGACAGTTGGTTCCAAATCCACGGGAGAGCTGGTTGCCAGCGCGATCCCGCCAAACAAGTGTGGCCGCAGTCACAGCATGGCTTTCAACAACAAAACTATGGACTTCTCAATTCCAGTCATGGACGGGAAGCACTTCGGGAAATGGGAATTCACTGATCGACAAGGCTGGGATAATAAGACATGTCCAACCTTTTGGATCATAAGTGGCCGGGTGGTAAACATGCGGGCACAAGACGTTACGATGCTTTACTGCTCGCCTTACCTTGAACGAGTACAGGCAGAAGTGACCGTAACACTCCCAGATTATGGCATCGACCATGACCGACCCCCTGTTGTCAATGACAACAATAGGACACGAGTAGGTGATGCGACAATGCCTTACCGATGGCAGGAATCTCTATATCTCCCGTTCGTGACCAACGATACTCAAAACATCATGAACATCATCAGCGACGACCTTACGGGAGACGGCTTCTTCGGCGCCCTGACCAAGGGCAAAGACGGCATCCCCATCGCCCAGTTGTCCGGCTCAGACAATTCACCCAAGCTCGCCTCCGCAGTCGAAAACTTGTACGGCAAAGTGATAGCGCAAATCATGAACTTCCACCGTGTGGACCTCTCAAACGCTACCTCCCCCTTACAAGCCTTCCCAGCAACACTAATAACACCCAACCGCATAATCCTGCGCCAAAGCCCCATCTCCACTCGTATTCTGGATGTTCTCCTTATCATCATGGCGATCTGTGCAGCGCTCACATACTGGTTTCTCGACACGACCAAGACGCTCCCCAAGAACCCGAGCAGTATTGGCGCTGTCGCGAGCTTACTCGCTGGTTCGGAGATGCTGAGGATGATTCCTGAGGGTGCAGAATGGGGGAGGGATTACCGGATGTTTGATGGTTGGTTCTTCGGTCTTGGGTGGTGGGGAAGCGGGGACAAGAAGAGATTTGGCGTTGATGTTGGGTCTGGGGAGAAAGGTGGTGAGGGGAATCGATTGATATAATTATTCGCTTACAGCGACGGCGACGGGGATAGATAGACTGGCTACTTGTTTGGCGTTGGTGATAGGTTGAAGATGGTTACATTCAGACACTGCATCGGAGCGGTACTCTGAACTCTCACGATGATGAGTTATGATCTGGGAAGCATAGCATAAGAGGAGTTTGGAATTTTGGGTAATGTATTAATAGGTTGATACCTTGTTGCAGATCTAGATTGACACTTAGATGCTACTTGTATAATTAAATGCTTAAAGGAGATAATATATATTGTATTAACTCTGTTGGTCGTGAATAACCGTCAACAGTCTGTACCACTAGTGCACTGGTGATGCAGTGATAGCTGCGGACTTAGGAGCAACACAATGGAAAGTGGAGATTGCACTAATTTCTAGCCGGTGGCCTACTGGCATTGGATTTGCTTGTATGTTAGTATATAGACGTTGTGTCCCAGCTCAGATTTGTACTTCTGAGCTGGGCCTGAATTTAGTCTCCATTTATATACTGGCCACCCACGACCGATCGGCTACGTGAAACCCATATTTTCGGTTTAGCCAAGATGTTCAAACACAAGTTGGTAGTTGATGTAGCAAGGTGTTCTTAGTGTACCCTAGATATGGGATACAAAGTATGTTTCTTCATATCTTGTCATTTCACATGCATGTGGAGATGAGGGTTAAGCCAGGGAATTTTTCCTTCAAAAGATGCGCTCAAAAAGCGCTCATGTCCTTGCAAGAATGCAATTGGTCAAACTCCGCTCATGCTATATATGAACAAAATCCCATCTGTATCTCGCTCATTAAAATATGACACAAAATTTCATAAAACCCGTTCATTATCCGTCTATGCAAGCCACCGCAACCGCTGCCCCCAAAAGACTGCTCTCCTCAGCATACATTAACTCAATGACGCCTTTTTTACTGCCAGAGGCCTCAACAAGGTCATCGAGTTGCTTCTGACATGACACCCTAAATCCGGGATAGTTCTCGAGGACGGAGCCGTTGTATGCTACTAGGGTGTGTGATGACGACTGTGCGGTGATGGATTCGGCATCGTTTCGTAGCTGCCAAAGCGCATGGATACCGGCTGCGAGGACGCCACATGCGCGGTGGGAGACTAGGGAGGCAATTGCACGGAGAGCACGCATATCTGCTAGCGTGGGTGGGTGTGTAGTTGGGTGGCGGGAGAGGAAGAGTTGCTGTGCAGAGGAAAGCGTGGGGCTTATATCGCTATGGAAAAGCGTTAGTTGGCATTACCGTGTAACAAAACTAGAAAGGCAAACTTACGACTCGATGTGTGATAGTGTTTCGGTTTCTAGCGAATAGGGCTCCTTGAGACTGGGAGGGACAACTCCACCAAACAGACCGGCTGTTTGAATCCCCTCAACCAATATTAGGCGTACAATCTCACCCAGATATCCCCCACTGACGAAATGCTCTAAGGGCTGAAACTCTGGCCGGGGGTGGCCTGCTATTAACGCTTTATCCCATCTGGTATAAGGCAAGATCCCACGGCCGAACATGGAGAGCTCGGTGTTGACGATGACATGTGTAGCTGAATCGTGCCACGAGGCTGGACGAATCCCGAATTTTGGAGGAGAGAATATATGTACTGGAAGATGGACTGCGGCATTCGTGCCAGTGCCTAGAATCACAGCAAAGCGAGTGGTTTGATCCAGATATGCTTTTGAGAGTAAAGTTGCCGACGAGTCGTTAACGATAGCATTTAGTTGCACATTAAGACCTTTTCTTGAACACGAATCTTGGATGAGGTCACCTAGATCGTGTCCCAGAAGCCCATGGGCCGCTAGGAATCCTTTGCCCATTCCCTGGAGAAGTCCACTTCGAAGGGAAGTCTGTCTAAGAATTGGTCAGCTGACTTTTCTCCCAACATCATGGGAGGGCCTTACTCAATGGGGAATGACCATGACATCCCCATGGATAGGGGTACTTCTGACATATCGTGACCCTCTTGCTGCCCTGACAACGTCTCCCCCATGCGCTCCGCCATCCAGTCAAAGAACAACATCCCTTTGAGCTGCTTGACGTCGTTCGTAATTTTAAATGAATCCCTCTTCAATATAGTGGTCCCTATGCTTTCGGATTTCCGTCCCGAGAGCTCAATCAGGGCAATTCTGAAAGTCGAACCCCCTACATCTAGAGCAAGATACGTCCCCCGCTCATCGCCGCTTGGAAGCTGATGGTTGTACGACGGGAGCATGTTCAAAGGATTGTCCAATAAGCTTTCTCCAAACTGGTCCCTCAACCCGTTAGATAAGGCCATTAGCACCGACGACTTTTTTGATTCTTCGAAGGCCTTGGCCACATCAACCAAGAATGGCGACAACAACAAGACCTTCCCCCCACATATAGCGCCGTCTTCGTCGACATTCTCCCCCTTGATAACTGGCGGAGAAATCCATATATTGAAAATAGTTTGAAGTAGGGATTTCGTCCTCAACAGGCTCTTGATAATTGCGGCATAGAAGGCCTGGCGTACCTTATACATTGTAGCAATGAAGGGCTGCATCTGATCGGACATCGATACATATAAATGCTTTTGGTCTGTGTACCTTGCGGTTATGGGATGCGGCTAAAGTAGCGTGAGGACGAAGGGCGGGTTGTTGCAGTCTCCATACTCTGCCTACGCCATTCACAGTTGCAGTTGCAGGTGTGGGGTTGGGTGGTCGTGTTGAAGATTTTTGGGCTGGGTCCATGAACCAAAGACCAGATGGAGGCGTCAATTCAATGTCAAACGGACGGCAGCACCACAGAGTCCAACTCGGCAGGTCAACAGAATTACGAGGCGCACCGAGATAGGGTTGGCTTGGCCCCGTCGGGGATGGGGGAGACAGGAGGCCAAGTAACATGTAAAAAAGAGGATAGCAGAGGTAGATTTGCCAGCTCTGTCGGGGTGAATAGATGCGAACCCTTATTGCGCCATCAGAACCCAGGAGTTGATAGGGCGAGTACGAGCAAAACGCGTAGGGAGTAGGTAACCTTCAAAGTTCAAGACCCAACCCAGAGCTATTTCAGGTCTCTCCACCCTGCCTCCCTGCCTCCCTGAAGGCCGAAACAGAAGCAGATGGGACGGATGTCTGAGACAAAACCGCGAGGACTGGGTTTCTGCAACCGTCGCCAGGTGGACTGGTCCCGCTGGTCCAGACATCCCGAGTGGCCGTTGGGGGCGCATACGAAGTGCTCCGGAGGAAGCCCCATTCACTGCTTAGTATGTACCTGTATTTTGAGGGAGCCTGCGCATCACTCTCTCATCTGCGTGGCTACAGGATGCCTAAGGTGCCCTGTACCTGGTGATCCCATCGACTTTCCTCGGGGCCAGCCTGGGAGACGCACCGCGGCGGGCACCACCAGCGGCCCGTGTCCATGTCGCTGTATGCCAATCGCAGGCGCTAGCTGGGTTTCGTGGCAATGGAATGGATTGCGATGCGATGGGAGCTGTTCGATGGAGCAGCGCGTTGGGCGGAGAAAAGGTGGAAGGCAACGTTACAATATACTCGTACTTCGTATTGTCAGGTTGATGTATCTAATATCACTGTCCCTGTCGGTAGAGGGGCGCCGCATCCTGCCATTCTGCCAGGCGCGGCCGCCTTTGTCTCGGGCGGTGACTGCCCCGATCGCCGGTACTTCGCCGCTACTACAACACCCGCCATGATCCATCCTCCATCGCCATCGTCCTCCACTCCAGATGCAACCTCAACTCGACCTCGACCTCGCCGTCAGTCGCCAGTCGCCAGTCTCCAACGGGCCCAAAACGGCCATCCCAGCAGAGCCCAGAGCCCACTGCCCACTGCCCACGAGGAGGAAAACCTAAATTCGACCTATGCTCCGTAGCCAGCGAAAACTCACCCATCCCCAATCACCGAGTCAGGTATGCGAGCTCCAAGTGGGATTTACCGCTCAAGTGAAGTGAACCCAACGACGGCTTCGACGGAGTATGCCACCAGAGTATTGCAAGCTGCCACTACACTAGTCCTGCCGAGGGTTTCCGCGGGGCAGGTTGACGGCGGCCCCAAGCTTTCCACGAGTACAAACACAGTCAGTCACAGGCACAGATAGCGGGAGGTGAGGTAAGAATGGGGCGTTGGCGGTGACGTTCCATACTCCAACTCTGCACTAGGTGGCAATAAAGAGCTACCCAATCAAGAATGTCGCACCTGTAATGGCCGTGATATTTGGTGGTGGCAGGAGGTCATTAAGCTTCAAGAGGTTCTATTTCGCCCTTGTATCCGTATCATTTTTCTCTCGTTGTTGTATTCTAGCATTTCTCACGGTACATCTTCCACTTCCAAAACTTACCTCTACTCTGTGCCTCTATTGATCTCTACATCTCTACACTCGGCTTAAAGAACCTTGCTCTCCAAAGCCACTATCAAAATGAGGCTCATTATCAGAGACGACCCCGTGTCGGCGTCATCGTACATCGCCAACTACATCATCGGTAGGCTTATCTCTTGCTATCTTTGCAATTTACATAAGTTCTAATAGATCTTTAAAGAGAGGATCAATAACTTCAACCCCACCAAAGAGCACCCTTTTGTGCTCGGCCTGCCAACTGGATCCAGTCCCGTTAGCGTCTACAAAGTCCTCGTCGAGAGATATAAGGCCGGAGATGTATCTTTCGAAAATGTAGTCACATTCAATATGGTACGGTGTTTGTCGCCTTGGATGTACCTTTCATGGAGCTGATACCCGCGTCTAGGATGAATATATCGGCATCCCTCGTGAACACCCCCAGAGTTACCACACGTATATGTACGACCATTTTTTCTCCCACGTCAACGTCCACCCGTCCAATATCCACATCCTGAACGGAAACGCAATCGACCCTGAAACAGAGTGTGTACAATATGAGGCCGCAATCAAAGCCGCTGGAGGTATTGATTTATTTCTCGGTGGCATTGGCCCGGATGGACATATTGCGTTCAATGAGCCAGGATCCTCGCTACTATCGCGCACAAGAGTTAAGACTCTAGCTTATGACACCATTCTTGCCAATAGTCGATTCTTTGGAAACGATTTGGAAAAGGTGCCTAAGATGGCGTTGACGGTTGGCGTTCAGACTATATTGGAAGCACGGGAGGTGGTGATCATTATCACTGGAGCACACAAGTCTATGGCGCTCAAGAAGTGTGTTGAGGATGGAGTCAATCACATGTGGACGCTTTCAAGCCTACAGCTCCACCCACACCCGATGATTGTGGTTGACGAAGATGCAACATTAGAACTTCAAGTTAAGACAGTCAAGGTAGCTACCCCTGGTTTTGGTGATACCTTTATTTCACTGACATCATTTCCTAGTATTTCAAATCCATCGAGGCCGTTGCCACCTCCCAAGGCTTCGAGCAAATCCTCCCTAGCAAAGTTCGCACTGGCCCACGCCCGCGCGCAATAGCGAAGAAAATCGGGGCCGGGCCAGAAATTCAAGAACCAGGCATCCTGGAACCCCAACCGGTGACAAGCACCCTGTTGACTGCTCCCGCGAATGAGTATCCTGTGCGTAGTCATACACCAGAATTAATCCCCGATCGGATGGGCAGCCGAATCACGGCGCACTGATCGGTATCGATGTGATAAAGAACAGGTTGGCACGGCTTATTTAGCGTTTTCGTGGGTTGATATTTCGGAGTAGGCGGTTTTATACACAGCTATAAAGATTGGAATTGAAATTGGCTTTTGCTTTTGGGTATATAGTATCATGGGATGTTAAATTACTAGGCTATATAAACTGCATGGTCTCCCTGTGTACGATAAAAGGATTAAGCTGGTACTGGCTTGTGTTTAAATGAAGGCATATATTACTTTTAGAGCGTGCTGAGCCGGTACTTGAAAGCAAATGCCTAGGGCTTAGAAATTGTTCTCCATTTTCCCCGCAATTATTCCACGTGTGCAATGACTGCTTGCATAAAGGACTTTTTCCGGAGTCCGTATAGAGACTCCACGTTTCTTTTCTCCGCCAGTCCTCGATAGTGTGCCGTTTCTACCGAGGGTATGGGGTATTATACTTCCTCACGACGGTGTCTATACTACTAGGGATATCCTGCTTTTTCAAAAAAAACAGATACTGACCTCCTTGGACATGATGAGCTTAAGATTGAACAAGGGTGGTACTGGCAGAATATTCCTTGCTATTTGGAATTTCTCCTCGCGCGGGTTGAAACCTGCCTTCAATTGCCGCTGCATGCAGCTGAGGTATCCTTCAATAGCCATTACAAAAAGGCTCATCTGGTTTCTGGACGATACTTCCGGCATTGCCACCTACCATAATAGGTGAGGCTGATAGGGTCCTTTACCGCGCTGTTAGTGATCTTGTGAAGGAAGTATTGAAAACGTACTGTGTGGCGAAGCTCACTGATGCAAACATGAACAAAATCTTATTGCTACCTGTCGGATTTATTTAGGAGTTCATACTTGTTTAAGTTTCAGTGGTTCTAAGCCTCGTATAATTCAAACCTATCAAATACCTTGCCTCAAATTCCAGACCTAGATCAATTCTCCACTCTTCATCTTAGGTTGCCCAATATCTTCTTCAATAGCCACAAACCAGTGTGTTGAGTCTAAGATCATATGCAATCCTCTAGTCTGTCAAACACCTTACTTCCAAATTTCCACACCTGATCAATTCTCAAATTCTTCATCCCACTCTCATCAATTTCTTCGTCGATAATTACCAGATCGGCATCGGCATCACCTTCTAAACTCCCTTTGACGCCGCCGAGGCCGAGCATTGCCGCTGGTGTTGCGGTAACTGCCTTGAGCGCCTGGGGAACGCTGGCTCCCGACCAATTGAGGAAGTTTGTCACACATTCTATTAGCGTGATTGAGCTACACCGTCATCAGCATCAGACCTTCAGGTTGAAATTTCAATCGTAAACTCACCTCCCAGCAATTTTATTTGTTCCCTCCAAGGTTAAGCTTGGCCCCGTCTTCACCAGCCTCTCCCCGTCGTTATTCCATTCGTACACCCCATCCGGCAATCCCACAAGATGCATGGCATCTGTCACGAGAATGAACCCATCGGGATGCGCGTTGAACGCTATCTTGATGCTTGTTGGATGGAGATGGATGCCATCTGCGATTACACCAAAATATGGCCGCGGAAGGCTCTCTGCTAAACCAAGAACGCCGAACACGCCCGGGTTTCGGTGGTGCAGCGGGCGCATGGCGTTGAATAAGTGCGTTATCATGGTTCCGCCCGCCGCAACGGCGGCGGATGCCTCCTCGTACGTTGCCTCCGTGTGGCCCATCGAGTAAATGATTCCCCTTGATATGAGCTCGGGTATGGTTTGCGTCATTTTAGCAATTTCTGGTGCAGCGGTGATCTTTCTGATTTTGGGAGGCAGCAGAGCCCCGTCTATTGGACTAACAGTCGGGTATATATTCGAAGCGCCATACATTTTTTCCAGGTCTGAGAAGCCATTGACAGCTGGGACAATGACCTCGACGGGATGGATGCCATTCTTGGTTGGGCTTATGAATGGGCCTTCGCAATGTGCACCAAGGGACTCAGCCCCATCTTCTGCCCGCCGTGGACCGCCAGATGGTCCAAGAAATGGGAGTGCCTGATGGTAGACTTCTGGGCGGGAGGAAGTGAGGGTTGGGAGGTAAGAGGTGACTCCTGTTTGGACGAGGGACTTGTTGACTTGTTTCAAGACCTTCCCATAGCTTGAAACATCGTCTGGTATCGTGGAGAAGTTGAACCCAAAGGCACCATTCAGTTGGACGTCAATAAGACCTGGGGATATAATTCGTCCGCCAAGGTTTATTATGTTGTCTGGCACTTCGTGTTTGCCGTAGAAGACCTCTTGACTCCGTACGATCTTTCCTGTCTCAGAGCTCACCCATAGATCCTGCTCCACTAGCTCGTCTCCTTTGACTAATCTGCAATTCGTGAATTTGGTAATTCTCTCATTGCCTGTTGGAATCGCTGACGGCATCGTGACTTGAGAGCTCTGCGAGGAGAAAGAATAGATAAATTGAGGAAAGAGGATGAATTTCGCGGCGTTACACGGCGATCAATCTTTGAGGACTACATCATGAATGACATAGCAAAACCCGCAGAGCTTCGACCTACCTTCTAATATCATTCTCGAAGGTCGGTGGTGGTTTAGCGCTAACCCGCCACACAACGATAGTGATGGCGACTCAAGTCTTAGCGGCACAAGTGACGTTAATTCATACCCACGGTGACCACTGCAGGGTGGAGAGCGGTACCCGTGAGCAAGTGGTCGAGAATCGGGGAGGCGACATGGCGGGGAAGAGAAGATATCATCGAGTTAAGAGATGTAACGTCTCATCGGCAGGATCGGCGCCACAGGCTTTGTTCTGCCGGGGCAGGCTCTTCACAGGAACGTTGTGACTCGTACCAAATATCAACCTTTCGTTGTAAGCACCACGGCCAGTCGATACATAGCGATCTGGCAATTTGGAAGCTCTACCAGCTCCATAATTGTTGGACTTGGGATTTGAAGCCGAGATAATGTCCGAGAATGCCTACCTGCCAGTGCTGAGTCGCGTTGCGGGAGGTAAGGATTTATATTGCGATGGGCTAAAAGAGTAATAAAGATCCAACTTGAAGGTCATTTTGTTAAATTATAAATAATTAAAATAATTAAAATGATTCGAATGATTCAAATGATTAAATTAAACTGTAAAGTTTTTAATTTAATTAAATATTATAGCACGTGTTCTTTACATAACGTACGCTTTTATAGTAGTCTGTATATAATTTAAGCTTGTTACTTTTTTATAGAGAGTTTAAATCGAAGTACTTATTACTACTAGTATTATTATAAAAGCGGCTTATTATAGAGCTTAGCTCTCTAGAACTGGAGGTAAAAAATACTAAAAGAATATCACGTGACATAATCACGTGATGACGGTAAGATCAGTGTCGAGTTCTAGATTCGTTTATTGTTTCCGAGGCAACTTAACGTGGCTGGAATGTCAGCGACCTGGAACACGTTAAACCTTCAGCCTCTTCTTCAAACACTAAGGTCTTCTAGCCACATACAGCTTTGATAAACCCCTACCTTTTGCACGAGTGCAGCTGCGGTATAAAGAAACCCAACTGGATCAAATCTAGACCGCTGTTCAACGCCACCCTTCGATATTGTGTTACTTGCTTAGATCCTCCTCGATTTGTGTTGCATCTCGTCGTACCTCCACTGCTTCTCGCATTGTTTCAGCATTCATCATCCGGATTCTTTTACCGCAAATCATCCTAGCCATAATGCGTTACAATATATATGAGTGAGCTGGAAGATCTGTTCGAGCCAGCCGGACGGATAATCAGCGCATGCTTGTAAAATGCTGTAAGATTTGGTCATCTTACTCCAAGGACACAAACTTTCAAGATGGCCTTCAACCGTACCATCTCCAGCTCCAAAATATTATTGGAAGGGTTCTAGCATTCTAGCCAACGATTTTATCGAACCCCGCGGACCGCCGCAGTTACTACCGGAACAGAGAGGTTCGAAGGAATCATATTTGCACATCAGCGGACATTCACCGTGGCGGACGACAGAGGAGCATTGCGATCTCAGAAATAAGATCATTCCCTACCCGCTATTGCTGGGTATCCAACGTCTAAAGTATGTTATTTCGTGAACGACTCACGCTTTACCAATTGGCCCGGGCGTTATGGTGGAGGGATTGCCGTGAGGGGCAACTTCCTCACTATTCTAGCTTTCGCTTGGGCATATATTTTATCATCCCGCTGGGTAGAGATGCAACAGTCCGACGCTGCAGTACATATCTCCGCACAACAACATGACCGTATTCTCTATTTGGCTCCCGAGGCCAATTGGATATATGAACGTGCTGAAAAGTCCGCAGACAAACTTCATATCGATCTCGGAAATGTCAACGATAATGCAGCGCGTTGGTGGGCCGCGATTTTAGCCCCAGGCGAAGGTTGGCGAGCAGAAATCACTCGAAATGCCACCGTTTACCGATTCCTATAGACGATATGCATAGCGGCCACTCAAGTCTTCAGTATACGAAGGTCAGGACACCATGAAACCCCTTCCAGGGGCCCATTTGTTCCACCATCATCAGAGGCGGCCTTGAGATATCTCTCCGACTTTATTATACGTCACTATGCCGACAGCCAATGCTCCGTGGCCCTGGCTGCAGCTTTGACTTTTCCGTTCCTTGGTACTAGAAGCGCGAAGTTCCCATTGCCAAATATGTTACCGCAAAGCACTTTGCCAACAGGCTCGCTCTACTCGCCATTTACCGATGGTCACCAGAAGAAAGGGACAGTTTGAGAAGAAAGCAAGCTACTTTGTTACTAGACGACCTCGAGCTGTAATATGCGTGGGATGTATGCTCTTCCTTGCGGCTCTTCCTTCGATCCTCAAGTCCCTGGTAACCTTGTTCGTCCATGGTTTCAACCAATTATAGAAATCATTAACCCGTTGGTTAAAACATGGATTTTGAAAGTATTGCGATAGTTATAGGCAGACGACAACCTAAGCTGGCAACGTTATGGATGGGGGCCGCCGTTAGCGGAATGGCAGATCCTATCTTGCAATGGGCTTGAACAGCGCTAACAGTAATCGAGCTACACGCTGCTGCATGGACTGCCACTACAAATTCATTCATTAGCCTCATATATGACGACCCGTGCGGACACGAGGACCAGGAAATTCGTCGTTCAGATGAGTGCTGCTTGCTTTTACTTACAGAGGCTGAGGACTATACTCGGCTTCCTATTTGTTCTTGGAAGCCATTCGGAAACATAGCATTGTGTGATACTAAGATCGAAGTCCGAAAACACAGGAAATGTACGGGACACCATCTGCAATACGTTAGCTGGTCCTGGGATTTGCGCAACGACACTGAGTTGGAAGATCCAGGCTTTACTGTCGATACACAATATAACGACTCGAGTGCAAATGCGATTGAATACCATTCTGCAGATCTACTAGATGAGCGGGGTTTAAAGGATGAGATGCTGTCAGAGAATCCGACTCGTAGTATATTTGGCTGGCTGCAGAATTCGGGCTGGCCAAAGGGCGAGAAGCAGATATGTTGTCACTCATGGATTGGGTTTGATTAATCAGACGAGAATTTGAGAATACAGGGAGTGATGATGGAGGCGTCGACAATAACACACAAGCTGTTAGGGTATGGCTAACGGAACAGTTCATGACAGGCTGGTGTTTTGATATGGAAAGAGTATAGAATGAATAAGGCAAGTCATCTCTGCCCAGCGAAACTCCTATCCAACAGTTGTAATTCCTTTGCTGTGTGATGCCTCTGCCGATCTGGGAATGGTGATCTCTGGAACACTAGCTCACATGAGCTTCTCGCGCAAGTCCATGACTCAAACGTTCAATCAGAATTGAACGCACCCTTTTTATCTCGTGGTATTAGTGTTCTGACTGCAGACTGCGGACTGTAGTGATGCTGAAGTTGAACCGGCGTTAACACAATATTGGCGCGAACGCGGAGCTGTTAGCACAGTCCCGAAAAAGTCCCTAATTGGGTAAATAATAATGAGCACGATGCCTTCGATCTCAGGAGCTTGAGAGCATAAAATCGTTATGATGAAGAAGGAAGCCTCCTGAGTACTTTTCTTGCAAACCCCCATATTCAAGTACGCTGCCTCTCTGAGTTTAGATGTAGTAGCGTTACCTGCTCTCCAAAAGCTTTTCAACCTTACACGAGCTTTTTGAATTTTATTAAGTCCATGGCGAAGAGTTTCAAACTGAATCGAAGGCGTTGCAGTTTTCAATTTTATCAAAACATATCCAATGTTATAATTATATTAAACTTGTAGGGAGTCCTACTTTCTCACCACATCCCAATAGAAATCAACAAGTGCCTTCGGGTTTACTCTATCCATAAGAGGCACTATCCTCAGGAAGCTTTGGGTTGCTTCCGCAAATACTGTACCACAGTGACCCAGAGGCTCACCAGCAAGAGTCTGGACCATTTTAGACCACGTTTCAGAGACCCTTGGGGAATTTGGGTTCTAGAACTCATTTAGATCTCTACAAGAGGCGCAAGGAGCTGCCGCTCAACCGTTTGTTTTGTCACTACGTCGACGAAATCCTTCTGCTCGTCCTGTCAAATATCAGGAGTATCCCGGTCAACAATACAGATGAGAAATCTCTTTGTAGGATGCATCATTAGCATGAAGAGCTTGCTCGGCAGCAAACTTATTCATATCGTGTTGAATAGTTTGCTGAAGTCCATATCTAAGAGCCACAGGATCTATGACACTTTTGTCTACGTAGCCAGATCCCGCTGTGAATGTCTTCTGTGTAACTTCAATTGTTTTCCGTAAGATGATTAGTTAACGTTTTTGTTGAATCTTTTGAATGTTGTCGCTGGAATAGTGGTTGTAGGTAATCGGATGCCGCGCCTTGTCATTAAGAATATGCCTCAATTCTCCAACGGCCTCCGAGTGAGTATGTTTTAGCAATGGTAGAGCTGTCAAAGTGGCGACCTTCTCTTTGATTTCTGGTATTCCCACACTGTTAAAAACTGCAGGCGCTTCCTAATTTACTAGTTTATCCTAGAATATATGACCAATGGCCAATGATCATGTCCTGTTCTGGACTATCAACCAACACCATAGTTGCCCATGTTTTTTGAGGCTAAGAATACGTGAGTAAACTTTCTTCGAAGGTATCTGAATTTGTGGATTACTATCTATTGATTTGGAAAGAGTCAGATGCCAATTTCCTAGTTTGGGAGAGTTTCTTTCATATGACGGGTGTCAGAAGGTAAGAGATGGTCCCTGTGCTAAAGAAAAAGATGGCTTAGGTCGGAGAATACAACTAGAAATATCATAGGTCCAGATAATGAAATTCCCCGCTGTAATGGTATTTCTCGTTGAAGTTTTGCGGTCAACAAATGGATTTGCCTGGTCATCGTACCACATTTTACAGCGAATAATTAGGGGCAAACTAGTGGTCTTCCTAAACAGGATGGATTCTGATAGCGTCTACTTACACAGCGTCTCCATAGTCATTTACACAATGCCTTTTCGAATGACTATCGCCCGCGATGATCACCTCTCGTGTACAACTGATCTTTACCTCCAATGGCCCCGCTGCGTCACCAGAGAAATTGTTGAGCTACAGCAAAGGGGCCTACAAATTAATCAATAGAACAGTCCACCCTGTAAAACAAGCTACCTATACCCCTCGCGACCCTCGACGCGGCGCGCTGGCTATCTTGAAACAAGCAAAAATGGCAACAGCCAGTGTCACAGCGCTCAGATATGTATCCGCTTTAGTCCCGATGCGATTTGACAGCAAGTCGTTGTTTATCGCATCGCGTGGTACTAGATTGAATGTTGTTGCAATCGCCGACCATCCTGCAACCGCCGGAACAACCAATGTATCGGCCATTCCAAAGCAATACTCGAATGGAAGGCCTGAACTCGATGACAGGGCGAACGTCAGAGTGAGAGAGTACAACTCTAGAAGACGATGCCGACGTCCAGACCCAAAGCACGGCAATGTTAAAAGAACGAATCTATAGATCGCGTGTGCAAATATCCAAGATTTGCTGACGGCAGTGAAAACGAACAAGTCGTCGTGAAGAACGATTGTCTTCCATCTAGCGCGGTGCCCTTGTTGGACGATCCAAATGAAGAGTGCAGCGCAAGCGACCTTGCTACACATTCCCCGAAGGGTGCCGTCTGCGGGAGTCCACACCATCATGCCAATGTTGCCATACACCGCGAAATTAACATAGGCCGTAAAGGCTGATAGAAATCTAGTCTGAAAGGATCGATTCGCAACGAGGAATGCCAGGACAGAGCCGAGACCGAGGGGAAGTTCACACATGATTTTGGTCATTTCGCCAACAGTAGAGGTTTCGTCGAATACGACAATAGTCGCGCTGAGCCCAAGGACTACGAGCAAAAGCAGTCCACGGTTTCGAATAGCACACCCATAGGTGAGGATGAGAATGATACTGAGCCATACGTTGAATGGGATATCAATGTACGCCTCAAGCGCTGTATATGTCGGTGAGAATGCCATGAGATGGGCCATAGTGGTCGTGTAGACTGGACATTTTCCAGGCACACAAAGTGGCTGGCGAGGAGCCCCCAGGATCGGGAGACTAAGCAGAACCGGAGCAGCCTTAGGCAGTCAGATTCGAGTTTGAGCCACTTATACTTAAGCCGACACTTCTGCACGGGAGGGAATCCCAATTATGGTGGCGCAAGAGCTCTTTCATGAAGTTGTATACAATAGTCTGGCTGGCTGCTGTTCTGTTGGACTCGTGTTTCGACTTTTGTTTGTTCTAAGACTTTATACTTATCTAGGATATCGTGTTTAGCCTCGTACTTACTATAGCGCGTAAATTCACATATAATCGCTACGTGGATCTATACCTGTCGTACCTCGGATCAAAGCGAGTGCCAATTTTAGTTAGTGAAAAACAACCCTATAATATTTGCACTATAATTTAAATTATGTAATCATTTGCAAAGTGCTAGTGGTGTGGCTGTTCAGGAGTGTGGCTAACGTGAGGCTAAACTGAACGGTGGTCTGTATAGGAGGGTGGAAGTCTCGTCCAATCTCTACCTCAGTACAAAGAAACAAACTTAGAGAACCCAACAATCCTGCGGCTGGTGAGATGTTCACAGATTCTCACTCTCCGTTTGACTCCTTCACTCGACTTCTCAGTCTATCCCGGAAATGACGGCATCAATCAAGCCCTTTTTCGAACTTGACAGTTCACGCGTCTCACACACAGCCCCAAACAACAATGGCAGAGTACGATCGAGTAAAGCGGTAGTCAGCAAAGGAAGAGAATAAAGTATCTGCAAAGCAGTAGCACATGAAGAGCACAACAAGGTCGCAGATTCGAGAGAGCATTAGCTCTACCTCGATCAACTTATACAGCACAATGCGGGACGATGCTGCGGAGGAAATACAGTGGAGAACGATATTGCAGAAGGAGTAGGGGGACAATGCTATGGGGAACGATGTTGCGGAAGGGAAATGCTACGGAAGGGAAAATGCTGCGGAGGGAACAATACTGTGGGTAAAGTGCGGCAAAGAACGATGCTACGGGACACGATGTTACGAGAAACACTGCGGAGGGAACTCGCACTACGTTTGAGAGGAAGATTATTAGATGAATGGATTGAGAAATCTGCGGTGGCGTGCTTGTATTCCTTCAATAGACTCGGAGTTTCTGGTTTGACCTCCAAGGTTTTTATTGCCCAGTCCATCGGATATACAGTAAGACATATTTCGACGGAAAGCTCTGCTCAAAATGTGCAACAGAAATACGATCTAAGTCTTTGTCTTTTGACCCTTCCTATAGTGGAACTCTTGTGGGGCTTTCTTTCGACGAAGCCCATCTTACCAACATGCTCTTCAGCGAAGAGACAAGGCTAGGAGACGATGGGTGACGCGGACAGAGAGATCGGTGATGCCCTACCCCGCCAAATGGTGACTTGACACGTTCGAATTTCCCTAGCCTCGTCGCCTGAAGCACATTCTTTTCGTATTTCTAAACAGTATAACTTGAACACCTTATGCTTCGAGGATATGGGAGCCTAACTTTGGCATTATATATCTATCTTGTACCAACGATCACCCTGTGAGTCCTTTCGAAGTACCTATCCGGTCACCATGCCCGAGGATCTCCGCCGTACTACGAGAGGCAGCCATAATGACCCAGAGCCTAAGCATGCTCGAAAAAGACAACAGCGAGCAGCTTCCTGCGACTCGACTTTCAGAGATGGACAGAGAAGACAGCCTCGTCCATCAGTATCTCCACTAGTAGCTTGGGATGATTCCGCCCTCCACGACAAGCACTACATTCCTTTCAGGGACGATAGTGATTTGTTTCAATTGGAAGATGCCCAGATGGGCATTGCTATACGGCGAGCGGAGAACATAAACGTCTTTCACGACTCTGCCAGCGAGGAATACCTGTCATCGAGGCCTTCTTCTCCTGCAGAGAGTGATTCGGTAGAAGACTTTGTGGAGAAGCGGTTTTCACGACCTGCCGAGTACTTTCAGGAGCTGGATGATATGACATCTAAGATATATCAAAACACGGTATTCAAGCGATATATCGTAAGTTCTGACTCGGCCATAAAACAAGGGCATAGTCTGACTGTCATAGGATGGAACAAAACATCGGCCATTCGATACCAAGATTAACTTCGATCCCGAAACCCCATTTCTCGAGAATGCATCATTCCAACAATGCGGGACAGAGGAGATACTCTGGTTTTGTCAGGAGGTCACATATTTGGCAAACAAGAACATACCTGGTCCATCCCATCCCCTACACCTAGCGGATCATCGAATGTATGCTCGAGTACTTGATCAATTGGCGAACTTCATTGAATGCCGCAATATCATTTCCAGGGCCTGGGAGAATATCAAGACAATGAAAGAAGCACATTATTGTGGCAGCTTTATCAGCCTGCTCGTTCTCGACCGCACGCGCCAGAATGTTGCCAGACTCGTTCGAATTGAATGCGGCAAGATAGAAGAGTTGGTGAACACATTCGAGATATGCCTCTTCCAGATCATCTCTGGCATTCCCAATGATGTCTTGCTTGAGGTTGTCAATACATACGCGAGTGAGGTCTCGGCGGCTTGTCGACAGCTGCTCGTCGATCTTGATATGAAAATTCCAATTAAGCTTAAAGACCTCTGGCGATGTACTGTTCATGTTCTCGATTTTGCAGTCCTGTCCTACGCTGGTGCTCACACGCAGGTCTTTGGCAATCATCAAGTTATATCCGTTACGTTACCAGGCCCTTTCTTGGAGACGCAGTACTTTGGGGTTCGTCGAAGATCTTTTTCGTGTCTCAGCGAGTTCCTCGGTCGGCAGCAGGTTTGGGTACTTGAAAGTTTTGATACGTATCTTTCGAGCCTACTCGGACTCGAGGAGCCGCCTCACTTATCTTTGTCGACGGACGCCATGACATTTGGGGACATTTGGGGACCAATGTGGAAGTCCTCCGTTCTTGGTGATGAAGAGCGGATCGTTCAATACAAAGTTGGGAATGGGGTCATAATTCCCTGCCATACACTATCGGAGGGCTCACGAGACGCAGTGAAGGCTCAAAAGGGCGAAATACTAAAAGGCGAAGTACTCTGTCATTGGATGTCAAACAAAGAGAGCCGCGAAGACAAGGATTTCGCAAGGGCATCATATCTGCGCGAGAACGACATCCTTCTCATAGGAGCCAGTGTCAGGTTGGAAGACAAAGGCGGATGCCCTGAATCGACAGCCCAGCTCAGAGAACGATTTAGGGACTCTGGGGCTCTTTCTGAGCCTAGTACTGTCAGTCCTGGCTGGGAATTGAGTACCGTAACAGGGGCACTGCAGGTTACACCACCATTTGTCACTGGCGGTCTTCAAAGACAATACAAGTTACGAGTGGGGCGGTATATGACGAAGTGTTTGATCGAACATTGGAAAAACGACTCTGAGAGTCGAAATGTTGAAGTTCTAGAGCAGTGGTTGGGTCTTGAAGTTTCCGCATGCACATACAATAGCCGCAGGATAAGACTGATCGAGCTATTTGGGACGCAGACTATGCTAAATCACTTGCGGAATGCATCAATCCAATGGACAGACCCAGAATGCGAGAGAAATTTCTACTCTGCGCTTCAAGATTCAGACTACAAAGCGTTCCGTAGGCTGTATAAGTCTCGGCGTGGCTGGCAAACTGATCTGGGTAAAGCCATTGGATGTGGCTTCGACAAACTGGAGGACACCGGCAAGACCATAGAGGGAGACCTTGCATTGTTCTGGGCTCCGGATACTCAGCCAGGGAGGAAAGTCACATTGCGATCGAGAGAACTATCTTGGATTGGCTTCTTGGAAGAGACTAAAGATAGTGGGACACTAGCCGTACTTGAGAGCAATTGCCTAGAATTTCCCAATCGGGTCCTAGGCAAGAAATGCCAGCATAATCGCTTCGATCCCAAACATATAGGCGGCGGGATCTCTCCCCTGAGCCAAATTCGTGATGGATCGCTTCTGCAGACATCGAGTCACTTGAATAGTTCCTGTGTCCCGAACTCTCTGCATGGAGGACGTCGCAGAATAAGGAATTCTAGGCATGGTGGTTCGGCTCCAAGGCATAAATTTGGTTGGTGTTTAACAGCCTTGAAAGAGGGCGATGTATTTGAGTTCGGCGCGCAAGGTCATCTCAAGGTCATCACACAGCTCAGTAAGGACCAGGTGCTAGTAGAATGGCGCAATCCGAACAGACCCCAGGATATCTTGCGCGATGTTTCACACAGAGTCTTGACAATGGCAAGTGTCACGCCTATAATCCGCAATGTTGTCGACAGTCCCCCACCTCCTCTTATGCACTATGAACGCATAAAGGCAGAGGACAGCAACACCAAACCAGTACACTTTCTTATCATCAGCAAATCTAGGAAAATGCTGCGCTCCGGTCCATCTTCACGAAGATCATTTTTGCATGCCGATTCGAATCCCACAGTCCATCGATACGAATCCGACTTTTCTCCGCGCGGTATTCCCAGAACCACAACATCTCAACCAATTATCTCGCAAAGAGTACATGACGACTTGATCAGGAGGGAGATTGTACACAGAGTTTCCAGGCAATTGGAAATTCTGCCAGCCCGGGTCGATAACAACGAAGAGACAACGTCGCAAGGTAGAGCTCGAAGATAGCTGTGCAGGTCTTGTTTTTATGGTTGACAATTTCCGTTTTGTTTGGTGGAATACCGTCGCTTTTGGCAGTACCGACTAGCTTCATAAATAGCTTTGATTCTGGGGTCAGAATGAAATACTTTCCTAAAGCAGCATAAAGATATATTCACGTTGCAATATGCAACATGGCAGTTAAACCTATAATCAATACATTAAAATTGGACATATGCATTCTCATTCCTACTTTTGTCGAACAGCCTAAACTAATTCGCGAAGGAGCCAGAAGAGGATTCTCTAAGTATAATCTAGCTAACTTATTAATATACTTAGGACTTAGAGCTTAGTTTAAGTTAGAGTTGCGACTAATTAAGTCTAAAGATAGAAGTAGGCTTTAGTAAAAGTAAGATTAGAATAAGTAAACTATCTAATAGATAGTTAGTTTCTATCGATAGACTCTTAAAATCTAATTAATAATATTATTAGTAATTATCAGTAGGGAAATTTTAACTTAGTTTCGGACTTTGCGGAATATATCCGAGGAATTTCGATACTTAGTGATACTAATCTAGAGATAACGAAGTGTAATGAAACTTATAATAAGACGAAGAAAAAATATAAGTAATACTATTAGCTTAAGGGTCCTAGTTGATAATAACGTGTAAGTGCGAGACTTCAATTATCCCTCCTGCCGAGCAAAGCACTAGTATACACATACTAAAATAGATGAAAGATGAGACAGCACTGAAGGACGTTGCACAGTGCTTGTAGTACGACTTACCGATTGGCTATTCTAAGATTGACTCATATTTAAGTCTAGTATGACTGCAGGATTTGGGGACACGTCAAACTCTCCTGCCCTGACTTCCCGTATGTGCTAGCAGTCTAATATCCAATCATTTAAATTGCATCGTTGAATCCATCATAGATGTCTTTCTGCAAAAACGTTTATCTAAACAGCGCTGCTCTCACAGCAAAACTGTTCATACCCGAATCCAGTGTTTCGTTTGAAAGTATGATCTATTTCTTACGGGAGATGCGATCAGCTGCTAACAGCTATGACTAGATATTAGGCAGCTAGGATCAACAAAGACACTGTTTATTGCAAACTTCATAACTCACGCATCCCGTGCGAAAGTCTCATTATTATCAGAGCAAATGGTTACCTAACAATGAAGTAGACTAAACAAGCGCTAGAACGATATCGCGCCAGTGACAATGGTGTGTGGCCATTGCGGTCCTGATGTGGTGGCACACCCAAGGACAATTACCTTGGCAGCACAAAGAAACATGAACCGTGCGACGATTGTGCCGCCAATGGAACATAGGTCAAAGCCGAGGGTAGAATCAACCAGTGGAAGAGAGCTTGAGGGATGAGCTAGAGCGCGGAATATTTAGAGGAGGAACTAGAAGTGTCGTTCGTGGTCTGTATAAGACGTTGGATCTCTATGATCACGTTGTTAAGCCGGTCCTTGTCTCTTGAATACGCCAATCTCGTCGGTCACTCCACGATGGACACGAACGAAGCATGGACTTAATACCCCTGTTCAAAAGTGGCAGGAGGCTCTTGGGCTAAAGCACTACTTTAATTGTGCACATTCCCCTGATCTTACTCCAGTTGAGAATAGTTGGATACCTCCTAAGACCCTTCTAAGGAAACATGGCCACTGGGGTGACGATTTAATATGGAGTCTTGCTTTGGAAGGGTGGGAAGCGATATCTCAGGAAACTATTAATGATTCGGAGACGTCCCTGCTAGCCCGAGTTAGGTGACTTACGTAAAGTAGGCCGAATAGTTAAGCATTATAACAAAGTGGTAGCATAGGTTCAGGGCTTATGGAGGATTATAGCCAATGATTCTAGTATATTAGAGAGATCGTATTGCGTTACCGCATGTGGTCAAATATGGACAATGCAATGCTAAAAGGAATAGATGTATCCAGCATCTTCACAGGTAGCATTTCCAAGGTATCTCGACGCCAAAAGCATCTGCAACAATCATCGACGAGATGATACATCCTTCCAGCAAGACCATTCCATCCCAGCACCAACCCCCTACTAACCAGACTCCTTCGTCCCCGTTTCTCCATTGAGGTTTACTCTTCTCCTGATGCACTTGGGGTCCTGAGGACGTGCGGTTGAAGACGTCTGTGATTATCTGCCGGCTCTGTGGTGTACGTAGTACACGTGTAAAAGTTGAACATTGAGTTGTTTTGGTAGGGTCAATCACCGAAACCGGGCAAGTCGTGACGAGTAAGCCTGATGGCTGAACATGGATCGACTCCGTTTGAGGCTCGTCCTCGGCGAAAGTCCTCAGGTAGATAATCTGCGCATCGGAGCCCTTCCTCAAAGTTTTGGTGCTTAATGAATGCAGGATGTCGGTGCCGGACAATCGTCCAATTGTAGTCTCGTCGGAATGAACGACACTCTGAACGGAAATCGTCGGTATTTGTGACATTTCATATCGCAAGGGTTTAAAGATTGCCTGAACAACATTCGGTGGCACGGCCAGGATAACCCTATCGAATATAGCTTCTGACGTATCAGATCTGAGGTTATCCAGCGTACTTTCCCAGCAGACTCTGGTTCCTTGAGCTTGGGGTTCCACTGAAACCACCCTTGCCGACTTTCGTATCTGTAAGCCTTGCGACAGCTTTCTCTGGACCTGGTTGACACCACCGTAGACGGTATAATGCTGGTCCCCATTGGTCTTCTTCTTGTAATCAATCAGGTCGTGTGCTGGGAATTCCAAGAGTGCCTCGTGGGGGCATGTCGCCACGCTAGAGAACAATGATAGGAGATAGCTTGAGACGAAGTATCTTGGGAGGTGGATTCTCCGGACATATGACCTGAAGGACTCGCAGGGCATGGTTCGCGTGGCGGGCATTGGTGGCACAAGGAAACAGCATATCGTGAACCATGCGTACCACACTATTAGGTACCCAATTTCAAACAGGTGGTTTATGAGGGTCGCGGTCTGGGGCCGTATTGGGAACAGTATGTGGTTATTGGAAGAGTGTACAAAATGCAAACGCTCTTTGGGTTTTTGGGACGTCCAGCTGAGCTTAGATGAAATGCTTGAGAACCCAAATAGAAAACGCTGTGGTCGGTACTTAACTCCCAGAAAATCGTACATGGCCTTCAGGTTGTTGTAGAATCCACCTGAGAACGCACGCATTGGAAGATCAATCCGGTCAGTATTTCCCGTCTCAGGGTTTGGGACAGACAGCGAGCTGGAGTCAAGAGACAACTGCTCTCCCTAAGGCACTGTATTAGCAGATCGATCTATATCGGAGAGTAAATCACTTCGGGGTCTTACAATCTCAAAAACCTCAACATTATATCGATGTTCGGGGTCCTGATTCAGAAGGTACGCGGTTACTAATCCAGCCATGCCGGACCCGACGACCGCCACCCGGCACTTGACGTTCGTGTCTCCCTCCATGCTGGCTACAACAGAACTACACTGCGGCTCAAGACGGTAGCCAAAGGTACTGCAAAGCTGTACGTGATACAGAGCGCAATCTAGGACTATATCGAGAATCTAGGACTGTACGGAGTATCGAGAAGCTATTTTGTTGAGGGCAGTTGGAGGCAAAAATAGGAGTGGGGCTGTGCACAAAACAGCCGAGGTTTCTCCTCTGTTTTAAACAGCCACAAGCGAGCATAAAGCTTATTTACTTTTGCCTACCTAGCTTCTTCTCTCCGAATGACTTGGAGAATCAACAGATACTTGGCCTACAAAGCCGAGATCGTTACCTATTAGGGCTATACGGCAATATGAGTAGAACTAAATGGCTTGCCGGCCTGGTCGTGGCTGCCTGCTTTGCGATATCCATATCGCCTGCCGTTGGCATGAAGAGGTTTGATCACATGTTTCAAGATGGAATGTCCAATCTCGTATATGTCTACGTTGCTGGATGCATATCGGGAGCCATACTAGTGCCGTTTTTAACACACGCCCTCAAACGGGGTGCAGCATATCTCTTCCTCTCAAAAGATGAAGGTGATCATGATCTTTACAGACTCGATCACGGGATACTTAATGTTGAGGTGCCTCCCGCGTCAATGTGGATGAACATGGGCTTTTGGGAGGTAAGATAGCTCATCGGGTGTTGAAGTTGAAGTTCTAATTCTTCCTTAGCAAACAACGAGTTTCCCAGCTGCTTGCCGTGCTCTTCTTGACGAGGTGCTAATGGCAGCCGGACTGTTGGGACCAGATAGGATGCCGTCTAGTCAGTCGGATAGTACCAGGTTCAGAGTTATTGATCTTGGATTCGGCTGCGGTGACCAAAGTATATATCTTGCACAGTTGGCACGCAAAATACGACGAACTGGGGATAGCGCTACCAATTCACCTAGGCATTATCTTTTAGATAGCTACGTCGGCTTGACAATTGTCCCATCCCAATTTCGCTTTGCAAATGAGCGGTTATATTCGTCCTCAAATACAGACGGAAGCAGAGTTAAGTTGTTTTGTGCAGACGCTGCAAAGCCTAGCACTTGGACCAAGGATATTCACGAAGCTGCCGCCGATACGTCACCCAAGGAAGACGGCACAGATGTTGCCCCCACAACACCTAACCAGGCTACCTGGGTTCTTGCACTCGATACTCTCTATCACTTCATCCCATCCCGAGAACCCATCTTCCGCCATGCCTTTGGAGAATTAAACGCTTCTATAATGGCATTTGACATCCTTCTGTCTGACACGCCATCTCTCTGGGACCTTATCCTTCTTCGCCTTGTCTGCTTCTTTGCCGCAACTCCATTTTCTAGTTTCGTTACAATCGCAGAGTATAGGAATCAGTTACTTGCCGCCGGGTATGATAGGAACAAGATTGAGATCCGAGATATATCTGATCACGTCTTTGCCGGGATGGCATCTTTCATAGAAAGGCGAGACGGAGAACTGAAAAATACTGGCATGACTATTGGGAGGTACAGAGCGGCTGGAAAGGTGTTCAAATGGTGGGCTCGCAGTGGTATTGTCAGAGGGTGCATTGTTGTAGCTAGAAGATAAGTGGACTTTAGGATGGCATAAGTTATCCACTATCATAGAGATGTTATATTCCCTCGCCCTTGATTAGAATTACAGGTCTCGGGGAACAATTGGGAGTCAATTAGAATTTCAGATATATACCCCCGTTGGACACTAAAACGGGCCTAACATAAATCTAACCCCAAAACCGTGCAAAATTTCCAATTCCACCTACTCGCTGCCGCCAAATTATCAACATTCAACAACCCAACCCCATTTTGCGCTAACACTTCCCAAACACTCGTCCTTAACGACACAGGCCAGGCGGGAATATCCCAATATCGTGATACCAACCCCCTATCGTCCGCTACTTTAATCTGTTCCTTGATAGTATCTACTTGTTTTGAAGAAAGCTTGTTGAACCAGGTACGACCCGGTGATTTTGATAGCGAGACGCTTGCATAATAAGAGTTCTCACTCGTATATTTTGACTCTGCTGCGAGGTCGGAGAGTGGCGCATCGAAGAAAATATCGCGATATGTGGAATTGGCAATCACTTGGTCGAACGGCGTGTTGCCGGTACCAACGACTGTGATTAGACCAGGGACTACAGTTGACCCGTTGAAGTAGGTTAGATAACCTTTCTGTCGCAGTGGAAGAAGTTGTTCTTCCACTGTTGGGAAGAGTAAGGCGCCGTCGGTCTTGAAGTCGAGCAGCAAGGCTACAGATTTGTTTGGATTCGTGTCAAAGACACCTCGGAGAGTCGAGCTGTTGCTAAAGGGTTGCGGTGTGTTTTGGTTCTCCAAAATTGAGATGAGAGGATCGATGTAGAGACTTCTGAGAGTACGATGTTTGCGGAGAGAGTGGCGGTTATGTCCAACGAGTAATTCATTGTCTGAGAGCCAGATATCGGCTTCCACACCAGTACACCCTGCGGCCAGGGCATTGTAGAGAGGGACAGCTCGCCAGTAGTCATTGTGTGAGTGACAAGGTATAGGCGTGATGTCCCTCGTAAAATCTTCAAGCCATGCGGGTGCCGGTTGAGAAGAGGAGCCGGGTTCCATCCATTGAGATATTACTTTTTGGATTCCATTTGTTGGGGTTGGGGGAGGAGTAAGGATCCGTATCAAGGCATAGAGTAGCGAGTACCAGATACTGTTAGATATATCGTTAGCATCGCATAACCTTGATTATCATCTCAAGGCCGAGAGCTTACCCAACGCCAATAGTCGCCAATACTACAAGCACAATAAGAATAATTAATAATCTTCTTCTGAGGGCCTGCCTCTCTCCAACTAATATTTTCCAATACGGGCGGCTGCGAGGCCATAAACCAACTTTAGGAAGTGGACTTCTGTAACGACGAAGCATACTTGACTTTGTGCAAGCTCGCTCGACATCGGTAACCAGGTCAGTCTCGCTTCCGAAATCAGAACTTTTGCCAACTGCCATGATAGCTTCTTGAAATATAAAACGAACTAATTCGTAGTGAAGATTCAATGATATCGATAATAGACAAAACTCGGAATAGGGTGTCAAGAAGTGAATCCAATTGAGTACGGAGGTGGTTTGAATGTTGGACCTTATTCCGACTTCGTTCAAGGCCACCATTCAACTAACCGGCTTGATACCCTCTAAGCGCTAGCTCCTACTGCGTGGTAAAGTATACTTGGAACTGGACCTCCGTGTCCCATATTGTGCATCAGGTCAGGAAACCAGGTTGAATCCGCAGCTGTCCATTTCGCCCGTCATGGTGGCGTTGCACAATACGGGTTGGATAAGTTATCGATGGGGTCAGTAGGATCACACCGCATCGCAGACCAGCTTGCGCCGCTGGATCCCAATGCCAAGATATGATATGGATTTAAGCTATCAAGCCACGATGTGAGCCGCTGAGTCAGACGGGCATTGCAAATGGTCCGAAATTTATCTTGTGATCGAGAAATATGAAGTGTGTAAGGTGCACTTGCATCCTTCAAGTTGAACCACGCCACAAGCGCCTGTACCAGGGTCGATGTTGCTTGTTCTTCCTGAAACCCAACCCCTGTGGCACATGGGTCTTGGCCGGGGTTGCCATTATGTAGCACCGCCTCGTGAGCGACTTACTAACTTCATTTTTGCAAAGCTAACATAGGATCTTGAGCTTCATCCTTCATTCTTGCAAGCTAACGTAGGATCTTAAGCTTCGCCCTTCATTCCCAACAGTTTTACGTAGGGGCCGGTCGATGCCCAAAAATACCAGGTACCAATCCCTGCGGAATGATGAGGAGAATCCTCAGCTACTAAAAATATTTGTTGCGCATTTTCAATCTTTTCCTGGGTGTAGATGGCCCTACTACACAGGGCGATAGAAGTAGTCTTAGCATTGTTCCCTTTTTCGTAGCTCGTTCCCTCCGGTATCAGCCTTCCATCCTCATAACTAGAATTTCCACCCACCAAATATTCGACATCTCCATCAAACTCATATCTATCAACGTTGAATTTGGATCTCGGAAAACTTCACTGCATTCGCTACACTTCATTCGCCCCAGCACAAATACTACTCCCTACTCATTATGAAGTTCCTCATGGTTCTCTCTCTACTTGCCATGGCGCCATCATGGATCGACGCCATCGGCTGCACAAACTGTCTTGGACAGAACGTCGACAAGATCAGGCTTGGATGCTTCACAGGCTGCAGTGATGCATTCACCGTAGGCACCAACGAACTTTTGGCTTGCCGCCAGAGCTGCACCGACTTTGTGTTCAATCGAAAATGTTGTTCTTCTACGTGCAGCAATTCGGCCAAAACTTGTCTAGCGAATATTGGCCTCGCCAAGAGAGACTTCTCTGGCGACGAGGACACTTATGAAGTTGAGGATCTCGAGAGCCCGGATTTACATTCTCGACATCCTCGCTCGTTCGCGGTAACCGATTCGACTTATTCCGACATCGATCGACGCCTGGACAAGGGCAAAGCTTGTTGTACTGCAGCCAAGGCAGCATTCACGGCGAGCGTCCCATTAATAGCACCTGCTTATAATGGGGATTTTGGCGATGATCAACTTGCCGGCCTGATTCTGATAGCAGTTGGGACCGCAGGGACATGGGCGTGCTCCAAGAGTTTCGGCATTAATTGCCATTTCTTCAAATACGGTCCGCCAGCTCCCGCCGCGAAACGATCATTGCTGGTGACGGACTGAGGAGATTAACAACACGACGGTAACTGCAGAATCAAGGAAAGCAGTGTGTACCATGCTGAAAGGGCCGCTAAAATATGTTTAGCCGCACGGTTTTGGATTTCTCGTTATTCTGGATCGGTTCGGTTTGTAGGATGTCTGTATGTGGATTAGACTATAGCGTCAATTACGGGTCCGCTGTTGTTAGAAATATACTCAATAGGTGCGACTCGTGTTCCATAGCTAAGTGTAGCACCTGTGAGAGCTTGTAGCCTCACAATTTTGTGAAGTTCAAATGCCATAGATAGATGTACTCTGGACAAGACGCCGCGGTCGAAATCTCCCCTTGGTGGCCATGCGAGCTGTGAGTGGCCACGGTGTGTAAACGTGAGTTGTGGATCTGACGAGTCGCTGTTTTTCTGGGCGTGGCGCAGCCTCCTGCGCGACAAGCCGAATTCGAAACAGGCCGGTGAACCGTCTCTATATGTAGTACTTCAACTCCCATACATGTCTTTTGAGTTGGTCAGTATTTTGAATTTTGTCCCAACTTTCGAACAATCACCAACCACCAGCCAACAGTTGAGTCCAGACCTAGCAGACATGGAAGGCGGAATGGAAGACAAAGTATGAAGACCATGAAGATTAGGCTTGCATATCTCTACATTCTCCCACCGATGCCTACTTACCACTCCATCAGTCCGAAGCACGCGTGGCACGCTCAAACGTAGAAATGGTCCCACCAGGACAAGTCCGCTCGATCTCAAAAATCCAAAGGGCCATCGCTGTCGCAATCGTCCTCGGCATATCTTACCAATCCATCCCATTCACCCCGTTCTTCCAGCTCTATCCCGCGAAAATCTCAGAATTGCTGGATTATCTACTTCACGCCCACGTCTTCATTGGTACCTTGTCCCTTTTAGAGCATGTGGTGAGCGGTGTCCAGAGTCCACGCAGCCTGGAGGTATTCAACTACGTCGCCGGAGGTACGCTCCTGGCCACCATCCCGATGACTGAGAGCTGGGGGAAACAAGCATCAATTTGGGCCGTATTCAGCGGATGCTGGGGGTTGGGATGGTGGATCATGACACCAGGAAAGAGGTGGGAGGCTGGGAAGGGTGTCTGCTTGGTTTTGGCGATGCATTGGCTGAGCAAAGTCTTGACAACAGCGGCATGAGTGGATAGAGTGTACTTACTATACTTGCAAACTCGTTTTTAAAAAACGAGATTCCAGGTAATCCACCGTATGCGACTCCAAATCCAGGCATCGTAACTCTTCATCTTCCTTGAGCAACCCCACGTGATAGCTCCAACTCTCACTCCTACCTAGGTAAGGTAAGGTAAGGTAAGGTACCCGTGTCATCGCAGGCTTTCAGGACACCAACACGAGGCCGAAGCCATCACTGCAACTGCCTCGGTGCTTCATGTCTGCATATGCGGCGTGGTGCTCCTACCAGGATATGGCCTTGTGCTATCTATCCATTGGTAGGTAAAGTACGAACTCCGTACGTGGCCTTGCGCCGCTTGGCCCTCCGTACAGAGTATGTTGTTGGCGTTGGTTTTGGAAGCAAACCGTGGCGCAATTGGCTGCGCCACCCGGCTTCCCCCCGGACAGTGGCTGCCTGCTACCACTTGAATCTTGATACACAGTCTTAAAGGTCAACGGTTCTGGGCCTGATTCTCTTGTGGCAGCGCTCAATTTTATAGTTGAGATTTTACTTCCAGATATCGGAGCATTATGGGCCAGAAAGTTTCAAGGGAAAGGAGGGCTGCGTTCCTGACGCCGGTTGAGACCCAAGGTTAGCCCGACAAGTGGTATTATTTTCTGTTTTTGGGGCTAACATATCAAAAGACCAACTGCAAGCCAAATTTGCTCACTACCTAGTTAGAAGATCAAGAGAATGGGACCTGGAAAAGCAAAAGATGATTACAACTACCTTCGATGAGATTTTTACCAAGTTTTCGGTCAAAGGCCAGCCACAAGAATGTCAGGATACCACGTCCACTTCCCGATGCTGATTAAAACAATGCTGATATTTTTAAGACTGGAATACGGCCTCCCTGGTGGAATTTATCTCTCCTACTCTCCCGGCAGATTTAAGATACATCATTACGGATGCTGCTCCTATCCTCCATCGCATGGTTTCACGCCTGGGTTCTTATCCCTATCAAACTCGTACAACTGGGACCCTTACCTTGGACGTGCTGCGTAGCGCAGTCATTATCATCATGCTCCCTTACCACTATGATCTTTCGTTCAACAGAACGCCTGACTACGAATACAAGAGCGTGGAGCAGTACGAAAAGGACCTGCGGTTGAAAACCCACCGACTACTCTTTCAAAGCCTCACTGAGAGTGTCCCCTTACCTGTGGCCGATCTTCCTCGAAATGACTGCACTGATGAAGACCTCATCCAAGCCCTCCATGCCCTTTCCGTTGACAACATCCGTTTCTGGTCCTCGAAAAGGGATTCCGTAACTAAGGCACCGCCTTTGCCTCCAGCTTTAGCTTTACCGTCCTCGAATTCCGATGACTTAACGGGAATAATACCACTCGGAGAATTACGTTCTCTGCTTCGCTTACTTCTGCTATATCAATTCACTCGTGAAGATCTCGACCCGAAATGCGAAAGTTTTAAGCTTCAGCTTGAACAAGTCACAGATTGTGTTCTAAAGGCATTTTCCCAAAGCGATGATGAAAAGCGGGGTGATGGGGTTACATGGGATAGCTTCACGAGAACACTTACAACACATTTGGTGAGTTTGTGGATATGTTTTTCTTGGTCGATGTATCCTACTGACAAGACAAAAGCCCCGTATCTTCGACGGTCTGTCGAACTTGTTCACACGTTTCCTTCGGGCCCAAGAACCACAAGCTGAACCAAAACCGAAATTATCCCCCAAAGCTTTGGGCGAACCCATTATTTGCCAACTAGCTACCTTTAAGCCAACCATGCCACCATTATCCTGGCGGCTGCCCTCCTATACCGTCCTCGACCAAAATACCTTCAATGGATGCGTAACATCTCGCACTCGCACCGCCATGGTGTTGGTTTCCGGATTACGCAATACTACTAATGTAACCTTCGGTATCCTGCTAGGTGCTTGCTCTGAAGAAAAGCCATCCGGCGACGAGGGTTACACTTGTATTTTCCAGCTTGAACCAGTGCATTGCGTCTACTTTGACAAAAGACGCGAGCTCTCGAAAGTATCATTTTCATCCGACGGCCAAAATCAAATCAGTATCAAGGTCGATATTATTACCGAAAATTCCGAATCCGTTGAACTAACAATCGAAAATGGTAAGGGAGCATTTGTAAGAAAAAATGTGTTTCAAACTGAGGAAGGAAACACACCAATCACTCAACATGCGCAAGAAGGGGCCTCTATCGAAGGGAGTTTTAGTGCTGATGATATCAAATTTCTTGGCTTTTGATGTAGAGTAACTACTAGAAATTGATGGTGTTCATGGACTATAGCTGACCAATTCCTACAAGTACAAGCAAATTCACCATCCTTGTCACATAATGCTTAAATATCATGTGGTAGCGGTAAACATGGTGTATTCACGTAAATAGGATCATTATTAATGGGTTGAATTATGCGAAGTAGTGGGGTGGTCATTCCCCTGTCATGGTGCATTCACGTAAATAGTATTATTAGATATTTAATGATTATACGAGGTAGTGGGGTGGCCATTCCCTGTCATGGCTTTGATCCTACAATGGCTATGTCATCTCTAACCCTAAATCCTCCCGTGCGAGCTTACCAAATATCGATAGGATCTTGGAGAAGTATAAGCATCCTTGACTCAACCTTCTAACAGTCCATACCTAGGCAATGCCAAGGTTTCCGCTGCGGTTCTTGTGGGGCGTACACAGCTCCAGAGAAAACTGCGAACCATCACATTTAAAAGACCGCTCCAATAAAATGCACTAAATATGTGACTTTAGAAGACCAGTTTCCATAAAATTTCACCAAATATATGAGATTCAACTTAAGAGCACATCGTTTAAGAAACCAAGTGAAATCCCATTTAAACTAGCAAACATCAACATCTAAGTCTCTACATCGCTGCACTTCCAATCCCAAACCCCATCCGGACTCCGAGAAACACATGTGACATGACTACCACGATCCATCTGAGCATCCCCTTCAATACACAGCCTTCACGAAACAATTTTACTCGTCATCCACTCTGCGAATGAGTTGCAATTATTCGACCTAAGACTGTACTTCGCGTGTTCGCGGAGGTATTGATCACCTATTGAGCGCCCGCTGTCAGTGAACGCCAAAAGTATCGAAGAATCCAATACTTACGGAGATTCTTGATCGTTGAATCTTCGGCAGTCGTGGTGCCTTTGTATAACGTGACGGTAGCCACGCGGTAAGTCCTGGGCGACCAGTCCGGGACCATAGGAATCTCAATTGGATCCCCATAATTGAAAATTCGATCACCTTGTGTGGTCAGATGGTACATAGTTCCTTGGAAGAAATGTTGATCGTGTCCCGTGTGAATAACAGATCCTACAACCACAGCAACGTGGGTGTATCCGGCAACACATTGCTCCATATCAGTTGAGCCGCCTTGATACTTTTCAACGAAGACATATCGCTGGTTGGCCGCCATGTTTTGGCCCGGGTGAGCCTTTTGATAGACTGCATTAAGAACATCGTAGCCCCGGTTCGCAAGAGCGGATTGTATCTGCAATAAAGTGTAGAGAAGGGCGGAGAAAGTGATCTGGAACTTCATGGTGATGGTGAAGGCTTTTGAATTGTAATGATCTCGAAGAAAGGATATAGAAAGAAGTGTGTTGTGTTGACTGGAAAACTGGAATGATAATAGTGTAAAGATTGGGATATTTGTCCTATATGGAGTGAATGAGAGCTTTATATGTTGTTCGTACCGCTAAAACATCACATCCAACAATTGCATCTATTATTTTGCGCCCTTGAGAAGGATTTAGCGGTAAGGCTCTCCAGCGTCTAAACATTTTGCGAGCCTACTTTGCCGTGCAGTTCGTCAGTCTACGTTTAGAAACATTGCGAGGATCATTCTACGCCTCTTCTTGGAGGGGTATTTTGAAACGAATCTTCACATGATGAGGATTAAAGGAATTTGGATTCTAAACCCAAAGACGTATAAGCATATCTCCCCTGTTAGTTCTTACCCGACTTTAAAAAAAAACCCCCTGTCAAATTCCTCAAATTCTACGCCACAACATATTACTCGTATCTGGCGGACCGTTCCACTACGCCTGCGGCGCGTGCTGCGGCGCGTTGGCGGCGCATGTTGGGAATTGGCAGATGCCAAAACTAAGCGATTAAGCGTTTCAAGAAGCTTACTTTACCCCTCGCCGTACTCCATTCTACGTGAAAGTTCCGAGGCTCCGCGCCTTATGCCTTACACTAGGTGATCCACTGGTACCGCCACAAACCGTAGAATCCTATACTGTTCACGAGGGATATTCCGTGGCGGAAATTAAATTATGTTTTGGGCAGGTATACCAGCATGTTTACTTAGGGCTTCGCTCTACTGTCGAGCTAGAGTGATCTTGCTAACGGTGATTCTAGGCAGGACCACGATGTCGCACCAGGATATACTTCCATCAGGCTGAGTATATGCAGGTCGGGTACACTGCCATACTCGTCGGAGGATTTCAAATTTATCCCTAGTTAGTCTACTGGATGAGTGATTTTTTTGCCAATGCCCTAATATCTTACAGGTTGAGAAGGATGAAGGGCCTCATTCTTGGTGTCAATGCTCTTTAGGATTCAAAATCCAAAGGAATGTGGCGCTCTAGTAAGAGGAATGATACCTTGGATAACTTATCCGCGACTTGATGATACCGGAAATAGAAGTAGATGCTTGAGAGGAGGATGCTCTGGTCTCTAAGCCTGGAAAGGTTGGGCTCCGTGGGAATACATCGTGGATTGATGAGCGGAGTTGGATTCTTAGGATGGGATTCTGAAAGCCCCACTTGTGGCGAGGTCGAGGCGTTCGACCACGGCGAAGCTATCCTTTGATACGAAAATATCAAGGGAGGTTCTTGGGACTAAGGAAAGAAAGTTCATCTGCGAGTAGTATATAATATAGCTATCCCTCTAGCAATATTTCTCATCTCATCATCATCATTCACCACAATCATCAGAACACCTCAATCTCTCTATACACAAATACCATCTACAGCTTTAAATTAGCAACAACTTCAATCCCCAAACTTTACTATCATCAATTATGCATTTCCTCACTATCGGATCCCTCTCGTGCATGGCGGCACTTGCATTGGCGGCGCCCACCGTATCAACCACATCAAACGCTGATCTGGCTGAGCGATTCACATTCGAAGACTACTCGGGAACCTCCTCGGCCGACGACAAGCGTGAGATCACGTTTGAAGACTACTCTGGAACTTTATCCAACGCGGACAAACGCTCACCAGATGTTCTTGAAGCAAGAAAAAGCAGCCATATCTCTAGCTGTGGCGACAACTGGATGCCCATCAAAGACACTTATAGCCCTGCGGGCTCTGGTTATGAGTCTGCTGTGAACGCATGGTGCTACCACATCACACACCCCATGGATGATACGCCCTCGATCATTCCACCGAAAGGAATCCTTGGAAGTCGCATAGCCGGCGGGTTCTTTCTGAAGGGTCATGTTCCAGGTGTTGTTGATTGTAAGATCCCCGTGCCCTATTTTACATGTAAGAAATGTGGCATACTGATAACATAACAGTTGAGATCCACAACAAGAAATCAAACGGGGAACATAAACCTGACGAGGGCAACTGCAAGAATTATCTCATGCAGATGGCAACTAAGGGAAATAAATGCTATGGCAGCAAGAACATTGATACTAAGGGAGGAACTTATCAAGTTGAGGGTGATGGTGAAATCTCTTACCATGCCCTACCTAGAGCCGCGTAAGCACTTCTCTCTCCCTCAAAAGCAATACGTTCTAAAACTTACAAAAGGCCTAGATCATAAACTCGAATATTCAATTTCACTGGAGGTTGAACTAGGCAGGTTCATGGAAAACGCTTGGTGGACTTTCTTTATATAGGCGCTGCTTAGATAGAAGGAGATTTCTTTAGGGGCGGGGTTTGCTTTTGTTTTGATGTGGTTGGAATTTCCTTTTAGCATCCTGTTTCCAGTTGTGTAAAATAGAAATCAACTAGCTTGTGATTCGGATCAAATCCAAAACGTCTTGAAAAATTGGCAGCCTGTCCGGAGTAAAGCCACCCTGATCAGACCGTCTCGGCTCATTTTCAACTATAACATAAGCCTCCATGGGAGAACTACGCAATTGAGCATTGCGAGCGAAGCTTAGTACACCGCAGCCCCAATGCTGCTATTCCCCCATCAGGTCAGAGTGTATTCCCACTTGATTTCATATGTAGAATGAGAGCATAGAAATGACACCACGAGGACCTACAGATAAAAATAACATAGCATGAAAAGTACAACATCTCCTAGAGATTACAAACTGATGCTTGATCTTTAGCGACACTCGTCGGACGGCGTAGGTCGATTATATCTGTGATAGTACTGATAGCCTTCCACTTTAAGGACTCGGCCGGATATCTTGAACAACATTCTCCCTTACTGTGCTGAAGAGTATGCGATCTATATTCAAGAAGTTTTGTAGAGAACTACACAAACGAATCTACTTTGAAGTAGCCTGGTGACCTAGCCAGCAGTTTACAGAACGCCCCCATCATCACACACCTATTGTGTAGGTGCTTCATCGGTTTCAATCATTTCGAGAAAGGACAAGTGAGGCTTTCATTGTCGTATAGTCGAATTTTTAAATATTCACTGTCGTACTCGACCCTACCATCGATGTAAGCGCGGGTTCGGCGAAGCACCAAAAATGCGGTGTTCCTATGAGAGGGGTGCCTAGCGTCATAGGATGAGGATCATGATTACTTACGGACTGGAAGGGTGCTGTTTTGTGCCGTATTAGAACATTGAGCCCGATTTTCATTTACCAGCTCTTATCTTGACGTTGCGTGTCGATTGAGCAAGGGTCGCGATCAGCGATTTGCGCGGTACAAGATAGGGATTTGACTCGACATCAACCCTAGTGTTGCTCGTACCTAGGTAATTCATAATGCGGTTTATTAGGACGATTCGGCTAGATCCCGAGGAGGATTGTCGTGGATCTAAAGGGTTTGGCATGAGTAAGATATAGATTGCTTGCATAGGACAGATAGAAAGCCCCGGATGTTGCGTACTCGTATAGGTAGCTTATGTAATTCATAACTGATGCTACGTTCCTTTTTTCCGCATTCGGAATTTTACTATCTGCCACGTGACTCTCCCCGCATTCATCAGGCCAAATCGCCAAATTGCCAAATCCGACTGTGTCAGTGGCTTTCCCTTCAAACTCCCAAGCCTTCAAGAGCCCCTGAAGATATTGTAAGGTTTTACCAACAGCCAGCTTGGCCTTAGAGCCTCCCACGGTCACCCTCCCACTGCGAGGCTGAACGTCTCCTCGCGCGACTCCTCTGCATAAACAGAGACGTTACGCCCTATCCAACTCTACACGCTTGATGAACATGCTCCGTTGCAAGATAACGGAGAGGAGCAAGAGCGAAGTTGAACCGAGTCAGTATCACACCACAAGGTGACCTGGGCGTCTCCACGACGGTTGATCGTAGGTAACGCGTGAAGATGGAGCCTCCTGAGGTTAAGCTGGACCCGCTGTGGCAAGACCTCGATTGGTGAGTAGACGAAGCCATCCCCGCCTTGTGAATAGAATAGATATTGCCCGGCGCAACCTGAGCGGGAGCGTGGTTAAAGCAGGACGAACCAGCGTTCTTCAATGGGCTATTCGTCGTATATCACTAGCTTGTTAAAAATCTGCTCCTCGATTGGTGACAGCTGTCCTGTGCCAGTTTGCTTCTTTTTCCAGCCTCTTTTCGAAGGGTCAACATCCAAGTGAAGCTAGCTGACTTCGGAACAGGGCGATTGGTGCTATGTTCTATATGGGATTTGATGGGACTGAAGTAACACCACAGATTCGGACTTTGATCGAGGATCACCACTTGGGTTCTATCTTGTTGACCACTAAAAATCTAACATGTAAGTAGTTCTATGCGCTCGCTGTGTGGGTATTCATACCTAAGAGGTAAAATAAAGATATCCAACATTCAAGCTTCCCACACTACTAGTTATTTGGCTGTCTTGACTAGACTTGGCATCATCTTACCCATCTTCTTAATTCGTTGTTAACTGCTTGTTTTCCTGTATCATATCGTTTCCCGCAATTGTTTTTTTAATAGATATATGGACTCTCCTGACCATATTCGATTTATAGCTGCACAGCAAACTGCAACTCTTGTTAAAGAGCTCCAAACTATCGCCCATAATTCCGGCCACCTAGCACCTCTGCTTATTGCACTGGACCAGGAAAATGGCGGCGTCAACAGTCTCTTTGATGAAGACTATATCTGCCAGTTCCCCAGCGCCATGGGCGTTGCGGCAACTGGAAGCACTGAATTGGCATATGAGGTTGCCAATGCTACAGGAAAAGAGCTGGCGGCAGTTGGTATCAATATGATAATGGGCCCAGTACTTGATGTGCTGACAAATGCACGGTATCAGCCTTTGGGTGTACGAGCAACAGGAGATGACCCACAAGAGGTTTCTCAGTATGGCATCGCTGTGATGAATGGATATAAAGACGCGGGCATTGTGACATGTGGGAAGCATTTTCCATCGTACGGAAATCTTGACTTCCTAGGATCGTCATTGGATATGCCTATAATTACCGAGACACTCGAACAGTTGAGTCTTGGGGCGTTGGTGCCATTTCGGAATGCCATCAGAGAAGGATTGGATGCGATGATGGTCGGAGGCTGCGCAATAGCAAATGCTGGTGAATACCGCCCCTGTAGAACCATTAATTGATAATAGGCTAACAGAGTACTGAGGCATGAACGTGATGCATGCTTGCTTGAGTGATCAAGTCGTAGATGATTTGCTGCGGCATGATTTGGGATTCAATGGCGTAACGATATCAGAATGTCTAGAAATGGACGCCTTGAGCCATGATATTGGCGTGAGAGGTGGAACTGTCATGGCAGTCGAAGCAGGATGTGATCTCGTTTTGCTGTGTCGATCATTCGCAGTCCAGCAAGAAGCCATTTCCGGCTTGAAACTTGGAATTGAGAACGGGATGATATCAAGAGAGAGAATCAACCTATCGCTAAAGCGGATACTGCACTTAAAATCAAAGTGTACCTCCTGGCACAAAGCTTTGAATCCACCCGGAATCAATCTGTTAGCTACCCTGCACCCAGCTCACGTTTCACTGTCGACAAGAGCATACGATAAATCAATCACTATCATGAGAGATAAAGGCCACCTTTTGCCGCTGTCGAACACCTTATATCCCGAGGAAGAACTTCTACTCCTCACGCCGCTTATCAAACCTCTACCCAACTCCGCGGCCACAAAAGCAGCCGCAGAGAGTCAGGGTGGGTCAAACGAACATGATAAACGGACGCAGAGATCTTCGATCATGAGTGGCGAAGGTGTATTTCGGGAGTTTGGTAGATCCCTGGCTAGACAGAGACATGGGAAACTACTCCATACTTCATACACAGCGAATGGCGTCCGTCCAGTGCATGAGAATCTAATCAACCGAGCGGCTGCTATTATTATAGTAACTGCAGATGCAAATCGAAATCTATATCAAAATGGTTTCACCAAGCATGTAGCAATGATGTGCTCAATGCTGAGCGCCGGTGGAAAGAAAAAATCTTTGATTGTGGTATCAGTCAGTTCTCCCTACGATTTTGCAATGGACAAGGCGATAGGCACCTACGTCTGCACATTTGATTTTACAGAGACGGCAATGTCGGCTTTAGTTAGGGCGCTCTTTGGCGAATTTGTCCCCCAAGGTACCCTTCCGGGAACGTTGCGTAAGAGTAGGAAGGTGCAAAAGTCTAGGCAACATTGGCTAGTGGAGGGCTGGAATAGAGACCGTGATCATAGGGGTCTGCAGGCTCTTGTAAAAACCATCGAGAAAATAACACCACCAAACCAACTGTGCCCTTTATTAGGGGCTACCGCTGCTTCTTTTGAGCTAGTAAGTCTCAGTCTATCCAAGCGCTTTTCTGTAACTGACACCTATTAGTCGATGACTACAGAATCAGGGGAACATATCGAAGAATCGCATTATGTAGTCCGAAATAGCAGTACACAAGCTCTTTTCGGCTTCTGCTCCACATACTTCTACGGAGGGATTGGCATGATAGGGGCATTATTCGTCGACCCTGCAAAACGAAACCTCTCCATCGGGCACTCGCTACACCAACGCGCGATGCGCGGTCTCCTCCAAAAACCAGGTATCAAGAAACTACAACTCGGCCTCGGCCTCCCAGGAATCTACCTAGGAATTCCCATGAGCGACCTCTCGGAAGGCGCGCGATTGAAACGCTGGTTTGCAAACAACGGATGGGATATTCTATCTCCCCGTCTCCTTTATACTTTAACTATTAGAAATCTGTCAAACTGGCAACCACCCGAGGGACTCCTACAATCAGTTCAACGTGTCTCTTTTGGCTTCGACCTCATCCATGGCAGCGAGAATTCTGAGACAGTGCTCGACCATGTACGATCCAATGCCGGTCCTGACGTACTTGAGCTATATCGACTCGCCCTTGATGACTCCAAAAGTTGCGGTATTGTACGTGCAAAATCACCAGTCGATGGCGCATTGGTAGGCACGGTTATCATTTGCAGACCAGGAACGCCCCTTGCAACATACCTACCAGTTCTCCATGCGGCTGGGGATATGGTTGGAGGCATTCTAGCGCCCGTCGTTCCAAACAGCCCACAGGCGGCAATCGTGCTTCAGGGTCTTGCCTTGCTGGGCATCAAGCAAAATAAAGCGCATAGGGCGACAACCTGTGTCTTGAATTGGGTTCAGGGTGATGAGAGGGATACGTTGTTGGGTATGGGATTTGACGTTCTTGATGCATTCGAGGAGTTGAGCTGCAAGCCGGAAAGTTTCAATCAATCTAGTCACGGATGAGGGTTGTTAGGGGTTGGATTTCATGGGCATCTAGGTGTTTCATGACTGAGTTTTTTTGTTCTTCTACAGTGCCGTATACATTATTTCCATACTCTGCAAGTGCCATACGTTGGTTACGAGAATTTTAAACTTGAACTTGAACATCATTCGCATTCTTCTGCTCTAAACGAGGCCGTGAGTATTAATACTTTAACCCGCACCTGGCGGCTGCCCGCTGCATCATTGCTTCTTCCTCCGCAAACTTCGCTCTTATCTCAGTATCAGTAACCTCAACTCTTTCCGTCATATCCGGCATAGGCAGGGCCCCCTTACTCCTTCTCTTCAGCACACGAGTAGCCCAATACCAGTCCTCCCATGCATGCTCATTACACATCCAGTTTATGGAATCCGAATCCTTTTCCCAAACATTCCAGTTCACCATCTCAATGTCCATCTCCACGAAATCATTGACATTGTCGGGGACGTTAGGCTTTCTAATGAAATATCTGGTCTCGATAATCACCCTGACACCCCGCTCCTGAACTTCGATTATCCAGTCCGTGTCGCATAGATAGCAGTCCAGCAAGATGGTGGTACGGTGCTTTTGCGTGTTTTGGTTGAAGAGTTCGTGGTCGCTGTTGTGTTGAACGAAATCCCAGATGACATGCTGAGTAGGTGTACTGATAGGGGCGGGTGGAACGATTTCCCCACAACAGAAAGGGGGGTTGGCTGGGAGGATGTCTCTACTTGGCCGTTAGCTAGAGGTTCGGAGTGAGTCAGATTGCATTAAAAGCTTGCGTTGAGTGTTGGGATGATGGGCTCGATGGCATCTCACTGTGTTATTGTTAGATTATGATCTCTAAGAGGACGGTTTCCATAAGTAGTGTTGCCTTACTGCGTAGTGCTCATTGCTTGGCTGATTAGGTGTTCCCTGTAATATCATTAGTTGCGTTGTTCATGCACGATTTCCATTAGTAGTGTTGACTTACCCGCTGATTAGGTATTGCCTGTACTATCATCAGTTATACTGCTCATGCACGGTTTCCATTAGTAGTGTTGACTTACAGCGTACCACTCAATGTTTCGTCGTATAAACCTCCATCTGAAGCCATCTGTGATATCTTCAAGTTGGTGTTTCTAGAGACTAGAGAGGACAATGGGCTGATGAAGAGGCTGAACTCGATCCCAAATAGGAAAGAGCATTGTAGGAAAGATTTCACGGATGACGATATGCTAGGCGAACACTTGAACTATGAAGGAGATTAAAAGTATATTATAGCTTTGAGCTTATCGGGTCTGCGTCAATCAAAGATTTGACTCTTTCGGCCACTCCAAAGGAATAGATATATCCAGCACCTCCCATGCCATACGCATGGATACAATTCCCACGCCGCTCAACCCGGAGTCCAGCCTCCCTACCAGGGCGAAACCCAACGATATCTGTAACAGAGCGTAGGTCAACTTCTTTGAATGCTCCATTGGTAATGCGATTAACTCTGGCTAGGATATCGCCTTTCAACTCTGGATCTACCTCGACATCCAACCTATCAGACTTGACGCCACCCAAAATCACACCGCCAGATGTTGCACGAGGGATGACATAGGTGTACTCAGATCCTTCGAGCATAAGCAGTTCCTGGAAGTCAGAATTCACGAACATAGTTTGACCTCGCAGCGGCTTGACAGATGCGTCACCAGCTATTGCCTTGGCCCCAGCCCCTGAGGCATTCACGATTACTTTTGCCTTCGTAACGTTTCGTGCTTCATCAACAGATCTAACCTCCTTCCGAATAAAGCTGACCCCTTTATGAGCGAGTCGCTTCTGTAGCCATGGCAAAAGGAGGAGTGGATTCATCGCCAGTGCAGTGTACCTGATCCCAAAGGAGATTCCACCAGGAAGTTCGGCCGGAGGAATAACTTGATAGCCTGGCATCAACGTCTTATACCATAAATCCCGGTCATCTTGTCGGTTATCAAAGTATTCCGTCATGGGATATACTTTTACTCCACTTGAAGGGTCTTCCTGGGCGAGCGACCAGTAAAACCGGAAACAAGTTATTTGCATTTGTTGCAAAGACACATTGTCTGTGACTTGCGGGTGGAAACCCGCACCTGCCCTAATTCATGGTTAGAGCAGATATGTTTTGGTAATTACTTTGGGTGAGAGCGAACCATGGACTTGCCCAGTTCGAACCCAAGTCGCCGGGCATATCTCGAGCGACGACTGTCACATTATATTGTGAGGAGAGGATATAGGCCGTTGCAAGACCAGTGATTCCCGCACCAATAATCCCTACTGATTCTCTGTGTTCCATGAGGAGGAAATGGATATATTTTCTGGATTATTGTTGTATTGCTGAATACATGTGGTTGATGAAAGAAGACGAACCCCACTTGTTGAGGAGGGGTCCAGCTTAACTTTACCGGGCGTTGCCGCTTTGGCAGCTCCCCTCAGGTAGTGCCTCCCAAAAGTCTAGTATGTGAGCTCTTGAGCAGGAAAAGAAAAGAAAACATTTTTGAGGGTAAATAAGCGTACAAGAAATAGTCCATCTTGGTTTGGTTAGATCTCTTTATCCACAATACATACATTGGGGCGCTCCATTATGAGGTCACGTGTAATTAAAGGTATCCAGCCGTCATGTGATGCATTTAGAAGGGGGAAAGAAGTGTGAAGATACAGAGCTGTCGACGCCCAGTAATGGCTTGCGGATCTCGGTTAGAGGATTTGTCTTACAGGTTCTCTGAATGTCGCTAATTCTTAGATGGCAAACGTAAGTGTTGGTGTTGGTCTCTGTCATCGTATCCCCTTCCAAAGGTTACTCCGGCCCCCTTTTGTGCTAACCGAGACTCGAGCTGCCAGCAGCGGACATTTTGCAAGTCGGCGACTAGGTGAACAAGGAATCACACTTAAAATCCAAGCCCATTTTTCAATTCCCAAGCTTGGCCCCTTGCGAGTATTACGAAGTGGTCCGATTCGGTGGCTTCAAAGCAAAAGCAATTGCTTGACCATCTCGGTTTGCCCGGAACGAGACTTTTGAAATTTCTTCGTCGTGTCTTAGTCTTCATGGAGGAACCTAGTCACCTCCGATCGCTGTTTGTATTCGGTTGGGCATTAAGGGGGAGGCAGCGTCAAATGACCGATGTTGGGGGCCTTGAAGTGGGATGAAACACATAAGCCTCTGAGCTTCTAGGGGAGAAAGGCGTGGGTGATGAGATTCTGAGATTTGACAAAGCCTATGATGAGAATACAATTGCCGCCGGAAAACTGCTCGGAGTGATAGGAGCTGGGGGTTGGGGGTGGTAATGGCGAAGCATTAACATCACACACGGACAATCAAATACCTATCTCGACCGAGGGGAATATCACCCAACCCAACCCAGGTGATGAGTCGAGCTATTGGCACGTCAGGACGAAATCCGTAGCACCTGGCTAGCCTCATTGCGCACCAACGCATGACTCTCGACAAACGGTGAAGATGAAGCTGAAGCTATTGATAGGAACCTTGGATGTGATATATGAGCACGGTCCAAGGCCGGGGGAGGCGCTGATCTGTAGCCAATGTCATGGCCCAGCGCTTAAGCAGATCAGCAGCAGCCAACCACACCAGCGAATGGCGGGTTCTTGCTGCGGCCGTGCTGCAGCCCGCCTGCACCTCTTCACCCACCTCTCCATCCAGCTTCCACCATCAGCTTCGTACCCCTCGTTGCCGCTCCCAGGACCCCAAAGCTCCGATCAAATCACCAACCAAATCACCAACCACAGCACCACATCACCGCCCACATACACAATCACATCCGCTCTGCGTTCTTGGTTCGCTCAATATGTCTATTCCTATTCGCGGCCCGCCCAATGGCTGCTCCCGCCGCCCTGTCCCGCCTATCCCATCGACCTGGTGCAACCCGCCAGATCCCGGAGACGCCTATCCCATATATCCTCAGATCACCCTCTGCCGCTCTAGATCATGACCATAGATCATCGCCCCCGCAGCCCTTTTGTATCACGATACGTTTCGCAGCCCGGCGACGAGCTGATGCTTCGTTTCCACCAGGGCAGAAGCAATGCGGTTTGGATCCGAGTCGTTGATAAAAGGGCAAGGACGCCGAGTGTTCCTCCTCTTGACTTGGATTTCAACCACTTGTGCCCGCAATATCGTCAGCACCAACACTCGTGAGCGTCGAAGGGCTCTGGGAATCGACTGGAGTCCTGCACCACCGCCAGAAGACGGACCGCCACTCTCAGCAGGAGCACTACGAGACAAATCCCTCCTCCCAGTGGAAATTGGGGCCATCGTGGGGGCATATCTGTTCTCCCTCTGTGTCGTTGGGTTGGCCTTGATCCTCATCAGCCGCAAGCTTCGACGGAGGTTGGAACTCGCCATCTCCACCAAGTCTGCGGATGTTGAGATGATACAGCCCCAACCGAAGCCCAGCGCAATATATCCATCTCCAATATCACCGTGCAGCCCACGAAATTTCTCTTATCCATCCCCAGTCAAAACCGAGCAGAATCCATACGTTTTTCCAAACTCCAACATATCCCCTATTACACCGCCTGGAACAGACATATTCGTCGACCACAGAATTGTCGAGGCAGATCGCGACATGGCGCAACAGGACTTGGAGGATATCTACGCTCATGTGATGGCGCAGGAGGAAGCCAAAGCCGCGGGCCTGAATCCGAAAGAAATGCCTCCTCCAGCTCCAATTCCAACATTAGGGCCACAAAGACAAAATTCGCCGAAGAAGAATGAAAAAGCCCGCCCTGCAAACATTAACATTGATGACAACAAATCGACCAAGTCCCGGGCATCTTCCATAATGTCCATCCTGAAATCTCCCAGGAAAAAGTCGGTCCGGTCAATGCAAATATCATCCCCTATGTTAACACCTGCATCCGCGACCTTTCCTCGCGACAACACGGCCTCTGATGAAGAGCCATTGTCGCCCCGATACTACAAACCACCTCCGCCACCACCTGTCCCAGCAAATCAGGTACGATATGCACATTCTCGAGACACGTCCAACATTACACCAACGTCGCCTACTCGCAGCATCGCTGAGCAACTAGCACCATACGGCCCTGGAAGCCAACAGCATCGTCCCAACCCCTCTCAAAATTCATTTCAATCCGTCCAAGAGGACCCAGCATCGGCCACCTCGACAAACTCCCAAACACCCCTCTACCCCACACGGAAACAATCTCCACATCCCAACCCGACCGGTTCAAACCCCACTGCTTCCAACAATGGTTCTACACGCACTCTCCCTTTTCGCCAGTTCGAACCATCACTCAAATCTCCGTCCTTCCGCCCAGCAACCAAGACTACAGTTCTGGAGCGCAAACCCGCTTCAAACACCGGTCCACTTACCGGTGGGTTGAAGACGCCCTGGAGTGCGGGCGCCGTACCATATAGTCCGTACCAGCCGTTTACCCCCATGATGCCGATTACTCCACGCCTCGTCACAAAAGAGGACAGGAAGGCGATGAAGAAGGCAGAAAAGAGGGCGCCGGTTACGGAAATGGTTCGAAGTGATGATGAGATCTGGGACGATGGTTATTAAGATATTCTCATATGTTAAATTCTTGTGGATATGGCCTATTTTCTTCACTCTAGGGACGTGTGGTTGGTCTTCAAATAGCGGGCATAGATTGTCCCCTCACTTGGGAAGTGCATTTGATATCTTCGCGTGGGCGGGGTGAGCAAGGCTGGATATAAGTTTCTAATGATACCATGACCATTTAATTGTTTTTATATCTATAAATACATAGAATTATCTTTATTTATTTTTCACACTTGCATACTTTCCAACCACCATCTAGTCCAATGTATTCGTGCTCGACAGATAGTCCTCGATAAAACTGTTCCCAGGATGGAGTTCAGTGTTCAATATTCTCTCCATCGTACCTAAGTAGGTAAGTTAGATTTTCGTTTGACGTACTATATCTCCGTACATGGCACGGTTTTCCCGGCTTATATGCATAGCTGTTCCCTCTCCGGCCTTTACCACTGCTCCCAAATCTCGGGTGGCAATACAGTCCTCATAACTTCCCAATGGCCCAAAGCACTCTTCTGCAACCACGGTGTGAACTCCTCCGTCTCATTCTTTCTCAAAATCCGCATCCCACTAGGGCCCTCACCCTTCTCATTGCTTTCTTCAAAAGCACGCTCATCAACCTCATGCCTAGGCAACAAGAACATTTCCCTCGCCCTACTACCCAAAAGGTCGGCCTCGGTCGGGTCCCGGAAGGTGATTTGGTCATTTGAGGATTCTTTGGTGCAGAATATAACCATGTTGATGAAGTCTCGGCCGTCCTCTAGGATCTGTGCGGGTGGGGGTGCGGGGGATTCCCGGTAGATGCGGCAGCGGGGGAAGACGGACTTTATTGTGCGGATTACTATTAGAGCTGATGGGAGGGTGAGATCACCTGCGTAGTTCTATTGCCGAGATGTTAATTGGGGTAGGAATATGGGAGATATTAATGGAATGCACGAAGCAAGCGTGATGAAGATGGGTAGGTGGAACATACAATAGCGATGACTCCCCACGGAGCAAGCATAGCATGTAGATCCTGGATGAACTCTAGAGTAAACAGATCGACCGGTTCAGCTCCACCAGTAAACACATCATGCACGATATACGTGTATTGCTTTCCTTCTTTTGCAGTCTCCGAGGCGTATGCCACGGCGTCGGCGATTACTGGTGTGTGGTTGGGAGGGAGGGAAAAGTATGTCGTGGCGAAGGAGTGAACCACTGGGTCGATCTCTACGATTGTCGTATCGATGCCGTGGGTTATAAAGGCAGAGGGGGTGGTGCCTATTCCCAGTCCACTATTAATTGTTAGAAACCAAGGTGGAATTCAACTGCGAGGAAAGGGGTTGGTACTCACATGACCAAAGCCGATGACTGCTCATCAGGAACAGGCTGTGGTACCACCACAAGACGAACGGCCTCTAGCATTACGAAGACGCCGTAAATAGGTTCGGCGAGACCACTTGGAGACTGTGTGGCAAGCCACTCCCCACCGAGTAGACTGTGATCACATCTCATAACTTTGAATCCGTCCTCGGCGCTCTGAATGATGGAGACATAACCCGTAAGAGATTCTTGACGGTCAATTAGAGACCAACCAGTTTTAGTCATTGATGCGTTTAGCCAGGATGTTGCGTGAGGGACGTGGTAGTTGAAGATTGCTGTATGCAGGACTGCGGGAAGGGCATATAGCAGGAGTTTGGATGGAGCAAATATGCTGTAGAGACCTGCCAGCAGGATCTCGAGCCCGAGTCTAGTATGGATGAAAGTCGATCCGATGGTTTGCTGGATATATTTTCCTGAGAGGTATTCCATCGTCCTGTAAAATGCATAAGAGGAGATCCCGGGCATGGCGTCAAACAACCATGGTAAGCGGCCTGGATTCATGTCCAAATCGTCCAAAGTGGTAGCTGTGGATGAAACTGACAGCAACAGTAGCGGAAAGAACGTGACGGCCTCAGTGATAATAGGTCCATAAACAGCCCCCATGAATCCACTGATTTTAAACATAAAAAACTGCACCACAGGAATATAAGCGGCGATGACCGGTAATAGCGTGACGGGTTTGACGGGCGACCGCCGCCGAATAAACAGATTGAAAGACCATCCTAGAAAACAAGCCGCCATGACCCCCTGGGAATGCCATATTGAAGCTGGAATAGATCCATATATAGGAGATAAGGTGAGTTGGGATGCATTGGAGTAGATGGCTGACAGGGTCAACAGCGTGCCCGATTGAAGTAATACCAGAGCTTGTCCCGTCGCCCATTTACTCCATGTCTCTTCTTTAGCCTTGGAAGCTAGAGCCTTAAGCTCTTGTTCAAAATTCTTTTGCGTAAGTAAAGGCTCCGTTGGTTCTGACTTCTTCTTGGCTGGCTTAGGTGATTTGGAGGTTGTGGATGAGCGAGCCATTTTGGTGGGGCTCGGAGAAAGGAGAGGAAACCGCGATGCTGCGAAAATAGAGGCTACAATAAGAACAAAAGGACGAAATAGTTTAACGAATCACAATTGGTGCCATTACCAGATCACTTTTGATGAGATCATAAAGTTGACTTCTGGAGACGTTGCAGATATTGGTGTACGAAGTATGAGACCACGATTTGAGCCTGAAACGGGGGAGGGACCAGCGCAGGGACCAAAAGCCACAAGTCACGTTACCCGGCCAACATACTAGTGGGAAGCCAAGGCCATAAACACTTGGTATTGGTTTTATTCTAGTAAAAGCGAAAGGGTAGGAGAGGATAGTCTGGAGTGTTCTAATAATATATTAAAAAAAACGAATGGTTGTGGTATTAAAATTGGGACACTCGTTCTGCCATGGATGGACTCAATATGGCATTTTCCGCCTCATTGCATGTAAGGCTAGTATATCATAGAGTGATCATAGTAATAAATTGGATTTGCGCGCTATGCAATGGTATATGGGATAATACAGACATGATACATGTAGGTTATACAGGATGCCATCGTTGCCCTGCGGACGAGAGCCCAACCTGAAAACTCTCGACCCCCTTTCTGAGCTGGAAAGCAACTTTTTTCAACCTGCGATGCAGATTGCCACCACCGTCTTTGGGCAGGGAACCCAAGCCCAATTCATCTTCGCAATTTGCAGGAGATGGTTTAGATCTTGGTGCCCTCCAAAATTGGCCTCGCCTCCTCACTCTTCCACCATCCTCCTTCTCCTCCAGGGAAACTGAATTGGTCCATACTCGCCGCCTTCATCTCAACACTATAACCTGGCTCGGTTGGAGTTTGATAGTATCCGTCCTTAATCACCGCAGGATGCTCGAAATGTTCGTGCAAGTGATCCACATACTCTAGCACGCTCAACTTGCCGCTCACACAAACGTAATCGATCGTGCTGAGATGTTGGGTATATTCTGGGAGTCCAACACCACCGCTATGAGGCACAATTGGAACGTTGAACTTTTTCGCCATGAGAAGCACAGCGAGGACCTCATTAACGCCGCCCATGCGACAGGCGTCAATCTGGCAGATATCAATTGCACCGCTAGAGAGGAGTTGTTTGAAAATCACACGGTTTTGGCACATTTCTCCAGTGGCAACGCCGATTCCGTAGGGGCGGAGAGCATCACGGATAGCTTTGTGGCCAAGGATATCGTCCGGCGAAGTAGGCTCTTCAATGAACCATGGCTTGAATTCTGCAAGCTGCTTCATGTACTCGATTGCTTCGGGGACAGACCAGACCTGTCGTGTATCAGTATAATGCGGGATGAGTATGGAGCAGACAGAGACATACCTGGTTTGCGTCAACCATCAGAATATTTCCATTATCGTAACCAAGAACGTCTCTCGCAATTGTCAGCCGTCTGCGATCCGCCTCAACTGAAGTCCCGACTTTCAGTTTGAAATGCTTATACCCTTTGGCCAGGGTCTCTTGTAATAGGCCCTTCATTTTATCCTCCCCATATCCAAGCCATCCCGCCGAAGTTGTATAGGCTGGAACCGCCTTGCTATCCAACGCCTCCTGAAGTCTTTTGGCCTTGTCACCTTCCTCACTCTTCAGCATAGCCACTGCCTCCTCAGGCGTAATCGCATCGGTAATATATCTGAAATCGATACATCTGACGAACTCCTCTGGTGTCATATCTGCCACGATTCTCCACACCGGTTTGTTCAACGACTTGGCCCATAGATCCCAGATGGCATTGACGACGGCTCCAAGTGCCAAATGTATAACGCCCTTCTCGGGCCCAATCCACCGTAATTGTGAGTCGGAGACTAGGTAGCGCCATGTCTGGCCCCAATTTTCGACGAGGGATGAGAGGGTGCGGCCTTTGATCCGTTCAGCCACATTGTCAATGGCTTTGCAGACGATGTCGTTTCCGCGGCCAATTGTGAAGGTCTAATGGCCCGATATTATCAGTAAACGTCCTTTCGGAGAAATTGGAATAGAGAATAGAGGGAATGGAAAGCGACGTACCATTCCATGACCAGCAAACTTCGAGTCTGTCTTCAAGATGCAGTACGCGGCTGAGTAGTCGCCAGCTGCGTTCATGGCATCGGAGCCGGTCTTGTCAAGGGATGTGGGGAATCGCACATCGCGAGTATCCCAGCCCTGGATAGTGATTTCTGCCATCGTGACGTATAGTTATCAGTCTTGTCACACAGTTCCTAGTGGGGTTCTGGGGATCGGCAGAGGAATGGGGGTGGGGGCGGGACCGGGGGAGAAAGTAGGGAGAAAGTCAAGAAGATGAAGAACGGGTCTGAAGAAAACCAAAGGGAATTGAGGAATATATAAGTAATGGGATATACAGTGAATGAAAATAAGATATCTTGCCCCTGGGCGAAGCAGGTACAATACCCCATACCATGGGTCGCCAGAGAGAAATAATCCCGAGTCACGTAGGTTTGGAGGACGCCGATTGATGGAGAAATCTCGCCCCGCGGCCGCCGCGGACAAGACCCCACCAGCGACCCAATGCGTGGGCAACAGCTAATAACAACATCCTTCTGGACCTCGAATTCCTCACCAGTAGAGTGGGGTTTGGCCGAAAAACATGTTCGCGTTGAAGCGGTCGTGGAGTTGGCAAAGTGTGCGAGTTTCAAGGTTTGTCGGCCTGGAGCCGAGTGGTCCAGGGTTGGTTGGTTGTCTCTTCTGTTTTCCTTGTCCTCTCCATTAGTACCCCCTAATACTCGCCCCCAACACAGGTAGCACACACACATGACTTCCATCGTTGACCGCTGATGCTAGAATGGCTGAGACAATCCAACGACGTGTCTAATAAACGTCTGGAATGCACATTTTGCTGCTTGCCTAGTGGCTATTCTAATTATTGGAACTGCTCAGCTCTTCCACATGAAGAACTACCACCTGGGGGCTGTGTTTCTCGTCGGTCTATTGATTTATTTGGCCCCCTCGCTGATCTCAATTAGGGTAGCCTTCAAGTGAATGTGCTCGTGAACCCAACTTCGTTTCTTCAATTAAGACTTGTTTCCCGTAATGGATTTCAAAGCGTGCAGCCTGAGTTTCCTTGGTTGCGGCCATCCAGGTTATCCATTTGCCCTGGTGGTTTGCGGAGAGGGTACGGGCGTGAACTTGGATATAACCCGGTCGTCCTTTTTACTGCATTTCGCCAATCCTATAATACATCTCTCTCCCTTTCCTCAGCCTGGGTTAATCAGTTCATAATATGTCCGGATTCGAGATTCTTGCCGCAGTGACTAGTATCACAGCAGCTTTCAAAGGTTCTGCAGCCCTCGTCGTCTCCTGGCAGGAGGGAAAGAGAGAACGTCAGGACAATGGCCACAACCAACGGTTATTAAGATCACTCACCTATGGAGCGGCAAGGGTCAAGTATGAATATGACCAGCATTTTGCGAGGCTAGGCCCAAGGCTTTCTTCTGGTGATGGTTGTGTTCCCATTCCATTACAGACGAGGCGCTGCTAACCCAGCTGCAGGTATCTCAAGAGCGGAGTTAGGCCAATGCCTAGTTCAACTGCAGCATCTAAATGCCATGATCACAATGGAGTCGGCTGGCGCCCATCCAGTTGTGATGCCAAGTCTGGCCACGATGCTTGCTATGTCGGATAATACAAGGGAAAGGGCCGTTGCTATATTAGAAGAGCAATATCAACGCATGGCAGGACAAGTCGACCTTCCATTGCCATTTGTTTCTCGACTTCACCGTTGCGCAATCCGTGGTTCTGTAGCCTCTGAAACGGGTAGAGGTGTGTTTCGGAGGGCATCAACTGCGCGACATCAAACTGGGGAAATTATGGCGTCGAGATACTCAACAGGTGATAAAGAGCCGGATACGAAGTCTGACAGGCGACCGCGAAGTTGGATGAACCAACAAGTGCCAACACCTCATCCACCCGCTACACCAAGGCCACTTTCTGAAGGGTTTTACTCCTGACTGAAACTTGAGTAGCTAGTTGTTGTCGGAGGAATATTCAATTGATTACTATTAGATGGTTTTTATGTACGCACGAGAGACTGTTCATACAAGGCCACTGGCTGGTTTAATCCGATATAAACAAATTGAAGAGCTGTCCGTGTCCGAATTCTTAGCTTCTCGAGCTCCACATTACTGATTTGACATTCTTAGGGATAGTGTAGAGTTCAAAAACCTGGGCTTGGGAGACTATATGGTCCAGGACATTATCCTGTGTGCTGCCGTTACTGTTTATATCAAGACCCTATCTAGCTAGACTCTCTATAAGTAGGCACAATATGGCGGCTGTAGTAAGTGGTTAAACGCGACTGTAATGTTATCCTAACGAGGATGGATGCGTGAGTAACTATAGGAGGTGGATGAAAGCGTAGAAGCACGTCAACACATTATAATTCCTCTTTATGGAGCGGATGAATGATGGGCAATTGAAATATAATATTCTTGATATGAAATCAATACCTATCTGATCAATGGGATAGCTGGCCTTCTGCTTTTCGACAATAACTCCTAGATGTTTCAACTCCAGTTAAAGACTTCAACACATTCCCATTCTATTCCATCAGCTCCCTTGATCTTAATTCCAGGAAGCATCTTCATACCCAAATTATCCTCACCAATAGGGAAATCCAACTGTCCAATCCTGGCAGTACTCCGCCATCCACTCACATCATTTTCAACTCCCCAATTCCATCTCCTCACACCAAACTCCTCACCCTTCCTTAGCACACCTTGTACATACTGCCCAACCTTCATGATCATCCCCTTAACAACCTCGCCTTCGTCACTACCCCTCTCAACAGTTCTCAACACCCAGCTGAGAAACTGCTGGTCGCCGGGGATCATCACAGAATCCAAATCAACCCAACACTCTTCATACTTCTCGACCTGCCCCCTAGCAGGGTTGACCATCTCCCCCAGCTCAAGAACCTCATCACTACCGTCGTCTTTGGGGTACATATATCCCTCATCTCTTACCTCCTCCGTCGTCTTGTTATCAACCCAATGTGTCCATTCCGTATGCGCAGCTTTCTCAAGTTCCGCTGTATCTGGGTTGTATATAGCGGCTGTGCTTTTCGCTGTCCCGGCAAACCCCCATTCTAGTCTTGAATCTGGTAATTGCACGGACGTTGGGAGGCAAGCCTCCGAGGGTGAGGTTGGGAGGTAGATGCGTGTGTCAACGAAGTATTTCGCAGCTGAGGTGAGGACAAGTGTGCTGGAGATTGTTCAGTGGGAGAGTGGCATACGGTGGGGATGGAGGGGTAAATTTACTCGGTATCTTCTCCCGCGGGGTCATCCTATTGAACAACTTAGAGAGATCGCAATGGCCGTGGAAAACTCACACCCCATTTAATCCATTTGCGGACCGATATGAATGGTTTGCTTGCCATTGCACATCAATAGTTACGGGATAGACTCTGTGCGGAAGTCTGTGGGGATATCGCGTTGTCGTGGTCGTCGCCCAATGGGGACCGAGGCCGCAAGCAATTGAGGGTTAGGGTCTCGAATAAACCTCGATCTACGGTCTAAAGAGGATTAGATTGGGTCAAACGCAAATTATTTATTGGCCCCTTAAATTGACTTAAAGTACCAGCCCTTTAATGCGGGCGTAGGTAGTTGATTTACTTCAAGGTTACCGCTGAGGTAGCACGGATATCAACGAATAAAGGCAACTACGTATTAGGATAGAGTAAGAGGACGAGTAGGGTTTCAATAACATATACTATAAAGGTGCACTATTAAACTAATAGAGGCTAAAACATATTGACTTGTCTGTAGATTTTAGAAATAGTAAAGGCACTGGTCACGTGTGAGATGATTTGGAGGTTACCTACCTACCTTAGGTACCTAGAGTTTGCAGGACGGAAAGCAGGGAGAACCTTAAAATGCGGCATGGTATCATTATGTTATTACAAGCGATAAAGAGCAAATGGAAGAGGAGAACGAGGAACCGTAAGAATGACACCCAAACACGACATCGGGAGACTGACCCCAGATGAGATATTGAGAAATCCCCGTCCCCATATTCAATCATCCCCGCATGCCCACCAGTTTCGCCGGAAAGCCTCCCAAATCCCAGAGACATAAGCGTATTAGAGAGCCATAGAATTCCGGCGTTTAGTTATTTCCCTTCTCTCTGACCGAAGCACCAGAAGCTCTATACCAGACATCGCCACCCCACCTCATCAGTCTTTCAACAGCCTGGGTGGGCGTAAGGGCTGGTCTAACATCAAGATAGAAGACCGGTTCCCCAGTCGGTTCTGGCGGGCCGGAGTAATAGTCGATCACATATCGTATTTCCTTCTTCTGGCCATTTTGTTCTCGTTGGACGAACCAGTCATGACGATCGAAAGGAGGTTCGGTCCTAGAGGAGAGTTAGAAAGAGGGGGAAAACGTAAAGCAGACAGGTATGAAAGAGGCTTACCCAAAATGGGACGGGTATATCTTTCCCATAATTTGAATCATGGCCGCCTTTGGGGTCATCTCCTGCGGTCTGCCCATGAACCGTATTAACTTGGGCTGCTCAGTGTCGCTGTCATTTGCGGCTGCTGCAGTCCCCGACTCGCCCTTCTTACAGATCTCCCATCCTTTGCCAAAGCCCTTGCTGAATCTGCGCTCCCACTCAACGACTTCGGCCCAAGCTCCCTCATTCAAGAAGTTGTGTACGGATACCATACTCTCTACCGCAGTGGCATCAGTATCGGTATATCCTTTTCGCAACAAAGCATTGTACATTTGCTGTGGCGATGGGTACTCCCAGTTTCCTTCTCCGTTCCCTTTAGGGATGGTGGATGGTTCACGGTCGGTAGGGAGAGCAACAGTCTGATTCTGCGCTCGGTCTTGAGAAAGGTCCGAAAACATGTAGTTTAGAGGGTTATATTTGGAGTATTTTGAGGGTGCCGTCGAGCCGTCATCCTTTGGGAGGTCGGGGGGTGTATACGGACAAGCGGATTCTGCGGGAGGAGTTGGATGTTTGGCTATGAGTCCTGGTGTTGTTGCGCCTTTGCCTTCGTGCATAGGGCATCCTGGCTAAAACCCGGTATAAGTTAAAACCGGACAGATTCTACAGATGTAGTAACAAAGAGACATACCGGTGGAGACGCATTCTTGCCACTGGGAATTGCATGAGGAGCTGCTCTGGCGTTGACCACGGAGACATCTGAGTCTGCCCAGAACCAACCCATGATGCGATATTGGGATGCCAAATGAACAACTATCTGAGGAGAAAGAGGCGCAGGAGAGGATTATGAGTTGAAGGAGCTGAAAAGAGATGTAAGTGGATGCCCCCGGTAGGATTAATTATTAGTGTCAAACTAATACGTTGTGCTGTAACGGTATCCGCAGTTGAAGTTGAAGTTGAGGAGATGGCAACCTGCGATACCTCCAGTGTTGTATTGGCAGCGTGCTGACCATCGTCCAATTGGCGATTTGCGACTAAAAGAGACAAGTTTCTTTTTTTCTGCCAGTGATCCCGGCTGTTTCCGTTCACCGTAGCCTGCTTCGTACGGTACTCGTTACGGTACTCGTTACGTCGTTCGCCGAGGCTCCTTGTGCGTTGCCAACTCTCGCAGCCTCGTCCGCAAAAGGCCGATGATATCTCTATTATCTCCTTAACTCGGTCTTAATAACATAATTGATACAAAACTCCATTCCTTTCACCTCCGCCTTCTCGGGATCTTCAATTCAGTCAGTAGTTGGGATTTATTATGTGCGAATGTTAGCATCACAGCGAAGGCATTGACGTCACCAATCGGGCCTGGATCGGACAGTTTAAAACCAGCCGCATCTTCAATTGTTTAATGGAGTCTCGATAACGTCAACAATCGAACCTCAAGTTTTCCCCTGGGCTCGGCTGGGCTGGTAATATGAGGTCGGCGCTGGCTAGAGGCCGGATATGCCTTGGTCTCCTTCAAACCCCAATTCGACCTCTCCAATCCCGATGCAGCCACCTTCACGTCCGTATCCGAACATCGACGAAGCATGGCTATGGAAGACGACAGAATAATAATGGTAACGGGTTCTTCAGGCAACCACCACGCCGGAAGGGCCTCCTACTAGCTGCGGCGACCAGCCTCACCCCCGCCGCGTTTATCCACCTATCTGAGAAGGATAATGGAGGCACCGAACACACGGCGGAGGGTCGGATGTTAAAGGCTTCAGTGGAGGAACTCGAGATCAAGAGGCAGAGACGGAATGGCAATCGTGGCCTGCGACGATTTAGGGACAAGGCCCTCTTCGTGTTCGATGTATATATCTGGGAGCCTCTATGCACGGGATTGCGCTTCCTGCATCTGGCCGCCATATTCGTCCCGGTCATCTTCACCGTCCCTGCGATTTGGATCGGCACCCGCCAAAAACAGAGGTCGAATGAACGGTCCGGCACTCTTTGGTGGTATTGGTTTCTAGTGAAGTCAATGGAACGTGCAGGACCTGCATTCATCAAGGTGAGGAGTCCCATCGATCGGTGTTGAATCACCCACCCAGACCCTGCTAACTCCTCCAGCTTGGACAATGGGCCGCATCTCGATCAGATATATTCCCTACCGAAATGTGCGAACTGATGTCCCAGCTGCATTCCAACGCCCCTGCTCATTCACTTCACAACACGAAACGAATAATACGACGGGCATTTAATGGACGATCCTTTGATGATATATTCGAAGAATTCGACGAGAAGCCATTAGGCGTCGGTGCTATTGCACAAGTCTACCGAGCCAAATTGAAGCATGATATCGCTGTACCAAGTGATCCGGACCTGGAGGAGCCATCAAACCTGCGAAAGAATGTCCGCAAAAATGTAGATACTCTAATAAAGAGCACGCCCCACCGAGTCCCGTCATCGTATGTTGCAATAAAGGTCCTCCACCCGGGAGTTGAGCGAATGGTGAGGCGGGATCTTCGAATAATGGGTTTCTTCGCGTCGGTTCTGAACGCCATACCGACCATAGAGTGGCTATCCTTACCTGATGAAGTTAGCCAATTCGGAGAAATGATGAGACTGCAGTTGGATCTGAGGATAGAAGCCGCAAATCTGAAAATCTTCCGAAGGAATTTCAAAGAGAGAACAACCGCTTGGTTCCCATATCCATATACTTCCTTCACTACCCGGCAAGTTCTGGTGGAAGAGTTTGCCCAAGGCATCCCACTCTCTGATTTCATGGAGAACGGTGGAGGGGTATTTCAGCAAGAGATCGCGGATGAGGGTCTAGACGCTTTCTTGCGAATGCTTCTACTTGATAATTTCGTCCATGCTGATCTTCATCCGGGAAATATCATGGTCCGGTTCTACCAATCAGCGCATCCCAAGCTCCCTTTCAGCCACCACAAAGACGAAAACCCACAGGACCAGCCTGATGTCACGGAAGAGGTGCTTGCACGGCTGAGGCCATATAGACATAAGAAAGACATGGGGGCATGGGAAGCAGAGCTTCAGAAGATCGATAACGAAGGCTTCCGGCCGCAGCTGATCTTCATCGATACTGGATTGGTCACCGAGCTCAATGCTACGAATCGACGAAATTTCCTTGATCTCTTCAAGGCCGTTGCCGAATTTGATGGCTATAAAGCGGGCCATCTGATGTGTGAACGTAGTCGCCAGCCTGATTCCGTTATTGATCAGGAAATATTTGCTCTGAAGATGCAGCATCTCGTCCTTAGTGTCAAGAGCCGAACTTTGGCCTTGGGCAACATGAAGATTGGCGATATTCTCAGCCAGGTCTTGAGCATGGTCCGAAGCCACCATGTTAGGATGGAAGGGGATTTCGTAAACGTCGTTATCAGCATCCTCTTGCTAGAAGGCATTGGCAGAAGCTTGAACCCAGATATTGATCTCCTGTCTAGTGCTTTGCCTATTCTGCGGCAGCTTGGAGCCCAAAGTGGCGGCGGTATGTTGAGGCAGGGCGATTTCTCCATGTTGAGAGTTTGGGCAGGACTAGAGGCAAGAAAGTTCTTCCAGGCCAGTGTTGAAGATGTAAGTGTTTAATCCATCCCTTTAGGCTCTATACTCACCTTAGGAATAGGTTGAGAGGTGCGTTAAATACGACCAGCTGTCTCCCAATATATAGTGGGGCATTTCGATGAGCTGTTGGCATAGAAGCATTTGCGACCCAGCGCAGGATATATTCCTCTCCAGTTAAATACCATTCAAAACCTCGGCACCCAATCCTTGCAGCAGCCAGGGAACGCATCATCTACATCTCGAGTCGCTGAAGCTGTTGATCCATTTGCGTAGATATTAACGCAGCTAATGCATTTGCATAGCCGCTTCTAAGCATTGATGTTCACTTCTATCGTCGCCACACCAAGTATCAGACACCCTCATTACCTCGAAGTTGAACATGTAATGCAGCAAGTGCTTACATGTCCACTTTTAACGCCGCTTTGGAATGCTATGGCTTTGCTTGAGTGTGCTTAGCTGCACAGTTGCAACCGCACTAAAAGCAGAGGCAGTACTTGCAATACCGCAACACTGCTAGTTCTGGCTACATATTCTTTGAGCGTGGCTTATCAATTCCTGTCAAATTCCGCCACACCTGAAGTAGGCCGTATCTGGGCTTTCTATTGGATGGTGAACATCCCTGCCCTATTGTTCAGTATCTCTTTATGATCTCTCCATCATCTTGTCAACAACTCCGTATGATTTCTCCATCCTGTCAACAACCCTTCAGGGTCTCTCAATCATCCTGTCAACAACTCCTTACGATTGATCTTTTATCCCGTCAATGCCTCGTTACTTCTCCATCATCCTGTAACATCTCATTATGATTTCTCTATTATCCCGTCAACGTCTCATTAATTTTCCGTTATCCTGTCAACATCTAAGAGATACAATCCCTTGGTTATAATTACTATCTTTGTCAACCACTTGTTATCAACATCACAGAAGCCCCTTCCACCCTCCACCCCCCATCCCTATTATCCCGTCACTGTCTGATTATCATTATTTCTCCGTTATCCTATCAACATCTAAGAGATATAATCCCTTGAAGATTATAACTACTATCTTTGTTAGCTCCTTGTTATCAACATCATAGATGCCCCTTCCGCCCTCCAGCCCCTCCGTCACTCTGTCACTCCGCCACCTCGTATACTATTCTTTGATATTATTTTTCTATTTACTATTGTTCTATGTAAATCATGTCGCCGTATCGCCGGGTTACAAGACCGCCGCTTGGCATCACCGTAGAGTATTCCCTTTATTTACCTAGCTTGCCTTGTTTTCCTTTTACACGTTCCTTTTCCTGTTAACCTCAACAGCTACATCAACACTAAAGGTCCCCATCCACTGGCAAGCTTGCCCCAAGTCTATCTATTCACGTGACGTGTATCTAATCATCCTAAACAGTACACACGAAAGCCAACTACAAATCGACAATGAATAGTCTTCTGTCCCGACTCAACAGGCGTGTTTGGCTGGCGTTTGCCGGTGGAGTGGCGCTTGTCAACTTTGTTGTCGCTGTCACGATCATCGTGAACTTCAAGAAGGGTACAGACTTTAAAAGCGAACTTCCCTACTACCTCTGGTGTCTGGTTTCTGTCATCGTCTGGGTTGGCACATTCGGTGCCCTTCCATTTCTAGTCAAACCCCATATACCGCGCACTCATATCATCGACGGAATTGATCCAGAACAGGGTCTTGAGCTGGATAACGTCAACATCTCTCAACAACAGAATATAGTGGGCTTGGTAGCTGAACCAGCCGCAGCTGATGGTGCCTCTGCCGATGTTTCCGACCCGGCCACAATTGATGAGAACCCTGTTGCCACAGGTGGCGGTGGTGATGTTCGTCCGGAGGGATCTTGAAAAGGAGAAAGGTTTACAGGCAGCTACGTTGTTTAGGCAGTCGCGATGGGTCTCATTACGTTGTTACAATGGGTCAATTGTTGTGGGACATTCAGATGATGAGCTTTGCTTGGAGAGTTTAATGGAAATAAGGGCAATGTGATGGCTGAGGGGTTGCAAGGCATTCAAATAAACGGTGCTTTCAAGTTTGCAATATGAAGATGGTTGCTTTCAGTTGAGCTAGTCAGTCTTACAATATGACAGCAGTTGTCAGTATCATTTTACTTGGAGAAGTTTTTCAAAAGTGACACTAGTAATTGTTATTAAATAGCTCTGTCCTGCCTCTTCTTATTATCCCGATGTCTCTTCTCCTTCCCAACGATCTTCCGTCTTTTCTTCCATGCCCGATTCGTGTCCCCTCTATGCTCGTAAAACCATTTCTGGAAATCACTCTCGGGGGTTTCAGTAGCCTCAGCTTTACCTGCCGCTCCTTGACTGCGGATAGGTGAACTTGCCCCATGCACTTCATCTTCCTCCTCCTCATCCTCCTCATCATTAGACGTCGGCCAGAGAAATCTCTTATTAGCATGCGCGGTATCTGGTGTTGGTGCTGCGCTGCGAATACCCCTGTATTCGAAATCTCGTTGCGTGAATGGTGTTGTGGGGACTCTATCATGGGTTTCTTCTTCCATGTCTACGTCCCCGTTCGTATCGGCTCCAAAGAAGCTGAACGATGATGCTGTAGGCTTGGGAGCCGATTCGGTATCAGCAGCTACCTTGGGTCTTTTGTAGAGCGCTTCCAGTGGATGGACTTCCGTGTTGATTGGGATTGCCTTTGCTTCGGGGCCGGGTATTTTAATACTTAGGTTGGCGGCAGGATTGGACGATGATTGCGGCCTTGAGACGGGGCTGGATTCGGTGACGTCTTCTGAGCTATCGGAAACCGTATCCTCAGATTCCTCTTCGGAGACATCTGACGAATCTTCTGATGAATCATCTGAATCTGAATCCGAATCTTCTGATGACGAGCCAGATGTTGATGTTTCGGAGTCTTCTACGACCTTGGATGCAGCTACCTTGGAAGAACTCGGTACTGTAGCTACATGATCCGGTTCGTCTTCCGAAGCGCTTGAATCGTCACTCGTCCCCTCCTCCGAAGTGTCGCTCTCGTCTTCAGAGTCTGCATGTGCTTTTGACCCCGCCTTGTGGGGTTTCGCAGACTCCGTGTTTGGTTTCGATCCCACCTTCTTGGGTTCTGGAGCTTTCCGCGATTTTGTGACTACCTGCTCAATAACATTGCCCCCCTCATCCACCCATCCCTTCCCTTCCACGAATTCTGTCACACCTTTGGTGTTACCACTCCCAGACCTGTCTCTCAAAAACGTCGCATATTTCGTGGTTTTGGAAAACTCATGCACAACAGCCTCCGTCCCAGCCTTTATCCGTTTCTTTTTCTCCAATTTCACATCCGAACTTTTCGTATTCGCAGCAACATTGGGTGGCAGGATCGTTTTAAACAAGCACTCTGGATCCGTGGTATATTTCGACTTCGTCTTCTTCTTGTCCTTCTCCTTTTCTTGGTCCTTTTCTTTGTCCTTGCTCGATTTCCCCGCCGCAAGTGGTGTCGTCCATCCCCTCTTTACATGCCGCTCTCCAATTTCAATACCCGGCACGGTCTCATCTCCCCGTTTCCTTTTCTTGGAAAGATCTGTCTTCGGTCTCTTCGGGTGAACCTCAGCAGGCTCCTCTGGTTCTTCAACAGATATTTCTTTCTTTGGTCGAGATTTTTCAATTCGAATCTTTGTTCCTTTTAGAATTGACCCATTGAGCTTCTTCTTGAGCTTCTCGGCATCCATGATTGGGAGGTCCACGAAACCGTAACTCTTCTCTGGGAAGGTTTGGATAGTAGCGTAGGAGATATTTCGTGCGCTCGGGAGGATCGAAGGCGGGATAATAGTCGTGAGGAGGTCAGGATTGAGCGGAGTGATATGCAACCTGGTATACTCGGCGGGGGTAGTTGGAGGCACGACATGGGGTGCCATATCCGTATTCTTATTTTCGTGCAGCGGTCGGGGAGACAGCAATGAGTTGTCAGCTGCAAAATAGGAGATCTACCGCAAGCATTATAGACGTGGGTAGTTGTGATACCTTGGTATAACTTCAAACTGAGCAGCTACAAAAAGCGAGAACAAAGTAATATTTCTGTCGGCGTCGGCTAAATTGCTGAATCGGCTTTCCGCGTACCACCTGGCCGCCCTCCCCGACCCACTCATGTTTATCCGCTGGATAGGGGCCTCCATCTGTTTTGCTCCAGTTCATAATGAAATTTGGAGAAGGTTTGTAGATGTTTTCGATATTGGAGAATATTGAACTGAGCCTTCAGGTGAGTTTGTAGATGTGTCGCATGAGCTTAAAGCCAAACGTTGGTCTCTCGGTCCTAAATTTAGGCTTTACCAACAACACCAACGGCAACATCCTGGTGATTCAATACCTACTAAGGTAGGGACTCGGGACGCATAATTTTTAGAAACCATATTCCCTCGCCTTAAAAACTATTTGCATCGAATTATATCTTCGGCCGGGGGACGCCACCTCCAATAATGATTCTAAGGTATGATTTCCTACTTCGTATAGGACGATGGTTTCCAAAGCTCAATTAGGAGCCATTATTCCAATCGTTGTTTGAAAAAGAATGCACACATTTCTTCAAGACCAAAAGTTCACTTGAGCTTCAATGATCTATAATTCTTAAGTCATTGCATCACCAAGACGAGTTCCCTGCATCAATATAAATGTTCCTATGAGGCCCTGAGCACCCCAGCCTTACATATCGGGCATACAATGTCTCGCTAAGTGCCGGGATCACACAACCACCACATTTTAGCGAAGAAAAGTGCAACGAAAGAAAGGAAAAAAGAACTGCAACTTCACAACACTTTATCAACAATATAAAAGATGTTAAAAAAGGCAAAAAGAAATCTGATTAGGCCGGATCTGGACGCTGTGGGAATTGAACCCACGACCTTGGGACCGAGCCGAGCGTGCGGGGTGCCGCAGGAGGGTGCGGAGTTCAAAAAAGGGTAGTTTTTCTTTCCGGAGCGAAGCGCAGGACCAAGAAATCCCCTTTTTTTTTACTCCGCACCCTCCTGCGGCACCCCGCACGCTCGGCGAAGGTGTCAAATAACCAATAACCCCCCCCGAACTCTTGTCTTCTTGCAAGAGATCTATCAACCACCATATCAAATGAATGCAGGCCACAGCGTGGCCCAAGAACAAGACTGGGGTAGGACAGGGGGAGAGGAAAGGGGGGTGCACAACAACCTCTACCTCGACAACCAAAACTACCAAGGCATGGAGCTCGGTACTCATCCAGATGAGGACAAAAGAATACTTCAATGGCCACCTCTACAAGATCAACATGGTAGAATTAGTATCCTGTAAGTGTACCGACGCATACCAAGTAGCTACACACTTTATTGGGGGCTGGCTGCGCATTACACAGAGGGCGCAGAAAACGCTACGTAGGGAGCTGTATGAGCTGTATGATCAGGGACGCCAGGATCTTCTTGGATAGTAGCAAACTGAACTGATCCCAAAAACGATCAATTTCATTATAGCAACAGGTCTGCTGGACTAGTTTGGAGTTAACAATGAACAGCTTTCAGCACTGCAGTAGGGAAGGAGACGATTGAAGATTTAGGGGAAACTAAGTCTTCAAGGGGCCTGGCACAGAGTCACAACATATATATACATACACAGAAGGGTAGCATTCAGCTAGAGCTTACAGGGAGCTGGGGATACATCAGGTCTTTTCTTTTTAATACTTCGGAAAATGTAGAACCTCGTGTGGATTGAACTGGAGAAGTTGGAGGCTTGTTGTGTGACTCTTCTCACACAGGATCCTCGATGATAGGACAAGAAGTTTGGTAACAGTATCGTTGAGAGAGGGAAAGGTGTCGATGAGAGAGTGTGTATATATTCGTGTGTTGTGTGCGATAAAAAGGTGAACTATATGCGAGATGACGGAAATACTGTGTATAAAGAAGAAAGGATGGTGTTAAAGTCAGGCTCTCCCGTAGATCCCCTAAAAAGGTCATCAAACTAATCATCGATCCGGTTATTATCTTCCTTATTAGATAGGAAGGTAAGATCTATAGCTTTCCCACCTATTGTGACTATCTTTTCCTACGAATAGACATCGGTAGATCTGTAGATGTCGCCTTCAAGGTCGGCATATATATATATATATATTGGGCTGGGTTGTTAGATATTCTCGGCGATATTCGGCAGATATAAAAGAGTAAAGCTGAGGGGAAGGTTGACAGTTGACGGGAATGGGCTAAATAATCAATAAAGAAGATTAGAGAGAATTGGCAGTCGGTGGTGGGGATTGAGGTCGAGAGGCTAGCAAATAGCAGTGGGAGAGGAGGCCTGATAGTCAAATAGTATAACAGGTTGACCAGGGCCTGGAGACTTCCGAACCCCTGCTGGGGATTATGGGCGGCGCTCTCTGTTCCTGCTTTTTGCTCAGTATAGGTTCTCACGAGCCCTCCTCCGGATTTCTTAACGGTTGACCGACGATGAATTGCATGACTTGATCGTCGTGAATACCTTGAATTACGGCAGCTGACAGAGCTTACGTATACTTTAGATCAAAGTTCAGAAAGAATTTGTTGTACGATAGGTATAAGAGGTTATTGTGAACTTAACTTATTGCTTGTGATTTCCAGTAGCGCACGTGATGGAGGAGGCCGAGCAACCTAACGTAGGTAAGGTAAGGTACTCGGCTACGTTTTTTCTTTAATCGTATATGCCCTCCCTAGTCTAGTAGTCTTATAGCCCCTCTATTACCAACCGCCCCTAATTATCGAGGAACGCCTGGATCATCGAAGAACGCTTAGATCAATCGAGGAACGCTTAGATCATCGAGGGACGCGGGATCATCGAGGAACGCCGGG